TGGTGAGTAAAAAAAGAGCAGAAAATCGAAGAAGAGGCAACAATAATAGGGTATCCCTGTCTCCCACTTTTCGGGGGATCCCCCACTTAGCACACTTACACAGACACACACACATATACATACTCTAACGCACAACGACAATAAGTGTAATAGTTTTACAGCGCTCTCGCTGAAAAGTATGCTGCGACATTTGGGCGGTCGACAAACTGGCGTCTATAGTTTGACAGCCATTGGCCGAGTAACAAGAAGAAAATAACTTTAGAAGCCATTGCATTGGCACGCAAAAGTTTTCAATTTCCGGTCAGTTACTTGCAACTTCCATAAACAAATTATGCGGCACTTCTGGAAAATAAATACGTAATGGCATATTATTTGCAACTTGTTTTAAATATTTGTGGTTTTACGGCAACTACTCGACTGCTACTTTTGATACGAATAATCAAGTTATGCGGTTTTTGCAACTGAAAGTAAAAAAAACCATCCAATGGTGTCATTTCAAATAGTTAAACGTATTTGTGGCTTGGGAAAGTATATTAATTACAAAACTTTAACATCTACACTGTTGCAGAAGAAGATTAAGTCCAGTTTAAACTAAAAATTTGTGAGTTATTTTTTAGCTTTCTCCTCAAACTTTCAAACTTTAAATATCATCTCAATAAAATATCTCTGCTTAAAAAACACAAATAAAACGTAAAAAAATGGCAACAAAATCGATTCGATTAATCTTTCGCAGCTACGGGTAATAATTTATTCAATCTTCTGGAAGAGAGAATCGGTAAGTGTCTACAAAGACTGCCTTTATTTTCGTTTTCATTCTTTCTTCTTTTTTTTAATTATTTCTGCGGCTTGTTGGCTCTACGGCTAAAAGCTTTCCGGGTGGGCGGAAAGGCCACGCCCGCTACAGGCAGACCAGGCAGGCAGGCAGGCAGTCGGGTACAACACGAAATTCATAAATTAATGCATGGCGTGTTGTTGGCTATTAAAAGCAATGAGCAAGCACATGAGAGGGAAGATCTTGAAGGAGCGGGACGGGACGTATACACAGACAAACATATACCAACAGCTTAGGGACTAACCCGCACACACACACACACACACACTCTCTCACATTTGGCCGGGCACATTAACATAAAAACAACATCAAGCCAAGGGCCAAGAAGAGCAGAAACCAAAAAGCCAAAAACTGGGGAAAAACTGGGCAAATACAGCAGAAAAAGCTGAAAAAGGCAACGACAGCAGCAACAACAAGAGGCAAATAAATAAATTTACATATTGCGAACGTGCTTTGGCGAGTTCCTTTCGCTTTTCCAGCTTCTTTAGATCCGCCTTCAGCTAGGGCTGTCAAAGAATATATCAAATAATCCAAATGTACTCCCTAAAAAGGTCCAAAAAGCAGGTGAGCTTGGAAAAGTTGTCGGATTTTTGTAAAAACTTTGCATAGTCCATACTTTTGGATACCCTATTTTTTAGATTTTGAATATCTAGAGATTAATATCAAACATTAATAAGTCAATATCGGTAAGCATAAACTTCTATATCATCAAGTATCCAAAAAATTGTAAAATAAAGTCCACTATATATCTAAAAATCAACTATAAAAGGTCGTCAGCCCTGGCTTTTAGCTTCTTGGGGCCCCAGTTTTGCCCTGGGAAGCTGACTAGGGACTTTTGCTCCAATTTTATGGCGACAGGACGGCGTGCCCATTCGCCTCAATGGCTACCAAACTGTGCCCACATTTTACATATGTAATTGTCCACACACACACACACACAGACACACCACCCCCCTGGGCACCTGCCAAGTGGTATGGGCGGCAGCAGTGGTTAGAGAGGCGGAGCCAAGCACCGCTTTTGATAGCCAGTGGAATGTTAATAAACTTGTTTTGATACGACAGCCAGATCTCGGGCACAAGGTCAACGAGGACAAGGACGAGCGAGGAGCGAGTTTTTGAGTCCTCCAATCTTCGAGCCAACCAGCCAACTGCCAGAAAAAGAAGCCACAGCCGCAGATTCACAGAGCCAAAAGCCAAGCCAAACAGTCTGACAATCTGACAGGAAGTCAGCAGGTGGTCCAGCCTGCTGGTTCCACTGTATGGCGATAAGTGCCGCAGCAGCATGCACGAGGAAAAAAATCTAAATAAATTTAGAAGAGAAGAAGAAAGCCCTAGACGCTTCTTGAATTCATATTTGTGTTATTTATTTATAAAAATAAATACATTTAAATGAATTTAAAAGCTTGAAAGATTTTGAAATCTATATAAAGCTAAAAGATAGAAGAACATAAAACAAGTTTTTAGAGGGAAAACCCAAATTTAACTTTGAAAAGTTTATGAAAACCCATAACCCCTGCAAAGCCAATAAAAAATAGTGAAAAATTTTCAATCCTATGATAAATGACCATCTTTCCGCTCAGTGTAGATAGCGGGCAGAACGATAATGCATTTAGTATGATAGAAGGAGAAAGGGAGCAGGAGGAGGAGGAATGCAGTACCATCCGGAAACGGAAGCCACGGCAAGGCAACACGGATGCCAGCGGATGTCAAACATAAAACATTTGCGCAGGGTCAGGAGGGGGGTGTGAAAACAAAAAAATAAAACACAAAAAAGCGACAACGGCTGGCAGCTAAATATTTCACATATTTTATGGAAATCCGATAGCAAAAATATATTTTAAGTCCCTTGCAAAGTATGTAAAGTTTGATTTCTACCAACGAATATAAATTATTTGGCAAATCTGTTTAAGGGTTTATTGATGCCGCTTGATTGATTAGCCAGGAAATGCTATTCCGCCTTACTTACACTTCATTAACTTTGGGTAATAAAAGTGCCACTAAGAAAAGTCCACTGATATAAAGAGGAGATACTACGAAATTTAAGTTTTTCTTCCCTAAAGTTAATTTTCAGTTTCTTTTTAGTCAAATTAACTTAGTAACCCGCTGCCTTAAACTATTTCCAACCTTTAACTTATCTTTTGATCTATTTCCTAGTTTCAAGTTATTTATTTCAGTGTACAAATAGGGACTAAATGTGTGGCGAATCTTGTTTACGATTTTTCATATTAAATATGCGCAAAGTGAAATTGAAAATGGCGAAGTGGGAACGTGAAAATGCGAATGGGAACAGTCAGCGACAAAAGTCAACTGCCTTTTGGCATACAAAATATATAGCTAGATATATATATATATATATATTTCTATGTATGTATGTGTATTGCTTTCTTTTTATTTATTTTAATGTTAACAGCAAATTGCGGCGCCCGTCAGCTTGGACTTTCTCTGAATTATTCTCGTTATTCTTGTTATTTTTGTTATTTTGTGTTGTTATTGCTGTTGTTGTTGTTGTGCTTGCTTCTGGTACATTTTTAATGTTTTGGCTCTTTTCATTTGGCCCAAACACACACACAGACACATACTCCTAACCACACATGCGTGACAAAATTGTTGGGCTCTTCTTGTGAATTTGGTTGTTCTTTTCGGTCTTCTTGTATTCTGTGTTCCGTTTTTTTTTTTTGTGGGTTTTCTCGCGTTTTCTTGGGGCGGGCGGAAAACTTGCTAAAGATTTACTCGACATTTGTGTTGGTGCCATTTGGCATTGTTTGCATACTTCCAGGCGCAAGAAGTGGGCGGAACCATTCAATTTCACGTCCTCCATTCCGTCTCTCGCTCTCTTTATCGCCCTCTCCTTTCGGCATCAAATGCTTTAAATATTTAAGTAGTTTTACCCGTTTCCTGTTGCTGTGACTCATTGTACATGTGTGTGTGTGTGTGTGTGTGTGTGTTTGATGGTGTATGTGTATGTGTTCTTATGTATATCTGTGTGGGTGTAAAGGGCATCAATATCAATCTTGTGTGGATGTCAACTGAAGCAATTCGCCCACTTCAGCAACCTCCCTTTGCCGTTACCCTTTTTTTTTCACCTGTACAGTGAAACTTTCTCTACTCGAACTTCCGCAAGTAAAATCCTTCTGACGGCTAAACGTTTAATCATTCAACTGGAATAACACAAACTTTTAACTTTTATTACCTAAATTTTATAGCCTTTCATAAAAAAAAAACACTTTGAATGCGGGTCAACCTGATTCTGATCGATATCAAACTTTTCCTCAATTTTTCTAATAAAAAATTTTTAAATGGTAAATGTTAAAGAAAAATTCATAAGCTTATGTCACTAAAATTAAGAGCATACTTTTCTGGGCGTTCATCCTTAAGACATTTTCCTGTACTTTGTTCTTCTGTTAAAGTTGCTCAGCTCAGTGGCTGTCAAACTGTACGCGTGTGTTGCGGTTGACACTTATGCAACCACAAAGTGCGGGTGTATGTGTGTGTGTGTGTGCAAGTTGCACTTGAAAAGCAACCAATTGTAGTTGCTAGGACTTATTCCGCTTTATTTAGTTGCTGACATAATTGCGCATTTCATTCTTTTTTTTTTGTTGGCTGACACACATTCGGCTAAGAGTGAAGGAAAAGAACGTGCAATATCCTTGCCAGCAAGAAAACAAACAACAAAAATTTAAGAAAAACAATATAAAAAAATAAAGCAAAAACCAAAAACTGAATAAATAAATAAAAATAAAACATGAATCAACGAAAAGCCAAGAGCACGCAAATTTAACTTATTATGTTCAGTTTTTCCACTACTCCTACTCCTCTGCTCCCTGCTCATTTTCATTTTCATTTTCTTTGCTTTTCTTTACTTTTTCTTCGGGTAAAACTTCGCCTGCTGCCTGCTGCCTGCCGTCTCTTTTGCACTGCCAGTAAAAAACTTTTAGTGGCGACAGCGACGCCGGCAGAGCGACAGTAGACAACAATTACAATTAGAAGTGTGTTTATGCCGCCTTCTCTCTCTCATTCTCTTGCTTCCTTTTTTTCTTTGCGTATCACTTTCGCATTCGCCCCCTCTTATTCCACACTTTGTTTTTTGTTCTTTTTTTTCTTTCTTTCTTTCTTTTACCCAAAAGAAATTCAACTTCATTACACAATAATTCGTCCTTTTTGTGATTACCTTTTGTTGCTTTTTGTTGTTTGTTTGGTTGCTTTTTTGATTGCTTTTAAATGGTGGATATATATATATTTAGTGTTATTCCGCTGTTTCCGATTCTTCCTTTGATTCGATTCTTCTTCACTGGATTTCGTTTGATTCTTCAATTCTTTTTCATTTATCTGCCTTCACTGTATTTGCGATGTGATTATTCTGCAACGCGTTTTCCGCATTTCACTTTGCACTGCAGTTGTGTGTGGGGAGAAACGGAAGGTGGCGATGAAGGAGGTTGAGGTGAAGATGGAGAAGAAACAACTATTAACGGGACACGAAGAGGCACACACAACAAACAAGAAACAACAAGAAACAAGAAACGCGAAGGAGCAGCGTGCAACAATTGCCGACAGCGACGCCGACTGCGACGTCGACACGTGCGCGACAGACCCTCAAGCCCCTCTCCGATTTTCCATCTCTCCTCTCAACACCTCCCCAATCCCACTGTAATTTTTCTCAAGCAAAAAAAAAATCGCCAAAAAAAATACAAAAAAAAAATATTTTTCGAATGGCGCACAGAAATGTTGGATTTATTTGCTGATTTTTTTTTTTTTGAACTAGAGGACGACTCCCGGATTCTGAGGACCGCTCGACGCGAGAGTTGCGTCTTCATAGTTTTTCGCGACTACGCACCTAAAAGTCGACTACGAGTGAGTTGCGCGCTACTAGAGCTGGAAAAACATCGATGCCACTACCGATTGCCCAGTTAAGTTTTACTGTTTTCAAACATCGATTGTTTGTAACAGCCCTGTAACTTTCCAGATGGCGCTAGCAACGATAGTACCGATTTATCGAGTACTTTACAAGGACAAAGGATTTCAGGATAAGGCGCAGTTTGGTAATCGTTTTCGAGTTTTTACACCTTTTAAAGTTTTGTTTTAAAAAGTATGATGTAAGAAAAAGGTCAACCAGCTTTCAATTTTTGTCTAACAAACTTCAAATTAATCTAAACGTACTTTAAGAAGTCTTTTAAAAAGATTTTATGACTTTATTTGATTGATTTATTTAAGATTTAAGATTTATGTGGCACAGTATGAGTGTTAATAGAATCTGTACACATTTATTTAGAAGGCAGTTCAATCTAGTCAAGTACCCACATTAAAAGACAGGCACTAATATATTAACTATAAAAACCCATAATACCTTTCAAAACACAGGCAATATCAAAAGAAAATTCCAAAACATCCTCATCAAGTTAAATTTAAAAAATGCCCGGTTACTATCGATACAAGTCTGCTTTGATATTAACGATTATTCATTGATAAGCTGCGCCACTGGTTGTCGTTCCGAAAAAAGAGAATGCCTATCTACACCAGGTAGCGAATGTATATAAAATAAGATAATCTACATTGTACACGGCGACTTGAATAACTTTTTAAAACGTCCTCGTCCTGAGCTTTCTGAACCGCAGCTCATCTGAAACAACATCCTCTTAAATCAAGAAAGCTTTTAATGCATGATTATATCAGACTTTATGAATTTTTTCCGCTTTTTTAAAGTTTTTTTTATTTTTTTTTATTTTTTAGCTTTATAAATTCAAATAACACAATTTGGAATAATATCCATAGAAACCCTTAACTATAATTTGTAATGTGTAATATCTGTTCTAAGATAGATTTTTGCTAGCTTGTAACTGACTGTTAACTGGCTTAAAAGCAAAAGAAAATAGTTATAAAATGGCTAAAGTGTAATCACTGAGGACCATAGCCACCCTCGCAGTCTGCAATTGCTCTCTCTCTCTCTCTCTGTGTTTTATAAAGAGAGTACGTTGCAAAAGCAACCACTGTGGGTCAGAACCCCTCCGAGCCCCACACCTGAGCCGTTTTTGGGAAAGAGCATCAAGTTGGTGGCAGTTCTCCAACGAACGCTGAGCACGACAGATTACCAAATTAGAGTGCAGGTGTGTGTGTGAGTGACAGTGACGGTAACTGTAACTAAAAACTGAAACCTGTGGCAAATCCCCCCCCACTAAAAACTGATAAAGCATTAAAAAAGTTGGACCTTACACCCAAGATATCTAAATCTCTACCATAACCCATCTCCAAAATAGCATCCATAAACAAGTTGGAGCTGCAGCACATAAACAAAAAATACAAAAATAATATAAAACCAAAAACGCAGATGCAACAACGTTAATGAAGTCGAGTAAAACTGGTTTGCTTGAATAAACATTTCGAAGTTTGTTTTGGTCTGGTCCCGCTTTCAGAAGGTAGAAGGTGTGGAGGCCGGAAAGATAGGGGCAAGGAAAAGGGGTACCAAATGATTCGAACAACTTTGAGCCAGGGTACAAAGTTCAAAACGAAACAGCGCCAAGAAAGTGAGACGACTTGTTTTCACAAAAACGCACAAATTCAGCATGCTCCGCACAGACGAGTTCGCAATTTTAAAGTCACTCTCCTTTAAGATTCTGATCTCGAATAAATAACACTAATTTGATTAATTACTTAGGGAAATATTGCCACTCATTACTAGGCAATCTCTTGTTACGCCTTTCCAAATATGCTAATTTAATTAGCAATCACACTTTAAACAATATAAAGTAATTACATATCTATTTGCACTTATGCTGCTAAAGTTGTGAACCGAATTGTGGATGTGGGAATGGCTGTGCGTCTGAACGAGATGGGGATAGAATATGTGTGGGGCATTGTAAATGTTGTTTGATTTGTTTTGCGAATAATATAAGCACATTATATGCGAATAAACACAAGATAAGTTTAACATGCAATCAAAATGTTGAATAACAAGCATGCGACAACTGTAATACCCCCAACTCCTTCACTAGTTATACTAAGTATAACTGGATATCAGTCCGATTGTAACTCTCTCACATTTTTTCGTTTTCTTTTCTCTCAATGCAAATGCATTGATGGGCGATCAACGTAAGAGATGAGAGAGAAAAATCAGAGCAGTATGCAAATGAACAAAGCAAAGAAGAGAGGTAAAACTATTAGAATGAGTGAGTGAAAGAAGAGCTGAAGGCAATTTTTGTTGGCCTTGAGCTCTGCTTACGCCTCTCTCTAATCGTTGTTCTTCTTATTTCTTCTGCTTTGCGGGGTTTTGTTTTTCTTTCTCATATTACATTTACATATCTATGTATACGTGTGCATGTACATACCGATATTTATTGTGTGGATTTTAATGCTGTCTTCTTACACGGTGTCCATTTCAAACGCAGAATTTCCCCCAGCTGGTGAATCTTATGGCCAGAGAGTGTTGAGTTTCCGATTTAAACAATTGTAAAAGGTGAATGCACCCGCCGTTGGAAATGGAAGGTCCACTATCGTTTTCAGTTCCAAAAACATGATGTCCAGTGTATTTGAGTCTGTCAAATATAAATATTTGATTTAGTATATCACTTAGTTCCGCATTATTAACTTATAAATAATGTTTAATGAGTCAAAACTGTGAACAAATTGTATTATATTTTATGGTTCGCTTCCAAAAAAACCCCTTTTATAAGTATGAAAAAAGGAATACATATGTACACGCATATTCCGATTATTTACAGTTCTAGTCGCTACAGGTGTTCTAACGGGATTAGCTGTTCTTGACTCACAATGATCAAGGTTCACTTTGGCTCTTAGCCAAACCAAATTGAATCGATTGATAAGCGGGTGAAAGGCATGCAAGTCATGCGTTGACATCAAGAAGCCGCTGCATTGCGATAACGTCAAGCCAGTGGTGAGAAAAAGGGGAGTTTAGTTAGAGTGAGGTGCGTGGGAATGCAGGTCTAAGTACTTCACAGCCACTGCTCACGGGAGTTTCCTTAAGTGGGTGCACTGGAAACAACCCAAAAACCGCTTTAAGAGGCCACCTCTTTAACGTTCTCAACTATTTCGAGTGTCAATAACAACTAAAGGTATAATTATACTTACACATAACAGTAATTTCTTAGAGGAGCAACGTGACACTTATACAAATTATTAATTATATATTAAATGAATCACTTGATGGTTATAAAACTATTTGCACATATTTTAAAGTTCACTTCTCAACTATAATTCCTCTTGATAAGCGTCGTCTTATTTTGTGTACTTCTCCCGGCAATTTTCGACCACTTCTAACTAGCATTCTCTTATTGACAGATCGATTCACTTTACAATTTACAGTTGTCTTCGGCCAGAGAGAGAGCAGAGGGTGAGAGAGTGCATTCCGGAGAAGAGCAATAACAGCATAAGCCCTGCAGCATATACACTGGAAAAAATTAGCAGAAGAACTTCGCATCACTTTGGTATGTTTGCTTATTTTTTTTCGCTTATGTTCATAATCTTATCTTAGATTTATTTAAGCTGATATTTTGATAATTCTTGCTTATCAATATAAGTTAAATATTATTTTAATTTATCATAATCTAAGCAATTACAATATTGATCAGTAATCATTATTTTGATTATTTATTTTCAGTGTACCGAAAACAGAGACAGCAATATCGCCACCAACGCGATCGTGCGTCGGTGTTTGTTTTTGGTGGTGTTGGTCGGTTGGTGAGTGGCAGCGGCGGCGGCAGCGGTAGCAGCAGCAGCACCAGCGGCATTACTTTTTCTCAACGCCGCACGGCGTCGCCAGTCGTGTCTCAGCACCCGACAGCAGCAGACGTGTGGCAGCAGCAGCAAGTTTAGGATTTCAAAAACCCAAACTCCAAATCCACAAAACCAACACCAACACACTCTCTTGTACACTGAACGTAAACCGCTAGTTAAACATCATGAATCCAGCCGCTCAACTGCTGCGTCTGCGCAGCGCCACCACTTTGGGCAGCGCGGCCACGCGCTCCATTACAACAAACCGGCGTCAGCGGAATACCAGCACCGCCAGCGCACAACAGGAGCGGACTCAGGGTGTTAGCGAGACGGACAAGTTCCTGCACTACAGTGCCGAGGATGGCTACTACAAGACTTCGCCCTTTGACCCCATCACCGTGCCTAATGTGCCGCTGCACGAGTATGTGTGGCGCGACTTCAAGAAGTGGGAACGCGATTCAGCTGCGGTAAGTGCCACAAATCAGTGATCAGTGAAGTGAAGTTCGGTATTAATCCCTTCGAGAGGTTTTCAATCGCTTTTGTAAACAAGCAGTTAAGTCTAAAAATCACAACCCCTAATGGAAAATATTTCTCTGTCTTTTGATTGTGAAAAGAAGTTGTGCTCTTCAAGGACTTTACACTTTGAAAGAAGGCTTGCCTGTTAGGTTTTTAAGGGTTCTTCATAGGAAGGTTCTTCTACTTTCTAGGCATCAGCTTAATTTTATTATTTTAAACAAATCTAGGAATTTTTTTTATTGTGAAGTGTATTAAAAAACGTAACTAATTCTAAAAATATAAAAACCAAAAGGCAAACCTCATAAACTAAAACAATCTCCGAACGCAAAGATTGACTACAACCCATTGAAAGTGACTTTGAATATCTCATTACCGATCGTCAATTAAAATCGAATTTACTATTTTAATGAGCCCAACATAAAAATAAACATAAACGTAAGTCCGAGAGTAATAAAACCCCCCCCGTAAACCGAATCATGAAGATCATAAATTCACGCAATCGAAATCGAAAATGAAATCGTTGCAATCGTTGTCGTAGGCGCCGCTCAGAATGTCTTTTGTTTTTGTTTATGACGGTTTATTGAACCTGAACCTATGTCTATATATAAAGTGATATTTATACGGGCGCTGGCATTCACACCAGCCGCTGCCGCTGCCGTCTGATTTGCGTCTGCAACACAGCAATTTCGCATAAAAATTTGTACTTTGTATCTTGGTATCCTCTCTATTGGAATGTATACCCCCCGCAGTCCAAACATGTAGTGTTCCATAAGTGTTATCACTTCTGGAATACGAAAAAAAAACCAGCTATCAGAACGATAGACATGGTCTAGGTATGGTCTAAGGCATTATTTGGGTCATATAGGCCCCTCGATCCTCCATCCCTCCATCTTATCGGACATAGCTAATGACTAGCTCTGTGCGTGTGTGTGTGTATTTTCTTGATAAGCGAATACAGCAGGTCCCTGATAACAGCGAAAGTGAAATGTAGTAAACACCCATTAATATTATTATAATGATGATGGGGGGCCAAAAGTCGGGCCTCTCCTGTTGGGCGGGTTAAGAACTGGGACTACGATTGCAATTCCCGTTCCGGAATTCATGGATCAGTTGTTGCAAGTCAAGTGTCTGGTGGCAAATTGCCACGGGATTCCAGATAAGCAAGAAAATCTCACGATTAAATGAATCCGCGTCGAGCCACTGTCAACGGGAATTAAGTATAAAGTTATTGTAATATTGCACCCCCCCAAGTTGCATAACCATATATATATATATAGCATACTATATATAAGCCAGCACCCAGTAACATTCCTAGGCGACCTTCGCCAATTGTTTACACTTTTCACTTTTCGTCGTGTAACTGTAGAAGCTATATGAAACTATATATGTATATATATATATATCTGGGTATATATATTCCGTGCCTGTGCAAATCAAAGTGCAAACAGTTTTCATTGAAATTTATTGCCATCATTTGTGCAATGTAGGAGAGGTTGAGGTCTGATATAACCGAGTAGTAATCGCCCACATGTCTGGTTAGAGACGTAACCGGAGCCCCAGGCAATTGTTAAATTAAATGTAATTAAAAGTACAAAGTTCGCCTTTTGTTCTCCATACTCATTGTCACGCCTTCTAAGCCTCTTTTACGGAATTTGTTGTTGGGTATTGGAAGAAGATAGAATCTTGTAAACAATCCTAAAGAATGAGTACCTTTCCTTTCTTAATGATAAGATAAGGCTTTAGTCGTGTCATCATTATATTTCAGATTTCTTGAAAAGAAAATCTGATTTATCATTGTTCGGTTATTACAGGCTATATGACTTTCAGCAAATTGACTCATGATTTAAGGGTCTATATACTTGCATTTATTTGCAGAAAAACAGTCAGAATCGAAAATGTTAGTAATTCTTTGGAAATATTTGAAGAATCCTAGATTACTATAACTTCTAATCAGCTTGAAAAAGTCACTAAAACCTTATTGATTTTGATTTCGCATGTTTTGTGCTTTTAAGGAATTCATTAATAAGAATGACTCATTCTCTGCAATCAGTCAATTTTAATCAATTTCCATTTTTTATGAGCTTCGTTCGAGTGTTTGTCGCACCCAAATTAACCCAAAAACCGTCGTGATATGCCCCTCTATAATGCGCTTTTAATTGCCTCGAACTTATTTACGTTTTTTTTGTTGGGTTTTTGCGTTGTTTTTGGTTTTTTAATTTTCTGCTTGATAATTTTGATGGTTTTGTTTTGATTTTTGTTGCTTTTTTTACGCTGGCAGACGTCAGCAATGGATCGAGGTCCAGCCTCCTCGGGTATTTTCGGTGCGATCTATGCTCTCGGCGCTCTCGATTGGGGCATCTTGTGGTGATCAAATGGCTATAGAATTATAATATATGATGTGTTTTTTAAATATTTATATTTTTTTTTTAGTTATTTTTATACATATTGTTATAAAAATATATCCTATAAACTTGGTTTTACACTTGTAAAAAGATCTTGCTTCCAAAATTTAATGACAATTTTTGAACAGAAGTAGTTTTAAGCAAGATAGTGGCTTACGATTGTCTGTAATATGATAAATACTTACTATATCTTTAGAAAAATATATAATTCCTACCTTTAAATACCCTATCTATAGGTTTTATAGGCTCAAAAATGATTTAAATTACCAAAAAAAATCCCAAATTTATTCTGAATTTTCCCTTGCAACTTTCAGCTACTTTTCAGCTACTTTTTATATTTTTAAAATCAACAAGACAGGTCCGTTCTTCGTTCTGCTGAAAAGTCAACAAACGCTGCATATAGTAGGTGACAACGGAGAGCGCGAGAGGGATAGTAGAGCGGGACAGACAGAAAGAGACAGAGCTGACTCGTTTAGACTTTGCAGACTTTGTACTTTGCCCCACTGAACTTTGGACCGTCCAACCGACTGAAGCCAAGCGAAGCGGTTTCCGATGGATCCCACAGAGGGGAGGTGCGGCATTGAGGTGGTTTCGGCAAGGGGCGGCCGGGGAGGGGGGACTTATATGGCAAATGCACGAAATGATTCTCTTATTTTTTACTCGCTTATTTATTCATTATGATGATGTGTGTTTGTTTGGCTCGTTTGTGGTGGGTTGTTTTCTTCAATTTGAGCAACTTGTTGGCGGCCCGCTGCTATTTATAATGCTTATTTTTAACCGAATGCGATTTCCGACTGCGCAAATTTAGGCTGACAAACCCCCCAATCAGCGAAACACCTCCCCCTTTTTTTTTTTTATTATTTTTTTGTATTATTTTTCATTAAGCTGATGCTTACGAACTCGTTTCCGAACGACCTTCACCTTAGCCCTGGAAACTGGTTATGAGGTCAGGCTCACGGCGAGTCAAGGCCAGGGAAAGGCCCTGCTGGGTGGAAAAAGCTATTAAGATCAGTTGAGAACTAATGCTATATGTTATGGTAGGTACTGTAATAGGTTTATTTTTTAGTGTAAGTGATAGTTCTGAGTCTCAAACTTGTTCTAAATGGATTTTAGTAATGGCTATGGACATAGGGAGACTTTCATATTATAAAGTACTCAAAGTAGATTTCACTTTTTTACAGATTATATTTATAGATTAAACAAAGATCCCCATTAAGCCCAGAAAACTAAAATCTAAAAGCTTCCTTGACCAAGTTAACACCCCAAAACACTAACACTAACTGACCTCAGTTAAACCCCAAAAAGGCATTACTTTTAATCTGAAAATAAGATAGTAAAACTACCACACTAACCTAGATAAATAAAACAGGCGATTTTCTTTAAAGCTGATTAAGCCATGATAGGCCTTAATCATTAGAATTAAGTAAGGAAGAATTATCTTATCGTAAGTTAAGAATTTTTATTTTCTTGGTAATTAGGTGCTAAACGATTTAAGCCATATCAGTCTTGGGTAGTAAGTAGAGTGCATTACCTGGCAATTACCTTCTTAATTTCACCATACCACCAATATTACTACCATAAGCTCTAATCATAAATATTCCATATTCCGTGACATATGATTCCACTTGAGAGATTCCTGTGATAAGATTCGTGTGCCCATATTTGTGTGTTTTCCCAGACTTTGCTTGATTTTTATTCCTACTTATCTGCAGATTTAACTGATCTTGATTAGATGGCTCTTAAGCTCTTATTATTCACTATCTGAAAAATCCTTTAAATTCTTTTTTTTGTTATTTTGCAGGTCTGTGTGATTACCGATCGCCAGTACACTTTCGCCCAGTTGCGAGATGCCAGCGCCGCCTTTGCCGTACGTCTGCAGACCAAGTTCAATCTCCATAAGCCCGATGTTTTGGCCATTTGTCTGCCAAATCTCCCTGAGTATCCCATTGCCACATTGGGCGCTATAGAGGCGGGTCTGACGGTGACCACAGTGAATCCCGTCTACACGCCGGGTAAGTAAAAGTCCCCAAGGGGCCCTGCTCCCGGTTTTTTTTGGTCAAGTTTTTGAAATGCCGGTGATAAGATACTCAGGCATAACAGCGGTGGTCGTGGCAATAGGATACATGAATGTAAAGTGAATTTGAAAAGTGGAAAAGCAGAAACTTAGTCTTTCAAAAGCTAAGCTCATTATTCAGTTTTTGAAAAGAATAACAACAAAAGATTAAACAGTTTTTGGATATATCTTTTGTAGTACACAGAAAACTAAGTTTTGTTCCTTCTTTTTAAGGAAATAAATTTCAATATAAAGAAATGATAAGTACTAAGAAATAATCAAGGGATTTTTAACAGAGACTCAGACAGTCTAATTAGTTCTTTAATCTCCCAGAAAGCATCTTCTAGGTTGTCCATTTCAGGCAACATTCTACTAACAATTTTCCAGTAAGCACTACAAATTTTACTTTCAAAAAACTCCAAAATCTGCAAATTGACTTTTGATTACCTACATCAGAATAAACATTTTCGAGAGCGCAAACACTATAAACCCACTCACGATTGCCCCACCGTAAACCTTTCATAAATTTTTAGGGCAAATAAAAGTGTAAGTGTTTACCCCCAAGGAGAAAAAGCAGTTAAGAATATTATGCAGGTAATTAAGTAAACAATTACCTATTTGCATGACCGCCGCTGTGCTAGAGGGGGCATGTGTGTTTATTGAGGGGCCACTTTAGTGCGTCAAAGGCTCCTTATCTGGAGGAGGTCTTTATGTGGTGACATCTGTTTTTTTCTTTCGGGGTACGAAAGTCCAAAGATTGGCCCACTAATCGTCACCTTTCGATTGCAGACGAGATCGCCAGGCAGTTAACCTTCAGTGGGGCCAAGTTTCTGGTGGGCACGGTCTCCGGGTTTGCCACCCTAAGCAAGGCCAGCAAATTGGTGGGCAGAAAGATACCCATTGCTGTGGTAAGGACCAGTACAGAGGAGTCCCTGCCAGAGGGTGCCATTGATTTCAATGAGCTGACAAGCACTCAAAATGTGCGATATGAAGATTTGCAATATCCAAAAGATGCCACCGCCAACGATATGGTCTTCCTGCCCTTCTCCTCCGGCACCACCGGTCTGCCCAAGGGTGTGATGCTGTCCCACAACAACATCACCAGTAACTGTGAACAGGTCCAGGCATCTCTGCCATTGGAACTGGTTGGTCCCCAGGAAACGCTGCCCGGCGTCTTGCCCTTCTTCCACATCTACGGCCTGACCGTGGTGATGCTTTCCAAACTGGGTCAGGGCTGCCGGTTGGCCACTATGCCCTGCTTCAAGCCAGATGACTTTATGCGTTCCCTGGACAAGTACAAGGGCAGCATCCTCAACCTGGTGCCGCCAATTGGTAAGTGAAAATTTAGTTAAAAAGTTTATTTATATAGCTAGCCTTCTGTTTTTTAAATTCCTTAAATAGTAATTGCTAAAGTTATTTTAAAACTGGCTTAAAATTCCAGAACTTAACCGGTTTTAATCAACATAGCAAAGTTAAGCACCTGTTTAAACTGGAATAACAGTCAATGATTGTTGTTATTGTAAAGTAAATTAGTTAACAAATTAGTGCAACGATCTCTTTAAATTTTGCTTAACTTTAAGTATATATAATCCATTGATTACAATATTTACCTCTATTTTCAGCCCTCTTCATGATCAACCACCCCAAGATGACGCAGGAGACGGCGCCCCATTTAAAGGTGGTGATGAGTGGAGCCGCCCCAATTGGCCAGCATGATGTAGAGCGTTTCCTTCACAAGTGAGTTAATGTTATATAATCGAAGAATCAACCAAGCTAATGTCATTTTATCCCATAGATTCCCCAACACCTTCTTCAAGCAAGGCTATGGAATGACCGAGGCCTCGCCCGTTGTGCTCCTTACCCCTCATGGCAACAAGAACTACGCCTCTACCGGAGTATTGCCGGGCAGCACGGAGGCCAAAATTGTGCCATTGGATGGTAGTGATGCCAAGGGCGTGGGTCCACGCACCACCGGTGAACTGTGTGTTCGCGGACCACAGGTGATGCAGGGTTATCTGAACAACGAGGAGGCCAATCAGGTCACCTTCTATCCTGGCAACTGGTTGCGCAGCGGTGACGTAGCCTTTTACGATGAGGATGGACTCTTCTACATCACCGATCGCATGAAGGAGTTGATCAAGGTGAAGGGCTTCCAAGTGCCGCCAGCTGAATTGGAGGCTGTGCTGCGTGATCATCCGAAAATCCTGGAAGCGGCCGTCTTTGGTATTCCCCACGAACTCAACGGCGAAGCACCGCGGGCTATTGTTGTGCTGCGTCAGGGAGAGAAGGCCAGTGCCGAGGAAATCTCTCAATATGTGGCTGAGCGTGTCGCTCACTACAAGAAACTGGAGGGTGGAGTGGTCTTTGTGGATGAGGTGCCCAAGAATCCTACCGGCAAGATCCTGCGTCGTGAGCTCAAGGAAAAGTTCTCCGACTAAGCTGGGATCTTCATAGGCTTAAGATATATTTTTGTGATTTTTTTTTTTTTTTGTTTTGTCTCAATTTGAAATGTCCCACAGATTAATAGAGATCTTAAAGCTGTTCTTTGTGGTAAGGAGAAGTCTAAGATCTATATTGGTCTGTGGTGACATTCCATGTAGAACATGTATCTATGTATATGATGAGCATCAATGTTGGGCCCCTGGATCACACCGCTGATCATCGAGGCACTGGTTTTAACATTGCATTTACCACTTCGAAAATACTTAGTTGTTAGGTTTAGATAAGATAGATCTTGATTAGTCGTCCGATTGGTCCATAGTTAGTAAGCGTAGATTAGGCAGACGTTAGAACCCATACGTATCTATAAAGTGTAATCTATATGCTTGTACTCTAACCCTTTAATTATACTTAAAGACGCAATCGATATTTTACTATGATATTCCCCTATTTACAGATATATATTAACCTTTTTTTTTGCTTAGTACCTTAAGATAATTGTTTGTTAAAGACAGCGGCATGATAAATCCATAACTATATCTAATGCCATGTATGCCAAGATGTTTGAAAAATAAAGATGTAATGAACTAGTTGTTACGATAAAGTTTCTTGATTATGATTAATTGATCGTAAATGTTAAAGAAATCATTAAAGTTTATCATTTTATAACATTATCTAAATCAATTCATACAATATACATATATATATTTTTTAATTTATTTATTTACGACAAAATACACAAAATTTTACATTTGATTTATTTAGGTTTCGCATTTAGTTTAGTTCTTCGGTTGGTTGTTTGTTTTGTTTTCTTTCTCTTTCTCAGACTGCATTACAATTAGAATTACTTGCACTTAATATACAATAGAAAAAAATATATACCTTAATGGGTGTGTTTGTTTTGGTGTGCGTGTGTGTGTGTGTGATTCTGATTCTGATTCTGATTCATAAAAGTGCTTACAAAAAACTCAGGGTTAATTACTCTATCAAAAAGAAACTTGCTTAACTATGTAAATTCCAGTTTTAAAGTTAGTAAATAACAAAATTAGTTTTCATTTTTATTTTGTTTGTTTTTTTTTTTTAATATATTTTCCTTATTTTTTGTTTGTTCTTGCCTTGTGCTATAAACTAAAAAGTGTAAGAATAAAGTACAAAAAATTGTAAATGCATATTCGTAGGTCAATATGTGTTAATAATATAAAAATAAACATGACAAAAATATATATATATATAAATATTAAGCGAGACATACACAGTAATATGAACGTCTGGTATAACAGTAAATGAATATTAAACTTTCCTTGTGCACTAAAATGAGACAAAAAAAACTCGAAACGCATGTGTATTGGTTAGTCTGTGTGTGTGTGTGTGTGTGTTTGGGTTTTTGGAAGAGCGCCATCTGCAAAGAAAAACAGTGTTGTAAAGTTACACATGACTCATATACCGATTGCCAAATCAATCGATTGAGTAACAAAATAATCAATTTGACTTTGGTAGTTCTAGCATTGATCAAAACATAATCTTACAAAAAATAAATATTTTTGAGAATTAGAAAACATAAATTTTAAACCAACCACGTATCGCTAACAAAAATCCCCTTCATAAACAAAAAATAATAACAAATATAAATAAAAAATAAAAAATGTGTAAAAAAAAAACAAGAAAATTTGTATACAAGTTCTATATATATACTCAAGTTTGGTCATTGAATTTTTTTAAATAAGAAATGGATCGGTCATCTATATAGTATTATCTCCCTCTCTCTTTCCTTTTGGCTAAGTTAGCTTATAGATTTGGCTTTAGTCGACAGTAGGCAGTAGTTGTAGTTTGAAAAATGTAACTTAACAGATTGAAAATGTAGAAGAAAGAGTGAGAGATAGAGAGAGGGAGGTGATTCTTTACAACACTGTCAAGGGACATATAGCTTTACAACACTGTGTGGCATAAAATTGAAGGTGTTTGCTTAGAAGAACTCTTTGTCTATAGCATGTCTGCATGTATATAGTATATAGTATATAGTATATATAGTATAGTAAATAAATAGCTAACACTCTGCTTAAATGGTTTTTGCTTTAAAGTTATACACATTTCACGTTGATTTTCTTGTTTTTTTGTTTTTGTTATCGTTATCGTTATCGTTTTTCGTTTTCGACAGAAAAGGCCACAAAATGTTGCGTACGAAATGCATAACTTTAGCTGAGATTAACGTTGGTTTTGCTTTTTTTGTTTTCTTTTTTTTTTTGATTGTTACGCGGGCAAACATCACACACACACACACACACACAGACTCTGGCACAGCACACAGACGAGACAAGTGTATGTGTGTATTGCATGTGTGCATATACATATACAAAGATATATATATATATATATAAATATAAATATAATATCGGAGTACATTTTGCTACGTTCGATTGCAGTTTTGCAGTTTCAATTTCGGTTCGCTGCTATCGTTTTTTTTTCTTTTCTTTCTTTCTAACAAATGCACGCTCCCTCTCTAGCACACTAGCTTCGTCGTTTTTCCTCAGCTTTCCTGTCGTCTCTCCTTTTTTACTTCCAGTTTTTGTCTATCCATTTTTCCGGTTCTAAGCTTAGTATTTCCTACGTTTAATAAAGCCTACGAAGTAGAGAGATCTTATAGAGATTATATCCCCATTTCGTAGACTTTTTAAACGTAGTTAATACTAGACTTTAGATCGGTTACAATTCCTTTGGGCTGCGTTACGTTGTCATTGCCATTTCCTGGATATCCCATTCCATTAGATTTCACGCCTTGGCCCCGGGTATCTTCGATAGGACCTTCGACAAATCCACTCCGGTCAAAGCGTTGATCGATGGCGGTAGTTGGGCCACTAAGCGGGTCACATCATTGGTTATATTATCATTACCGCCAATCAGTACAATCTCATCTGTCTTGGCCAGCGGTGCAGCCACTTCAGCGGCAATCTATAAGGTAATATCAAATGATTTTAATAATATTTTATAATCCATATTTTAGATAAACTAACCTTCGGCAGTGATTCGAGTACAATGTTCATGATAGCAGCATCGCCGTACTGCTTGTAAACGTGGGCCTTCATCCTCATACGTTCCGCCTCCGCCTTGCCCACCAGCTCAATGGCATGGGCCTCTGCCGAACCGATCTTACGTATACGCTCCGCCTCGGCACGGGCACCCTCAATGGTCTGGCATCTGGATTAGGGAGATTGTTAATTAGGTTTTAGTCTGGTTTAAGGGTTATATACGATTTGGAAATGAAACAGAAACACTCTCTACTAGGCTTTCAGCTATTTATAAATCTATATTATTATTTATTATATGCTAACTGCAATCATTCGTGCTAAAATCGAGTTTATCTCCAGCTAGATAATGGACACCTACACGGCATTATAAGCGAGACCCAGCTGCATTGCTGGAATTATAGTTCCCACAACGATTATAGTTGCCACAACAATAGGCAAAAATTGGTATTATATAGAGTTACGTTAACAAATCATAAACATTATATAACCTTATAGAGAGCATTTCTGTGACATTTCTGAGTAACAAAGTTCAATACTAACTGCTTGGCCTGGGCCAGAGTCTGGAGACGGAATGCCTCTGCCTCGGCGGGCAGCTTGACAGTGCCAGTAAGTTCACGATCCTTGCGCTGCACTTCCTGCGACTCAATCTCAATCTGTTTACGTCGCTCAACGACCTCGATCTGTATCTCCTCGTTACGTATACGCTGACGTATCTTGGCCGCCTGCAATTCATAGGCCAACTGCGATTCAGCCTTAGCCGTATTGATTTCCTGATCAAAATTGGCCTTCTGCAGCTTATACATTCTAGTATTATCCTCGATCTTTGTATCCGTCGAGTACTTAACATCCATGGCGCTCTTCTCGCACTCTGCCTCACGTATACCGGCATCACGATTGGCCTCTGCCACACCGGCATCGGCATCTCGCTTAACTACAGCGGTCTGAGCCTTACCCAGCGAGGCCAAATATTGCACATCATCGTAGACATCCTTGATGGTGAACGAGAGTATCTCGATGCCCATGCGACCCACGTCCGGTGCGGCCACTTCGCGGACCAAGGCCGCAAATTGGTCGCGGTCCTTGTACACCTCTTCGACTGTAAGCGTTCCTGTAAGGTAACAAGGTAATCGTATATTAAAAGGGGTGTCATTAGAAAGGGGGGAGGGAAATAGTACAACTACACTTTAAAAACATAACTCAAAATCTCAATCAAAGTTGCAACTTAATATGCAAAATACAAATCACGTTCATCGAACGGAATTAAAAAGTAAAAAAAACCTTGGAATGGCCAATATCAAAAGGCACGTACATTGATAGAAGGACAAAGTGCAAATATTTTTTTGGGTAATAAAACATTGGGAATGCTTTAGTCTCTTGCTAAAATAATGATAAACAAATAAATTTGACTTAAACATTTGTAAATACATGTCACAGAGATAACACACACTCAATGTTGATATGATAATAAACCACAATGTCGGGTTGACATTTCCCTCTTGGGGTTTATTTTTATATTAGAGGACCACCCTATTTCCCACCTTTAATCGATGACCTTACCGCCTGACCACCAGCGAGGTAACGCCCACTATTAGGGCCACCTTGAAGACGCCCATCCACACGACGGACATGTCGCCGAACAACTGTTCCGATGGCCACCAAAACGGGGACTACTTATTGGATTGCTATCTGCAAATGCTAGTTTTTCGCCGCACTTATCTAACAATCTATCTTGTTGGCTTTTTTTAATTAAATCATTTCGTCTACTCCTCTATTTTCCTGACGTCATTTGTCGCATTCTTATCGCTGGCTGATAAGTTGATAAGAGAACTCTTTGCCGCCGTGACGTCAGATGTGAAGAAAGGCGTTCGCTAGAATCACCGCTGCTTTCCTTGAGCAAGGAAGCTCTCTTTCGGCATGTACAATTATTATTTATTATTTATGTTTATTGATATTTAACCTTCTAATATGCACACGCGATTGGAAAGCCAAAAGCCCAAAAACCCAAAAAAAAAAGAAAAAGAAAACGAAAACCGACAACCAGAGCGTCTCGCGATGCGCTTACAACTGACAGCTTGTCCGGAGACTCGGACTTGGTTTCGGAATGGTTATAGGTATGTATATACTATATAGACAGGGAGGGGGGGTGGTATGGGAATCGGGTAACGGCTCGCAAAATGAAATTGTAATCGCGCCGCCAAATGGAAACCGCCTTGAGGTCTACGAGAGCGTCTCGTAAACAAACTATAGACACTCGTAGACTGAACTATAATAGACTATTAAAGACTCGGGTTCGATGGGCCCATAAACCCTCGACACGAGTTATGTTTAATTAAAAGCTGTAGATTGCCCATCAAGGTCGCGGCCAGGCAGGTCTAGGCAAATTCAAGTGCGGTTTAGCTAAGAATGCGACTTCTATGGTAAAAATATATCAAATTTGCTGAACAATTTTGTAACTTTAACTTTGAGTTTCATTCTTTTGCCTGCCTTAACTTCATTTTCCAATATTTAATGAGTGAGTAATGGAAACTTTTATAGTTTCCTGTTAATTATTAATTAGAATGTAGACTTCTGGTAAGCCAACTTAATTGAATTGTCTTTGAAAAGTATAAACTAGTTTCCTATAAGCCAAGTCATTCACTACTTTAGTAAGCCAATCGATTACATAGGAAGCTCTGGCTAATCTTGAAAATAATGTATTCAAAGCACATAACACATTTTGCACTTATTACTTTTCATTTGAGGCATTAACAGACTTTAAAGTGTGTATATAACTTTTCATTTAAGGCATTATCAAATATGCAAAAATCGACTTGTCCCAACAGGGACCTGTTGCCTCGACAGGAAAGTATTTTGCCCATAACTCAGCCAATATTGATCCAAAATCGGAATTTAATAACTCGTTCAGCTTGTCTTCTTATCCATAGTAAATCTGCATTTACAGTTAAGAAAGTAAATGTTGTCATATTTAGCAAATTTTGATGACGGTAACCCTTATCGAAAATGGGAAATTTCGGGTTGTCCCGATTTTACCACCAAAATCACAGTATTTTGCCCATAACTAAGCCAAGAATAGTCCGAATATGGAATGAAATACCTCGTTGAGTTTGTTTTCTAGTTGTTAGCTGCACAAAACAGTCACCGTTTTAGCTGTGCGTCTTGTTTTGACAAAGTTAGAGCTAAGAAACGGCAACAAAAGCGGAATCTCTGCTGCCATAAGACGTATACTTGATTTTGGGCCCAAAAAAATCAGTTTTTTGGCCATAGCACAGCCATAAATGGTCCAAATGAGGAATGTAATACCTCGTAAAGCTCGTAACTTGATTGCTATGATTCCCAATTGGTTTGCATTCAAATCTGGGAAACTTCATTTTTGGGCCATTTTTGAAAATTTTGATGATGGTACCCCTTATCAAAAATGCGAAATTTGGGTCAAAATTGACTTTCCCAAAATCGAAAAACGAGTGATAGGGGTGGTTAGTGTCGGTCGTTAGCTGCACGAAACAGTCGTTCTTTTGGCTGTGCGTCTTGTTTTGGCCGAGCTAGAGCTAACACACCGCAACAAATATTGCATTTTCTTTTTTAACCTTTAAACCCTCCTCTTAGGTCTGTACTTGTGAAATATTTTAAGATTTTCCAGGATTTATTTCAGTAATTCTTTAATAATAATTAGTCTTTTTTAATAAGTTACCTTGAAGAATTTATTCAAAACATTAACTGCCTAAACATAGGGATATATATTAGCTTAATCTGAAGGAAACCCAACCTATTTGCCACTTCTATGAGTTACCATTTGGACTCTCCTTATTTTTCCCTTAAAAGTATCCAATTTTTTTCCTAGCTAAGCTATTAATGGTCCAATCTGAAGGAAAATTATTGAACAAAATAAACATCCTTGATAACCTTATCTTTAAGCGCGTTAAAAAAAAAACTACAACTTCTTTATTCACTCTTTAAATTGTAAGTCAAATTTATTGTTTTCTATAAAGTTTCTAATATTTCACAGATATTTTCTACTACCTTCTAAAGACATTGTCTATTGACATCATTTATAGTACCGGCCATTTTCTCGTGTTTCCATGCTCTTAGATATTCACCGGGACTCGAACCCAGACCGACGGCGCCTTAACATTTTGGGGACATCTTTGCCCCCAGCGCTACCGTCGGCGGCGATGAAACAGTTTTCAAATGTTAAATATAAACTACACCTACTTCGATTAGTCAAAGTATGTCGGCAACAGCCTACTTAGGTTCTTGTCCTTAGCATTACATTTTTCAAATGACAGGATGTACATCGGTTAGTTTTAGCTTAGTTTTCAAAACTTATGTCAGCTTGAATAGCTCAGGGGGTAGAGCATTGAAACTCCCAAGTACAGCGGCTCAAATCCCAATGCAGAAATAAGTAATTTTCTTTTTTTACCTTTTTGTATACCCGATACCTGTTTTTTCCAATTAAAACTCAGTAATATTACCATAGCAAAGCCTAAAATGGTCGAAATATGGAATTTTCTTTGCGCTTGGTTTTGGATGACAATGAGAACCAATGAGAACTTTGTCATTTATGGCTAAAAGGGTCTACAGTGGAAGGCGTTTGAATGGTAATTGGTAACTTGGTGACTCAAAATATTCCTAAGTAATCTGCACCATAAAGAAAATCTTCTTAATTTTCACTTTTTATAGCCCATATGAAGCTTAATCTGTAGAAAACCCAAAATATTTCCGACGTCCATGGGTTACCAGCTAAGGCTTAATTAATGACAACAAATAATCCAGGAAAATAGGCTTTCCCCATGCCCAAAACTTGGAAACTTGGAAAATATTAAACATTATCACAAATTCTTATGAAGAAAAATGTAAAATTAATTTAAATTTTAAAGTTTTCCAAACAATCAGTAAAATTGTAAATATTAACATTTAAAAAATTTAAAAATCAACCGAAAAAAGCTAACTGAATGTTAACTTTTGAATGTTAACGACTAGTTAACAATAAAATTAGGTAACTCAATGTTAGCCGAAATTTTGTGCACTCCGCGGCACTTGTAATTCCCAACTAGTTCTAGCAGAAATGTTGTGACTAGGGCGCTGTTGGCCGGTGAAAATTAGTCAAGTCACTTTTGTGTGTGTGTGTGTGTGTCTTCTAGTACAGTGCTTCCAAGTGCCTACAAGTGGTCCAGTGGTACCACCTATCATATTGGTGGTACCTGGACATGGCCTCCATGGAAGATGCAGTGCATAATGGATCCATGTGACTTTCGATGACGTGTGATGCTGGATATAGACGACGATGCCTTCTTTATCATGGATGGACTTCAGCAAGCCGGAAATCAAGGTAAGTGGCAAACTTTTTAAATTTTTACTGCATAAGCCGAGGGGCATATTTGGCCCATGATCCGCAGTTTTTGCAACGGCTTTCATGCTGTCAATACAATGAGGATCTGTTAAGAATAAGTTAAGTTAAGCTTGTCGGGCTAGGATCCCTGCCAGTTCCAGTCCATCGGCTATGGAGATCGGGTACTGCTCCGCTTTGGTTTTTCTCGTTTATGGACTGCTTCCAATTCGGGTTTACAGAGGAGCGCCCACACAGAGATAATAACAGGCTGTGATCACTCCCAGCTCCAGTCCATCAGCAGTAGAGATCAGAAACTCCTTCTCTCGTTTTTTGAAAGGCTGCAACTTTGGACTTATTGACCACCGACATGGAGTCCTGCTGTGAAGAGTCCCAGTCCCAGTCCATGAGCGCCATACAGATCTGGTACTGCTCAGTAAAACAAAATGAAAGTTAAAAACGTATAACCAAGTAGCCATAGATCTTAGTTTCAGTACACAAGTCAGTTTCGTAGCCTTAGAAAGTTCAGTATCATTTTCCACTTCGAACAAAACGCACACCTAAAAATCAGTACTCTCGATTCCGGAACAAGTTTCGATATTTAGTTTTTTCTTTATGTGAAAATAAACACAAACTATCCTTCGAGTTTATCCTATCAGCCAGTTAATTTAGTTTCTTTCTATATATATTTAGAAACCCACAAAGATGTCGGCGCTCCGGCGGTCACATGGCGGCGGTCGCGATTTCCTTCAAGAAAACAAAATGAATGTCTCGCGAATGGAGACCAATGGTCGATGTCTAGCGGCGGCCAATGCCCGCCGTGTGCCCATGTGGCGTCCAGTGGTGCTTCACTATGCGGAGAAGTTGCGTCCCCATGGCTTGAACAACAATCAACGTCGTCCGCGCCAGCTGCACGGTGCTCATGAATCTTCTGAGCTGAGGAGTGGTCTAGCCTACCCGTATGGCTTCAGGAGCGATCAGCGGCGAAAGCAACCACCGAATCCGAGGGAAAGCCAGGAGGTGCGTAAGGAACAAGAGCGTCTGCAAGGCGGTTGGGAAGATCAGCAAAGGGCAGCGAAGAAGTGCTGCCATGGTTGTCACTGTCAGCGAGCTCAACAGGGTTACCAAACCGAGGCAGTGGCTCCCTATCAAGGAGAGGGTTACCCTAAGCAGGGTAACCAGAACGAGGCAGTGCCCTATAGCCAAGGTAACCAAATCGAATCGAATGCGATAATGACCAAACAGGGTGAAGGTGATCAAGCCGATCGCGTTTCGTTGTGTTCCCGTGTCTCCCGGGCATCTCGTCGATCCCAGGCAAGGCCTACTAGTCCTAAGGAGGGCGGCGATGTCGAGGCATCGTTGAGTGCCCGTAGCAAGGCCTCTGCCCAGACCCTCAAGTCAAAGAGATCGGTTTCCCAGGAAAGTACACGATCGAATGCTACCATCAAGTCCAACATAACAGTGGCATCAAAAAGTACTACAGCCTCAAAGAGAACCAATGCTAGTCGTAGATCCCAGTTAATGGAGGTAATGCCGCCACCAACACATTTGGAGGATCAAAAGCCCAAGGAGAAGGTACAGCAAGAACCGCCAAGCCCCTACGAAGGCTATACACCATTGACTCCCCAAGAGCGAGAAGCGGCTATCCAGGATGCCCACTTCAAGTATGGCAAGCTAGTGGAGGAATATAATCATCTGCCCGTTTCGGAGCCAACACTGCGGGTGCGTAATCGTAAAATTGCCATCGAAAGACAGCTGGATGAACTGGACTATACCATAAATATGTTCGATCAGGCCCATCTGGATATGTACTACAGAAAGGGATGATTTAGTTAATCGTTTCAACTAGTGTTGCACATTTCCAAATTGTTATTGTTATTGCCACGAATCATAATTAGAAACTGAAACTCAACGACATCAGTCGGATCGGAATCACATTCAAAATGAGAAACATTTGTTAAGAAACGGCAGAAAATTACATTACCAATAGCATGAAAATTCTAAACTAAACATTACAAAAACAAAAAAAAAACAAAAAAAAGAAAACAATACTTCTAGAGAACGGGAAGAAAACGAGAATAATAACTAAATACTTAGCTGAAAACGAAAAAACGTAACGAAAACGTAACGAAATACGCAATTTAAACTTATGACGAACATTACAAAATCTAAAAAATGACTTTAAACGTTAAATTATTAAAAATAGCAAAAAAAAAACACAATGTCTATATTACAAAACAAAATACAAAATAAAATGCAAAGCGACTTTTGATTTCCAATTAAGAACATTTTTGTTTTATTTTTAGCAGCAGATTTTTGTGTGCAGCACCCAAAAGTATGCAAAGTTCTAAGTAACTGCAGTCATGAATATCGCACCGTTTTAGATTAATAATTTAACTTAATTTTAAGGCAATAGAAAAGTGATTCTAGCCACTATCAGTAAATCAAAATTAAATTTGATTACACAAATTTAATTTAATTTTCTTTAACTCACCCAATATAGCTCTCAGATGTCCCTCGAGGGTCTGCAGGATCGTCTGCTTGATCTCCTTGACGCTCTTGCCCAGGAATTGCTCGCTGGCAGTGCCTAGAAGCTCGTCGGCCTGATGGTGGAAATAATAAACATTCATCATCTGTACGTGTGTGTGTGCCAGTGTGTATGTGTGTGTGTGTGTGTGAGTGTATGGGTGGGTGTGAGAGTGTAAAAGAGGGAAGTCACCAAGTCGTTGTGCATGTGTGTGAAGGCAATTTTGTAGATTCGTTTGATTGATTTTTTCCAGGTATATTTTTTTTTTATAATTAATAAATATATTTTTTTTGGTTTTTATTTTAAATAATAGTTTTACCCACACACACACGCACATGCACACATAGACAAGGCGACAGAAAGATATAAATATATATGTATATTTATAACGTATATATAGAGATATATATTATATATATAGAGAGAGCGATACATGGAGTATAACGGTAACAGCAGCAACCAGAGCAGTAACGGTAGCAGTAACAGTAGAGGAGCAGTATTTTTTGTTGGTATTTTTTTTTTGGAGTCGAACAATTTTGATTTAAATGATTTTTGTTGGTTGAATGCATGTGTTTGTTTTTTTTGTTAATTATAGTTGATTTCGTTTACAGTTACAGTTAGTTGCGGATTAGTTTGGTATTTTTTTTGGTATTTTTTTGATGAGTTGAACGTTGAACGATCGGTCGGCAGGGTTTTTTTTTAGTTTTTGGACGATGGTGAAAAGAAAGTAGAGAAAAAAGAGAGTAGAACACAGAGATCAACATGGTTTCAATTTTCGAATATAAATTTTCTTTGTATTATTATTATTATTATTATTATTTTGCAGAATGAACTTTTTTCTTTCTCCTTCTTCTTCCTCCTCAGCTTCTGATGATGATGATGATTGAATGACTTTGATAAAAAGTAAAATGCAAAACGTAAAAAACATAACAAACTATAGGCCATAAAGCACATGCATTTAGAAATATTTTGTTAAAAAAGAAATGGATCATGATGCCTTTTCGCTAAGTGTAGGTGGTGTGGATGCGTGTGTGTGTGTGTGTGTGGGTGTGAGGGTGCTTGATTAAAAAAAAAAGTTGAACAAAAACCCCAAAAACAAGACTCGAAACCAAAATGTTAAATCAAATAAATGCATAAATAATAAACATACCTCGTCGTTATTATAATCGTTATTCTTATACGAAGATGACTGCAAAATCGAATGGAAATAAATTAAGTAATAGAACATAATTTTGAGTTAGGCATAGAGGCCTTTAGCATATATCGATCATAATTGCGACTAAAACTGGAAGGTGAAGTGCATTTATCTTTTTTTTTTTGGGTGCTGCATTCACTGATTTTTCGTGATTAGACAAGTGGTTTTTCGTATGATTATAAAGACAGTGAGTAATATTTTATGGTTCATTTTTCAGAGTTAACCAAAAAGTAACATAAATATATATCATTTTGTTTAAATTTTCATTAAAATTTGAAAATCAAATGTTAAGACAGACATTACACATTGAAAAGATTACAGGTTATATAGATGATTTGAAGATCAACAGAAAAAAAATCAAAAATTGACAAATGAGTAGAAAATCAATTAATTAAGTTATATAGAATGATTTAAAGACAAAACATATTCAAATGATGTGAGTGATTGATCTGGAAATCCAATTAGAAATCATACATGATACTGTCCGGGTTTACGGATCTGTAAGTCTGAAAAGTCAAGTTAAGTTTACGAGGTTTTCAGTCCTTAGAAGATTCCAACAAGAAATTTCAACCTAATATTAGGAAATAAAATAATATAAAAAAGAGGGCATAACAAAGGCAAAAATTTCTAACAATTTTCAAAAAAGACAACAAAAGATATTTAAAAAATCTAAAACAATTTTTGTAATATTAAAATAAGTGCCGAAAAAACTCACAAAAACACCTAAAAAAGTACCGAAAAAAAATGAAAGGGGACAAAACAGGCTGGTGGGTGTACAATGAGCTCTAGGTGATTCTCTATATCTAAACCTAAAACTAGATCTACGTGAAGAAGATCGCCGGGATGGATGATCGCAACTTACTTGGCGGTGGTCAGATTGAGAGCACTTGCTAGGCTAAATATGCATTCGATGGGGAATGGAGTTGGATTACTTGGGGGAAATCGGTCGGGAAATGTACAAAACAAAGAGCCAAACATTTGATTAAGTTAAGTTTTCGATAATTTATCGTTTATATAGAAAAAAGATTAAAAAAAAAACAAATATGGTGCAGGCAGGATTATAACAACTGTCTACATATTCGGCACACTACTGATTGGCTAAGAAGAATATCGGGCGAAAACCAACAGATCTTGCATACGAAAATCAAAAAACAAACTCGGGCAAGCTTCAATCAAGCTTCAATCACTTCAATCGCTCAGATTTTTCGGGGTGCAGAAGAGAAAAAGGGTGGCCAGTTTACCCACAAACTAGCAGAGAATTTTTAGTTCTATATATATATCTATATAGCTGGCTGGGATCGTACCTTCATGATCTTGCACTGAGCCACACCAGTGACCGTTAGTGGTACACCCTGGGAGGTCTCCACATTCTCGCACATCGGATTCAGGGTCATCACATTGAGGGACAAACGCTGCACATCGGTAACCAGCCACCATGCCCACGCCCAGCCGCCAACAATGGTACGCTTCTTGGTCGAGCCACAGCAGCCACCTGGAAAAGAAGGAAAGATGAAGGTTAGTAAAGATATTATATAGTAGATATATAATCTAATTTAGTTTTAGTTCAAGTTGCTGAAAGTCTTTCTTTTTTTCTTTTAAAATGACGCAGTTAGAGTTGTAAACAAATTCATGATTCATTTATAATCTTTTATAAACATTTTTTATTACCAGTTTTTGTACTTTTTAGCACCTTTTCTAGCTCTCTTTTTTGTTAATACTTTTTTTTTTCCCTAGTGTGAATTAAATTACAGGGCTCTTCGATTAATATGAGATAAGCCAAGTTATACAATAATAATTATAAAAAGTTCATAGGGTTTATAAGTTAGTGATTGCTAAAGTTTTTCCTATGACCCTTTAACTAAATTCTACAAACTAAAGCCAAACCCTGAAGTAATCATGACTTAGCATTTTTTCTTAACTTAAAGATAGTTTCTTACTATTTCTTAGTAACTCTTTGTTAAGTACATACTTAAATCTAACTTTTTCTTAGTTCCCAACCCCGTTTTAAGCTTCTTTAGTTAGTTAGCCAAGTGACGTCACAGACACAGTGACCTACAAAAAAGTGTTGTCAGCAGGCCGGGCATAGCTTTTGCCTTTTTGGCCAGTTGACCAAACAGTAAGAGTGAAAGCATTTCGCCGAAGCAGTGAGTGTTTGTTGGTATAAGTTAACGGACTACGTGCCGGCAAACACGTCACAAAGTCCAAAAGTCAAAGAGTCCATATCCATCTATATATATATATTTATCTATATATCAAGAGCCAAACAGGAAGCAATTGTCATTGTCAATTGTCATTGTCCAATGTCCAGTTAAACGAAACAAAACTAACGGACCAAAAAGCGGGGCAAAAAGGGCCCAACAAATCCAAACTCTCCAAAGAGCGAGAGAGAGAGAGAGAGATACTCCAAGCATGTGGAGTTGGGATAGAGTCAGACTTAGAGCAGCTGTGGAGAAAAGAGAGCCAACCATCTTTAGCGGTTTCTTTGGCATTTCTTTCATTTCAGTTACCAAGCGAACCTCAAAGCGAGAGGTCGTTTTTTTTTTCCAAGCTCCGCCGAAAAGGAACCAAAATCGCGGGCACGCATGCGCAAAGCGAATGAAAGAAAGAAAGACAGAAAGAAAGAAAGAGAAACAAACGAACGGAAAGAAAGTGCGCACCAAAAATAATAATATAAAAACAAACAAATCGCGCTAAGGAATTCGATTTCGAGAGTTCTTATTACTTTTCTCAAGTGAGTAGAAAGAAGAGAAAGAGAGAACAAAGAGAGAGAACAGAGAGCGAAACAAAAGTGTGCCAAGCGCAAAAATCATAAAAAAAGAAAGAAAAGAAATCAAAGTTAAACAACAAGAATCGAGGTTCCGAAAAAAAAGAATACGCAGAATTCTTCAACGCCTACGCATAAGCTTTCTCAATGAAAGTGATTCATGCCGCCTTTTTAAGTCCCAGGCATTTCTCTTTGCCAACTATTTCACATTTAATTAATATTTTTTTCGGTGTAGTTTTTGTTTTTGTTGTTTTTGTTTTTTGAATACCTTGAACTTGATCTGTGGGCACATTCAACTCTTACAACCTGTTTGCAACAACAACAACAACAACAAGTGCAGAGAGCAGGAACAACAACAAGTTTTGTAATTGCCAATGACTAAAAAACAACAACAACAACAATAACAACTCACACTAACAACATTGGTAACAGCCTCTGATGGTTACTAGACTTTGATTATGCAAAAGATTGGCAAGAGGAAATGCTTTTCTCTCTTAGCTTCTACTTAGTGTTAAGATCAAAAGAAAATACTACAGTAGAGCTTAGGAAAAAGGAAAACAGTTTGATGAGATTTAACAGTAGTTGAGATTATATATCAAAGATAAAGCTAGGTTCTTAAAGAACATCCATCTTTCTGGGCTCCAAAAATGCTTTAAAACTTTCGTAGATCTATTATAGCTAGCCAAAGCAATGTCCATCTTATGGAAGCCACACTGTATGTACGCAAACTGGTTGCAAGTGAGAGGAGTACGTGCGAGTGAATGTGTTAGGGCATGTGTGTGTTTGTGCAACACAATTGTTGCATGCCTCCCTCCATGAGCAGCAGTGAAAAGCAGTTGCTATCTGCGGCTCAGCTTTATTATTATTTATTGTTATTTTTTTTTTTTTTTTTGGCTGCCCAGTAAAGTTTTATAATAGACGAGGAGATTTCACTTTTATGCGGGCGGCCCCCTCAACCAAAGATGCCGCCGCCTCACATTTTCCACTCTCTTTAAGGCTAATCAAACACCTATTTTACATTCCAAGACACTGGGCTGCAGCACGTGACGCGAAAGATTTATGAAAGGCAGTTAATAAATATGTTAAATATGTTCATTGTTGTGGAGGGAAAATAGTTTTAAACGAGTTCGACAGCCAGCTAAAGTTTTAGTTTTAGGAAAAGCTCATTTATTTACTTAACTTAAGTCATTTATTTAGTTTAAAATGAAAAAGGTTTTGGTTTATTGGCCAAAGTAAAGTTTTAATAAAAGTTAAGTATTTCAAAAATCTACTTAATATAGAGAAAAGTATCTTAAATGATAAGTAATTACATTTCTACAAGATTAACTTATCATTTAAGATACTTTTCTTTGCCTTGAGCATATTTTTTAAACATTTTTCTGGAAGTTTATAGAAGCCAGTTTAAAGTTATTAACTGCTTTCAGTAAACTGTTACGTTTACTAATGCCAACATATGTAATTTCCAAACACCTTTTCAACCAAAGAACCTTTCCTTCCATAAAGAAACTATAGACTGTTTGCCTTAACCATTATCTCTCTGATTTATCAATCACGATTATCTCTGGGCTTGTAATATTTCACAGAGTTGAGGGAATCCAATCGAAAGACGCAGCCAAAATGTATGCATAACAAAATGCAAGTTACGAAATCGCCGCGATTCGTAGCTATAGCTTTAAGATCGTGATCGAAATATTGAATCGAATCGAGTATGAAAATCGCACCCTATAACCCGATTACATACGAAATGCCGCATGCCACTTTTCATGACATGTCCACTGGGCCCCCGCTTTTTATTCCCTAAAACCCACTTTTTTTTCCAAAATTAATTTCATTATCTTTCCAGACACGTCGCATCTAAAAATTGGTTGGTCGATCAGTGACCTATATAGATATATATACCTATATAGTTAAGACCCCAGCCGATCCCGACCTAGAAAATGAGTTCGGCGATCGTTGGAGCCGCCTCGGCCATAGGCGGAGCTGTGACGGCGGCCACCAGCAATAGTTGGTTCATCCCCATGCTGATGGCTGCAGTGGCCTATTTCCAGTATGAGGAGATCATCGATCCGGAATCCAAGCCCAGCGATGTGGGTGGCGATGATATTCTAGACCATTATGATTTTATAGTGATAGGGGCAGGATCAGCGGGTGCCGTGGTGGCCAATCGATTGACTGAGGTGGAAAATTGGAATGTACTTTTGCTAGAAGCCGGCGGCGATGAAACTGAACTCACGGATGTCCCACTGATGGCTGGCTATCTGCAACTCTCCAAGATCGACTGGCAATACAAGACGGAGCCATCCGGAACATCATGTTTGGGTGAGTAAGTGGGTTTTAGAGAAGTAACTTGTAAAACTAAAATGGTTAACCTTTTTTAGCCATGCAAGGAGGTCGCTGCAACTGGCCGAGGGGCAAGGTCCTTGGTGGAAGTTCTGTTCTCAACTACATGTTATATCTACGAGGATCCAAGCATGACTACGACAACTGGGAGGCAATGGGTAATCCGAGCTGGTCATATCGCGATGCCTTGTATTACTTTAAGAAATCAGAGGATAATACCAATCAGTATCTGGCCAATACACCGTATCATGCCACTGGCGGTTATCTGACAGTGGGAGAAGCTCCCTATCATACTCCCTTAGCAGCCAGTTTTGTGGAGGCTGGCGTTGAGATGGGCTATGAAAATCGTGACTTGAATGGTGAAAAGATGACGGGCTTTATGATTGCCCAGGGGACAACGCGACGTGGCTCACGTTGCTCAACGTCCAAGGCTTTCCTAAGACCCGCAAGATTACGTCCCAATCTGCATATCTCCATGAACTCACATGTAACTCGGATTATGATTGATCCCGTAACGAAATTAGCTTTTGGCGTGGAGTTTGTCAAAGATCAGAAACTCTATCATGTGAGGGCCACAAAGGAGGTGGTTCTATCTGGTGGATCAGTGAATAGTCCACAGTTACTGATGTTGAGCGGTGTGGGTCCACGCAAGGAGTTGGCCAAACACAGGATACCTCTAATCAAAGAGCTGAGTGTTGGTGAAAACCTACAGGATCACATTGGCCTGGGTGGTCTGACTTTCCTGGTGAATCAACCTGTTTCCATAGTGGAGAATCGCTTTCACACTATGTCAACTGTCCTGCAATATGCTGTTTTTGGCCAAGGACCTTTGACCATACTGGGCGGTGTTGAGGGTTTGGCCTATGTGAACACTAAGTATGCGAATAGCTCAATGGATTGGCCAGATATTGAGTTCCATTTTGTCTCCGGATCGACTAACTCTGACGGAGGATCACAATTACGTAAGGCTCATGGCCTAACAGAGGCCTTCTACAGAGCTGTCTTTGAACCGATTAACAATCGAGATGCCTGGAGCATAATACCCATGTTGCTGAGACCCCGCAGCGTGGGTAATATTCGCCTGAGAAGTGGTAATCCCTTTGATTATCCCTATATCTTTCCCAACTATCTAACAGATGACTTCGATATGAAAACGTTGATCGAAGGCGTTAAGATAGCAGTGGCATTATCACGAACGAAAGCCATGCAGAGATTTGGATCGAGAATATCGAGCATCCGTTGGCCGGGATGTGAACAAGTCCCGATCTTCACGGATGCCTTCTGGGAGTGTATGGTCAGGAGGTATACGTCAACGATCTATCATCCTGTGGGCACCTGCAAAATGGGTCCCTACTGGGACAAAGATGCAGTGGTGGACGCCAAACTGAGGGTCTACGGGATCCGAGGATTGCGCGTTATCGATGCCAGTATTATGCCCAAATTGGTGTCTGCCAATACGAACGCCCCGGTTATTATGATTGCCGAGAAGGGCAGCGATATGATCAAGGAGTTCTGGATCAAGAACACCATCGTCTGAGGGAAATCTTTCTTAGGGAAGATTAAAACTAGGTTTTTATTCATGTCTGATTTGTCTTCGTATTGAATGTGTGATTAAGGTGAATGTTTTAGTGGCTGAATTGAGTGTAATGTTTCTGTGAATGTTGTGTATATGTCTTAGGTATAGTTCTTCCCTTCCTTAAGCTCTCTCTCTCTTATTTAAAATGAAATCAAATTCGACTTGTCCCGCATCTTTCTTTTTTTTTTTTTTTGAACTAGTTTATAAGCAAGCCCTTGTATTTATTTTAATTTTATGTGAACGCAATAAACAAATGAAATTCAATCTATTAGTGGTCTCTGTTAAGTTGCTCTCCGAATCTAACCTTATCGATCAAAATGCAATAAAGATTAGGTTTATGTTCAAGCTCCATTTGATCTATCACCGCTAACATTAATTGACTTTCTTTATATCAAACACAAGTCGATAATGGTTACATTCGTGTTATCTTTTAGGAACACTCTTTAAGCTGATATCAAAAGTCTTTATTATCAATCAGATAATACAAGATCAAAGATTAAGAAAGAAGTACCTTTGCCTTATAATGACTTAAGAATATAATATTTACTCTTTTGGTAATCATATTGTATTTTTGAATCATTTAAACATCATTTAAACAGCTGTTTTTATTAAAAATGAACAACTTTTATGCTAGTACAGCGCCACCTGTTGCTCGGGGCCTGAAGCCGAAAGAGCTATAAATATAATATGGGCTTGAAATTTTATATGTTTACTTTCGGGTTTTTATGGCCAGCAAACAGAAAGCTGCCCGAAATATTAAATAAAAGCGAGCAGAGTAAATGTATAATTTCGTTGATATGGTTATCGTGCTCGACATTATTTTAATTGTGGCTAAAAAGTCGTACCGCCCGGATCGCTTATTTCATTAGTGTTAAAACGGCTGAAGAGATGGTCGATCAGCGCGTACTCGAACCGCGACCAGCAAAGACAACGACCATTATCTTAAGGGGACTTTTCTTAGTCCTCATCTTTGGAGCAACTTCCTCGGTGGCCCAGTTATTTTCAGTGGATAGCAGTGGCCTGGGCATTTCCCTAATGCAATCAGTGGCCATTGCCTTGAATGCATCCAGTCTCGCCTTGGCCAATAACACAGCCTGGCCATTGCAGTACGAACCAACGGAGGAGATCGAAAGCTATGACTATATAGTCGTAGGAGCAGGAAGTGCTGGCTCTATAGTGGCCAGTCGTTTGAGTGAACTATGTCAGGTGAAGGTTCTCCTGCTGGAGGAGGGACAAATACCACCACTGGAAAGCGAAATCTTTAGCCTAAGCGGTGCCCTGCATCATGATGAGAGATATATGTACTTGGAGGAGGCTGTGCCCAATCCGAAATGCTGCCAGGCGATGGCATCAACACATGGCTGCGTCTGGTGGCATGGCCGCATGATGGGTGGCGGTGGGGCCATCAATGGCAATATCTACATACCAGGCAGTCGGGAGAACTTCAGGCATTGGAATACAACTGGCTGGGATTGGACGCAGGTCCAGAAGTCCTACACTCGCTTGCAGCGTCGCCTGAATCTCTCCTATCTTCAAGCGAACGGTATAAACCTAAAGTTGGCTAACCTTATATATTCTGGTTCCTCGGAACTGGGTGTTCCCCGGATGAAACAACCCTTAATAGCTGGTTCTACTTTTGGTTACACCCATCATGTTCCAGTGACTATCAATCAAGGACGAAGAGCCAGCAGTGGTCGTTTGTATTTGGCCAATGACCAAGTGAATAGACGACCGAATCTAAAGGTGATACGAGGAGCTCAAGTTCAGAAGGTACTACTGAATCCAGAGGGAAACCAAGCCACTGGAGTGATTTATACCTTAAACGGGAAGGAGTATACAGCGCAGACCTCTGGGGAAGTTATCCTGAGTGCAGGAACCTTAAACTCCGCCAAGTTACTTTTACTTTCGGGCATTGGTCCGAAGGAAGACCTACAAAGCTGGGACATACCCGTTTATCAGGATCTGCCCGTAGGTCGAAATCTTCAAGATCATGGCATGATGCCATTGTTTCTGACCTTCAAATCCAACTGTGCTGTTAACAGCACACGAGATCCCACAGATGATCCCTATGCTCCTGTATCCGTAACCCAATATCTTCTGGAGAATCAGAAAGGTCCCCTGGCCAGTGGTTTCTATATGATGGGCTACATCAATTCCAGTTCACCCAGCTCGAGCCAAGGTGAACCCGATCTCCATGTGGTGGCCCATACACTTTTGCCCAAAGGCAGTACCGGTAGCTTTGGCTATTTGGGTTTTAGTCCTGACTTAATCCAGGCCCAGCAAGATGTCTTGGCTAAATGGGATGTCCTGCAGATCATGGGTTCCCTACTGAGACCTCTATCCCGCGGAAAGGTGACTCTACTTAGCAAGAACTCCACAGATCAAGCTAAAATCGAGAACCACTATGGCGAAGCTGTAGAGGATCAACAGACTCTTCTCCGCTATGTGAGATATGTCCAAAAGTTAACCAAAACCCGCTCTTTTCGGCGATGTGGCCTACAACTTTGGTTACCGCCCCTCGCTGAATGCGATATCTTAACCCCTGATTCCGATGATTACTGGCTGTGCTATATTCGTTACTTCTATGTGGGTGCCTGGCATTCGGTGGGCACTTGCCGCATGGCTTCTAGGCAGGATGATGGCGTTGTGGATGAAAGGTTAAGGGTTCATGGTGTCAAGGGTCTACGCGTGGTGGATGCCAGCATTATGCCGGAGTTACCAGCGGGTAATACGAATGGACCAGCCATGATGATTGGGGAGAAAGGTTCGCAAATGATTCTGGAGGATCGTGAGGGGGTTAATGAAGTGGTAAAGGAGTGCTAAGTTGTTTTTGATTTAATAAAATGATTTTTTTTGGTGTTTAATTATGGGAGAAAGTAAACTGTTTGTTGATTAAAGTCTTGAGTTATTCTTGGTTCTAACTAAACATAAATCTATCTATCTAAGAACCTATTAAATTTTGCTTTTAACCTTAAATCTTCTTTCTCTATATACCTTTCAATAATATTATTAAGTAGTAGAAGTAATATTTATAGTTTGCTTAGCTTAAAAACGAATTTGAAACTCCTCCTTGAAAGTAAAAAAGTGTTTACATGGGCAAAGCCTTTTTAATTGCCTTTTTAAGACTAAGAAATCTGCTATTAATTCTTGATACTATATACATATATATATATTTGTTTTTATATATGCTTCTTCTTCTTTCAATCTCCCTCGCTTATCGCATTTTTGCTTTACTTTTCATTTTCAAGATTTCGTTTTGTTTTGATCACTCAATTTGTTTATGGTTTTTGGGGCAACAGCCTTAAGCAAGCCAACAGATATTAAAATAATTTATACATTACTTTACAGATCATATGGCATTATCTAATCGGAGTTGAGGATTATTTTTATTATTTTTAAAAACTTAAACAAAAAGTAAAGCCTAACTACCTTTAAACCCAAACTAAACCAAAGAGAAATTTCCCTAAAAAACGAAAAACCTTTTCAAGTTTCTTTCTTACAACTTTGTAGACCAACTTTTTGTAGTCCAGTGTAACTGGGAGAACAGAACTAAGACTTTTGCATATTGGTCAATGCACTCAAAGATTTCTTTGGGTCAGCAATTATAAACTTCAGCTGGATCAGCAAAAATATTTATATCGGAGTATAGTAAAAAATAGTTCTGTGCAGTCAGTTCGTACTTTCACGATGTCGGCGCTTAACACGTTCGTGGCCATGTGGCGGTTCTTACTGACCCTTGGCCCCTCGGCCATGGTCATCCTGCTCCTGAACAAGGGCATACTCGATCAGCGACCAGATATTATCGATGAACAACATCGCGTTCGATCGATACATATCGAAGATCTGCGGGAATCCTATGATTTCATAGTGATTGGCGGTGGCTCAGCGGGTTGTGTTTTGGCCGCCAGACTCTCAGAGAATCCGGAATGGAGTGTTCTGCTCCTCGAAGCTGGCGGGGATGAGCCATTACTTATTGATTTGCCACAACTTTATCCGGTATTCCAAAGAAGTCCCTGGGATTGGAAGTACTTGACGGAACCCTCGGATCGTTATTGCCTTGCCATGGAGGATAAACGTTGCTTTTGGCCCAGGGGCAAGGTCCTGGGTGGCTGTAGCTCCATCAATGCCATGATGTATATCCGGGGAAATAGAAGGGACTACGATCACTGGTCGGAATTAGGCAATCCTGGTTGGAACTATGCCAATATCCTGCATTATTTCCGTAAGGCAGAGGATATGCGAGTTCCGGGCTTTGAACATAATCCGTATCATGGTCATGGTGGTCCCATTTCCGTGGAGAGATATAGGTGAGTGGCTGGGAAAAGATAATGTACTATATCTAAAATCTGTTTTCTATAGGTTCCCCTCCCCCCTTTTGGATATCTTCATGGGAGCTGCCCAACAACTGGGCATGGTTAACCCCTATGGCGATTTCAATGGCCAATCTCAGACAGGTTTTGCTCCGCCACATGGAACCCTAAGAGACGGCCTGCGTTGTAGTGCCAATAAGGGTTATCTTCGCCGTAGCTGGCAGCGTCCCAATTTGGATATTGTCCTTAAGGCCTTTGTGGAACGAATCATCATCGATCCGCAATCTCGTCGTGCCATTGGAGTTGTCTTCGAATATGGTCTTATCAAGCATACAGTCAGGGCCAAAAGAGAGGTAATCCTCTCTGCTGGATCATTGGCTAGTCCCCAACTCTTGATGGTCAGTGGTGTGGGTCCCAGGGATCAACTGGAACCACTGGGCATACCTGTGCTGCAGCATTTACCCGGTGTGGGTGGCAATCTTCAGGATCATATATCCACCTCGGGTGCCATCTACACCTTTGACAGTCGCCAGAATCGACATCTCTCTTTTATAGTCCCCGAAATGATGAACGAAAAGGCTGTGGAGGATTTCGTTCAAGGCGCTGATAGCTTCTTCTATGCCATGCCAGTGAGTGAGGTGATGGGTTTCTATAGTACTCGCTATCAGGATCCACGATTGGATTGGCCAGATGTCCAGCTCTTCATGGGCAGCTATGCCTATGGATCAGATGGTGGAATTGTTGGCCGAAGAGGAGCTGCCATTACCCTGGACAACTATGCAGAAACCTTTGAGCCGGTACTGTATCAGGATTCCTTTGTGATAGCCCCACTTTTGATGCGTCCACGCTCTAGGGGATTCCTTCAGCTACGATCAGCTGATCCTAAAATACATCCCCTTATCCATGCCAACTACTATGATGATCCCCATGACATGGCCGTGATGGTAGAGGGCCTAAAGCTAGCCCATCGTCTAACCCAAACTCCGATAATGCAATCCCTGAATGCCACCATGAATATCTACGAATGGCGCAATTGCCCGGAAGTGGAGTACCTTAGCGATGCCTTCTGGGAGTGCTTGGCTAGGTTTTACTCTCAGACCATCTATCATCCAGTGGGCACTTGCAAAATGGCTCCCGTTTCGGATCCCTCTGGTGTGGTAGATCCTCGTCTGAGGGTAAGGGGCATCAAGGGTTTGAGGGTTATCGATGCTAGCATTATGCCTACTATCCCTACCGGAAATACCAATGCTCCGACTTTCATGGTGGCAGAAAGGGGAGCGGATATGATCAAGGAGGATTGGCATCACTACAGAGATGGTGGTTGGAGTTAATTAGGGCTACTATAGTTTAGTCTTTGTACTAGAAATTAATGGAATAAAATGTGTTTTGTAAACAGAAAGAATTCCAGAATAATCCTAGACTCAAACCTTTGTAAATTTAAAACCCTTTCCCCAAGTCAAAATGCATTCCTAGCTAATATGCCATTGAAAGTCAACAAAGCGATTAGCTTAATCCATATATATAAACTAGAACTAGCTAGTGACTAACTATATATAGTGGAGAACTATCCATTGTTGCCTTTTCCCTCCACCTCAGCTCAACTAATTTGGTTTGGTAATGATCTTGGCATTCATTTGACTCTTCGTGCAGTCCGTTTTCCATTTTCAATTCAATTTCATTTTTTCATTTTATACCTTTTTTTCTCTCTTCTTGTTTTTGTTTTTGTTTTATTTTTTTAAACTGCGAAAACTTGATCTAGCATTTCCCAGCGGTCTGAACTTTTGCAATATTCTAGCGTTTATTTATGATTTTGTAATCGATTAGTTTTATAGGAGAGAGTATATAGGTTTCTTAGGCTGTTTGTGACATTTTAGTTGGAAAAACCAATTGGAAAAGTTAAAATTTGTAAAGAAAGAACTTTAAGTAAGGCTGTAGGTCTATAATATTAACATTTTTGTAAAAATCCCAATAATTCTCCAAATACTTTTTGCCCTATATGATCACAAAATGTATCATAACACTAAGAAGTATCTAAAAGTTGAATCCATAACATTAGAAGCATTGTTCTCAATCGTTTTTTGTATGTAATTTATGAACGGCCACTGAACTTAAATGGCAAATGGCAGCAGCAGCACCAGCAGCTCGAAGCTTACGAGTTTTACCAGTTTTTTTAGTGCCTCAGTGGGCCATGGCTTGGCGACTTTGGGCCCGCGAATCGGAAAAGGTTTTCGAGACTTTTCATGCGAGTGCACGGCAAGTGAGCGGGCCAGTCCACGTCCGCCACTGAACGCAAGATGACGCTCTACATGAAGCTGCCCCTCAAATGGTTGCTAATGGTATTCGGGATGCTGCTGCTGGTGTTCCTGGACTGCAGTTTGGCCCAACCACAGAGATTTCTGGTAGCAGGGGATTTGATAACAGCATCGGGAACTGGAGCTGGAACAGCAACAGGAACCGGAACCGGAAATGCAGCAGATCAATTGCCCATTAATGATCCATCGGGTAGGTGTTAAAGTGGAATATCTTTTCCAACTTTAGATCAGAATTTTGTAAGAAGAAGTGCTAGAAGGAGGTTACATTTTGGGACAAGGGCAAACTTAAAGCAAAAAGATTGGTTTAGTTAGGAGATTGGTTTAAGTTCCCAACTTTAAGATGAACAGAATCCTGACTAAAACTCAAGAACTTCTTAAAAATATGATTGTTAGTCCCTAAATCTTATCCAAACTTCCTACCTATTTTTATAAACTTTAATAATCTATAAATTTTCCTCTTACAGATCTCAGTGCTGGCCTGAATTTGGCACCCGTTGGCAATCTGATTGCAGCAGCTGCAAATGCCGTGATCCCTGCCCCAATTCAGTTTATTCGCACGGCCATGAACAGCGGCCTCTGACCGCCAGGTGGCGCTAACCTGGATTCTTGCCCACCCCAAAAACAAATAATTATCTCTAATTTTTAAGCGCCTTTTTAAGCAACACTTTTAATTACTGTGTTAAACGTTTTTTTTTTTTCCTTTTTTTTGTCTCGTCGTTGTTAGCTTGTTTTGTTGTTGTTTGTTTGCTGTCTTAATGTGTGTTTGTGTTTAACTAAGTGCTATAAATGTCTTTATAATACTCGTTTTATCTGGCTATGACTTTATGGAGCGGTACTGCAAAGACTGCAATCGGAGGGGGCCGCAGCCTCTCAAAAGCTATTTTTGTTATCTGAATTTGTTATCGGGTAAGTCTCGATTTTGGATTTTTCTCGAGGTAGGATCAAAGTACAGTAAAGTTAAGTGTTAGAAGAAGTGTGTTTGATAAATCTTACAAAAATTCTGCAACATTAATTCACATTAAATTCAAAAAATTAATCATAAATTGCTTGTCAAACTGTGTCATCAGACAATATAAGGGAAAAGTAAATATTTTTATTAATGAAAATATGCTTAGTTCATCCAAAAATGCGATAGCAATCGGAAAAAATATAAAGTAATTGAAGGAATGCAGTTCGAATGAGCTTGCAAGTACGAGGAAGTAGGGGGTTGTCTCTCTTTCAGAAGTGGATCCGTCACTCGAACTGTTATCGATTGCGATTCTACTTTTCATGATGATTGTGACCATATGCACAGAGAGAAATATAGTCGAGAACTTAAAGTTTCAGTAAGTGGTAAGGATTCTATGGGAATAAACAAGGAAAAGTATTAACTTCCATTAACCTAATCTGAATTAATTTTCTCGAGTATAGTTTCTTTTTTTTCAAGAAAGCAGATTAAACTTTATAAATATAGCTCATAAATTCCTTTTGTTGGATTTTTAATAATATCAAGTATTGAAATAAATGGTAATTTTCGTGGTACACTAACCTACTACCTAATATAAGAACAAAAATGGAAAACAAGATTGTACCACGCCCTCTATTTTTGATGATTCCATAGCATTTGATGGAAAAGATGAGTTTGGACTTAATGATAGCAATATCATGAGACCACGAACGTGGAAATTGAAATCGATATCGAAAATTCTTAAAAAATAAAAGATAATATTAAAGATTTTTAATCAGATTTTGAGATTTTTAAAAACTGGCTTAATATTAAAATATTTTCTAATTGTTCAAAGTTGTTAAGTTTTTATGATTTTAAAAATAATTCTACCAGCAAATCCTATAGCCATAACTAGAACTAAAAATTTAATCATTTCTTCAACCTTTTTCTCTCTGTGTAAACATAAAAAAAAACGAAATTATTTACCACTTAATAACCATTTCTTTCTTGCTGTGCACAAATTTTGTGACACATTCGCACGCGCCTGGCCATTGTCTGAGTCAACGTCCTCGACTTGCCTGGTTGTCGCCGCCGGGGTAGGATGCACTGTACGGGCTTATCAGACAGCGACTGGCTATAAAAGCGAATCTCCAGAGGCGGCTACGCCTCAGATACAGATAGAAACGAATCCAAACGGCAGTGTCAGACGCAATGTCGCTAGCCAGCGGCCAGAATCTCAACATGGATGCTGCAACGGCCATTGGCCCGGATCAATGTGGACCAGCCATTGGCTTGTGGAGTGGCTTCGTTAATCTACTCCTGCAATCGATCCTAACAGCCCAGTGTCAGGTCTCACCAGCTGGACTATGGCCATTGGATTATCAGGGAGATCTGAGTCAACCCTATGACTTTGTGGTCGTTGGAGCAGGATCTGCGGGTTCTGTGGTGGCCAGTCGGTTGAGTGAGAATCCTAAATGGAAAGTTCTTGTTCTGGAAGCGGGTGGAAATCCACCAGTGGAATCGGAGGTGAGTTGGGAATATTTTTGTATAAAAAAAAAGATATATAAATCTTGTAGATAAATCGGTTTCTTAAAGGGACTTAAGCTTGTTCAGGTCTGAAGATAAGCTTTTCTAACTAAATTTTAAGCATAACAAAGTCTGCTGTTCTAATGCCTGAAAGTAAACTAAAGTTCCCAAAAACATTTTGATTAATTAGCACTATTAAAACGGGTCTTGGAAAGAAAAACCTGCTAAAAAGCTGGATATTAGCAAAGAGTTAAGAACAGTAAAGAATCAGCATGGAAAATTGTAGCCAAAAAGTAACTTTCACCTTGATTTCAAATTTAAGCCAACTAACTAACTGGGTTTAACCTTTCAGATGCCTGCCTTATTTTTTGGCCTTCAGCACTCAAACTTCACTTGGAACTACTTCACAGAGCCAAGTGAGAGTTCCTGTCAGGGAATGAAGGATGGTCGCTGCTATTGGCCAAGAGGAAAAATGATTGGCGGCTCGGGTGGAGCTAATGCCATGCTGTATGTACGAGGAAATCGCAAAGACTTTGATGATTGGTCAGCATTGGGAAATGCAGGCTGGAGTTATGATCAAGTTTTGCCATTTTTCGAACGATCTGTGACCCCACAAGGCAACTCCACCCACCCGAAAGGCTATGTGACCCTTAACCCTTTCGAGCGACAGAATGATTTGATACATCAAATAATCATCAATGGAGCTCAGGAGTTGGGCTTGCCATATGTGGAGAGATTCGAAGAGGGCAGTGAAACGGGCTATGCCCATGTACCAGGAGCCGTGAGACAAGGTCAAAGGATGAGCCCAGCCAAAGGTTACTTGGGGGCCGTGTCTCGAAGTCGACCCAATCTACATGTGGTCAAGAATGCCTTGGTTACCAAATTGAATTTTGATGGCACTTTGGTAACATCCGTCAGCTTCGAACGAGATGGTGTTAGCCATCAAGTGAAGGTCAGCAAGGAAGTGGTCGTCTCTGCCGGTGCCATCGATTCACCAGCTCTTCTCCTGCGTTCGGGCATTGGCCCAAGTCAGCATTTGGAATATTTGGGTATACCAGTACAGGCAGATCTTCCCGGTGTTGGTGGCAATCTTCAAGATCATGTTCTAGTTCCACTCTTTATCAGGCTAGATGAAGGTCAAGCCCCGGCTATCACGGATAAGGACATGCTGGATGGTGTATATGATTACCTGATACATCGCCGTGGATCCTTAGCCACCCATGGCACTGCCTCCTTGGTGGCTTTTATCAATACAAATGCTAGTAGTAATAGTATCTATCCGGATACGGAAAATCATCACCTCTTCTTCCAGAGGGGCAATCATATGGCACTGGAAATGTTCAGCCAAGGTTTGTCCTTCCAAGAACAGTACACAGAATCGCTACAAGAATACCTCAAAGATTCCCATCTTCTGTGTGTCTTTGTTCTACTCTCCCATCCGAAGGCCAAAGGTGAACTACGTCTAAGAAGTCCAGATCCAAGGGAACCACCTATCCTGCAGAGTAACTACCTAACCGAACCGGAAGATGTGGCTACCTTAATGAGGGGCATTCAGTATATTGAATCCCTGGAGCAGACCAAAGCTTTCCGAGATCATCTGGCTGAAATAGCTCACATACCGATCAAGGAATGTGATCACCTAAAGGACTATCGTAGTGAGAAGTATTGGAGATGTTATGCTAGATACTTCACTGTCACCTGTTACCATCAAACGGGCACTGTCAAAATGGGTCCCAACTATGATACCAAGGCCTGTGTTAGTCCTCGTCTGCAAGTTCATGGCTTCTCCAATCTCAGAGTAGCCGATGCCAGCATTATGCCTGCTGTGGTCAGTGCTAATACCAATGCTGCCACTATAATGATTGGGGAAAGGGCAGCTGATTTCATCAGAGAGGATCATCAAGGTGCGACAGATGACAGCCAGTGGGTGCCGCACATGCATTCGGATGACTTTTAGTTTGCTTTTTTGGTTTTGGTTTAACAATTCCAAACACAGTCTCTCCGCTTAACAACTGGCAACTTGTCAACAAGTTGTTGTTGATAACAAAAGTAGATATTGGATACTACACCTTCCCTTCCTTTGTTTTATTAAGGTAGTTTGAGCTTATCAAGTGGTGCTCTACCTCTAAGTTTTTCAATAGCTTTCAAACTGTTATTGCAATGGGAAATTTTGTAAATGAGTATTATAACCTTTTTTTGTTGTTAGTTTTAAGGCAAGTTTTAGTGATTATGAAAGAGAACTTAACAAGTTTTTAGTTTTTTAATGTAAGAGATTGTTTTTTTTGTAATAAAATCTAGAAAAAAGCCTTGCAAAATCTTAAAGTTCCTTCAAATCAAAGTTTTTTAAGTTTTTTAAGCTCAGAAATGTTATCAAAAGTTCTTGAAATGCCAAGCCATCATAGAAAGATAATCTTTAAATATTTTTCAACCAAAAGTATTAGCACTTTTTAGAACTTTAAAAACCCCAACCATCTCTTTAAACCACAAAGAACCCTAGAAACCTAAATTCTGATAAAGAATCAAAATCAATCCATAAACCCATCCCAAACCAATTTGCCCGTATTAAGATGTTTAGCATATCTCCGCCTAAACTTGACCCACAAACCCACACAACAGGTTTTTACCTTCAACAACCTGTTCTTATCACCTAGAACCCCCAAAAAACAACACCCAGAACGACCACCATCGATCCTCCACGCGAGCATAAAGATAACCGAGTGCAAAAGCGCCTCTTGATTTTTTTTTGGGTGGCTTCCATGGGTCGCTGCTCGGGTTTATCACACCTCGTTTAGCTAATCTTCGAGTGATAAGGGGAGTGCCGCGACCAGCTGCTGGAGGCGGAAGGTGCGTCTAATTTATGTGAGTATATAGTATCAAATATATATATAGTAACGCCTCTATATGTACGATTCAAAGCAAAATGCAAATGTCTCCGAGCGAGACGCCGATGGCATACGAAAAGTGTTCGCGGCCCGGCCGTACAAATTCCGGTTGAATGCCGGTCCGGCAGAACAGTTGCCGTCGAGCTTGGCCAGCGAACGGAACGTACTTACGGTTAGCTACGAATTTTCCAAGGAGAATAATAATAGTACAACTTTAACATGGAGTTCCTTAGCGCTCAGTGCGCTGCCCGTTCAGCAGGACCGGCCAATACCCTTATGTCCCTGCTCCTGACCACGCTGATTACCAAATACTGTGATCTCAGCGGTCAGCAGCAGTGGCCCGAGGACAAGGGTGATTGGTTGGACAAAGCTGGTGGCTTCCAGTATGATTACGATTTTATAGTGATTGGTTCGGGTAGTTCGGGTGCTGTGGTGGCTGGACGTTTGGCTGAGGAGACAAAATGGAAGGTGCTGCTTCTGGAGGCTGGTGGTGATCCACCGATTGAAACGGAATTCGTTGCCTGGCACATGGCTACCCAGTTCTCGGAATGGGATTGGCAATATCATTCAGAGCCCAATGGACGTGCCTGTATGGCCATGCAGGGCGAAAGTTGCCACTGGCCGAGGGGCAAAATGTTGGGCGGCACGAATGGCATGAATGCCATGATCTATGCCAGGGGAACGCGTAAGGACTTTGATGACTGGGAGGCCAGAGGCAATCCTGGATGGGGCTATGATGAGGTCTTAAAGCATTTCCGCAAGGCTGAGGATTTGCGTTCCGCACGTCCGGACTACAAGCCCGGTGATCATGGCGTTGGCGGTCCCATGGGTATCAATAATTATGTTTCCGATAACGAATTCCGTTCGACCATTCGTGCTGGCATGCAGGAAATGGGCTATGGCAGTGCTCCGGACTTTACCGAAGGTTCATTCGTTGGCCAAATGGATATTCTGGGTACTCAGGATGGTGGTCATAGGATTACCACTGCCCGTTCTCATCTGCACAAGAATACTCCGAATCTGCATATCCTTCGTCATGCTCATGTCAAGAAGATCAATCTGGATAGGAATAATCGTGCTGAAAGTGTTACTTTCGTGCATCGCGGTAAGAAGGAGTACACGGTGAGGGCCAGCAAGGAGGTCATCCTGTCTGCCGGAGCCATTGGCTCGCCACAGATTCTGCTGCTTTCAGGTGAGTTTTGGTCTTAAAGGAGGTCTTAGATTGGTTTTGGGTATCAAAAAATCTCAAAACATCTCAAAAAGTTGAACAACTTTAATCTAAAATAAGCAAGATTTGGAAGTATAATCTAAACTTTAAGATAGTTACTAAAACTTCCAACTTTCCTTGCCATAAAAATATCTTCTCTTAACTCTGGTACTCAAAATACCTTTACCAAAACTGCATTTTGATAACAGCAAGTCTAAAGTAATGATAACAAATCATGATTAGAATTGCCCTCGCTGTCCACCAACCTACATTAGAAAGATATACGGTGATCCTTCAATCCCTCTCTAAAGACCCTAAATCTTAATCTTAGTTTAGCTTCTGTTTTTGTTTGTTGCATCTGAAAGAGCACTTGTAAAGACTTTTGATAAGCGGGGATCGGCTGATGATTAGATAACTGGAATACGATATCAGACCCAGGCAACGGAGTTCTGTGTCGATGAGATGTCAATGTCAGTACCGAAGCCCGGAGGTCGGACAAGGTTAAGCGATTAGGTCTGGGATTGTAAACATATGGAAAATTACGTTCGAAAAATCTTCAACGATAGGAAAGGGAAGGTACTTCCCCTTATAAGGGGTTGGTTCCATATTTTTACCAGGTTATCAATGACTTATGGACTTCATTTCAAGTGCCATGACTTGCCAGCTTTTATTTCTTATGTTGTTTACAAACCTGCAAAGATAAAAGTTAGAAAGAAGATATTAGAAACTTGTTAAATGCTAAATTTGGTAAATATCTTTGTTAAAGTCTAAAGAACAAGTTAAGATAGAATTTCCATAAAATTTCACATGAATTTTAAGCTAATATAGGACAGGTTCTTAGGTTTATCTTAGAACAGGTTTCTATGTATATCAACACATTCTAAACTAAAATATGCGCAGCAGAATAAACAGCTGAGTTTAGAACTTAATTAGTCTTTAAAAAGTTTAAATATTAATTATTTTTGTAGAATTTTCAACCAAAAACTTCCTTTTTGCCCTCCCACAGGCGTCGGTCCCGCCGATCACCTGAAGAGCCTGGGAATCCCCTTGAAACTGGACCTGCCCGTTGGCCAAAACCTCAAGGATCATGCCAGTTTGCCTGTGATCTTCCAGATTGACAAGTCCACAGCCCGCAAACCCACCGAAGAGGAGCTCGTAGATGCCATGTACAATCTTCTAATGGGTCGTTATAGCAAACTTTTGCATCACGAAGCCACCGCCTTGACTGGTTTCATCAATACCACATCGATTGAGGGACCCAATCCGGATATACAGACCACCAACTTCTTCAGCTTGATGCAGAGTCCAGAGCTTAAGGGTTATGTGGCTGCCACGGGCTTTAATGATCGTGTGGCCAAGAGCATTTTGTCGGCCAATCAGGAGACCAATACCTATATTACCTATCTCCTGCATTTGAAACCCTTCTCGGCCGGCAGTTTGACCCTGCAATCGGCTAACTTTTTAGATGCACCCATCTTGGATCCTGGCTATATGACCGATGAACGCGATGTGGACACCTATATCAGGGCCTTGAATATCTACAAGAATCTGCCGAATACCAAAGCTTTTAGTGAACGAGAAGCCACTCTTCACAAGCTCGATCTGGAGGCCTGCAATGGTCTGGAATATCAATCGGATGAGTACTGGCGCTGTTATATCCGTCACATGACCACCACTGTCTATCACCCAGTTGGAACCACTCGCATGGGTCCATCTAGCGATCCCACTGCTGTGGTGGATCCACAACTGAAGGTTCATGGCGCCAAGGGTCTCAGGGTGATCGATGCCAGCATTATGCCCGATATTGTCGGTGCTAATACCAATGCCGCTTGCATTATGATTGGCGAGAAGGGCGCTGATATGATCAAGGAGGAGTATCTGGGCGGAAAACACACCGAGCTCTAAGGCTCAGCGATATTTTACGATATAAGTTTAACAGTCTTTGTCGACTCTTTTTTTTTTTTGTTATTATAATAAACATATGCGCTTTAAAGTTTAAACTTAATTTTCGTATCTAAAAGTCAAAAAGCAGTCTAATTGCTTATAAACTGTACTGTTAGCTTTCTATCTACATGCTTAAGTACATTCATTAGGCTTTTCTACATAAACGCTAAACGATCTCTGAATTCCCGGTTGCTGTCTTAGCTGAAACCATTGACAATGGCTCTGAAACTGTTTTAAATTTCTGAAAATCTTTTTCGTTAACATATTTAACCATTTAAAATACATAAAAATAGCTTTTAAATAAATATTTTCAATTAAATGAGATAGCCAATACAGGATATTAACAAAATTCCAAGCCAATTTGAAATTTGGGTGTGAATTTCGAGTGGTTTGGTGATGATTTATCTGCCAAAAAACAAAACAAAAACTGCACCATCAGCATTAAGTGGCGATTGTATTGAATCTGGGCGATACTTGATGCTCGGCCTGGTTAGCTACGTTTTGCTTTTGATTGACAGCTTTCACTTTTCATACAAATATATACATATATATATATATATTGTAAATTTTCGGCTAGCAAATTGCCGCTCATTGCGGACAACTCATTATCCATGCCCGGCGACCAACGCAATATGTATATAATATTTCCAGGCGCCGCGAAGCGTGCCAGTTTTCGGTTTTGTTTGAGCATTTTTTGGTTTTCATCTAATGTCCAATGGCGTTGCATACCAAACTCTAAACGCAATTAATTTGTTAGCCAAGTGGGTGGACGCCCGTTAATTGTATAATCAAGGTGGGAAAGGTAAAAACAGAGATTAAGGGAGATTAAGACGTGTCTTCTTTAATGGCTTAAATCAGATCAGTTAAGTTTGGTTTATAAATTAAGCTGCTGGCATAGGTTTTTAATAGATATTTTAATGCCATAAACTTTAGGTTTTACATTAAGAATATCTCTAAATTACATTTCTAAATTGAATTAATTTCTAATCTGACTTAAAACCTCTTTTTCATTATGCAAATTGAACTGCGGCTACAATCTGTCTTATTACCAAATGTACCTTTCAAGCCAATTGCTCTAATAAGTCTGAGAGGTTACACTATCTGCAACCCCACCCACTTTTAAACCCCCTCTACACCTCCCTCAACACACCCTTTTCTTTTCATGCCATTAACAAAGGTCACGTAATAGCAAGCTTTTTTCTTGCCCTGCACTTGACCAAACCGCAAAATGGAAACCAATTAAACGAAATCGCTGGCGATACAAGCCGAGATAATATGGCTTATGGGTAGATGGAATACCTGACACATTTAGTAAGTGGAAAGTGGAAAATTGAACAAAGTTAAGCCAGAGTACGCAGGGAAATTCCAAATAAAAGAAACAAAAACTAGGCAAGTGATTGGAAAGAGATATGTGGCTTACGAACGACTGCTGGACGGGATGTCAGTTAACTGACTACCAGTTAGCCACTGTGTGACACGCCTACTTTTGGCAAGCCGCCCATGGGTTAACCTACATTGGTACATCTGTATTGGCCATGCTCGACTGCTGTTCAGAGAGATACTCAAGCTCAAGATACAAATCGGAGATGGACGTGAGCTGTGGTGAGCGTGAGTTGGGGAGGGGGAAACTCACGTTTGGGTAGGGTAAGTTAAAGGGGAGTAATGGTTATTAATTAGTTAAGATAAAGAGAAAATACTAACAGGTTTAAGAACTAGATAAATGGGTTTTTAACTTAGGAAAAGGGAAATGAAATTAAGAAAGATCTTGACTAAATTTCTAAAGTTTTTAAAGTTTTAATGGGAATTCTCCCATAAAATCTTTCTTTTCATTACAGATATAATATCTTGGCCATATTTCCAATATAATATTTATATATATCAACCAATTACAACAACCCAAAACGTGTCACGAGGCCATTTCTAAGCTAGTTACGAGCGCACTTGCTGCTATTACTCCATGGCTTCGTTTCTTGGATTTGTCGTTTAATGAAGTTCATTTCCAGAGCCCAAACTGGAGATACCAACATAGATGACTCAGCGTAAAGATAAAGCCATGGCTAGAGAGGCTAAAAGAAGAAGAAAAAGTGGGAATCGTAATGTGGTTATGTCACCCGCCCAAAAAAAAAGCAGAAGAAGAAAGGGGGCGCCTCTTCACTTTAAGCAATCTTTTTTTTTTTTTTTTTTTGGGGGGCCTCTTCTATTTTCACTTTTAATTGCCCGCGAGCAAAATTTGTTTGTTTATTGGGCAATTGGGCCAAAAAGAAATATTGCGTCTGGCAAATGGGCGTAGATGGTAGTACCCATGATGAGCGTAGACTAGGTAAGTGCCGGAAATTGTCCGCCGTGACGCGCGTGTGTGTGTGTGTGAAAACCATATAGTAGTAACTAACACTAATTGTAATTGTAGCGGAAATTGTTGATTAAATATGCACAGAAGCCTGGGAACCGAAAGTATTTTGTGGCCATTATGAGGCATTAATATTCATTAAAGAGTGTTTAGGTTTTTGGTTAGAGATGTTGGTACTTTTTCCCTTTCAAACGATTAAGTTCTTTAGAAGTGATTTTTAAACTTCTTTAAGGCTAATAGAAAGCCTTAAAAGGTCAAAATCTAAAAACATATTTCATAACCATTTCATATTCCCCACTCTAATCACAGATCTGACCCTCTTTCCAGAATTACAACCACAAATCAAAGTCAAGAACCACATTCCCATACTATCAGACCTTCCTACTCCCATGATTCATCACAGGGTCTAAGGTCTTCCTTCAAACTAGGGGTCACTCTACATGACCATTGAAGTATAGCCCTTGGCCAATGGAGGCCCTCCCAAACCCTACGGCAAAAAACTGAAGAAGTAACCAAAACAAAAGCCGACAAGAAGACGCACAACTTCATCGCAAAAAGTTTGACAAGTTTATTTGTGCTTTTTATTGTCAAGTTTTATTTGTTTATTTGTTGTGTTTAGTAGGTTGGTAGGGAGGGGTGGTATTTCCTCGCTACATTCGCAGAGTTTTCCTCTTGTTAAATTGCTTTTGCTTAGCTGACCTTGACCCATTAGATGGTGATATATCAAACGATCGTCACATAGCTGCTTCGTTAATTTGCTGGCATTATACTGTGTGTGCGACTTTCGTAATTCCTTGGCCAATGGAAGTGTGGTTCACTCTCAGGGACTGACTGTTCAATTGGGAAATCTTCCAGTAAATACAGTAAAATAGTGTCAACCAAAGATAACTGACCATAGATAATGACAAATTGTAGATAACCTAGTAAAATAAATGGTCGATAAATAGTGATTACCCAAAAACTAGAAAGGAAGCCTTTTGTTTCTTAAGATTTGGTTTGAAACTATACTACAACCTATTTCTTCTACCATTTAATATCCACAAATTGAAATCAAATTATAAGCAAATATTGCGGTCTTTTCTTTGAAAAAAACTCCCATTTCATCCTAATCCTTCCCGGATATATCACATAACAATCCAACCAGGAAAAATACATAACTTGGGGCTTTTTTTTTTTTTGGGGAGACCAAATATTAAACCATCACCCCATAGGCAGAAATCGGAGCAATTTCGGTGATTCCATCGAATTGTCCATTAATACGACAAACTAGTTGCGTTCAATATCCGTTCGGCATCAGGTGTGTAGTGTAATGTAATCGCAATTACTTGGCAAAATTCGTGTTGTGGTTTGTCAATTGGCGAACACACACACACACACATTCCATTCGTAATAAAAGAAATAAGAAAAACCGGTTAAACAATGAAAACAACAATCAACCAACAACTAAATGCCACAAATTTCACTTTGATCTCCACTTTTTTGTATGTTTATATATTGAACTCATCGGCTTCTTCAATGCCAAAAACTGGTCAATTGATTGCGGTTCTTCTGCCAGCTGTCTTTCCCTGTCGAAGTTGATGTCGATAATGTATTGTAAGTACAGTGAAGATTAACTAAGGCGTGCATATCAGGTAAGCTATATTTATATAAGCTCTGAATTGGTTCTCGGCCCTGCTAAGGCAATCGGTTAGAACCGTTTACTACCACCAAACTTTACGGTATGTCTTAAACTATAGAAATGTGCACTTATTGAAGTTCTACTGTTCATCTTGTAGACGTCTTGGCTTTAAATGGCTTACGTGCGGGATCCCAACTACCCAACTGCAAAGTAACCTGAAGTGGAACTCGAATACCAACTCAAAATCAAGCCCATCGGCCGCGTATAGAGAGAAGTGCACATAACCGTAAAGTGAGCATGAAGGTCGTCTGGCGTCTGCAAGGAAATTCGACTTCGAAGACGAAGAAGAAGTGGAAGTACTGAAGGAAAAAAAAACCGCAAATGTCAAATTTACGTATGTGAGCGAGTGAGAGGCAGGATCTGTAAGCGGTTATATGTAACCGTTTCGCAATGCACAGCATCAGCCAACCAGCCATCAACCGCAACAGCAAGCGCATGTGGGAGAGTGCGACAAAGAGGCTCGCGAAACGGTAACCGATTCACATTGCAAAATGAGCGCAGGCGCAAACCGCAAAAAGAGAATGAGGCAGCACGAGGCGAAGGCAGGAGTGGCAAACGGGTAAGGGTTTTGTAACAGTTTTTTAAAGTTATTAATAAGAATTTATAAAAGATTTTTATTATAATCAAAAATTTATAATATTTATGATAGGAATTATCCATTTTTTTCGATTATTATTTTATAAAAAGTTAAGTTTATTTTTAACACGCAATTTGAGGATAGAAAATTTAGTTTTTAAATGAAAAATTCATTATTACTTAACCATTTTTTATATTATGACTTTTATTATAACGTTAAGTACCGTAATATGAAACTAAATTTAAAATTAAATTCACTTAAATTTTGCTATTAAAGTGAATTAAAATGAAATTCAATTAAAAAATATGTCTCAACAACATTCACTCTTAATAATTGTTTTTAAAAAGCCTACCCCCACTGCGAATGCAGTTGGATTCGCTGGAGAAAGAAGAGAAAAAAAAAACGTGCGCATGCGCAACTGTTTGGTGGCAGCGACGTTGGCGTCCTCTGCCACGGCTACCGCCTCAGCTGGCGCTGCAGCAGCGGAGACAAAACGTCGCAGGCCAGCGGCTTTTGTGGCTCAGAAACGCAGCGACTGCCAAGCGAGTCGGATGGCCTAAAAAAAAAAACAACCGCCCAACAAAAATTGAAAACGAAACGGGCTGGCGAGGAGTATTATCCAGTGAACCGGTTAATAACGGATTACCGATTATCCATTGCATCAATATCCATTACCATTACCAATAACCGATTCGAAAAATATATGCCGCGCGCGCAGCTTGGCTGGCTACTAACTCATTCAATTACAATTTATTTATTTTTGTTTCTGTTTGCCCAATGTGTTTTCGAGGCCTAAATGAAAGTGCAGAAAGGCAAGTGACTGTGAATGCGAACGTGACGACGGCACAGAGAGAAAATATCCCCAAAATCGGTTAACAATTTCGATTGTTTCTCATATCTTTGTGCTCCGAAAACTTTTTCCAACTTTAAATTATTACTTTTTACCTCAAAACCCAAAAAAAAACCTTAAAACTAAACCCAGGATATGAGAAACTTTCAATAACCTTCAATATATATTTTTTCTCAGTGTACAGAAAGCCAATGAAAGTGTCTGAATTAATAAATGCAATGCAGTGATAGCAAAAAAGTGGATCAAAAAGAAAGGCTCAATCAAAATTCCACCAGAAAGGGGAATCTTTCCCTAAGAAAAAAAAAGAAAAGAAGAAAAATCCCTTCTAGTAAAATCAACCAAAAACCATGGTTGTAGTTCCCGCCCTGGGCGCCGCCGCCGTTTCCGTGGGCGGACTCCTTTTCAAGGCTAGTGCCGCCTCTAAAGCAGCGGCGACAGCAGGCGTGGCAGCTGCTGGCGCCTCCAAATTAGGTCTGGCCATTGCTGGTGCTATCAAACTGGCCACCGCTGTCATTGGCGTTGGCAAACTAACCATCCTGCCCTTTCTGATCGCTGCTATAGCCTACTATAATTACGATTTATTCGATCCGGAGAATCGACCTTTTAATGTCCAGCAAGTAGAGGTGGCCTATGATTTCATCATCATTGGAGGCGGTTCAGCGGGCACTGTTTTGGCCTCGAGACTTTCGGAGATTCCACACTGGAAGATCCTGCTGTTGGAGGCTGGTGGTCATGAGACCGAAATCTCAGATGTTCCACTGCTGTCGCTGTATTTGCATAAAAGCAAATTGGATTGGAAATATCGGTGAGTCAGTCAACTTTGATGTAAAATTTGTAAATATTTCTGAAGAAATTTGGATTTCTAGAGTAGAAATTTGAGATCTTATTAGGTTTTCATCTTTAAAATGTTAGTTTAGGTTAGGTATTAAGTCTTGTTAGGTTCCTAAATCTCAACTAAAAGAGTAATTAACTAATTTAACTAACTTCCTGGTTCTTAGTTCACTCAGAAATTGTACCAACCAGAACTTCCTAAGTACCTTAATGCCTCGGTTGAGTTCAAATGCCTGACCTTAGCACTGACCTGATTAGCTTTACTATTGACATCCTTTTTCCATCAACTCATCACAATGACTTGGCCATTTTCCCCAAAAAAAAAAAACAAATTCTGGCATATGCTAATCTAGCCGGGCGATCCATTCATCGATGAGTTGCGATGATCATTAGCATTCCGAATAGACCAAGACAACTCAACTTGGCCGGGGTTCGGGTTTAGGCCAACTCAACACCATAATGATGATGAAGATGATGACGATGATAAAGCCAAAAGGTGAATTCGTGTAGTTAGCAACCGTTTGCCAAATTTCAGACTATTTACAAGCCCTCTTCACACGCAAACAGTAAAAACGATTTCAGCACTCGCCGAAAAGAAAGGGAAAACTAATATTTAGGATTTATTATGACATTTTCCAAGGAAAAATAGATATGTTAAGGAAAAAAACGGTTAGGATAATGTTTTAAGTTAACAATTTCCTTGAAAATACTGAGAAAAACTGAAAAAGTTTGTATAAGAAAGTACTCTTTAAAAGTCTTCCATCTTTTGTATTTCCTTAAGAACTTTTCCATTTCCTTTTGTCTAAATCACTTAGCCAAAACTCTTTAAAGGCTATACCAATTCAAATTTTCTTTAAAAAACTATTAACACCAATTGCTTTTATGACAGTTTTTCATTTCACTTCTCTAGTTCTGTGGGCTGTTGCTAGCTAGCTTGCAGCTCATCAGTGTTCCCATTTCTGAGATCTTTCTTTCTTTCTCTCTTTCACTTTTCACCGACCAACTTTCCTACCGCCTCCCTCCAGAATGTTCCAATTAGATAAAGACAAAACGTAAACCATTACCATTTACCCATATCATTTCGATGGATCATCTTTCTTTGCTTTCAAATAGCAATTAAGTGCGGCTTTATATGGCGGCCTAAACCTCTATTAGACAGAAACTTCAACTTAACAATGCTACGGATATTGCTTCTGATTTGTTTGAAAATTAGAACGGGCTACCGTTAGAAAGGCCTTCCTTTGGGTTTATCCCTCGTTTCATTGAGATCGTTTTCTATCTCACGGCATGGCATTTCATTAATAACAGCTGATGCCGATGATCTGCCGGCCACCTGTGGCCCGCGCTACCGGGCTCTCTCAAATTAACAAAAAAAAAAATCCAAACTCCGCATGCTGCTGCTTAATTATTCATGAGCATTGGCATTTACTTTATGTATTTTTTTTGTGGAATTTTTGTTCGAGCGTGTTACCAATACCGTAATCCATTTAACTGTTTAATGTGACAAGGGCGGGGGGCTGGCTGGTTGGCTTTTGGGTTGGGTCTTGGAGTCTATAGGCCTAGCGGCGTTTGGGGTTTCTCTTCTACGATTTTTTTTGGCTGAGGTTTGGATTTAGTTTCACTTTCAGAGTTCCTAGCTATTAGTATTCCCATTCTTTGGTTTGATCTTGCCTTTCCTTTTTTACTATTCCTTTTCTTATTTATATTTCTATATCTAAATAGTCCTATATATTCAGATTCCCCTTCCGATTTTGCATTATTGAATGCACTGCAAGCGAAACAAATCATAGCTTGGCTAAGCAGAAACAATAGCTACACTGAGGGAAAAAGTTGTGGTGGAGTTGCTAAGATATAACCACTTTAAGTTCCCTTTAAGAAAATGTTGTGGTGTGAAGAGTTTTGATGACATAAAATGATATTTTATGGGAATTTTTAAAGCTTTATATGAAGTAATATTCATTACAAACTTTGAGTTAACTTTAAGTCTCAAAAAGTAGTAAAATATTTCCTTGTTTTTCTAGTACTAAAATATTTACTTTATTATTATAAAAATTCAAGTTTTCTCCTTAAAATCCGCCCAAAGTTTCCTTTCAGTGCATTAAAACTTAAAACCCAAACTAAGTGCCTCGAGTGTGGCAATATAATCGAGTGTGTTTCTGAATCATTGCATCATTTGGCAAACTCGGGAGAGTCGGTGGCAGCAGTATCTGCATTTTGTTTTTCAGTATCTCAGTCTCAGGTCTTCCAACTCCAGTCAGCTGGATCACCAGAGAGTGTGCAGATATATAGAGAGATATTTAGAGAGATATATCAAGATATATACACACGAAGTATAGTGAGTCTTAAAGTCTGGAGTGTTTGTTTTGGGTGCAATGTGTACAAATCGACACTCGAAAACCGCTTTACAAGCAACGGGAAATTCAGTCAACACAGACTGCAGGCCAAATTGAAATTGAGATTTACAGGAAAAGTGAAAAAAATATAAGCGAGACTTGACAATCACTCTCACGTCAATCATTGCCAGTAATCTTGATTGACTCACTCAAGTTTCGCCTGCCTGAGAAAGTCACTAAAAAATTCAGTTTTTTAGCTTTTTTTGAGTTCAGTGTCGAGTTTTTTGGTGGGGGGTTCAAGGTCGTGCCAAGACAATGATTAAGGTGACAATTTTTTGATATATCGGTTAAGGTATCATATCATAGTTTCTGTTATAGAAATGATAATCAAAGTTAAGCAATCTGTAAACTGAGAGATAATATAAGAAATACCAATCAGAAGTTCAAATTACAGCCTATAAAACTGCTACAAAACATATTTAATCAAGAATTTATAAATGTTAATAAAATAATCATTTTAATAGCCCTAAAAACTAACGGTTTCACCATTGATAGTAAACCAAAACCACCTGCAATCACCTTCGTGTGCGATTATAGGATAAATGGCTTAAAGTTAACGACGTGCCGCCAAATATTTCATAATCCACTCATGTGCAACGATCGTTGCAAGGCAAGTCATTTGAAAGTATTCAAATTCGTAGCCAGCCACACACAGTAGACGCCACCTAAAACCAACAATGGTTCTACAGGTTGATAAACACAACAGTGGGTGTAGAGGGAGTGTAAGCTGGTTACAGAGGGAGTAAGCCAACAGAGGGAACTCAACAACCTAACTCAAAGCTTCCACCTTCAAGGGGAGTTATGCAAGACGAGCTGCTGGCTGGAGATGACCCCCACAGCCTTATCCCCATCATTAAATTCCCTGACGATGTGTGTGTCTGTTTGTGTTGATGCCAGAAATATTTTTTGGCATGCAGCGCAGGGGAGACACGCCCCTGACAGATTCGAGTTCGCATTTCGAATGCATTGCTGCAAGCGGATATTAAGTTATGAATAAATACACTGGGAAAAAGAAGGTTAAAAGTGAGTTAGGGGGAAAAAAAAAGTGGAAAACTCAACCTCAACTTTTAGAACCCCATTCACTGAGTTCATTACTTTTCTGAGTGTAAATTCTGATCGGGATATCCTACGCCGGTCCAGTCCAATTTCCCAACAACCAAACCGGATCGTATCGCAGTAGCTCCAAGCGGTGTGGCACGGCATGGAGTGGAGTATAGTGTGTGGCATGGCATGGTATGGTAAAGTGGGTTAGGCGGTCTGCAGGTCTACAGGTTTGGTGCCGCCGCCATGGAAATGGCATGAAATGAACTGAAACGCCGCTGATACTTGGCAATTGCACCTCAATGAATGAATGAACACGGACGGACTGACCGATCGAGCTGGCTGGCTCTCTCAGATGGTTGCCAATCGCCAAAAGCCAAAAAAAAAAACAAAACTTGGAGAGGAGATTGGCTCTACGTGAGCCGGTTAAAACGGACAGGCTTCGGTGGTTAACTATTCGTACCTCAAATTGTGTCAACTGGGCAATAAAAATGTATCAAAAAAAAAAAAAAATTTATCAAAAGACAACTACCTTAAAAATGAAGAACCACTGCAAAATATTGATTTGCTTTTATGATATTTTTGATTACTTTTGATTTACCCAATCGAAAACATGAAATTTGTATTACGACACCACCAGACGGTGCACAAATATTTGCTGTTAATCGAATTAACACCAAGGGATCAAAGTTGGTCAATAGATTATGTAAAAGTTGTAGCTTTGAGAGGAAAGATTATGAATCTGTTAAAAAAATAAAAAAAAAAAGGAAAACTTAAACCAATTAAAATGCAATTTCCATGCCAAAGGAAATTCAATATTCTGTTAATTACCATTTCCTTTTCAACACATTCTTTCCCACATTCCATTTAGTAATTATTTGTGGCTTTAATAAATCGCTTTCCATTAATAAATCACTGGGAATCGTTTGCCGTTTTACAGCTTAATACACAGCCGCTAAGTGATTTTTATATGGCAATCAACACAGCTGTTCCATCCGAATGCGTTTCCCCCTAATATACATTCACGTACTTTTGTTTTTGTTTTTGTTTTCCCGAAGTTGGGGAACTACGGCAAGAGGCCTTAACCAACTTTCGGTTAACGAGCATTAAACAATTACGAAAATAATGCAATCAACTCGAATTTTCGGCATGCATATTCATTTCATAAGCGGCATTTATGATTGCTGAGCCAGTGAATGTCCCCAATGTTTGGTTTTTTTTATTGCTTTTCTAGATCTTTAGCTATTTGCTAAGAAAAACTTAAGAGAAACTGTGCAAAAATCTTTGAACTTTATCAGTTTCATCGGAGCAAAAGCTGAGTTTGTAAGGCATTATATGACTAATGTGTTTTTAATCTTTTTTTAAGTTTATAAATAATTAAAAAGATTGCCTAGCTTTAAGGACATTGGAAGGTATATCCAAATATTTTTTAACGGGGACATATGCTTATAAGCCCACTGTACTACTTGTAGGATAGGTAAGATACGTAAGACACCCACTGTAAAAGAGAACAGAATTGAACAGACAAAATTAACTGTAAGCTTTATATTGTTATCCCTTTCTGCTGTATGCATTGGCATAAGAGATCGAATGCACGTTCATACATGTATGTATATGCATATATCTCTGGCGGATGAGGGAGGATAAGAACAAAGAGGAATTGCGAGCTACGGTTGTTATTGCTATCGCTTTCTACCGCACGCATTACCTCAAGAGATCGAAAGCACGTAAAAACATGCAGATAAACATACCTCGCTGACGGATGAGCGAGGATAAGGATAAAGAGGAATTGCGAGCTTCGGTTTTTATTGCTATCGCATTCTACCGTATGTATTAGCATACGAGATATATTTCGCTGGCAAATGAGCGAGGATAAGGATAAAGAGGAATTGCGAGCTTCGGTTGTTATTGCTATCGCATTCTACTGCATGTATTAGCATACGAGATATCTCAAGCTGGCGAATGAACGAGGATAAGGATAAAGAGAAATTGCGACATTCAGTTATTGAAGTTAAGCAAAAGCAGCCGGACAAAAATTAAAGAAGAACTTAAGAACTTTTCATTTCTAAGCCACACTTTGATTTGCAATTCCAAATAATTGCCTTCAAAGAGCTAAACTTAACTAAGCTAAACTAAACTAAACTAAAGTTAATAATAATTGGTTACGTTTATGTGAGTTAACTGTTAAATGGCTAATAAAAAGCAAACAAATTGCGTCAGTTGGGCGTCGCGCACAGTCAGATGCGGGGAAGTCGAGGCCGAAGTTTAGGCGAAAGTTTTTTCTACTTTTTATTTGTGTTAGTATTAGTAAATGTGTATGTGTGTGTGTGTGTGTGTGTGTATGTTAGCACCTGTGTCTATGAGAAATGGCTGGAGCACGTAGCCAATATGTCAGTATGCCAAACAATGTGCCACAGTGGGGTTACGGTGGCGCGAATTGATATTAATGGCTCGTCAAAAACGGTCGCCAAGGGTTAAAGCTAAAGGGAAATATATATATACATTCATCACCGATCTGGGCAGCATAAATCAGGCAACCATTATGTGCTTGTCGTATGCTAATTACCAATACCCTTACCCTTACCCTTAGCCCTGCTTTAGTGCATCTTCGGGTTGGATGGAAAAGGTGGGACAGGTTTTGACACCCTAATCGCGGGAGATGCAAATGCAGGCGAGACAAGCGTTTGATGGAGCGTGGAGAGCTTGAAGTTGGTTACTAATCCATTATCTTAGATTAACTAACATCTTCATTACAGATTTTAAGAAATGGTCATAAGTTTTAAAGTTAAGAAAGGTATCAGTGGTATGGTAACAAAGGTAAAAACTAATAGTACCTCATAAATTATTTTAGAAAATCCCAAACTATCATATTTGATCCATTATTTACTTTTACTTTTGGGTAAATATTTTTTAAATCTTTCCTTAAACTTCTTAAAAATCTTCAACACATATTTAAAAATTTTCATATAATTCCTCTACTCAACCACAGGGTATTACCCACTTCGTTACCCCTATATAATTATTAAAATTTTACACTTTTTCTCTATGGCTTTGGCACGCTTTTCGCCCCGCAGCTCATCATGTTAGCCAAGTAAAATAATTGCTGACCAAGTTTTCCGCAAACTGACATTTGATTTCCGTTTGTTTGTTTTTGTTTTTTTGTTTTCTGTGTTGCCCGTTTTGTCATGCCTTTTTCTCAGCCAAGTTAACATTTTAGTTTAGTTAAGTCGTCTCTTGATTGTTGCCTGTCACTGGTAATTTGTATTTTCATTAACGACAACTCTTCCTATATGTTTAACAGCGGTCTGGTCTATACTATACTATGAGCCAGCGACAGTCGAAAAAGAAAACGGAATTCCGATTTGGAAAACACCCAAGTTGTCAAAATCGTTTTGTTGGCCAATTTGTCGGTTTAAATTGGTTGCACTCACGTTTCTTGGTTGCAAGTTGGCAACTATTCGTATAATGCTGGGAACTTTCAGAGAAAAAAAAACAGATTATTATCTTAACAAATGCGTAACTACGGCTGGGATATCCGCTAATTGGTAGAGCCTGAAATTGCTGGGTGGAAAATTATCGTGTTTTTCCTTCTCTACAAAGTTTTAGTTGAGGTTTTTCTTTGTTTTTATTATTAGTTAGTTTCTTGCTGCGGGTTAGTTATTTATTTAGTTGGCTGTTTTACTTCCTATTTTGGTTCATTGACACGAAGTTTTCTTGATTTTCTTGGCATTACTTTAAGTTTCTTGAAGGTAAAATATATCTTTATATATTTTCCACAATTTATGACTAAATTTTACCTTATATTTAACCTTTTCCAACCCCCCTCTTAAACCTTTATATTTATTAATAACAATTTAACACTAACTAAGTGGTCTTTAGACCCATTGAGCAACTTTTCTGCAAACGACTTTATAGTTTGTCACATTTTAAATGCCACTCGTTGAGATCCGCGTACTCATAGATACTCAGATACTCAAATAGCCGCCAGTAACAGATACCATAAAGCCCATTTAAAGGGCAAAAGTACGAAGGGGAGGTCATTTCGTTCATTGCCTCATGGATATTTCTCACTGAGCTTGGCCTAATGGGCGTTTAACACCGGCTTTTGAGCCCCGCTTGTTTGGTAATTAAGTTTTTGGCCACTACTGGGCAATTTGGTTTTTGTTTTTTTTTTTTGGGGGAGTGGGCGTGGCAGCTATTGGCTAATGCGATTTCATTGTCGCTTTTGTTTACTTGCGAAAAAAGTATGAAAGAAAAAAGAGATATTATCGGATTTATTTTTGTCAGCTTGTTTGGGTCTTTTGGCCAGATTTGCTAATTGATTTCACCCAGTCTTTATCTCCACCCTACCTATGTTTTCTCCTTTTGTTTATATCACATATATACTATATATATATCTATGTATCTCTTACAGAACCCAACCCCAATCAACGGCCTGTCAGGCCATGAAGGACAAGCGCTGCTGTTGGACAAGAGGAAAGGTCTTGGGCGGCAGTTCGGTGTTAAATACCATGCTCTATATTCGAGGAAATAAACGAGATTTTGATCAGTGGGCGGATTTTGGTAATCCTGGATGGGCCTACGAGGATATACTGCCCTATTTCAGGAAGTCTGAGGATCAGCGTAATCCCTATTTGGCCAGGAATAAACGTTACCATGGCACAGGTTGGTTTCTTGGGGCTATTTTAAAGTGATTTTTAAGTTTCTGAAATAGAAAGAAAGTTATTGAGTTTATAAACTCAAATTAGATATACAGTCATATTTTACAGATTTTTTAAAGCTTACTTGAAGCAGCAAGAATCTCTGAATAAATCATTTCACCTTCAGAGGTTTTCAAAGTCATTTAACCATAAAACTTGCAGCAATAAATCTTTTTCTTTTCGAAAGTGGCAGCACCAACTAAAACTAAATTGCAAGAGAAATAGAAATTCAAGAGCATGAAAGTGAAAAGAAACTTAGAAATCGTTATCCAAAATGATAAACCTTACTAATACTAAACCCTCCTCTGTTTTAGGTGGCCTTTGGACCGTGCAGGATGCTCCCTACAACACACCCATTGGTCCTGCCTTCCTGCAGGCTGGCGAGGAAATGGGCTATGACATCATCGATGTAAATGGCGAACAACAGACGGGTTTCGGTTTCTATCAGTTCAATATGCGACGTGGATCCCGCAGTTCTACAGCCAAATCCTTCCTACGACCAGCTCGTCTGCGACCCAATCTTCATGTGGCCCTCTTCTCACATGTCACCAAAGTCCTAACAGATCCACATACCAAGCGAGCCACTGGCGTACAATTTATACGCGATGGTAGATTACAGAATGTATATGCCACTAGGGAGGTGATCTTATCAGCTGGTGCTATAGGAACACCACATCTAATGATGCTATCCGGGATTGGACATGGCGAGGAGTTGAGTAGAGTGGGAATTCCGTTGGTGCAACATTTACCGGGAGTTGGACAGAATCTTCAGGATCACATAGCCGTTGGTGGCATAGCCTTTCTCATTGACTATCCCATTTCGATTGTGATGAAACGAATGGTTAATATCAACACTGCCCTGAGGTATGCCATCACGGAAGATGGTCCTCTGACCTCCAGTATTGGTCTGGAGGCAGTGGCCTTCATCAATACGAAATATGCCAATGCCAGTGATGATTGGCCGGATATGAACTTTATGATGACCTCGGCATCGGTGATGTCGGATGGTGGGACTCAAGTGAAGACCGCTCATGGGTTAACTGATGAGTTCTACCAGGAGGTATTCGGTGAGGTTAACAATCGTGATGTCTTTGGGGTTTTCCCTATGATGCTGCGACCCAAGAGCAGGGGCTATATAAAGTTGGCTTCGAAGAATCCTTTAAGATATCCCCTACTATATCATAACTACCTCACCCATCCGGATGATGTGAATGTCCTTAGGGAGGGCGTCAAAGCGGCCGTGGCCATGGGTGAAACGGAGGCGATGAAGAGATTTGGTGCCCGCTTCTGGAACAAACCGCTGCCAAACTGTAAACACCTAACACTATATACCGATGAATATTGGAACTGTTTCATTAGGCAGTATACGATGACTATCTATCATATGAGTGGCACTGCGAAAATGGGTCCACCCTCAGACCCATGGGCAGTGGTGGATCCCCAACTAAGGGTTTATGGCATACCCGGATTGAGGGTTATCGATGCCAGTATAATGCCAGCGATTACGAATGGTAATATCCATGCACCGGTGGTGATGATAGGCGAAAAGGGTGCCGATATGATAAAACAACTTTGGCTGACCCCCAGCACGACGGCAACAGTGGGGGTTCAAGGTCAAGGCGGCCCAAGTCCACGTCAAGGTTATAAGACAAGTCCAACGCCGCGAACTCAGTGGCGGAGTAAGCGATCATTGAACGCCAGTGAAACTTTGGACATTGGAACATCGCCAGTCTATCAATGGCCACTGCCAAGATCGTAGCGGGTTTTTATCAGGGGCGGGGTTTTAAAAGGGGTCAAATAGGGGGAGGGGTTGCATATGGGTCGGTTCACTCGTCGTGTGTGTGGGGGGGGCTTAGCACAAATTTCCGCCTTCGAAATAAATTTAATTTATTAAGCTCAATTTGCTATCTCTTTCTCTCTCAATTAATATTAATCGAAGACTATTATACTGCACTTAAAGGGACCCCCTGCCCCCTCCATCCTTGACCTTAGTCACTTAAGCGCTTCATGTAAATATCGAGTCATTTATGCTAATTCTTAAATATGTTTTTTTTTTTTTTAATATCGCTCGTCTGTTGTTGTGTGTGTCGAAATGTGTATTTTTTGTGTTTGTTTTATTTTTGTTTATTGTTTGTTTGTTTTTTTTTCTGACGCCGCGTACATTTTGAGTACCTCAATTAGTCCATAAGTCGAAGTTTACGATTACGATTACGATAACGATGCAAATGTTTGATTAGTTCTTAAAAGTAAATGAAGTTAATAAAACGATTAAATACAAATATTAAGTTAAGTGATGAGTTTTTGAACTATTTGGGCTTTACTTGTGATTAATCTATAGTTCAGTTTTAATAATAAACAGATTTAAGATAATTTATGAACAATTTTTACAGTTTTCTTCTGGCTAAACAGTTTTATGTTTGTTATCAAAACATCATTTTATAGTTAAGCAAACTTTGTAAGTTTAAAAACTAAAAAAGAAATCTAATTAACTTCCATTTAGCCTGTCATTCAGTTTAAAAGTTCATCAAAATCAAAAATCAGACAGTTTTAAATCCCACAGCTTATGCCGGCTTACTTACAGTTTGATAGCGGCTTATGACTTCCTAGTGAGCTACAGTTTGAAATATAATATCATAGCTCATCCCGGCTAACTTACAGTTTGATAACGGTTTACGAACTCCCATTAAGCTACAGTTTGTTATATCATAGCTCATCCCGGCTAACTTACTGTTAACGTTGTTTTATCAATTTCCATTGAGCTACAGTTTGAAATGCACCATTAAAAGCTTAGCCAAAGCTTACCTGTAATGAAAGATAAAAATTGATTATTAGTAAGCTAACTAGTTTCAAATGAAAGCTTAAATTTGATGTAAGCTGGGGCAAAAACCTTTTTTTTTTACTGTCATTTTGAAGGAAAAATAAGAATAAATAAAAGTTTCGCTTTTCTTGTTAGGGGTAAAAGTTACCATTATCTTATAATTTTGTCAAGAATAAGAATTTAAAGATTTCGACTAGTATTGACTTAGTTATGAACAAAATTTTGAAATTTTGGGCGCCAAATCAAGTATACGTCTTTTGACAGCACAGAGCCAGATTTTGTTGCAGTTTCTTAGCTCTAACTTTGTCTAAACAAGACGCATTGCTAAAAACAATGACTGTTTTATGCAGCTAACTACCGAAACTAACGGCTCCTATACTTTCTTCATCAATATTATTCTGCTCTTTTGCTGCGAGTGATGATTGAATGGCTAAAAAATCCAAAAAGCCCATTTTTAACAGAATTTTGCAGTATTATGTCCAGATTTGTAGCTCTAGCTCGGCCAAAACATGACTTACAGTCATAAGAACGACTGTTTTGTGCTGCTAACGACCAGCACTTACCACCCCTATCACTCGTTTTTCGATTTTGGGAAAGTCAATTTTGACCCAAATTTCGCATTTTTGATAAGGGGTACCATCATCAAAATTTTCAAAAATGGCCCAAAAATGAAGTTTCCCAGATTTGAATGCAAATCGATTGGGAATCATGGCAATCAAATTACGAGCCCTACGAGGTATTACATTCCATATTTTGACCATTTTTAGTTTAGTTATGAACAAAATTCTGATATTTTGGGCGCGAAATTACGTATACGTCTGTTGACAGCAGAGAGTCCATTTTTGTTGAAGTTTCTTAGCTCAAACTCTAAACTTTGAATGCATTAAGAATTAATAGAGTCTATTGTCCTTGATTTCAGTTACAATCTTTTTAAGAATATATGTCTCCACTTTAGATAGAGTCACTCCAAAATGTGTAAGTTAGTTAAATAGAAAGAAGGACCAGCTGGTTTATTACTCATACGCTCTGTTGGAAATGTAGCATACTTCTGCGCTGATGGATTTCTTGGGAAAAGTACTTTTGATATAATTGCAACAAAACTAACTTGAATGTTGATATTTGGAGAATTAAAAAACGAACTTAACGAGATATTACATTCTATATTTGGACCATTTTAGGCTTTGCTATGGAAATAACACTGATTTTATAATTCGAAAAAAACAGATATCGAATATAGAAAAAATACTATTACTTCTTTCCGCACTGGGATTTGAGCCGCTGTACCTTGGAGTTTGAATCCCCTACCCCCTGAGCTAATCAAGATGACATAAGTTTTGAAAACTAACCGATGTAGCTCATGTCATTTGGAAAATGTAACGCTAAGGACGAGAACCTAAGTTGGCTGTTGCCGACATACTTTAACTAATGGAAGTAGCTGTAACTTATATTAAAAATTTTGAATCTGTCACAACGCCGCCGACGGTGGCGTTGGGGGCTAAATTGACTCCCAAAAAATGTTAAGGCGCCGTCGGTCCGGGTTCGAGTCCCGGTGAATATCTAAGAGCATGGAAACACGAGAACTATAAATAGCGTCAATAGACATGTCTGCAGCCTGCACAAGGAAAAATACATCATTGACATGCATATTAATTGGTCAGGCACGGCACAGCAACCCAGGTTCCCGACTTCTGTGGAGATTCTATTTCAAATTTAATGAGTGAAGTTTAAATCAAAATTTAAAGTGATTAAATAAAATACAAAATTGAATGTGTAGATTTTTTTTTAACTTGTTTTAAGAAAAGAACGAAGGATTTATATTTTGTTCAATAATTTGCCTTCAATTTGGATCATTAATAGCTTAGCTAGGGAAAAAATTGGATACTTTTAGGGGAAAAATAAGGAGAGTCAAAGTTTTCAAAACAAAATCCACAGCTGAAAGGACGCTGGTTCTGTTTATCAACGAACTTTATTTTATTGTTATATTTGATTTTAGAATTACGATTATATTAGTTAGTTTATTTATATTTGGATTAAGTGTTACTTTAAGGTTCTGTATGTTAGATAAGCCCTATAAACCTCATAAGAACATCAAACTAGGGATCATTAACTCATGGCCATAATAAATCTACTAAATTAGATTAACTACAGCAAAGGTTTGAAGAGAAGTTAGCCTACTTTTAAGCTCTATTTTAATATATATACAATATATAAAAGAAAAGGTCCTAGTTAATGGCCAAAATATTGAAGAGAAATAAGCCTTTACATTGCCCTAAGCTTTAAAAATTGTTAGACATTTTTAGAATTTTTGTAAAGTAAAATATATATTTTATTGTAATTTTTGGATTTCGTTTAATCCCAATGGCGTTTTGAATATAAACAGCAAATTTTACTATTAACAGCAATTTTTAAAAATTTTAAACATTTAAAAATAAACAACAAATTTAAAAGGTAACAGAAATTTTTGAATTTTAAAGAAAGTCATCTGAAAGTGAAGTTAACGGCCAGTTAATAAAATTCCCCTTTTAACGGCTATGCCAGCTAACTCCAGGTTAACCAAAATTTTGTGCACTCGGAGGAACTTGATTTGCGATGCCTATTGTATAATGTATTTATCTGTATATATATATATATATATATAACCCATATGTATATAGAAGCAAGATAAACCTAACATTTGCTGGTAACAATACACATATTACGCATACGCCTTGTTGTCGGTTCGACTATCATAATTTATAACGAAACTTGTGCAAAATTTGCACAACTTCTGCCCAAGTGCACAAATCAATGGGAATTGTTGGGGGAGTGGTGAGAGATAGATGGTTCCACATTGCGTATACTTAATGTTACCATATTTAAATTGCATAAACTGCATTATTAATGCAACTTGGCAGCAAATTTGCATGTGGCAGGCATTCAGCACAACAAGAAAAAGACATTTAATACAATTTAATTGATTTCCATTGCCTTTTCATGCCTCAATTCATTTTCGGAGAATTAAGAACTGTCATTAATTTGTCATCGAATTACGTTTTTTTGGGGGTAAGGCCAATTACTAAGCCAAATATTAGCAGATTGTCATAATATTTGCCTTCTTTTTGTGATCCTGTAATTGGTTTTTGCAACATTTTAACACCATTTTGATTAGTTTTCAATTAGTTTAAGGACTAGGCTTTAATCTCTGGCCAGAGCCTCGATTCGTGCGAAATTGACTGATAAATAAATGGAATTTATTGTGCCACCTTCTCAGCTTCCAATTTGCAGTTTACAATTGCAATGGCAGTGGCAAAGAGCCAGGGATTAAACCAGATTAAGTCCACTCGAATTTCAATGTTGTTTAGTTTAGCCTTGCCATTTATCTGTACTTTTAGTCGAATATAAATTGTATTTATATCAGAACAGTAGCCAAAAAGTAGGCTAACTTCTCTCTAAATCACCGCTGTAGTTTACCTGTTTTAGCAGATTTATTATGGCCATGAGTTAATGATCTCCAATTTGATGTTCTTATGAGGTTTATAGGTCTTATCTAACATACAGTACCTTAAAGTAACTCTTAATTAAAATATAAATAAACTAACTACAATAATCGTAATTCTAAAATCAATTATAATAATAAAATAAAGTTCGTTGATAAACACAACCAGCGTCCTTTCAGCTGTGGGTTTTGTTTTGAAAACTTTGACTTTCCTTATTTTTCCCCTAAAAGTATCCAATTTTTTCCATAGCTAAGCTATTAATGGTCCAAACTGAAGGCAAATTATTGAACAAAATAAACATCCTTGATAACCTTATCTTTAAACACGTTAAAAAAAAAAACTACAAATTTCTTTATTCACTCTTTAAATTGTAAGTCAAATTTATTGTTTTCTATAAAGTTTCTAATATTTCACAGATATTTTCTACTACCTTCTAAAGACATTGTCTATTGACATCATTTATAGTACCGGCCATTTTCTCGTGTTTCCATGCTCTTAGATATTCACCGGGACTCGAACCCAGACCGACGGCGCCTTAACATTTTGGGGGCAACTTTGCCCCCAGCGCTACCGTCGGCGGCGATGAGACAGTTTTCAAATGTTAAATATAAACTACACCCAGTTCGATTAGTCAAAGTATGTCGGCAACAGCCTACTTAGGTTCTCGTCCTTAGCATCACACATTCCAAATGACAGGATGTACATCGGTTAGTTTTGAAAACTTACGTCAGCTTGAATAGCTCAGGGGGTAGAGCATTGAAACTCCCAAGTACAGCGGCTCAAATCCCAGTGCAGAAAGAAGCAATTTTCTTTTTTTATCTTTTTATATACCCGATTCCTGTTTTTTCCAATTAAAATTCTTATGAAGAAAAATGTAAAATTAATTTAAATTTTAAAGTTTTCCAAAAAATCAGTAAAATTTTAAATATTAACATTTGAAAAATTCAAAAATCAACCGAAAAAAGCTAACTGAATGTTAACTTTTGAATGTTAACGACTAGTTAACAATAAAATTAGGTAACTCAATGTTAGCCGAAATTTTGTGCACTCCGCGGCACTTGTAATTCCCAACTGGTTCTAGCATAAATGTTGTGACTAGGGCGCTGTTGGCCGGTGAAAATTAGTTAAGTCATCTTTGTGTGTGTGTGTGTGTGTGTTCTAGTACAGTGCTTCCAAGTGTCTCTGAGTGGTCCGGTGGTACCACCTATCATATTGGTGGTACCTGGACATGGCCTCCATGGAAGATGCAGTGCATCATGGATCTTTGTGGTGGACTTTCGATGACGTGTGATGCTGGATATACATGATCGTCCATGGACTTAGGGAAGTCGGAAATCAAGGTAAGTGACAAACGTTTTAATATTTTTACTGCATAAGCCGAGGGGCATAGCTGGCCCATAAGAATAAGTTAAGTTCATTTAAGTTAAGTGAAGCTTGCCAAGCTGGGATCACTCCGAGTCCCAGACTTTAAGCCATAGCAAAAAACTGGCTTAAAGTTTGTTTAACTTTTAGAAAGCTGCCAACAGCTTGACCTAAGCCAAGTTTATGAAGCTTTTTTTATATGGAAAATAGAGCAAGTCTCTCATAAAGATAGTAGTAAAATGTTTTTTAAAACAGAAATAATATTTTTTAGGTATAAAATATAGAATAAAAAAAGTTTAGGGCTTAAAAAATGAGTGTAAGAATGGATAAAGTTGGCCCAAATGGAGTTTATAAACAATTTTGGAGACTTAAACAAAGAGAAACAAAAGCAGCTAAAAATATACGAGGTGTGTTCAAAAAGTAAGGTGACTCTTCAAATTTCGCGAATTTCAAATTTTTCGAGTATAACTTCTAAAAGGTATAATCGAAAAATTTGAAATTCGCGAAATTTGAAGAGTCACCTTACTTTTTGAACACACCTCGTATTTAAAATATGTTATTAAAATTAAACATTTCTGATTTTATTGTATTATCAAATCAGAGATTAAGTCATGAACTTTCTTAAAGTAAACCCCCCGAGAAAGTAGTTCAAGTAGCTTGCAGTTTGAGTTCAAGAAGAAAGTACTAAAAAGCTATTAAATCAAGTTAATTTAATTTTTAAATTAGTTTATAAATGTAAAAATATTATTGTTTGTTTTCATTAACTAAGAAATGTAACTTCCCTACAACCCACAGAGTAAAAAGTGCAAGGAAGCCAGCGTTATGCAATCGGAATAGATAACCAATGCAGTTCCTCATTTCTCATTATCGGATGAATATACTCGTATATACACCAAGGCATTAGTCCAGCGGATCTAAGTAATCCGATGCGGTTTGTTAGAGTTAATGCCAATGCCATAATCTACGATGATCTCCCTTTCTGGCCAAATTAATTGCATTTTTTACAATTTCATTTACGATTTAAGCCGATCACGATGATCATTGCAATTAGGTAGACACATTAAAGGCCAACAATAGTTGCAGTTAACGGTGCGTATAGGGATAATAAATAATTCCAACAATTGAATAATGCATTTTGGCCGGCTCCAATAATTTGTTAACAAAATGCACTACAAATCAAGGCGGCCTGTGTCTGTGTTTGCTTGGCTAATTGCCACAGGCCTCTGATTTTAGCGTTTTTTTTTTTTTTTTTTTTTTTGTTTGTTTGCCACATTTTTTTTTCTTTCGGTTTTTGGTTTTTAGTTTGGGTCGCGGAAGACGGCCATAAATCTGAGCCACAATGCTTAACTCGCCCGGCTTGATTCCAGGCGGTTAAAGCCCAACTTTAAGGCCGATTCCAATCCAAATCCCCAGTGCTCTCAAGTGCAACGCATAAATATTTATGCTGCATAGCAATGACCGTCCAAAATTTTGCAGTCATCTGAACGAAAATGAAAGTTGCCTGCACTTCTCAGGCCCCCCCAGGTCCCTGAAAACGATACACGATCAGCTTCTCCTGCCAGCAGCTGCTCTACTTCAATCCTCTAAGCCTTCGCTACCGCCCCATAGAGGGGGACACTTGCAGAAAAAATCTATGCTAAATGTGTCTTTGCTAATTCTGAAGATTAAATTTATTTTTTTCTGGATTTCTTACTTCTTTTGGCCTACTTTATAGATTCTTAAATATTAAGTAAATAATTTTTAGTAATTTTTATATTTAACTTTAAGAAAATCTTAATTTTTCCTCAGTGCAATGTCAAGCTGAAACTCGCCTGTTTAGCCTAACTTTTGGCCTGGTTGTCGGAAGACGGCCAGCATGCAGCAGCAAAATATATTTGCGATCACAGCGGAACCGCAAGCTGAGCCGCTCTGCTGGCGAAATTCATTACCTCCTCCCCTCCCCTGCATTTACTTAATTTATTTTCGGTCTCCAGCTCTGTATTTTGCATAGAGTTCAATGGGGGGCAATTGCACCTGATAAATGCCCCCCGCAAAGAGATCGCAGGGTTCAGCAAGTTGTTCAACTCTTTGACTCGCCTAATGAATGGAGCGAATGTGAATGGATTTATTTCGAGTAGGTTGTGGTTTTTCCGGTGATCGTCAGGGGCGGGCAAATCAAATTTAAACCATATTAGAGGTTAATGGAGGAGATGTTTGGTAAAGTAAAGTAGAGTTTGGTAAATTTATTAAAAGTTTTTAATGTAAAAAAAGAAAATTGTATAGAAAATATATACAACTTTGTTTTAAAACCATTTGCCTTAAGAAGTATAGGTTTTTTCAAAGGAAAAACCAATCTTCCCCTCTTAAGTAGGCAAGAATTCTAAGGCAAACCAAGAACCTTAAAATCCTCTTAAAAAACCAATAATATTCCCTCTTTCTGATATTTAAAAGTAGTAAAATCTCAAAAAACAATTACGAAACCAATACCATTTCCAACCAACTCGAACTGTTGACAAAGCTCTTGAAAGACTTAACTATTAAGCACTTTTACCCTTCGATTGCAGATGGCCAAATGGAATGGGAGTACTACCAGTACTCCAAAGTAAACAAACCGGAAATCTCATATCTCAAAAATCCAAAATCAAATCCAAATCCAAATCCAAGAAATTCAATCTTTATGGCCTTGTTGCTATTGGCGGCCAGTTAGTTAAACGCTCAACTTTTGGATTTGGGAATCATGAATAATAAAACGGTAAGTCGATTGCCAGACTTGTAAATCGCTGGCGATGATCGCTGCGAGCAGTTTTTAGCTTAACCAAAGAAAGCCTCCAAACCGGCCGTAGTACACTACTCTCTCTCTCTCTCTTTCTATACGATATACCTGTCTTTTTCTTTTGAAATCCCGAAAAGCTTTTTGGCAGCGCGTTAACAAACGTTGAATGGAGCACGTAGCTCAATGACAAAAAACCGAAGACAGCCGAAGAGTTGAAGAAATGGAAACGAAATCGAAAGTGCAGCCATCTCATGGTCAGACGACACTGGGAGGAAAAATCTAGGAAAATTAATTTTCAAGTAAGTAATATTTTAACTTTAAGGAAATTAAGTTAAACAAGTTGTAAGTTTAATAAGTTAAGCAACAAAAAGTAAAATATATCCTTTTTAAGCCTTCTAAAAACCAATTTTTGTGTAAAAAATCATAAATCTACAATTTTAAGCAGCTTAAAAGTCTTAAAATTCTTCCTTTTCCTTTGATTCAAATTATAATTATTAAATCTGAACTTTTCTTTCACTGTAAACAATTTTGTAAGCAGCTTTACGGATATTTCTCCCTCTTACATTTCACTCTCTCTCTGTCTCTCTCGAAGCTCGGACTTTTGTTTGTGTTTCGATTTGGACTTTACCAATATTTTGTTGGTAGTTTGGTTATCATTTGTTGGTGGTAAGAAACCAAGCGAGGGAAAAGCTTTCGAAGGCCATACGTAAAGCTGCTTCTTCAACATCTTGGCCGTCTTCGTTGAATGTGGCCAAAAGCAAACCAACAAGCGAATTGCTCATTGAACAAGACGAGCTCGTGGCGTGCGTTTCGCAGTGAGCGGCGTAGAAAAAAAAAGTATATATATTTCTTATATATAAATATATATACCATTATCGGCAGTGAAACGAAATCGTAGTGGACAATTATCACTTGAAGAAATTACAGTGCAAAAAATCGTACTTTGTCCCTTTATTTTTTTACGTTTTTCTTTTTTTTTTTTTTTTGCATTTTCTGTTGCCGTTTTTTAAGATGAAAGACGGCAACAGCAGTCATGGTAATCGTGAGTGAGACAAAGGAAAGTGGCAGGCAGTCGCGTTCAGTTTGAAGCCGCCACACCATACCACAGAAAATATAATAAAAATAAAAAAACAAAATAATAATAATAAATAATCTGCAACAATAATAACAACAACAACAACTGTAATACAGCAACTACTGGAACCAGAGCGGCGGCGGCTATAAAAATAACCAAAAAAAAAAAAAAACCAGAGGCAAGTTTGGCTAAAAACAAATGTAAATAAATAAATATTTAAGGAAATGTGTTAGAAAATTAGCTGTTTTTTTCAAAGTTTTTATAGCTTAAAGTAAACTTTGGCATAAAAAAGGTGTTAAGTTAGATCTTGGGATGGCTTTTTTGTTTTTATTTTGTAAGAAAAAGTTTAAAACATATACAAAATTATTTGCCTTTAATTAGTTATTAAATAATATTTACAAGAATTCACTTAGTTTGGCCTTTCGGCCGCAGGACCTTAGCTTACAGTGGCTGTAAAACCCCTTAAGGGTTGGAAACTCCACTTAATGTGTTAAAATCAAAAATGAAATATTGCCATTTAGCATTCCTTTTATTCATTTATACCAAAAGATCTAACTTTTTTTAACAAAATTTTCATGTAACCATTATCTTGATATATCTTTTTCTATATATTTCCTTAACCACACATATTTTCTTCTATCTTAATAACTTGAGATAACCTTATCCCTATATTTCCCTTAACTACTTATTAACTCTTATTACTTAAACTAACACCACAAACTAACCATCATAATAACTACCAAATAAATAACAGATCAGCTTATACAACCCGCATAAATACTTGAGTTAATAAACCCACAAAATAGCCATTAAGTCGTACATTAACACCTATTTGCATTCATACCAACATACCATCGTACTCATGTACAACGCCACTGCAATCCCAGTAATTTTCACTTTTATGTAACAACAAACTCCGATTTCTGACCCTTAAGGTGGCAAGCAGATGTCTGAAGGCTAATACCCATAGGCTAGATATTCTTATGTAAGACTCCTCTTTCCCAGCCACGCCTTGGATTTGAGTTAGTTTAGTTTGTTTATTTTAGCCTTTGGTCTATTCACACTTTCTACTGCGAATTCAGTGGCATTACTCCATAGATCCAGCAATCCATCCATATATCCAACTCCTCCTCACACCTCTGTGCGAATTATTATCAATTTGTGCACGTCGCCGCCATAAAGAGGCAATCATGGAGAGCGCGTGTATCGCCAGTGGCACTGCATATGCATACGACGCGGGCAATTAAAAGCGCCAAGCAGGCCAGCAAGAAAGTGCTGCTATATAGCTGATATATAACCATATGAAATGGTTAAGTTTGGGTAGAGAGAGCGAGAGAGGGATATAGGGCAGGTGTAACGAACAAGGGGTTACCCTAGGATAGGGTTTTAGATAGTATTTTTAGTGGGAAAATTGAAAAAGTTTAAAGGTTCTTGTTAGGCAAAGGGATTTTAGGTTGGTATTTTGTACATATTTCTCGACCAACTTTAGGCTTTAAAATTAAGCAATTAGCTCTTAAATTTACTTTAAAATATTATAAATATAATTGCCAGAATTTGAGTTATTGTTTAAACTGAAACTTATGTGATTTTTAGGTTTATTTATAGAAATTTTCTAATAATTAGAGTTAAATTAAGAACTTTTTAAGCTGGAAAACTTCAAGAACATATTAAAACTTTTATTTATTCAAGGTTTACGTACTGCAACTTAATCTAAAAAGTGGCTAAAATATAACTAAATATATAGTTAATAACAATAATTAAAGTCTTTTGACCTGCCAAAGAGAAAAAAACTGCAAAATAAGTCAAAGAAATCTAAGAAAACTCCATAAAATGTCTGTAAAACTGTCTTTTTATTATTTTAAAAATGCAAATTAATCATTAAATAAATTAACTATCATTTCCATTTCTCACTTATCATTGAACACCCTTTAATCAAGTCTTAAAACTCTTCCACCCTTTCAAGAAGTTAAGCCCACTAATTACTAAAAAATTTTCATTTGTCACCTGGCAACTGCAGTGCGGAAGAAATGCGCCATAAAAATTTTCTATTATATTTGTTTTGTTTTAATTATTTTATTTATGGTTTTAATGCTAGTTATTGTTGTTGGTGTTTTCCTTGTAAGTTACTTAGCCAAGTTGAGCTTCTTTAATGTGTCACGGTAGCATGACTCAGCCAATTGTCGAGAAAGCGTTCAACTGAAGCCGAAGAGTAGCTGAAATTACTTGCCACTTTCGGACTGGATTTACGAGCAATGCGATGTGAACCACAAAGGGCAGTAACAGGGGCAGGGCCAGGGGCAGGGACAGGGCATAGTAACAAACAAACAAGCTAATAGAAATCCGTGAAAATGTCATCAATTATGGGGCATAAAGTCTGCTCATAATTAAAAGCTGTCAAATCATAATTGGCAGGCAGTTTGAGATACAAAAAAGAGGCCTAAAAAAAATGAAAAACTGAGCCAGAAACTCCGGCCAGTGGCTTAACAATGTGTGAATTGCATAATAACGACACGATGCCAGCGAGCCAACGAAATAAATGGATGAATCGACATCAAAGTGATGTAAAAAAAAAAATGCCCGAGAAAACCTGGCCCAGTATTGCGTCAAAAAATACTGATATATATATATATATATCTTGGAGGGTTTTCCTTTGTCACTACGCCCAAGGGCGTTGCATAAATTAGCGGCCAGTGTTGCGTCTGCCTTTAACGGGGATTTGAGTGAATGAATTTTTTCAGATTTCGTAGTTAATTTCTGCCTCTGCCGTTGATGATGTTTGTTTGTTTTTTTTTTTTTACTCATTTCTTATTTTTAGTTAGTTACATGGCAACCGTCGAGACGTTCAAATCGCTGAAGCGAAATTGCTAAGCAAAAATCGTTATAAACGTAGAGAGATATACCCCTAGCTATATCAATTTAGTTAACAGCATTTTCGCTAGACTAAAAATAGGCAACTATTTTCGGTGCGTCGGTTAATTAATCAAGAGCATACTCTTTTTTTTTGCCAGTGTGTTGTGACAGAGGTAAGCGAAAAATAAAAAAAGGGAAAACACTAAAATAAATATTACATACAAATGTGATTACATGAAATACGAGTACCGTATGTAGGAAGCTCGATGTGTCGCTTTGGCTTTCACTGCTCGATCGCTTTAAATCGAGAGCGCGCGCGCGGGGGGTAAACTGGAAAAACCACAGAAAAAAAAACACAGAAAAAACCAAAACAACAACAAGTACAGGAGCTGGACAGCAATTAAACTCGGTTGCCGCCAATGGACAAACAAAATAACGAAATTGCATTTTACACGGCCCGAGACATTGAGACATTCGAGCCTCTCGAGAGAGGATTTTTTTTTACTATTTGCTTTTTCCGCCTGTCAAACGGCATTGAACTTGAAAAACTAGCCAGTGAGAGAAAGAAAAATACAAAAAATAGATATATATATATATCTATCTACTATATAGCATGGGGCTGGAAGACAAAGTAATTTGTTTAAATAAGAAAATACAGAAATGACATGCTAATGAGATGCAGCTGACATCATTTGAATTTTTGTTAATTCAATTTCTATGCGATTTGATAACGTTTTTTTTTTTTTGCGTTTTTTTTTTTATTATTTTCTTTCGTTGCTTGCGAAAAGTGTAAACAAGTTCGTTGCCTAAGTCTTTTGTTTGGCAGCGCGTGTGACAGCGCCATCTGTTGGCCAACGATTGCCAAACTGGAGGCTTTTCGTTAATACGAATTTTTGGAATTTACGAGCATGTGTATAGCGGCTTCCGCTAGACAATAATGCTGTTGCATGTTGCTTTGCTGATTTTCGAGCTAGTTTTTTTTTTTCATCTTCATTTGGTTTTTTTTTTTTCTCCGCCAAGTCATGCAACAATGGCAAGCATGTTAACAAGAAATCTTAAAATCCAAAAAAAAAAAAAAAGAGGCTACAACAATGCTCATCAGTTAACCATCATCCATAAATGGATGAGTGATATGGCCGCTCCCACGCTATGATTGTCGTTATCTGGCAATGTTTGAGAGCTGAATGGATTGCTACATCAATGGCTTGGACTGGGAATGGGCTGGGAATCATAGAAATTGATATAATGGCAAGCCATAAATGAAATCATTATGGACTTTAAAGGCTAGATAAAAATGGATTTTGGGATTTTGCATTTGATTTGAGATTTGATCAAGTTTAGAGGTTTTTTTTTGGGATATAAGTTATTAATATTGGTTTCGTTTTAGTTTCTGTTCGTATTTCGTGTGTAATATGAAGAAACTTTACAAGTTTATTATCAATTACTTATCTTTGTTTTATCAGAAAATAGGAAAGGGATATAGCATACAGTAAAACCTAACAAAAACTGCTTATCTATGCTCTCAAGTTAGTAACTCCTTAGCCTTAACTCACTATTTAACATAAAAACTTAAACTTTGAATGATCTCTTAACCCTAAAAACATGAAAAATGTAAAAAAATTAAACAAAAACTCAAGAATTAACACCCCTGAAACCTATATTAAAGAAATCACTCCTTAGCTTATCCCTTAAATCTACTTAAGTTAAAGTTTCTTACTTCTATTTCTTAACGAAATATTCAACTAATAACTCATTTTCCATATCTTCTTACAGTTCTGTTCGTATTTCTGTCAAAATATGGGCCAAGAGATATCGCAACAGCAAAATCAGCAACACCAACAACACCACCAGCAGCACCAGCACCACCAACAACAACATCAACAACAACCAATCCCCCACCACAAACGACAACCCCAACGTAAAAGCTTCAGCGGCATCAGCAACAACACCAATCAGCCCATCTACACTCCAGCAAGTCACCTATCCAGCTCTAGCTCCTCAACAACAACCACCAACAACGATTATAACAATAATAATACCAATAATCTGAACAATCAGAACTATAGATTACGTCACAAGTACAATTTGAGTAAACAGACCTACGAAAGGAGTAAGATAACAGCAAGCCAATCGGATACAGATTCACATTACGCCAAGTTAAACCTACAAAGGAGTAGTTCCCAGAGTTCAGATAGTGGGATCTATAACTCCTCCTGCCACTGCAGTTCTATATCTTCGATATCGGCTGTCAGCAGCAGTGCCAGCAGTAGTCGCAGTAGCAGCAGCTCCAGTCGTGGTTGTCCCAGCTCTCTGGTCTCCAGCAAATCGAATCGTTCGTTGGACAAACAAAAACACTATTTAAGTCATCATCTTTATATCAAATCCTATCTGGATATCTTGGAGGAGGACGAGCGGGCTCGGGCGCATTTCAAATCCGCTCGTCCAGGTGGCATACGCAACTATACACCCAAGATCTTGGCCAGCGGCGAGTCGAGTATCTCGGGCAGTTCTAATACCAATACCAGTTCATCTAACACAGCTGCTCTATCGTCATCTGCTCCAGCTCATTGTTACGGTCCGGGCAAGAGGACAACAACATCAACTGGAGGTGGAAGTGGCAGTGGTACAGGCAAACATTGTCAGGAGGATCCGTGGATTTGACAATTACTGAAACATGGCGTTTGGCACAATGACGTCTTTGCTTGGCATGATACCGCTGCTGGCGATAGGCATGAATTTCTATCGTTATCAAAGCGTCGATCCCGAGAACAAGGTCCAGGAGCCAACCGTCGTAAGTTTAAGAGCAGAGAGCTTAGTTAAAGGAGTTAAATATTAATCACTGAGACTAACTAACTAGTACTAGTGCCAAACAAATTTTTTAGCTTACTAAAGCTTTTCTATCTAAATTTCCACAAACTTTATCCCCATTTTCGTATAACCATAATTATTCACGTTAACCTTTACGCCATCTACATTTCAGTAGCACTCACTAAGGCTTAACGATGGATTAACATCTAAACTGCATCATTAACATTATGTTAATAAACCATTCCTTTAACATTTACAAAGCTAATGATAACTCTAACTCAGCTAATTATAACCCAAGATTATGATTATGATTACAAATATTTGTAAATCTCCTAATAACTATCTTAGTTTTGTAGGTTTTTCAAACTCTTTTGCAATAAAAGTAACTGATAACTTCCCCTTATCTTTCAGATACGTCGTCAGTATGATTTCGTGGTCATTGGCGGTGGTTCAGCTGGAGCTGTGGTGGCCAATCGCCTAAGTGAGATACGCAATTGGACGGTTCTGCTCTTGGAGGCTGGCGGCGATGAAACGGAGATCTCGGATGTGCCAGCCTTGGCGGGATATCTGCAGCTAACCGAGTTGGATTGGAAATACCAGACAACGCCCTCGTCCACCCGTCAGTATTGCCAGGCAATGAAGGGAGATCGCTGCTTCTGGCCAAGAGGCAAAGTTCTGGGCGGTAGTTCTGTGCTAAATGCCATGGTCTATGTACGTGGTTCTAAGAATGACTACAACCATTGGGCTTCCCTGGGCAATCCAGGATGGGATTATGACAGCATGCTGAAGTATTTCCTCAAATCAGAAGATGTACGAAATCCATACTTGGCCAAGACACCATATCATGAAACGGGTGGATATCTTACAGTCCAGGAAGCTCCATGGCGTACCCCTCTATCGATAGCTTTTCTTCAAGCGGGCATGGAGATGGGCTATGAAAATCGGGATATTAATGGTGCCCAACAGACTGGCTTTATGTTAACACAGAGCACCATACGTAGGGGTGCCAGGTGCTCCACGGGCAAGGCTTTCATTCGTCCCGTGAGGCAGCGTCAAAACTTCGATGTCTTGCTGCATGCAGAGGCCACAAAGATTCTATTTGACAAGCAGAAGAGAGCTATTGGCGTGGAGTACATGAGAGGTGGCCGGAAGAACCTGGTCTTTGTCAGGAGAGAAGTGATAGCCAGTGCTGGAGCTTTGAATACCCCAAAGTTACTGATGCTTTCCGGTGTTGGACCAGCTGAACATCTGCAGGAACATAACATACCCGTTATATCAGATCTTCCAGTGGGTAACAATATGCAAGATCATGTGGGTCTGGGTGGTCTCACCTTCGTAGTGGATGCCCCACTCACCGTCACTCGCAATCGCTTCCAAACCATTCCAGTTTCCATGGAATATATACTAAGAGAACGTGGTCCCATGACATTTTCTGGAGTGGAAGGTGTCGCCTTTCTAAACACCAAATACCAAGATCCCTCAGTGGACTGGCCAGATGTACAATTCCATTTCTGTCCCAGTTCCATAAGCTCCGATGGCGGCGAGCAAATCCGAAAGATACTCAATCTACGAGATGGTTTCTATAATACAGTATATAAACCCTTGCAGCACAGTGAAACATGGTCGATATTGCCACTACTGCTAAGACCCAAAAGTACTGGCTGGGTGCGGCTAAACTCGAGGAATCCCCAACAGCAGCCCAAGATTATACCAAACTATTTTGCCCATCAGGAGGATATCGATGTACTGGTCGAGGGTATTAAATTGGCTATCAATGTATCGAATACCCAGGCATTTCAACGTTTTGGCTCTAGATTACATAACATCCCCCTGCCAGGCTGTAGACATCTGCCATTCCAGTCCAACGAATACTGGGCCTGTTGCATCAAAGAGTTCACCTTTACGATCTATCATCCAGCTGGCACCTGTCGCATGGGTCCCAGTTGGGATGTTACGGCCGTCGTTGATCCCCGGCTGCGTGTCTATGGGGTATCTGGTGTTAGGGTAGTGGATGCCAGCATTATGCCAACGATTGTCAATGGAAATCCTAATGCTCCGGTGATCGCCATTGGCGAGAAGGCCTCCGATTTGATCAAAGAAGATTGGGGCGCCAGACGGGCCGGGGGAGGGGGCTAGCACTTAGCATCTTAGCTTAAATTCTCGATCACTAATTTATGTTTCAACTAGTCAAATGTGGATTAACTGATGTAATATAATCGCTATATATACTTTTTTTTGTTTCATCATCGATTTCCTCGTTTCGTTTCGCCGCTAAAACTTATGCTTAGTTATTCTGTTAAGTTAAGTTTACGAATTCCCACATACAGTTTTTTTTTTGATTATTTTATCAAGCATTTTATTAAATATTTATATATTTATGAACAATTTTAAGGGGTGTTTTGTTGTGTTTTATTTTGGTTGTGTTAAGAAAGTGTTTTAAAGTGGAAATTGTAATTTTTTGGTGAGAAGTTGGTAAAAGTTTTTGTGGGTTGTTTTGATTTCTATGGCATTCTTATTATTATTTTCAAAAATCGTATTCATAAGTAATATTTTTTGGTTCAACGTTGCGGCTACTTGATTTTTTGTCTACATTTCATGTAAAATACTGAAGTAGTTCTGTTAGTTCTTAAACATTTTCTTTACGGTCTATTATATTGCTCTTTTATGCATTTTTGTAACCTAAATCTCCAACTTTCATTTAATTTTTTTCATTTTTTAATTCCCTTACTTAAATACGTTTTACATACATAAGCACAGCATTTTACATTAAGGCTTCTCCAGTTTACATTTCATGTTAAGTACTTTTTGGCTGGTCAAATATTTTCAACCCACATTTTAGTCAGTTTTCAAACCAAAAGTTAGAAAAGGAAATTCATTAAAATATAAGGAAAAAGAAGCAAAACAATATATTTTAGTTTATAAATATAAAGAGAGTTAGCAAAGGTCTTAATATAGACCTAAAATCTTACTACATTTACCTCAAAGTAAGCTTATCATATACCTAAACCACTGTTAAGCCTTAGCTAATACCGCAACCGCAGAGAAAGTTAAGTCACGAAATTCATAATTTCAATTCAATTTTTCGATTTGCCTTGAGTGCTGGGCGTTATTTGGTAACCGCCCCTTTTGGCCAGCTTTCTGGGCAGCTCAATCTTCCGCTTTCCCAAAAGCCAAATGTCAAAAAAAAATATACGTCAGTATAATCAAAAATTCCCCCTCACAAAAGCCCCCCTTTTTTTTTTTTGAAAAGTATAACCTGTGCATTTATGATATGCTGATGGTTTCCGTGTTCACCCGCCCTCCCCATATCTTAGCCCGTGGGCGTAGCCTGATAGTCAGGCTTCCGTGTTGCCATCGAAAGAAAAAAAAAAACCGTTTCGCTTTTGAGCGTTCAAGTGTGCCAAGGTTAACCAAATTTGTTGACCACACCGAGCCAGAAACAGCCCGCTAGTCAGCCAGCCAGCCAGCTAGCCATCCCAGCAGTCGGCACGTTTTATTTCGTAGGTGTCAGTTGAAAGTTTGGGCAATGGCCTGTCGACAATTATCGACTTCCAGCTAAAAAGCCGAACAATTGCGAATTTTGCATGCTACTTGCTATAGAGAAGTCCAACCAGCACCACCACCCTCTCACTGTAATGATATTGCAAAAACCAAAAATAAACAATAACAGAGAGTCTATAAACCACCCAAGGCGATACCCCAGACTTCTTATATAAGACCCTTTTTTGGGGTGTATATAGTATACGACAGTGGGAAATAACTAATAAATAAATGCAAACAAAGTTCGGGTAAATATTTGATTTGATTTTAACGAAACGACAAGTCATTGCGACCAAGCGACCGCATACGAATGGAAAGTGTTATGCCAAAGATGTTGAAGAAGTGCCGGGAATGATGACACACTATATATATATATATAGAGATATGTTAAGGGGCAACAAAGATCGTGAGTGGAATATCTGTGTCTGTGGTCAGTGAAACGATGCGTTGGTCAGAGAAAAATTGGGTCATTAAACCGCCAAGAGTACGATCAATCAGAGAGCCCAAAGCTAAGACCACTTGAAAATGAGCCGGCCGATGAGGTAAGATAGGAAATGCACATAATGTGAGGGGCGGTCATTGGAAGATTCAGTCATTAAAATATGAATTTTTATAACTATAAAGAGATACACTATCTTAAAGTTAAGACTTACTATAAAGTTAAAACAAAATAAGCTTAGTTTTAAGTTAATATCAGAGATAACCAAGCAGATCAATCAATCTATCTTAATCCCATTGGAAAAAGTTGCTGGCAAATCCTTTTACTCACTGAAAAGTCAATGAGATGAGTAAAGGATTAAGTTAAATCTCTATAAAAAACATATAAAAAGTGAATCATTTGAGGAACTCATTGCTAACCATGCCTTGTATCTCATCAGTGGGTGTATGCATTGAATCGAAATTAATCATAATACATGTCAAGAGGAATTTGCATTTGCTTGAATACCTTTTCCCCCTGATCATAATCATCATCATCATCAACATCATCATCATGAACTGTATACATCATCTCCCACAACGTAATCGTCATCCTCATGGGCTACATAGTGCAAACAGAGATACGTGATGTCGAACACACGCGACAAATCGCAACGTAAAACCCAAGACTGGTTGAGGTTTGTTTTTCACTTGGGGAGCTGCAGGAGGGATTGAATAATCTCTGTTTAATTTCGGTCAATTATGCCGTGCCTCAGTCCGAAGTCGAAGTTGCAATTGCAACCAAAAGTGAGGCAAAGTAAAGCCAAAAACCAAAACCGAACCCGAAATCGTTCAAGGCATATAATTTCAATTGCAAACTGGAAAGAGATCAAAAAGAGGGGGCAGCTAGAGGTAAGGGGAATGTAGTTTTTTGGAGGAGCATTGTCAAAAAAAAAAAAATGTATATATATATATATCAGACCCCTCTTATGTCATAGATGGGGCAAGGTGTTAGGTGCCGCGCCTCACGTAGGCAATCAAAATCCAAATCAAAAGCCCAACGGAAAAAATATCCGCACAGCCAGCTAACGAGGCTTAATCCAAAGTTAAAGCCACTTGTTGCCCTTTTAATTCGAGCTCTTATTTTGCAAAGCCTTTCGCCAGATGGTTGATCCCCCTCCTAAAATGTACACCCCCGAACTTGAAATTCGAATGAAGGAGGGGGAGAAAAACAGATCAAATTGACTTTAAGGAGTCTTTGACTTGGGCGAAAGTTTTGATACCCTTGGAAAGGGTAAGGGTTTTTCCTTAAGGGGGTTTAAGGAAGATCATAAATTGTTAAGAAATTATTAGATTTTCATTTCAGAATCGTACTTAAACTATAACTGTAATAGCATTCTTTCTTATTTACACATTTGAAAGACTTTCTAAACCATAAAGTGGCTTTAAAACTGTTTAAAGGAGTAAAATACGAAAAGTGTTTTCTTGTTGGTAGTAAAACAATTATTTCTAATTTAATGAACATTTTAATGACAAAAATTTTTAATATATTTAAATGTTAACTTTTAGTTTTTAACATAAAATATTCATACAGAGCAAGCCTTTACAAGAGCATCTAAAATTTTCCCTGCAAAATAAGTTTAAACCTTCCTATGAATTGCATTTCTTTCGAGGGCGTTGCTATCTAAAATGGCCACATTCCCTTTTCACAATAAAGCCAACTCCTTGTCCATATGTATAAATATATACCTAAGCTATATATACATATTATCCCTCTTCCCTGACCACTAATTGCACTTTAACACCCAACATACAAAAAACAAAACTCAGCGAGCTGGCTGAGAAACGTAGCGAAATGGCTAAAAGACAGCAGTGAAATATTTCAACAGCTTACCTAAATCTTGTTGCTCCTCTTTACCGTAGCTGTGCTGTGTTGTTTTTCTTTTTTTTTTTTTGTTTTTTAACTTTTTTAAGCTTTTTTTTTGGCTCATGATTACATAAATTATACCCGTTGACAAAACACAGCCAGCCGGGTTGAGCCAGGCAATTGCCAAAGAGATCTCTCGCGGGCGAAAAATAAAAACAGAAACAGAAAAAAAAACACACAGATTTTTTCTCAGCCATGTTTATGGGTTAATAACTTCATTTGACCATATTTTTTGGATTTTACTTTTTGTTTTTTTTTTGGGTTTTGGCATGCGAGAAATGCGGTCACTCAAGCGAAGAGATTTTCCAGCTGGAAAAGATCTTCCAAGGAATGGATAATTGATTTAAATGGCTATTAATGAGCGGAAGTTGGCCTCATTCCATGTTATTATTTTTGTTTAAGAGGTAATTTGTATAATTGTTTTTTTTTTTAGTTTATATTATTAATCAAGTAGTTAATGCTTTGAATAGATATTTTTGTTAGGGAAGTGCATTTTATGTTCTTTAACTACTTATAACTTTTGAGTTTTATATCTTTTGATTTTTATATTTTTAGATTTTTATATTTTTAGATTTTTTTATCTTTAGATTTTTATGAATTTAAATTTTTTGTAATAAGATTTTTATGTATTGATATTTGTACATAAATATTTATATTTTTAAGTATTAACATTTTTGGTATTGTTATTTTTAGGTTTTAATATTTTTATGTATTTATATTCCTATATATTTTTAAATATTTAAATTTTTATATACTGATATTTTTATGCATTAATAATTTTAAATTTTTGTTTAATATTTATTTATTTATACATTGATGTTTTTATATTTTTATATTTTTATAAATTTATATTGTTACAAATTAATACTTTTATATCATTATACCCGTTACTCGTAGAGTAAAAGGGTATACTAGATTCGTTGAAAAGTATGTAACAGATAGAAGGAAGCTTTTGCGACCCTATAAAGTATATATATTCTTGATCAGGATCAATAGCGAAGTCGATTGAGCCATGTCCGTCTGTCCGTCCGTCCGTCCGTCCGTCCGTCCGTCCGTCCGTCCGTCCGTCCGTCCGTCCGTCCGTCCGTCCGTCCGTATGAACGCTGAGATCTCAGAAACTATAGCATATACAAAGTTGAGATTAAGCATGAAGATTCTTGAGGTCCCGGGACAGCGCAAGTTTATTACAGCATCCTGCCACGCCCACTCTAACGCCCACAAATCGCCAAAAACTAAAATTGCTGAAATCTCAGGAACTATTGCAGTTAGAAAGTTGAAATTCAAAAGTATAATGTTTAAATGGCAGCGCATCTTTATAGTGGTACTACTATCCGGCCACACCCACCCATACGCCCACAAGGCTCAAAAGACAGTTTTCGGATTTTCTAGAAAAGCTGATATCTCGGTAATTATAAGAGATAGAAAGTTCGGATTAAGCATGTAGGTTTCTATTATGCTCCCAATGCGAATTGTTTTTTTTCGATCAAGCCACGCCCACTCTAACGCCCACAAAACCTGAACAACCAAAAATGGAAAAATCTCAAAAACTATAAGAGCTACATAATTTTGTTTAAGATCACGTATTTAGGAGATGCCTTTGCAACTTTCCACGAAGTTGCATCCGGCCAAGCCTACTCTGACGCCCACAAACCGCGGAAAACTGTGGCGTCTATAATATTATTATGAATGCCTTCGTTTGACCTTGTGTAACTTATTTCTGTTAATACCTATCGATTTACCAAAGATTTTTTAAATCGGAACATTATTTCGCTATTTATAAAGAAATTAAGTTATAAGGCCTCACATGGGCAGTGACGTCACTATAAGCATACTCAACATACTTCCTCTGACAATAGGTGGCGCCTTGTGAATTTCCACTAGCAAAATAATATTTTAAAATTTTGTAAAACAGTAACGGGTATCTTATGGTCGCGGCACTCGACTATAGCGTTTCCTCTTGTTTTATTTGTATTTCTTTTTATTTTTATATCATTTTATTTTTATAAATTAATATTTTTATATCATTTTTAATGTATATTTTTATAAAAATTTCATTCATATTCAAATTTACATTTTTATGTACTTTTATCTTTACGCATTAACATTTAAAATTTGTTTTTAAATATTTTTTTTTATACATTTAAATGTACATTTTTATAACAATTTCATTTTTATCTTTATACCAATTTAATTTATACTTTTACACAAATAAAATTTTATTTTTATACCAATTTACTTTACATTTTTACGGCATACCAATTTAATTTATATTTATTTACCAATTCAAATTATATTATACCAAAAATTTGAGCTTATTAATTTTATTGTATTAAAATTTTAATGTATAAAAAAAGTCCTTCATAATCTTATTAGTTTTCCAAGTAATTTTTAGCAGTTAATTTTTTATTTACTTAAAACTAATTCTTCCTGTTAAAGATCTAAATTCCAGTGCCTTTTAAAAACCAAAAACATTCTAAAAACATAAACAAATTAATTTTAGAAGTATTTTTCTTTAATATTTTAATTTTCATTTCATTAAAGCATTTTACTCTTATAATAAATTAAGTTTTTAACTCATGTAAAACTTAATACCCGCTAACTTAAGTACCTTTTTATGGATTGTCTTTAAGACTTAGTAACCTTTTCTTCTTCTTTCTTTTATTTGAAAACTTTCCTATAATCTCTATATAATCATTTTTTTAACATCTTTTTTTATCGATCACATTTGATCACAATTGTTAACCCATTTCTTGCGGTCATTTAGACTCAATTACCACTAACCCACTGATCTGCTCTCTCTCTATCTCTATTTCTTCCTCTTTCTATCTCTATCTCTTTCTATATCTTCCTCTTTCTCCGTCTTCGTCTCCGTCTGCCTACCTGCCTGCTTTGACCTTCTACTTTTGTTAGCTTAATGACCGCATCTTCGTCTTCACAACCAACTGACATACCGTTATCAAAGCTTCAAACTTGTTGGTTAGCTATTGTTGTTGTTGTTATTGTTGTTGTCCATCCAACTTGTTCGATGTGCCAATAATATGCAACAGCTGTTGTTGTAGTCGTTGCTGCTGCCTCTGCTGCTAGTAGCAGCCTTTTGGCTTTTTGGAATTTCGCGGCAAACGTATCGTTCAGTTGACTACGTGCAACGCAGCCGCGCAGACGCAGTCAGCGGGTCATAAAAAAAGATTTTCGAAATATATATACATATAAACTATATACCTATATACATGTATATATATCATTTTTTTTAATAACCCAAAAAAAAGAAAACAAAGAAAAGGATCCCGTGACGTCGTTTTTGTGATCGATGTGCCAAAAGTGCCAGGCTACGTGGGCTAATAGTTGCAAGTAAGCCAAAAGAGAGAGAGAGAGAGCGAAAAAGTGAAGTGTATAAAAAAAGGCTAAAAAAGGTGGCAAACACCTGTTGCCGGTAAATAAGATTGCAAAGGAGAAGAAAGAGAAGAAAAAATGCTTAAAGTTGCAAATAAAATGCATTTTTTTTTTTTTTTGGTTTTACACAATTCCACCCACAAAAATCACATTAAACTATAAAAAAAAACAGAAAACATAAAAAACAAACAAGAAAAAATAGAAGAAAAAACATTAACAATAAAGAAAGAGAGGCTTTGATAAGTAGGCTAGGCTATACGTTGCAGCAACAACACACTAACGGTTGTTTGGGATTTGTCATTGTTGTCAGACGATGGTTGCTGCTGCCGCTGTTGTAACTTCTTTTTTTCCCTCTTTTCTTTTTTGCAACGCCAAAAGACAATAGAAAGATTTGTCTTTGCTGCAATAACTGGCAGCAGCAGCAGCAGCAACATTAGCCAGCCTGCCTGCCGCAGCAACAACAATTGTTTTTCTTTATGAGCATTAGCATTATGCTCCCTCCCTCTACCTTGTGTAGACACATAAAGAAAAAATTGCATTTACATGGGCCAAAGAAAGAGAAAAGAAATGAGGCGTAGGGAGACAAAGGCCACGCCTACTTTGGCATAACTTCAACAGAAGCAACATCAGCAACATCTTCGATAACAGCAACAGCAGCAGCAGCAGCAGCAGGCACATCATATTTGAGGAGGCATCCACATCTCTGAGACTAATGGGTTTTGCCAGCAGTCATTAACTTTAAGGAGGTTTTTTAAGCTTGCTTTTAGGTTTTTTTTTAGGTTTTTTTAGGTTTTTTTTTTAAGTTTAAACTACTTGATTAAGAGGCGGTGATTAAAAATCATTGAAGCTTTGAGAGAGCTATTATTTTGTTAGTAAAAGAGATTTAAAATAATGATTACTTTATCAAAATAAACACATAATAACATTAGCAGGGAAAGCCTTTCGGTTTTTTTTTAATATTCGTAATTAATATTTAATTATAAAGGAAATATTTTTAAAGAGTTTAAAAACTTTAAGAGCTAAATTGCAAGCTAAAAAAGCACAAACTACTTTTATTAAATTGCTTTAAAATCTTAAAACTTATGTTAAAAAGTAATTTAACTTTTTTAGCTCCCTGAAAATAGCAAACATTTGCTTAGAGAAAAGTTTGTTTTTGTTGAAAATTTCTATTAAAAGTCATAAATATCCCAATTTTATTCGATTTGTAGCCTTAATCGGCAGAGCATAGTCTTAATTAACATTTGGCACGCATCAGCCACAAGCAGCGGGCTATAAATTAATGCACTAAAAATAAAAACTAAGACTTTTAAAAGTTAAAAAAAAGAATTTTCCAACAATAACAAGTTCTTTCTCTGATATTTCCCCTTAAAAAAAAAGTTTTCTTTCTTTAAGTAAAAATCTAAAAGAAAAATCTAAGAATTAAAAAACATTTCCTAACCATTTCCCAACCATTTTCTCTCTCTGCCACACAACCGTTGCTGCAAGCCAGCACATTTTCCTGGGTGTTGTTGCAGCTAAATGAAATTTGCCGCTAGGTAATTAAAACATTTTACTTTAGCCATGAGTATTATAATTAATTAATAGCTGCAATTTGAATACAGTTAAAAAGAAAAAGAGGGGAGGAGAGTTTAGTTAGCACTGCCACTTTGGGCCAAATCAAGTCATTGACACATTGACATGAGCCAAAGTTTTAAAGTTGAAGAATCCACCAACTGGCTCTGATGGCCAAGGTGACTGACACGAAATGACACCAACTCTGACATTGTAATCATGAACCCCCGCCCCCCACCAAAAAACACCATCAACGACTTTATAACGCCGTGTCGAGTGGCTGAATAACCAACTGAGTGAGTGAGTGAGTGACTGAGTGAGTGACTGAGTAAGTGACCGAGTAAGTAGTGTCTCTGACTGATGCCTGCGTTTGTTTACACAAAATTAGCGCACAAAATCGTCAAGCCAAATCAACTTTAATTGTCTCAATCATCATGATTGAGTGTTTGGCTGCGTGGGCGGTGGTGGCGGTGGGCTGGCTAACACACCAAATAATAAACTTGAAGATGAGGGAGGCAGCTATCAGTGGATCAGTGATCATGGCCTTCAGCTGGACAGGAAGTCTTATTGGCTTACATCAAAGCATCACAAATTGTATACAGTGAGGGGTGAAAGATTAGGTTTGGGTTTGAAAGAAAAATATTTTTGTAAGGTGAGATTAATCTTTAATCTTTCCAGTGAAGAAAATCACTTTTTCCTTTCTTTTTTCCTACCAAAAAAAATTCCAAAAATATTTCTTAAAAACATTTCTCCTTAAATTAACCCCCCATTTACTAATATTTTGCCCTTAACTGTTTTTTTTATATACATTTTTTGGCTCGAGCCTAAAGACAACACTTTTTTTTCCTACCACAATAATGACGCATGTCAATAGCAGCTCTGGCGAGGATTAGGGGGAGGTACAGCGGCGGCGGGGGGGTTGATAACTCCGGCCCGGGGCCGGGCTGGGCCAACAGGTTTACCTGGTCCCGGAGCCGCAAAAGTAAACTTGTTTGCTGTCGCTGCTGACCCAATTTCGTGCAACTTTTTTTCGACATTTTTACAACACTTTTTTTTTTAACCGCCGCTGCCTGCCTGCCCCGCTGAGGTTTTTCGCACAAAACAAATCAAACAAACTAAACAAAAAAGTAAACAACAACAAAAATAAAACCAAACCCTCAAGAAAAACAGAAAACATCAGTCGAAGAAATGTTACCAGCGCAGCTTCCACTTTTTGAGTTACCCAAATCCGTATCTGCAAGATGCAGATCTTTGCCAGGAAAGGTTTTACTTTGATAGCCACCTGTTGTGTTTTTTTTTCTGTTTGTGGTTTTTGTATTGGCCCAGTCTCGCCTTTCACTTGGGGCAAAGAAAGAGCTGGTTTTGCGGTGGTCAATTGAAGTGATAAGAAATCGACATTGAAATTGATTATGTCAGAGGGGCCAGACCAGGCCAGGCCAGGGTGGCAAGGAAAGTTATGCAGGGGAGAGCTGGTGGGGAATCTTTTTTGGACATCATCTTAATATCAAAAGGAATTAGTTCAAGTTAACATATTTGCTAAGATCATGGTCTAAAAATATAAGCAACTAGGTTAAGTTTAAGCTTTAAAAGTCATCCGTGATTAGTGGTTACAAACTTTTAAGGCAGTTTTGAGAAGTTAATGTCAAAACTTTTTGTGATAAAAAGTAGTTTACTGGCATTTTCTGCTCTCGTTTTTAACTTTTAATACTTCTCTTAATTTAGCCTAACAAATATGCCAAATTGGCCATTTTACAAGCCACTAAAAATAGGTTTTTGGGGCACTTAAAAGACAACTTTTGGAAGCCTAAACTTGCTTAAAGTCCTTAGATTAGGTTTTTAATCTTCTAAATAGCAAAAGCCTGGCCAAATATTTCCATTATTAACTAATATAATTAATTAATTTCTTAACTCATTTTGATTAGACCCTTTTTATAGGCCCAATTTAGCTCAATTTGGCTTAATTTATACCATAAAAACCTTAATGAACTTGTAAAGCAAAGAAAATCGATTTGTTTTTCGAATATTTAAGCCAAAAAATATCGTTAATCATTTGAATGAAATGGCCATAGCCACTTCCCTGTCTTTAGCCAGCACCTGTCACTTTTTTTTTAATTTTATTTCACCCCCCTTGGGGGCATTCCTTCACCTGCCAGTCTTGCTGTCTATCTCTCCCTCCCTCTGTATATCTCACATACTCATTAGGCCAAAAGGTATGTAAATTGTAAGTTTCTCACCCAGCAGCAGCACTCCCACTAAAAATGAGGTGGGGTGGGGGGGTGGCGTCTGTCTGTTATCCCCTTCTCAAAACATAGATACCTCTCTTATTTGTAAACTGGATAGACAGGCGTTAAATGCCGTTGGTTATTTCAACACCCGCTCGCCAGAGCTCAGAGCTCAACTATGGTTACCAACGTGTTAACAGCTCCCTCAGCCAAATATAGAGTTTCGGGGATCTGGGCTTGAAAAGCCCCCTTACACCTTACACCTTACACCTTACACCTTACCCCATTCCCCTTTACTCCTTAACCAAGCTCAGCTCAGCTCAGATACAAAATGCTTGAAATACAATCGAAATCGAAATCGAAACGAAAACCATTTCGTATGTCTTTTGCCCAATCGAGCACGCCAATTACGAATACCCAAAAAAAATCCAAAAAACTACACCATGGGTCCACCACCACCGGTTACGTCAGTGGAATCGTACAACAACAACAACAACAACAACAAGCAAGCAAGCATATATTGTTGTAATCCAACCGAAAAAACGGCCGACGAATTTGAAAGACAAACAAATGAAAGATGGTTGCATTTACGTGGCTTACATTATAAGCCAAAAATGAAAAGCCGCTAACAATTCCCCCTTTGTCGCTTTTGTTGGCCGCAATAACGTCAAGGTCGTCTTCGTCTTGGCTGTGTTAACAGTCCAAAATTGTTCAGAAAGGGGAGTTGGGGGGCTCTTGGATTAGTGCAACAACTTTATGCAACCAAATGCATTCGACACGCCAGTTAAGCAAATCAATTTGGGTTTGAATTTCTTAGATGATTTTTAGCAACCAGAACAGGCCAGAGAAGTTATGCAAACTATAATAGCACTTCTTGGTTGGCTAGGCTGATGAAAGGTGGTTTTGTTTATGGTTAGAATTGGGAAAGAACAAATATGGTTTGCTTATAGTTAGATGGTGGCTAAAGTTGCGAAAAACTTTATGCCTAAAGCCTATAGTCAGGTAGAGGATAAAATTGAGGAAAAAACTGAAACTGTTTTGTAAATTTGGCTGGGAAATAACTTGAAATCAGCAACCAAATTGTGAACAGCATAAGTTCCTTTCGAATGCTTACTTAGAGTGTCATGTGAGGACCATTTCGATGACCATCTATCATCCATGTGGCACTGCCAAAATGGGTCCAGCCTGGGATCCCGAAGCTGTGGTTGATCCCCGGCTACGGGTTTATGGTGTTCGTGGCCTGAGAGTGATTGATGCCAGCAATATGCCAACGATTAGTAGTGGCAATACCAATGCTCTAGTGATAATGATAGCGGAAACGGGCGCCGATCTTATCCAAAATGATTAGATGAAAGAACTTGAAATCAGGAAAATATCACAAACATGATTATAACTTTCATGAGTGGACAATGATTTCTATAAATATGCATTCTTTTATCTTCTTAAATAATAGTTTTTTGAACAGTTTTCGATCTTAGTTCGATTTCAGTTTGATCTTAGTTTGATCTTTGTTTGATTTTTAGTTAGCATCTTTCCTACAAAAACATTTTCTCATACACTTTTTTTATACTTTTCAGTTGGCTAACGACAAGCACAAGGAAAGCACTAAACAACAGCAGGACGGTTTACATCAAATGAAGCAAAATCAAGCTTAAAACAAGGAGCTAAGATTAAATCACAACGAAATCAACAACAATAGTTACTTTATAAGCAAGTAAGGATCGCCTAGAATGGACCACTAAGAAGGCAAAAATATCATAAAAGATCTGCAGAAAAAGGAAATCATCGAAAATCGCCTTAAACTCCAAACTTTCCAAAAGAGAATTTCCCACAAATAATCCACCAACATAACCCTAAGCTACCAAGCCACAAAAACCCAAAAGCAAAGCAACCTTGCCACTTTGCAAAAGTGCTTTGGGCTTAAATCAGAGCCCCGCCATGCACAAAAGAAAGAAAGGCTAGAACTTCGAGAGTAGAGTGAGAAGAAAAGTAGAGGAAAATTACACAAAATTAAACCAGCTACGAAAGGAAAACTAAACATCAAGCAATCACAATCTAAAGCTAATCACAACCCTAACTAGAAAGCCAAACAAAATGGTGCTAAATCTCCTTTTCATAACCACTGTGATCAAGTCAACGTTTGGCGTGGTGACCACAGGACTCTGGCTAATACCCTTGATGCTGGCTGCCATAACATACTATCGCTATGATGCCGTAGATCCCGAATCAAGACCTTTAGATCAACTAAATCTATATCCAGAATATGATTTTATAGTGGTTGGCAGTGGTTCGGCTGGTGCTGTGGTGGCCAATCGTTTGAGTGAGGTACGGAAATGGAAAGTTCTGCTGATAGAAGCCGGTCCAGATGAAAACGAGATCTCGGATGTACCATCGTTGGCGGCCTATTTGCAGTTGAGTAAACTGGATTGGGGCTACAAGACGGAACCCTCGACCAAGGCGTGTTTGGGAATGCAAAATAATCGTTGCAATTGGCCAAGAGGACGAGTTTTAGGCGGCAGTTCAGTACTTAACTATATGCTCTATGTTCGTGGAAATCGCAATGATTACGATCATTGGGCCTCACTGGGTAATCCAGGCTGGGATTATGATCATGTTTTGCGGTATTTCAAGAAATCCGAAGATAATCGTAATCCCTATTTGGCTAATAATAAATACCATGGTCGTGGTGGATTGCTAACCGTTCAGGAATCTCCCTGGCATTCACCATTGGTGGCAGCCTTTGTCGAAGCCGGAACTCAAATGGGCTATGAGAACAGGGATATAAATGGTGCCAAACAGGCGGGCTTTATGATAGCCCAAGGAACCATAAGACGCGGTTCAAGATGCTCCACGGCCAAGGCTTTCCTGCGACCTATACGTTCGCGTAAGAACTTTCATCTCTCAATGAACTCCCATGTGACCCGGATCATCATTGAACCTGGCACAATGAGAGCCAAAGCTGTGGAATTTGTAAAGCATGGCAAGGTCTACCGAATAGCAGCACGCAGGGAGGTCATCCTTTCAGCCGGTGCCATTAACTCCCCTCAACTTATGATGTTATCCGGTTTGGGGCCAAGGAAACATCTGGAAAAGCATGGAATACGAGTATTACAAGATCTACCAGTTGGCGAGAATATGCAGGATCATGTGGGTATGGGTGGACTTACCTTCCTAGTGGATAAACCAGTGGCCATTGTCCAAGATCGCTTCAATCCCACAGCTGTTACTTTTCAATATGTGCTACGGGAACGAGGACCTATGACCACTTTGGGTGGCGTTGAAGGACTTGCCTTTGTCCATACACCCTACTCCAATCGCAGTCTCGACTGGCCGGATATACAGTTCCATATGGCACCTGCTTCCATAAACTCCGATAATGGAGCCAGAGTTAAGAAGGTATTGGGATTGAAGGAATCGGTTTATCAAGAAGTCTACCATCCCATAGCCAACAAGGATAGTTGGACAATAATGCCGCTGCTTTTGAGACCCAGATCTAGGGGTTCGGTCAAATTAAGATCAGCAAATCCATTTCACTATCCCCTTATCAATGCCAACTACTTTGAGGATCCGCTGGATGCCAAAACCTTGGTAGAGGGCGCCAAGATAGCTCTACGTGTGGCCGAAGCTCAGGTCTTTAAGCAATTCGGTTCGAGATTGTGGCGAAAACCTTTGCCTAATTGCAAACAGCATAAGTTCCTTTCGGATGCTTACTTAGAGTGTCATGTGAGAACCATTTCGATGACCATCTATCATCCATGTGGCACTGCCAAAATGGGTCCAGCCTGGGATCCCGAAGCTGTGGTTGATCCCCGCCTACGAGTTTATGGTGTTCGTGGCCTGAGAGTGATTGATGCTAGCATTATGCCAACGATTAGTAGTGGCAATACCAATGCTCCAGTGATAATGATAGCGGAAAAGGGCGCTGATCTCATCAAGGAAGATTGGCTAACAAATCCCGAGTACAAAGTCAAAAGGCAGGCACAAGTCAGAGATGGTCAGCCAGCTGCTAGTAATATACAAAGCATCATCACCTTGCCCGCCAGCAACATCAGTCAAAGTGACAGCAGCACCAGCACCAGCAGCAGCAGCACTAGCAACATCATCAGTGACAGGAGCAACATTGAGAGCAATTTCACCAACAGCAGTCACATAAATTTCAGTAACTTCAGTAATAGCAGCGACATCGACAGCAGCAACTTCACACTCAACTATGCAGATAGTTAGTGACTTTAAATAGCAAACCGAGCTGTAAGTTAGCTCCAGATTTTGTGCTCAGGGCTCTCATTAGCTTTAAACACTCACAAAAGTGTCCACAACGAGAAAGAAGAAACAACACAAAATTTGTGTTTGCCATTGGCTAAAGTAACTTGTTGAGATGGAAACTCTTTGGATTGGAGGATAACTCAACGGAAAGCCACAATGTGATTCAAAATGCTGTATAAAATGCTTAGAATTTCCCAGAAATTTCCACCACTAGAACCAGAAGCTATTAACTTACATAACTTATTCATGAGATCCACCAAAAAATTTAAACATTTTAATGCGGCAATCTTGTAAGCTGCCTAAACTTGTTTATGGAAACATTAAAAAACAACTGACGATCATAAAAAGGTTTATAATCTGGCATTAAACTTTATATTTCCAACTGCTTTTAGTTCAAGATTGAGAAGTAAACCAAAAGAATGTTCTTCTTCCTCAAAAGTTAAAGCGGAAAATGAAAATGATTCTTGACAGAAAAGGAGTTCCAAAATCATACTTCCCATTGAATCTCATCATCTGACGACGTCCTTAAAAAAACATAATTCACAACGATCCATTGCTAGACGGAATCCAGAAATCGAGTCATAGATTAAATGCTTAACTATCTTGTATTCCTAGCTATAATAATTATTGTTGTTCTTCTTATTTTTTCTTTTTTTTTTTTGTGTATTATTTATAGTTCGTTATGCTAAGTTAATTTAATATTGTTTGACTATTTATAGGAGACACGCCCATTGAAAGCATTATTTAAACGACATTCTATTTAATAAATTAAATTTGCATAAACATTAAAAAGGCCGAAGGGTGTTGTTATTCGCTGACAGCCGAAAAGCAGGCAACAGAAATGAGGTAAGCAAGTTGAAATAAAAACCATTAACAGTGACTCATTGCGTGGTTAAGTATGTTTTGTAAATGAAATTTTTAAGGTGCCTAAACTATGTTTAGTCTAAAAGAGTTACTAATTATTAATCATAAGTTAGTTAAGCTAAAAATCCTTTACAGTTCCAAAGGATTTCCACTTCGTTAACTAACTTTTGATAGCACAAATTCTTAAACTAAAAACCTATAAATAATATTACACTTTTCTTTATAAAAATTACATCATGAGCCATGTTTGATTGATAGATTACATCACCAGTTACCAAATAAATGCCGCCCTTAGCCAAAAATACTCAATAAAAGACCCAGCCCAGGGGTTTACATAGCATAGCCTAACATTTGGGCGCGGTAGTAAAATTAAGGCCTACCATCACGCAACATTCTGGTGTAGAAAATATGTACGAGGTGTGTTCAAAAAGTAAGGTGACTCTTCAAATTTCGCGAATTTCAAAATTTTTGATTTTCGAAACCTTTTAGAAGTTATACGAGGTGTGTTCAAAAAGTGTGTTCAAAAGTGTGTTTTCAAATTTCAAATTTTTCAAATTTTTCGATTATCTTCAGTTTTGGGAACAAGAAAAAGTCACATGGGGCCAAATCCGGTGAATATGGTGGCTGAGGCATTATTGTGGTGTTGTTTTTGGCCAAAAAATCCAAATCCTTTGATCCATATTTTTCGATAGCAAAAAATCGCCGAGCTCGCAAAACAACTTGTAACTTTACGCCTCTCACAACCAAACAAAAGAGGATGTTCCATTGAAACTTGGTACAGATGTTAGGGAAGAGTGTACCAATATAACAAAACAAAAAAATCGATAATCGAAAAATTTGAAATTCGCGAAATTTGAAGAGTCACCTTACTTTTTGAACACACCTCGTATATATTTTTTATGACCAACAGACAGGCCAAGACTTAAACTTATCGTAAGCAACGCCCAGTAAGAAATATATATATATAAAATCTATTAACTAGCTAACCAATCGAAGTGTTATAAATCAACTTTTTGACAGGCCAAAACAGACCGCAGCCTTGGACAGTAATTTTCATGCGGAAATGGCCAACGGAACTTGGTCTAATCAACTTAAATTTTTAATCACTTTTGGATCTATATTTTTTTCCGGATGTGGTTCAGAGAAGATGTGCTAAGTGATCGGTCCCTGTCCCACTTTTGTCTACCAAAACGTTCTAATTTACCGGCTTATAATCATTTTTAACCGAAGCTAACTTAGCACAAAAAACCAGATTTTATACGGCTGCTTAATGGAAATGTCCAAGACTGGCTGGCTAAGAGCAAAATTTACAGATAACTTGGTCAACAAATCATACATTTTAATGGCCCAACAGTTCGGGCAAGTTCAAGGTTTTATACGGCTTTGGTTTTTAATAAAGGTAGTTGAGGTTTTGAGTTTAGGGTAGGGGACACCAGGTGGTATGTGTAATCAGATTCATATTATTTATATTACGTATACGCCTAGTTGATTACAATATTGTTGAATTTTAAAAATTTATAGAATTTTAACAATTCTAATCAGTAATTTATATAAAATAAGGCATTTTTTATAAAGTTTATGAAACAAAAATTAAAATTTTAAGGTGTAATTTAGCATTACGTATACGCCCAGTGGCTCTAAAACTGTAACTTATACAGATATTCTTATAAATCCCACTAAGACCCCTATTCTTAGAGCACATCCACTAGTCGTAACAACAGCTCTGGCCAAGTTCTGACTCATTTTGTTAAGTTACTTAAGCCAAGCCCCAAAAAAAAAGAAGAAAAAAAATGTAAGCAGAGAACAAACTAAACGAAATGGAGACCCGTTGTCTACGTGACCCATTGCAATTTCGCCACGAGAGCAAACGGCCAGAGATTTGCCCTAGACACATGTGTCCACACACGCAATATCTGCGACGGTTTCTCGGCCAAAAACGCAATAAACCCAAACATATGCAAAATTGCCAATAGAGAATGCAAAAAAAAAAAATAACTGGCGAAAAACTAGGTCAATGGCCAGCGGAAGTATCTATGGATCATCTGCAGAAACTAAAACCTAACAGAAGATAACTTCCGTATCGATGTGTTACCGTTCCAGTTAAAGGTCAGTCAACTTGTTAAGACCTGCGATCTCCGTTAGACAAGCGATCATGTCCAAGCCAAGCCAGTTGACCCAGACCCAATGAACTTGATCTCTGCCTCTTTGGCTACATACTCACTTATTTGCATAGCATCGCCGCCAGCTCAACTCACCTGTAAAGAAAAACAATAACACCAAAATCAGTAAAGAAAAAATATATATTAATTGGGTTCGATAAATCATGAAAAAAAAACTAAGAATAAGCCATTACAGCATAAATATTCATGGGCGCCAGACATTCTTTTCATTTACCGGAAATGTCATGATTTTTTCTTGTTATATAAGATGACCGTGGTTGATGATTAGTGACCCATATCGACATTTTGGAGTGCCCCTTACGAACCTGAACAGCCAGTTAAGCTAGTTGTTACAAAGTTGGGGCAATCAAGGTTCGATTTGAAAAAGAATTCTTGGGCACTTTGATGACCTTGAGGTGCGGAAACTTTGGTCAGGAAATTGGGCTAGATCACGAAGGTTTTTATGAGTCAGTGGTAAGTTTATATTTCTATATTTTTTTTATTAAGAACTATTAAGTTGTGGTGATGCTTTGATTGAGTCTGTGATTTGCATGATAATAACTAGGAGTTAGTGAAGGGAAACCCAAGTTCTAGTTAGTTAGTTAGCAAAGGAAACTTCCGTCAAGTTCTAATAAGCCATCTTCTCTAATATTTATTTTTAGCATTTCCGTTTGCTAATCTTGATCCATGAACCCCGTGTCCCATCATCATCATCATCATCATCATCATCATTTCGCTGATCTTTCCGATCAACTTCCTGACTTCATCAAGTATTTCTTTACCATGTTTCGACTGAGTACGTACTTCTATTGGCCATCATTGATCACAACAATCGCACCGAATAGTGGTCTTCAGATCAAATAATTGCACACTTTAATGTGCCTTAGTGCTTGGCAAACACAAACAATACTTGTTATCTGACCAAACTTAAGTCTATGTGTATCTATTTGGGTTTCTATCTATGTATCTGAGAGTGCGTTGGCGTTTGGCAATTATCCGCATTATGATCATATCAAAATGTTATTCAACTTCTGTTCTGCTTTGTCATGTCAATCATCGATTTGTTGCGGCTTTAAAGTCTCTGAAGGAAATCTCAATAATTGATACATTTGTACGGTTCAACTTCCTAGCCATAAATCGATTTCGAATTATGGAAATCATAATAATATTTAAAGGCAATAATTGATTGCGGATCTTAGAATGCTTTTATTGCTAAAAAATTTAAACTGGTTCCGCTTGCAGGTAAGTAATTTAATAAGCTACTTAAAGCCTTAAAATTCAAATTATTTTTTAAGATTTTTCCATTGCAGAGAAAAAGAAATCTCACAACGTTGTGGAACTCTCAACATTTCCCGATTTTGCTTGAATTTTTGATAACCTACTGGGCACTGTGACCTGCCTGGCCAAATGTATACCCTTGGGCTGGGAACCAGGACTTTGCCAGCAATTCTTGTACCAAGCACTCTGCTGGCGACTCAATCCAAACCCGGCAGCAATCCTCAACGAACAATGATGCAAACTTTTGCCCAAGACCCGTAAGAAGCTACCAAAGCGATGGCTTGGTAGGGGTTCTGGCAGGGCAAAGGAGTTCGGTGATCTGGGCAGCCTCTGCACTTTTAAATTCGTAGGAACTGCAACATGATTTCCTTCTTCGTAGACATCATCGGTATCCGCCTCGTAACCATTATCCGAAAGACAACAATTTCGGCCCAGAGTTTCAATGGAATCTCTATTGATAGGATATTTTTTGACATATTTCCTAGAACCACTTGGCTCACTGTCCGAGCTCTTTGAATTTGGAAGACTTCTGGCAGGTGGTCCATCTCTAAGATGATTTCTAATCCTTGGCTTGCGTTCCCTAACGGGCGGCCTGGACATTTTCCAGCTGCTTGGATGCGGGGTGGTGCATCCAATTTTTCTGTTTAAATTTTGAATTTCTTTTTTTGGAATTTTGATAGCTGTGAGAGAGGTTACTTGGGAAAAGTATAAGTTTAAGGTTTTTGCTTGAAATCTTTTAAGAATTTTAAAGTTAAGTTTTATTTTCCATTTAGTTTTTAAGCTTAAGTCAAAAAATGTTAATTTTCTTCCAACATACATTTTGGCACCCCCTTCTAATGACTACAAAAAGGTTAATACCCGTCATAAAGCTGCAGTTAATAAACTTGTACAGAAGCTTGTCTAATGCGGAAACACCCTTTTTTTTTTTAGCCATAAAAAACAAATCTATTAACATTTTTTACATGCTAACAAACAGTGCGAAGTGAAAAGGCAGAATTTTCAGTAGAACTTTTCTGATATCTAAACTTTAACTTTATTTTTCTGTGAAAAAGTAACAACCTTGAATTGATTTCTAACACAAAATCTAACTCCATTCATTCAACATTCGAGCCTCTTTAGTTTCTTCTTTTTTGCAAACATTTAAGCTCTTTTAACTGTAACAATGCGAGAGGAACAGGTTTTTTGTTTTTGTCTTTAATCAGGAATCAAATCAACTTAATCTTCAGCCTGCAAATATTACCAAATCTTAACAATTTTTATGGTAACTAAACGAAGTGCTTTGTCATGATGATCGAACTAGACGCAATTAATAGCCAGAAGAAAAAAAACCCAAAAACCATGTTTTATGGTTAAGTTAAGAACATTTTATGGCCAGTAGATTTTCCACTTTTGTGTTTTTTTTCTGCCAGTCATTCAGAAGATTGTCAAAGAAAACTATAAGTTAAATCAGAGTTTTATTTCATATTTTAAGTTTTAAGTTAAGAATGAAATCCTTGCATTAGATAGTAGATATTAGATATTAGATTTTAGATATTAAATAACAAATCAAAGCTAAAGCCATGGACCGGCAGCAGTAAATGAGTTGGGAAAATAAACAACCACTAAAGACATGGTCGAGGCCCCAAAATAAAACAAAAAAAAATTGTCAGTTAGAGCAAAGAGCAAGTTGGCCAAAATCGGCAGTTGCCAACTATGAAAACTCGGTCAAAGACAACGAGTTTGCTTAAATTCTTGACTTTATGCGAACAGAAAAATAGAAAAATAGAAAAAAAAAATAGTTTTTGTTGTTGTTGTTGCTGCTTAACTATCGATAGTCAAAGCTTTAATTGCCGTTAGCTAAATGCACTGCTAGAAAAACCATAAGAAAAAGTCATTAAAAGATAGTTAATTTATGTGGAAAAGTAAATGAATATTTAACTTTAATAGCCTCATAAATAAAGAACTTTAAATTTTAATCTTTTTGTTGGAATTCAAATAAAATTCCCTTAAAATGTTATTTATTATCTACGATTTAAGCTTTTGATTGTTTTTCTTTTTAGAATCTACTTAGAAATTCTTCTCACTGTAGCTAATCGAATGGCAGCTCAACGAACTTGAAGAATTGCGCGAATCGCAGACGAATTGCGAAATTGTAAGCCGCCGCCGCTGCCGCTGCCGCAAGGCATTTTTCAGCCTTGACTCCAAAGTGTCCACTGTACCTCTACTATGCGGTTGTGGTACTTGAATGTCAACGGTTTTTGGTTCTTGATTGCCTTTTGGCCTTCACAGATTGGCCAAGGGTTCTTAAAGGGGCCCCTCATTTGTATTCCAAGCAGGCACAGCCGGTGTACTGCATCCTGGTCTTGCATTGTCCTCTGACTATATCTTTATATATATAACCAACAACGACGTCATTTTAGGGCGGAGAACCCATCAAAAAAGCATTAAGCACCTTCTTAATTTATTTTTACTTTTTGTTTTTCTTTTAGTATGTCATACGGTTGCGGTCGACTGGCCAAGTTTACGTTGCCAAGTTTTCAACTCACGAGCTTGGGAGCTTGGGAGCTTGGAGGGGGATCTTGGATCTTTGGAATTTTTTTCTTTGGGCTCTCCCCCTATTCTAAGCTCACGAATTCACATGCAAGCGGAAATAATTAACAAAATTATTCACTAAACACAATGAAAAATAAAAAAACCAACATTACATTGCCTTCAAGTTCATTCAAGAATTTTACAAAGTAATTATAGTTACGAAGATTGTTTGGCAACAAATCAATAGGTTAACTAATAAACTAACTTTGATGCTTAATATATAGATATATATCTTTGCAAATCTTACATAATAACAACCTAAAGTGACTATATTATGTAAGTTTTTTGTTAAGGAAAGTTATGGTTAAATTTAGTATAAAAATCAACTTTTTTACAGTTCCTTCATGGCTTGTTATAAACTTTTATGCTTTTTAGTTTTAAGTTTTAATATTTCTATTCAAATCTTTAAGATATTTCCTTAAAAATATCTCCCTTTTTTAAGATTAGTTTATGTAAAAACCCCCTTAAAACCCATTACCTATCAAGAATTTCTAAACATTTCCGATCACAAGCTATTGATTTTCTAATTACAACCTAGTCACTATATTATCATCACCTCTTAATTGATTTAGCAGTTATTTTCCCTTAGCCTTAAAGCCATGATATTATTATCAGATTATACCTCTTATTAACCGATTTCTACTATATATTCAGTTCACAACTTAAGACGAACATTGTGCATTCTGTATGCATTTTGGGTTGGAATGTTTTTATGATCTTTGATCGATCGAAACAAATAACACACAAAATGTTAATCTAGAAATATTCTCTCTCTCTCTCTCTCTCTCTCTGTGAGTGTGTGTTTGGGTCAGACTATGACTGTTAGTTAGATATGACCAAAAGCCAGGGCCCTGTACTTAGTTTTTCAGTGGGGCTTTAGTTCTGCTTTTAGCTTAGCGGGCCAGTCGATCGCGGCAGTCGAGTGACTGCAGTCCGGCTGCAAGGTGATGACGCTCCAATGACTTCGCCACGGAATCACATTAGAACCCTTCTCAGCCTCTACTGGCTCATCCCGTTGGTCATCAGTCAAGATTACAATGGCAATGTTGTCTTTGATATGCTGGAGATCTATCGACGCGGACAAGAGCAATTGGATTTGGAGAACCTGGATGAGGCTCAATCGGTGTCGGCTAAATATGATTTCATAATAGTGGGAGCTGGAACAGCGGGTTGTGCCTTGGCAGCTCGTCTCTCCGAGAATGCCAAATGGAAAGTTTTACTATTAGAAGCCGGTGGCCCGGAAAACTATGCCATGGATATACCCATATTGGCACATCTTCTGCAGCTGGGCGAGGTTAACTGGAAGTACAAGACGGAACCGTCGCAAAGCTATTGCCTGGCCATGAACGGCAATCGTTGCAACTGGCCCAGGGGCAAGGTGATGGGCGGCAGTTCGGTGCTCAACTACATGATGTACACCAGAGGCAATCGCCGGGATTACGATCGCTGGGCGGCACTGGGTAATCCCGGCTGGAGCTATGATGAACTTCTACCCTATTTCAAGAAATACGAAGGCAGTGTAATACCCGATGCCGATGCCAATTTAGTGGGCCGTCAAGGTCCCGTGAGGGTTAGCTATTCGGAGACAAAAACTCGCATAGCCGATGCTTTTGTTCGGGCCTCCAATGATGCGGGTCTGCCACGTGGGGATTACAATGGAGAGTCACAAATTCGGGTGTCCTACTTACAGGCGAATATCTACAATGAAACACGTTGGAGCTCTAATAGAGCTTACCTATATCCGATTAAAGGAAAACGTCGAAATCTTCATGTAAAAAAGAACGCTTTGGTCACCAAAGTCTTGATTGATCCGCAGACCAGGTCAGCTTATGGTGTAATGGTTAAAATGAATAGCAAACTGCAGAAGATCTTGGCCAGAAGGGAGGTGATTCTCTCAGCGGGAGCTATAAATACACCCCAGCTACTAATGCTTTCGGGAATTGGACCTGCCAAACATCTTCGAGAGATGGGCATCAAACCCTTGACTGATCTTGCCGTTGGCTATAACCTACAGGATCATATAGCCCCCGCTATTAGTATCCTTTGCAATGTCACTTCCTTGCAAATCAGTGACATGTTCAGTGTTAAGGCCATGTCGGATTTCCTACAAAGTCGCGGAGTTCTACGGATACCAGGTGGTGTGGAAGCCATATCATTTTATGCCCTAGACGATCCTAGCAATCCCGATGGTTGGGCTGATATGGAACTCTTTGTGGTTGGGGGTGGACTGCAAACTAACTTGGCCTTGCGTCTTGCCTTGGGCATCCAGTCGAGTATCTATGAGAAAATGTTCGGTGAACTGGAACGTGAGAATGCCAATGGTTTTATGATATTCCCCATGATCCTGCGGGCCAAAAGTCGTGGACGCATCAAGCTAAAGAGTCGTAATCCTGAAGAACATCCCCTAATTTATGCCAATTATTTCTCCGATCCCTATGATCTGAATATCACAGTTCGTGGAATCGAACAGGCAGTTAGTTTACTAGATAAACCAGCCTTTAAAGCCATTGGAGCTCGGCTATTTGAGAAAAGGATACCAAATTGTGCCAAATACAAATGGAAAAGTAGTGCCTATTGGTCTTGCTATGCCCGTCACTTCACCTTCACTATTTATCATTATTCGGGTACGGCCAAGATGGGTCCACGTCAAGATCCCTCAGCTGTGGTGGATGCCCGTTTAAGGGTCCATGGCATTGAGAAACTTCGCGTTGTGGATGCCAGTATTATGCCCTATTTGATCTCGGGTCATCCCAATGGACCTGTTTATCTAATAGCTGAAAAGGCAGCTGATATGATCAAAGAGGATCATAATTTCCTATAGATTAGGTTTTTGGGTAGATCAGTTAAGGGGGCTATATAGATCTTAACAGCTTATCTTATGTATATATAATGATTTTTGGAGTGATTTTCTAGTGAATTAAAGTACAAATCTAAGAACTATTAATGGAAAATGTTTTATTGTAAAAAAGTTTAAAAAAAAATATCAAGAAAACGATTTACGTAAAGTAAAAAATATAAACTAAGAACTAATCTTAAAGGCTTAATCAGTTTTAATGATTATTTTCATGATATCAAACAGGAAAACCAAAAGATTACATCTTTTAACCCTTAATTAACCCTTTCTTGCCTTCTTCCTTCTTGCCATAAACAATAATTATAATTTCAAAAACGAAAAGACAAAGAATAAAGGCTAGACTAAACCCATCTACAACTATAAAATTCTACATTATGTTAAAAATAAAATAAAATCTTGTTTGACATTAAAGTCTGAAGAAGAACCTGTCGTTTCTTGGCAGAAAGAACCCCACCCCGAATTCTTCAGTCAAAAAAAAAACGCAGAATCATCTTGCCTTTTTCTATGTTAATTGCAATCCACGAAAAAGATGAAAGAGAAAACCCAATCGAAGAGGATCTTTGTCTAGAGTTATAGCCATGGGAGGGCCCTTTAATGTTTGGACAACGGCTTCCGCATCTTAACCACAGCTGCTAACAAAACGTTGATCGGCTCAAGTCAATGTCAGAGATACAGATTCATTTTCAGTTTCAGTTTCAGTTTGAGATTCAATTTTAAATTGAGATTCATTTTCAGATCGTAGAGCTTTCAGCAGCAATAATAACTGCTGGTGTTGGGCTTGTTGTGTGAACGTGTCCATAGTCAAGTCTTCGAAAGATTTGAAGATTCTTGGCGAGCGAACAACGAAGTTGAAAAGCCGAAAAAACCGAATAACCACCAACGATTGCCGAGAGATTCGCGTACTAAGCGATCGGTTCGTTCGGCGATCGCCGCCGAATTTAATATTAAATTGAACTTGGCCACGGCATTTGTCAGCATTTCTAGTTACCTATCCGATTGGGTAACACGTTCGCGATCGCGTTCAAGTTTCCATCGATCAAAAGAACAACCCAAAGCGAGGTTCTACTTCTCTATTTTTTTGGATAACATTCATTTTTTTTTTTTTTAACTGTGCAATTGATTGGTGTTAAAAAGTGCAGTCAAGAAACCTTTGATTTAAAGCCCCATAATGGCAAACAAAATGCTTCTATTTGTTGCCCTCTGCCTGGTTTATATGACTCTTGGGGATGTGCAAACCTCTGCCCAGGATAGCAATAATGTCCTCTTCGAGACGATTAACTTCTTGAGACGCGGCCAGGCGGATGTTGAATTGGAAAACTATGATAATAATCTAGTTCTAGATAGCGAATATGATTTCATAGTAGTTGGAGCTGGAACGGCAGGATGTGCCATAGCTGCTCGTCTCTCAGAGAATCCCAAGTGGCGTGTCTTGCTCCTGGAAGCCGGTGGTCCCGAGCGTCTCGTCATGGATGTACCCATTGTGGCGCATTTCCTGCAACTTGGCGAAATGAACTGGAAGTACAGGACACAGCCATCGGATCATGCCTGCCTGGCGATGAACAACAATCGTTGTAACTGGCCCAGAGGCAAGGTGATGGGCGGCAGTTCGGTGCTCAACTACATGATGTACACCAGAGGCAATCGCAGGGATTATGATCGCTGGGAGGCTCTGGGTAATCCTGGCTGGAGTTTCAAGGATGTTCTGCCATATTTCAAGAAATACGAGGGCAGCAGTGTCCCAGATGCCGAAGAGGATTATGTTGGCCGCAATGGACCAGTGAAGGTTAGCTATGTTAACTGGCGTTCCAAGATCTCCGAAGCCTTTGTGGAGGCAGCTCAGCAAGATGGCCTGAAGTACAGGGACTATAATGGACGCATTCAAAACGGAGTGGCTTTCTTGCATACCACCACTAGAAACTCAACTCGCTGGAGCTCCAATCGTGCCTATCTTTATCCTCTGAAGGGAAAACGCACCAATCTGCATGTGAAAAAGAACGCTCTGGTTACCAAGGTGCTCATCGATCCACAAACCAAGTCTGCTTATGGCATTATGGTTCAGACTGAGGGACGCATGCAGAAGATCTTGGCCAGAAGAGAGGTGATTGTCTCAGCGGGAGCTATTAATACACCCCAGCTACTGATGCTTTCCGGCGTGGGTCCCGCGAAACATCTCCGTGAAGTTGGCATTAAGCCATTGGCTGATCTTGCCGTTGGCTACAATCTTCAGGATCATACAGCGCCAGCGGTTACGTTCACCACCAATGCCACATCCCTGAAGTTCGAAGACTTTGCCGATCCCACACTGATCAATCGCTTTAACAGGATGGAGGGACCTTATGGCTCACCCGGTGGCTGTGAGGCCATTGCCTTCTGGGATCTGGATCATGAGCGTGATGAGGATGGTTGGCCCGATATTGAGCTCTTCTTGGTTGGCGGTTCCATGTCCTCCAATCCGGCCATCTCACGTGCCTTTGGCCTTAAGAAATCCATCTACGATACACTCTTTGCCGAAATAGAAGACAAATCACTGAATGCCTTTATGATCTTCCCTATGATTCTGCGTCCGAAGAGTCGTGGTCGCATCATGCTGAAGAGCAGTGATCCCTTCAAGTATCCCCTGATCCATGCCAATTACTTTGCTCATCCCTATGATGTGGACATTTCGGTTAGGGGTCTCTTGAAGGCCATAAGTCTGATGAATCAGCGTGGCATGCAGGCGATAAATGCCCGTTTGTGGGAGAAGAAGATCCCGACCTGCAAGCAGCATCCCTACAAGAGTTGGGCCTACTGGGCCTGCTATGTAAGGCACTTCACCTTTACAATCTACCATTACTCAGGCACTGCCAAAATGGGTCCCAAATCTGATCGAGCTGCTGTGGTTGACCATCGTCTGCGGGTGCATGGCATTAGGAATCTGCGAGTTGCCGATGCCAGTATCATGCCGGAGATCATGTCCGGACATCCAAATGGACCTGTTTTCATGATTGCCGAGAAGGCTGCCGATATGATCAAGCAAGATCATGGCTTCATCCAGTAATCCCCAGTAAAACCCATAATAATCCCATATAATCCAAAGTTGATTACCACAATCAGGTGTAAGCTCCATTTACACTGGCCTGCCATCATCATTATCATCATTATCATCATCTTCTTGTTGTTATTCCAAAACCATCTCCTCAAATCAAATCTCAAACTTATGGCTGGTGTCAAATGGTTCTTAAGTTTAAGTTTAAGGATTTTCCATAAAAGAAAATTGTTTGTTATTATCTGTAATGTCTGTCTTGCCTGAACTGATTCTAGATTAAGTTTAGAAATATAAGCAAAAATATGCATAAATAAATCAATTTAGGTTTTGTATGTACTTTGAAATGTGATATGGTTTTCAGTTTTAAGAAAAGTAAATGGAAAGGGGAAGATTTTATAACTAAGTTTGTATCTAAATTTAGTTAACAGACAAACTATATAAACTCTTTAACCAAAACCAATTCTTATAAGCCAAAAATGAAGCTGTGTTAATGCTAAAAAATCTGGCATTGACATTGAGTTTTTTTTGGTAGATTTGTGATTTCGCCCCCTTGTCTCATTCATTTCAATAGGAATTTTCAGCTCTGGCAATTTTCATGCTAATCAATTTGTGGCTTCATAATCAAAAAACCGTGAAATCCATGAAGTTGCCCGCTTGTTACGACGATTTTTTTTTTTATTATTTTGATTTATTAGATGTCTTTGTTTTCAGTCTCTCTCAAAAGTCTCTTCTCATCTTTTTTATTGTGGCGGAAATGAATTTTTTTGTCTTTACTCTCGTTTATTTTTTTTTTTCGCTTTCAGTTTCATTTTTTACGATCAAGTTGGTGTGAATATTTTTAGTCTTTGGTTTTATCTTGGTTTAATTTGCATCGATTCGACCTTAGAATTATTTATGTATGTGGAGTGGGTAGATAAATCTGTCGAAAATTGAGAATAATTGCTGTGGGGGAAATAATATTTGTGGGCCTCTTAAAAGTAGGCAACATTAAATGTTACTCCAAAGCGAAGTTCAAAGCTTAAACTTGAAGCTCTTATTTGGCTTAGTAAAGCCGGTTTTAAAAGCCGGCTGGGGATTAGTTTTAACAATCACAATACTGTTAGAAATATTAAATTTCTAATAATCCAAGAGCTATGTCAAAAAATCCTTTAAAAACACCAACCCATTCCTGCTTTCCCATGAAAACTCATAAACGAAATTTCCAATCCCACCTGGAAAACAAGAACAAATCACTATGGTTACAGCCAGACTTTTCATTAACACAAATTGAAATATTCATGAAACGCGAACAAGGGGCGGTTTCAGTTTTCAAAAAAAAAAGAGACATAAAGACAAATTTTGAATGCAATTGCCATGACCAAAACATTTCCCATCCTCTAAAGTTAGAGGGATCTAAAACCCTGCCCTGTGCTCATTTTCCAGCTTGTAAGGGAATCCATTGACTTTGATTTGGGGTTGGAGGAACTGCATCCATATGCTGGGGTTGATCCCACTGCAATAAGCCACCCCTTTATCCAGTTTTTTTTTTTTTTTTCGGGCTAGACCCTAAAGTCGTTTAATCCGCTTTGGTTTTGTATGTTTTTTTTTTTTCTCTCTGCTCTTGATTATTATGCTCTATGGGGGTAGCTTGGAATATATTAACCCTCGAGTGCCCGCTGCTGGTGCTTCAATCTTCAAAGATTCAACTGACAGGCCAGGCCAGCAGCATAAAAGTATACGAGTACGAGTATATGAGGAGCCCCCCGCCCGGGCAGAACAAGTTGCCCATCCAAAAGCCATTGAACCGGGCTCAGATGCAAAAGCCAAGTCAGAAGTACACAGAAGAAAAAGTTAAGGTAATATGAACTTAAATTTTAAAGTAATCATTATACCAGAAAGTAGTTACTTTGATAAATTAAGACTTAAGAGATTCTAGAATACATTTTTGTAGACTAAAAAGATCGTTCTACAACCCCAATACCTTTTTCTTTCAGTGCATTAGAAAAAGAGTCAGAAAAACCGGCAGAGATGAGCAAGCAGAAAGCGCAAATTAGCAAGTGGCAATAAAAATTCTGAGACAATCTCGGCCTGTTTTTTGGCCCTACAACAAAAAGTCAACCAACTCATCAGCAGCAGCGAAGAAAGATAGAGAGATGCTCTGATGTTGGAGAAAGGAGAAAAGAGACAAACAGCTGGGTTATTATAGAGATCAGTGAGGGAGAACCAAACCGGCCAGATTGTATATATAGTACAGTGGGGCCAATCGGGGTTAACTATAAACAATATAATATCATTTGATACTCAATTACAAATCTGGTTTTGGAAAAGTATACAATTTTTCAAAATAATAATTAACAACCACTCAGTAATTAGAAAAATCCATAACTTAATAACCATGAAATGCAAATTTGTATCGTAATTTTTAACAATTACACACTCGCACAGTGTCATAAAATTTGAAATCTATAGTAGAAATTATAATTGCTAACCAAGTTGTTAATAAAAAATAAGAACTGCCTAGAATGTTAGAGAATCTAACAATCCGGTTCCACAGTGCATTGGCAGATGTGATGCCAAACAGAGGTAAAGATCCAATTTCACCTGAAGCTGCAGAGTTCAGTTACCGGCCAACGCAACCATGGAGAAGGTGCTACTTCTCTTGCTCCTGCTAATCCCGCACCAGCTTACCAACGCGGAAAGGAATCCCCAACTGGAACAACTGCGGCAATTGGGTTTGGGAAATGTGGTCAATGTACCCTTCTTCAGTGATGGTAAGGAGTTAAGCTCATTAGGGTTATCATTATATATCAGTAAAACCTATCTTTTTGCCCTTTTAGTACCACAGAAAAACTATGATTTCATAGTAGTAGGAGCTGGAGCGGCTGGCTGTACATTGGCCGCTCGTCTCTCTGAAAATCCCAACTGGAATGTCTTCCTTATCGAAGCTGGCGGAGTTGAGAATATAGTACATCAAGTGCCCTTACTGGCAGCCCATCTACAGTCTACTGCCTCCAATTGGGGCTATAAATCTACATCACAACGACTGGCCTGCCGGGGAATGCCCGACAACAAGTGTGCCCTGCCGCGTGGCAAGGTTCTGGGTGGCACCAGTTCCATCAACTATATGATCTACAATCGTGGCAATCGAAGGGATTTTGATGGCTGGGCAGCAGCTGGAAATCCCGGCTGGAGTTATGATGAGGTATTACCCTATTTCCTAAGGAGTGAGCATGCCCAGCTCCAGGGATTGGAGAACTCACCCTATCACAATCACAGTGGCCCTCTGAGTGTGGAGGATGTGCGTCATCGCACACGTCTATCGCATGCCTATGTAAGAGCTGCCCAGGAAGCGGGTCATCCGAGAACCGATTATAATGGTGAATCCCAACTGGGAGTTTCATATGTCCAAGCTACAACCCTGAAGGGCAGAAGACACAGCGCTTTTCGTGCCTATATAGAACCTATCAGGTCTAGACGTCATAATCTTCATATCCTAACACTGGCTAGAGTTACCCGGATTCTTATTGATCCAGCTACTAAATCCGCCTATGGAGTGGAGCTAAACCATCAAGGTAGAACATTTAAGGTGAAAGCCCGTAAGGAGGTTATACTATCAGCGGGTGCCTTCAACTCCCCCCAGCTACTGATGCTCTCGGGGATTGGCCCTGAAGATAACCTTAAAGCCATTGGTGTACCCTTAATTCAAGCCCTGCCAGTGGGTAAGAAGATGTACGATCATATGTGCCACTTTGGACCCACTTTTGTCACCAACACCACGGGTCAAACTCTATTTGCCGAACGACTAAAGCCACCAGTGGTTAAGGAGTTCCTTCTTGGTCGAGCAGACACTTTCCTGTCCAGTATCGGTGGCGTAGAAACCCTCACTTTCATCAAAGTACCCACAGCTCAGAGTCCATCTACGCAACCTGATATCGAACTCATCCAAGTAGCTGGCAGCTTGGCCAGCGATGGTGGCACTGCACTGGCCCAAGGAGCCAACTTCAAGCCAGAGATTTACGAGAAAATGTATAAGGATTTGACACTGAGGCAGCAGGATCACTTTAGTTTCCTCATCATGCACTTCAATCCCGCCTCCGTCGGTCGCCTGTGGCTACACAATCGCAATCCACTCGAATGGCCACGCATCGATCCCAAGTACTTCTCGGCTCCAGCTGATGTGGAGCACTTGTTGGAGGGCATTAAGGAATCGATTAGGATTTCTAAAATGCCAGCAATGCAGGCTATTGGTACTAGACTCCTGGACAAGCCAGTCCCTGGATGTGAAAGTTTCGAATTTGCCTCGGATGATTATTGGAGGTGTTCTATACGAACGCTTTCCTATACACTGCACCACCAAGTGGCCACCTGTCGGATGGGACCCGAAACTGATCCCACAACTGTGGTCAATCATCAACTTAAGGTTCATGGCATGAAAAAACTTCGGGTGGTGGACACCAGTGTTATCCCAGTGCCACCCACCGCCCACACAAATGCAGCGGCATTTATGATTGGGGAGAAGGCGGCGGACATGATACGATCAGAATGGAGTTGATTAACTCCCAAAAATGAAGATCATTTTTAGAGACAAACAGCGATTTATGTAAAGGGGTTAATAAAATGCGAGAGGAAAGTTGAAAGAAAGCAAACGGGTACACTGCAAGAAAAGTTTACGGTTTACAAGGCATTCGATACTATTTTTTTTTAAATATATAATAATCTAATTAGGAATCTGTAATGTAAGATCAATCGTATTTCAAAAATATTTCACTTTTCCATGGGTTTTTCGAAAGGAATCATTTTGTTTCTAACTTTTTCCACGTAAATTATAAAATTTCTAATTAATTTGTTTAAATTGCATTCTTTTTTTCTTTAATAAATAATACAAAAAAATGTCTTTTTGCTACAGATTAATATCAGATTTCTCATATAAAGTAAGCTAAAAGTGGAGGAAGATTGCAAAACTTAACTTTGTTTTCATTTACTAATCACTTTTTTAAGTTCCTAGCTTAGTTTTCCAAACTTTCTTTAAGTGTAAAATCAAACGGGGTCTTGGGAACGGTTTGGGTCAGTCCAATTAAGACCACGTCATGACCTAGCTTAATAACTTCTCACCGATCCGATTCCGATTCAGAACCGATCCAGAGCTCAGTAAACGAGGCAACGCAAACGGGTTTAGGCGAAGTATCAAGTTCAATGCCTCGGGGCACAAAAAAAATCTTAATAGGGGGAGAGTGTATGCCTCATCGATGATGTATGTAAGCATATATGTTATTATTATATTTTATATATATATAAATAAATATATATAAAAATTTGAAGTGCATTTAGGGGCCCAACGCAGGGAGAGCACGCGCCAAAGTTAAACGAACCCGCAAATGGCAGCCGGCAGTTAAAAAAAGTGAGAATCTTGTCGTTCTCCCTTCACATTTGGCCAAACCAGGAAATAAGATACAGCACTAACTTGATACCCTGTAGTTTTTAGGAATTCTTAAATTAATATTAGATTTTATATCATTAATATTGGTTATATGAAAAGAAATGCTTGTATTAATAATATAATTCAACCTTTTTATCTCTTAATTTTTCCAATATTGTTCATAATCACTGCCCTTTCTCTCTGTGTACTTCTTAAACCACTCCAAAACTAGATCAACTTTGTTTTATCTTAATGATTTCAGCACCTTTACTATGTTTTGATGTCTTTCTAGGTAAAACTATGCGATTTTCACTATTCTTTTTTGTTTACTGCTAATTGGTGCTAATTTTATTTAAATTTTGTTTAAAGTTCTTTAACCGGTTTTTGGCCAACTTTGATAGTTCCCCTGGCTATTTGGTTTATCTCCTATTTTTAGGTTTGTTGTTTTTTTTTAATGGTTAATTTCATTCCTTGTTTGGGTTTCCATTTCTCAGTTCATTTGCTCTTCGAGCTTCATTGGCTTCAGTTTGTTGGTTTTTGTTTTTTTCATTCTTTAATGATTTTCCGTGTCGGTTTAGTTGGTTTTTTAAGCTATTCTTAATTTCGTTCATTAGTTTATTTCTTCCTGGGGTGAACTGGAGGTGTCATATCATAGCATTTGTATCTTATTTTCATTCATATATATCTTTTGATATGATATTGAGTTTGGGTACATTGAAGGTTTACTTAGTATTGGTTTTTTATAAAGTTTTATTTTGTTTTTAACAACATTTTTGGTCTAATTTTGTTTTTAAAAACATTTTGTAATATTTAAATCTGTTTTATCACGAAATTTTAAGTCATTATTTAATTTTTTATATTTTATTTAACAAAATTTCTCATTTCTATAATACCTAATCATTTTTTAAGATTTTTAATCATCTTTTTCTATCACTTCCCTAACAAAAATCAACCATCATTAACCCATCTTTCTGTTCTCACATTAAATCCCAACCAAAAACACCCATCACCATCACACTCCACACCCAAAACTCCCTTTTGGCCAAATGCCAGGGTATGTGGTTTAATAAGGCTAACGGGGTGGGTGGGGCATCAATTTGGCGGCGGTGGCGCTGGATTAACAGCCACAGAGAGACAATATAACAACAACAACAACAATAAAGGTAGCCAACCCAATGACGTGTTTGGAACGCGATGCGGCGGCATTATGGCACCTGAGTCACTCATTGTCAGTCCAATCCAGTCCAGGAGCCAGCCATGGCTTAAAAGCAACTCCCCCCAAACGATGGCAGCTCATTTGCCCACCATTAGCCCAATGCAATCCACACAGAACTCACACTCACAGCTCCTTCTGCTCCTTGTGTCTTTGTTGCTCCTTTTCCCTGGCGAATCCCATGGGGATGTCAACAGATTGCTGCTGGATCAGCTTAACCAGGTGGGATTGGTTAACCTCCTAGAACAGGCAACGCGACCCAATGGTAAGTCTTTTTCAAGTACAAGGTTGACGAAAATCTCTATTTACTATTATTTTTCCTATTTTCTTTGTAGTACCCCAAGATCTCTCGAACTATGACTTTATTGTAGTCGGAGCTGGAGCAGCTGGTAGCTCATTGGCCGCCCGCCTTTCGGAGAATCCACAATGGAGTGTGGCCCTCATCGAAGCTGGAGGTGTGGAGAACATAGCCCATCTGACGCCAGTGGTAGCTGGTTATCTCCAGCAGACAGCATCGAATTGGGGATACAAATCGGTGCCCCAGAAGTTGTCATGCCACGGAATGAACAATAACGAGTGTGCTCTGCCGCGTGGCAAAGTTCTGGGTGGCACCAGTTCCATCAACTATATGATCTACAATCGTGGTAATCGAAGGGATTTTGATGGCTGGGCAGCAGCTGGAAATCCCGGTTGGAGTTATGAGGAGGTATTACCCTATTTCCTAAGGAGTGAAAATGCCCAACTTCAGGGATTGGAGAACTCCCCCTATCATAATCACAGTGGCCCACTGAGTGTGGAATATGTGCGTTTTCGATCGAAATTAGTAGATGCCTTTGTGGAAGCCTCAGTGGAATCAGGACTACCTCGTACGGATTACAATGGAGAGTCACAGTTTGGAGTTTCCTATGTCCAAGCGACTACACTTAATGGCAGAAGGCACTCTGCCTATTCAGCGTATATAAAGCCAGTGAGGGATTTCCGCCCAAATCTACAGATTTTCACCTTTTCCCGAGTGACTCGGATACTGATCGATGAGGGCACTAAAACCGCATACGGCGTGGAGTTTCACTATAAAAACAAGGCCTATACTTTCAAGGCTCGCAGGGAGGTTATAATATCAGCGGGAACCTTCAATTCCCCTCAACTACTAATGCTCTCGGGGATTGGACCAGAAGATAACCTTAAAGCCATTGGAATTCCCCTTATCAAAGCCCTGCCAGTGGGCAAGAAGATGTACGATCACATGTGCCACTTTGGACCCACTTTTGTGACCAACACAACGGGTCAAACGACCTTCACATCTAGAGTCACAGCCGCTGAGGTTTTATCCTACCTCCTAGCCGGAAATCCGGCCACTAAACTGAGTTCCATTGGTGGAGTTGAGGCCTTGGCTTTCCTCAAAACTCAGCGATCAAAACTACCACAGGATTGGCCAGATATCGAGTTAATAATGGTCACTGGCAGTTTGGCCAGTGATGAAGGCACAGGACTGAAGTTGGGAGCGAATTTCAAGGATGAAATATACGACCGGATGTACAGGGAACTGGCAGATGCCGAGCAGGATCACTTTACCCTGCTGGTAATGCAATTCCATCCAAAGTCTATAGGTCGCCTTTGGTTGAGGGATCGCAATCCCTTAAGCTGGCCCATGATCGATCCCAAATACTTTATAGCCGAGGAGGATGTAGAATTCCTACTGGATGGTATCAAAGCCAGTCTGAGGATCATACAGATGCCAGCGATGCAAAGGATTGGGGCAAGATTACTCAAAAGAACAGTGCCAGGATGTGAGAGTTTCAAGTTTGCCTCGGATGATTATTGGAGGTGTTCTATACGAACGCTTTCCTATACACTGCACCACCAAGTGGCCACCTGTCGGATGGGACCCGAAACTGATCCCACAACTGTGGTCAATCATCAGCTTAAGGTTCATGGCATGAGAAGACTTCGGGTGGTGGACACCAGTGTGATCCCAGTGCCACCCACCGCCCACACAAATGCAGCGGCATTTATGATTGGAGAAAAGGCAGCGGACATGATACGATCGGAATGGAGTTAAGTATTATTTTTTTTATAGATATGGAAAGTTTAGGTAAAAGCCATAAAGAAACCATTATGGAATTCAGATTTTTGGGATATCCTTTTCATAGGAGTATAGGTAGTCAATATAACTCAGTGGTTAAGTTTTTAGTTATAAGTTCGTGAAATATTTTTGAATATCCATAACAACCTTCGTGCTCAAAATCCATTACGTGTAATATGCGTGCCCCCAACAATTATGCCTCCCTTGGCATCTAATAAACAAACAGAATTCCCATTAAAGGATTATCGATACTTGGCTAAATGTATTATTTCATTATATCGTTTGCCAAAAAGGCGAAAAAAGTGAAGAGCAAACTCTTCTATTAGTCCCCCGTTATTGTTTGACTTGGCAAGTTAATTAAATCGAATTACCTTAACGAGTTGCATTTGGGTTTTCTGTGTACTTTTTTTTTGGGGGGGGTGTTGCCGACTTGTTGGGGTTTTTCGGTTGAGTGTGCGTTTTTCAGGAAGGGGGTTTTGGTCTTACCCCTAGGGGTTGGACAGAGTGCATTAACCCATGCCCGCAAATGGGGGTTGAAAAGTTTTGGCTAGGCACAGAAGGCAAAACGAGGCGAAGGAGTCTAGAGAGAGAGGAAGGGGGGGGGCAAAAATGGCAACATAAAAACATAAAACACAAAACATCAGGGGGTTGGTTTTGCCCACAACGGGATGCTGGGGGATGGTGGGTGGTTGTTGCATACAAGTGGTTATCACTGTCCTAGGCTTTAGCTTCCTTGTTTTCGTTGTTGTTGTTGTTGTTGTGTGAAAAATTCAATATGCATCAGGGAGTTTTCTGTGCCGCAGCCGCCGCCGCCGCCGGAGGAGAGAAAGACTTCCGGCCCCAGGGCTACACAATAGATACCAAAAGATTGCACAGGAAAAAAACAATCGAATAAATATGATCTTTATCTTCGTTGAAATAAGTTGACAAATTTCTTTTAGATAATGAAAAAAAAGGGTAAACAAAGTGATCTTTTCTAGCATGTATACCCCACCTTAACTTAGCATGACACATGCTATTATTAGAATTAGTCATACTATTTAGTTGATTAAAATAATTTTCATTTAAGTAATACAAGCTATTAGTTTGAATCAAGAAAGGTTATCAAAATGTTAAGAAACTGTAAAAAATAATCTAGAAAAAGCAGCAGAAAATCAGAAAGGAACTTTACAACCTATTGTTCTGATTTGCGGTTTCCACTTTTTATAATCTAAATACTATATATTTCTTTATAATTAATAACACTTTGAAGTGCAAATTCAGAATAAATAATAAATCGAAAACCAGGCATTAAATTAAGTAAAATTTCAATACAAAATATATAAAAAACAAATTAATTTTATAAGACTGGTAATACAACTTTTTAAGCTTGCAAAAAAATTCCCAAAAATAAGCCTCATAACAAACACTTTGAATGTAATTACACATTAAAGTAAATTGACTTTCAAAGTAATAAGTTAAAATTTAAAAAGTGAAAAGGTTAACAGGCAAATTTATACAAATGGAAAAAGGAAAACCTTCCTATTTTTAGACCTAAGACAGAGGGAAATCGTTCAAACTGCTTATCTTTTCTATAATAAATACTCGTATACAATTTTGAACAGTGTACCTATTATCCTCAATGCTCTACAATCATAGATCAAAGCCAAGTCAAATGTCAAACTGGCAAACAGAGTAACTGTAAATATATACAAATGCAACCCTGGCTAAATTCGCAATGTCCTGTCAACATGCGGTTTCCTAATTGCAGCATTTCAAAATCAGTCAACAGGCGTTTGACGCAACAGTATTGGCAACGAAAAGGGTTTAACCAGTGGATGGCAATGGGTTATAATGGTTGACAGGGGGGTTTAATGGCTGACTAAAGTACGACTTGAACTCACCTGAAACAATTAACGCCTCATTGGGACCCGTCGTGTGTATGTTGCCCATCGTTGAGTCGTTCCTCGTCGTCTACTTGTTGGTCCTTATTTATGTTTATATATATATAAATATATATTTTCCTTTGCCGTAAGCTCCGCTGGAAACTTCTGTTGCAAAAAAACAAACAAACAAAAAACACACACACGGATGTATAATTAGCACACGGAAAAAAAACGGTGAGATATACAACAAATTTAAAAATCTATTATATGCCGGTTCAGTTTTAATTATTTTAAATCAGTTTTCAAATTTTATATATAAAATAAGCTCATAAAAAATTGTTTTAAAAATTATTTGTATTCGATTTTAATAGTAGAATTTTTTTAGATTTTTTTATTATTTTTAGCTTTAATTTTAATATATAAATGATTATTTTTCTACATTTTCTTTTTCAGAAATGAATCAAAAGCTTCCATTGCCGCCAGAAAGTATGTTACAAGTTTAATTTTTAGATTGACATCTAAACACGCGCGCTTTCTTGTTGTTATTTATTTTTGTTCTCGATTTTTGTTGCTTGTGTATTGGCAATTAAGTTGTTTTTTTTTCTTGTTGTTGTTTTATATCGTTTTTATTAAGAGCTTTTTTTTTGTTTTTATCTGTCTCTAGGGAACAGCAACAACAATTAGCATTGAATCAACTTGTTCTTCATATAATGCTTAGTATATATATGTCTACATATATATTGCCTGTAGAGTATTTGAATGATTGAATCGGAATGTGGGCGCCTAAGCTATGGACACTTGAGGAGTTAAGAAAAGCAATAAAAAAAAAAGCCACTTGACAATAGTAAACTTTGCTGGTGATTTTTATTATTTACGTACACGTCTATATATGCCGCACTGCCCGGGGGATTTTTGTTCGCAATTTTTTTTTTCTTTTTATCAAAGTTCTATTAAACAGAAATAAATTAGCGAAAAAATAGAACATTGCGGGGGGAGGTGGGTGGTGCGGCATGACGTAAGCAGGCATGTGTGTATGAAAGAGAGAACAAGAGAGAGTTAGCTTTGGAGAGATGGGGCGCGTCTTATCAATGAGCTCATCAATTTTTCACTGGCAAAAAAGATTCGGCTTTTTCAGAACAAAATCTTTACTTTAATCAGAGTCAAAAACAAAAAGATAAGAGTTTAAGAAAAAGAAATTTAATAAACAACAAAAATAGCCCGGACACACACACACACGCATACACACTGGAAATTAACCCTTAGTGTGCGTAAAATCTGATTGGGGTGGCTGATTGGAGTTTTTGAATAAACAAAGTTTGTTATTGCCGCTTTGTTGTTGCTGTACCATGGTTGTTAGTAATATTTTTTCACACAAAACAGATGAGTTATTAGTAATAAACAGCAACCGGCTTGATGTATCACGTTTTAATCATAAACTAAAGCTGCGCTTGTTGAGCACTTTATCAGCATCCCACAGTTAAGTTTCACGTTTTTATTTTGGGTTCTCCTTGTAGGCAATTGTTTCTACCAATCACTTCACTCACAGCACAATAACAAAAATATGCAAAAAATACTTTGTGTTTGATTGATCCGGTCTGAGCAATTAATTTATTCTTAATTAAAACGTTTTCACTGCCAAAAATTTTTACCGTTTAATGGATCCCGAGAAGAGCACCTTCACGCTAGAGGCGGAAAAACTTCGATGCTTGACTGCGTCCTGATTACGATTACATTAAATTAAGTTATCGTATGATATCGATGGTGCTTCGTATGTGTCTTGGCTGAGTATGTTAATCATTTTCGCGCGACATCTAAATTTTGGTTTACGGCTTAGCTTACCATCTCGTTAGTGGCGAATGATATTTAATTTATGGTGTGTGTCATGGCTAAGCAAAAAATACCAAAAACAAAAAACCATACTAATTATCGATAATTTTTGGCAGTCTGATGTAAACAAAAGAACGACAAACAAGCAAAAATTATACAAAAATGTCTCGAGGTGGTGAATTGGTTTTCAAAACGAAAAAAACGAGTGAGAAGATATCGGAAAACATACATATATTCGCTAACGATCCGTCGTTGGCGTTTTTTCGAGTACAAGAACATGTTCGTAAGGTTTCCCCAGCGATTTTCGAGAAACGCGATGAGGTCTTCCAACTGCAAAACAATCTCCAGGGACATTGCTACGACATGGAATACGGAATTCAGTAAGTGCTTCGACGATATATATGTAAATTAATTAATTAATCGCAAATTCCTAACCTCAGAGCCCTGCGAACAATTGAAAAATCGGAAAGCATATTCGACAATATACAAGAGATGATTAAGGCTTCAATATTCCTAAAGCAACAGCTTAAGTACGAGGAAAACAGAAAGAAAATCAAAAAAGACAGCACCAAATCTTCAGTTTATAAACGATTCTCCGCTCATCTCGCCTTGGACCTGCCGGACTTACCAGATTTCGGTGGCGTTATGCGGGAAACTAGCCAGCGAATGGAGAATATGATTGGACCCGCTGCAGGAACAGCGCGTACTGATGCCCAGGCCACGCAATCCAGTAATCCTGGGGAACTCCAAAGATCTTATACGACACTCCATTAGTTTGTTCTGGTTTTAAGGTTTTAGTTTAAGCTTTGTACCAATACTTTCTATGTATGTATGTGTTTGTGATTATTACAAAAAAAAAGTGTAATTTAATTGTTTAGTATTACAAATTAAAGTATTTAGAATCATGAATCTTAAAATTACCTCATATACCCAAGAATTATAAATTTAAATTTTACTAAAATGTTGAAGACATTTTTGACACCTATTCGATATTCGATTGGCCGTTTGTCTTATCGTCAGTCTAACAATCGATACATTTCAGCTGACACTTGAACAGGCAGCACTTGTTTTTATTAGATAATAATATTAATATTACAATTTCCTTGGGTAGACAGCAGCTGTGAAGATGAATCGAATTTGCCAGAATCTGTTGCGTCAAAGCTACCCTCGTAGCTTTTCAGCTGGAGCAAATGCCTCCGCCACTCCAACAATCCTAAGTCGCTTCTATGCCGCAGATGCGGCAACCGGTGCGGCTGTGGACAAAGCGACGCTGGACAAACTGGTGCGCACCAACAAGGTGGTTATCTTCATGAAGGGCAATCCCCAAGCACCACGTTGTGGCTTCAGCAATGCGGTTGTGCAGATCATGCGAATGCACGGTGTCCAATACGATGCCCACGATGTGCTGCAAAACGAAGCTCTGCGTCAGGGTGAGTCCTTGGATTTCCTATGCCTATCTAAATTCAGTAAAATAACCTTTTTATTCTTTTTTAGGTGTTAAGGACTATACCGACTGGCCCACAATTCCGCAGGTTTTCATCGATGGTGAATTCGTTGGCGGATGTGACATCCTGCTCCAGATGCACCAAAGCGGTGACCTCATTGAGGAGCTTAAGAAAGTAGGCATCGTTTCCGAGCTGCTGAAGGCGGAACAGGCCAAAGAAGAAGCCAAGCCTGCGGATGAGAAGCCCAAGTAATGCCCCAACAGAGCACCCAAAGATCAAACCCCAGAAACCCCTACAACCTAAATGTTAGCCAAGCAACGTTTTTATTATTAAATGTTTAACTCATAATGATAATGCCATGCGTACAGATTGATTTAGATACGTGTTGAGCAGATGTGTATAATCCTATCATTCGGCATTCGTTAGTAATTTAATAAGCTATAAATTGCTAGTAATTCGCAAGACAAAGCTTTGTAATTATCAAGTAAGGTATACATACGTAATGATTCAAAAGAGAAAAAGTTCCTAATAAGGATCATTTTGATTGTGATTTATCTGTGTGTCCTACGATTCTCGTCGATTCCTTTCAAGATATTTAGGATTCTGTTGCGTGCCTGCAGAGCATCGCCCACCTGCAAAAGTTCAAAGCACTTTTGTCGGTACTGTGGGATGGTCATATTTACCAAAATCTCCATCAGGTTGTCGGCTATGGAGTGGCGCATTGTTTCTTCTGAAGGCATGGGCGGAATCAGACGACCAGGGCGATGGATAATTGGCTGAGAGGTTACTTTAAGATTCACAGGTGATGGTTGATTCTCCACTTTACATATTTTATAGTCGTGCTTCTGATTTATAGTATGATTTTCATCTTTTATTGAATTAACTTCAATGGAAATTTCTTTCTGTTCCTGAACTTCGGTTAAATGCTTTTGATATTTAATATCAATGAAGAGTCTCTTCTCAACCACCGGAATCTCATGCGGTATCTTCTCCTGATCATGGTCTTCATGATTATTTCGATTTTGTAATTTATGTAAGATTTGGTGATCCTGAATTTTGATTGGCAGCTGAATATGTGATAGTTTTTCTTCTTGAACATCTATTAGATACTTTAAATCCTGAACTTTAGTTGGTAGTCTTTGATTCTGTAAGTCAGGACCTTCGACTTTATTGTGCAGGTCCTGGTCTTGAATTATAATTAGACGTTTTTCGGGTAAAACCTCCATTATATCAATTAATAAATATTAAATTGCGATATTCGTGCAAGCAGTATATGTATAGTTCTAAGCTACTTTTGATCTATTACGATAATTAACTGACAAAGTGCAAAATAAACTCAACAAAAATCGGGAAGTAAACAGTTATTTATCGAAGCTATAGGCTGTGTTAACCCTTGTGCTATCTCTGTGTAATTATTACTATGATAATTTCGATAGGAACAAATACTACAAAAAGTTGGATATCTTTAAGATTTATTTTTTCCTTAAACAATGAAAGACATAGTTTATGTATTTGTATGACCCAAAACTGCCTTCTCCTTAGCTGACTCAGATATATGCCTTTTGTGTAATATTTATCTAGACAGCTTTTTGGGTACATTCTTATCTATGTTCAAAAAGTCAAATGCTATATCCACCGACAAATATGATTCAATTTCTTATCTCATAAAGCCCTCAGCATGGACACAAAAACTAAGCATGAATAATGTTCAATAGCAAAAACAATATCCGTGATTTATAAATACTTTTAGTAACCCCATGCAATATAAAACTCTCACTTGTTGATTTTACAATTTTGATTTATTTAAATATACATATCGATATATTTTTTATATATATTTAGTTACATACAATATAATACATATTGATTTAATTGGTGTTTTTTCCTTACGCTTCTTTTTTTCTTGTTGATTTGTGGTTTTGAATTCGTTTCACATTAATTGCTTGTCGTTACTTTTTGTTATTTATTTAGTCAATGTTACTCTGCTTTTATTTTGTTTAAATTTATTATTATGCAGCTTTGCAGTTTAGTAATAGTAAAACGAAATAAAAAAAAACTTATCCATAACTTGCTTATTAGTTAACAATAATCAAAAGTGTTAAAAGCGATATGCCATGTATATGTGTGAAAGGGATTTTAAATGTTTTCATTTTTGTAATACTTCGAAAGTTCAGCGTTGAAAGTAAACAAGTGGAACGAGTGTGTGTGGATCAGACAATGGATGACTTGTCCAGAAAGGAGGACGTCTCCATTAGGAGTTCGCTGCTGCTGCTCAGGATATCATATAGTTGATGCGGTGCATCGCCGGCAATGGGATTTCCGAAGGGGAAAAACGATGATAGCGTCGATAGCTGCAAATTTCCATTCATAGATGTTAGTCCGTTTGTGGGCGTGGAAGCCTTAGTCGTTGTCTTCCTGCGTCGCTCGACACCATCCACGAACTCAGCCTCATCTTCCTTTTCTGGTTTATCGCCCGTTTGCTGATTGGGCCTCGATTCACCGGTGGACTCGTAAAAAGCTTCCGGCAAATCATCGAATGTCTGGAATTCCAAGCAGCGCTGTATCTTTGCTATATTGCTCAGAAGCAGGCGATGGAAGAGATCCACCTGCGGTTGGCCACCACCGCGAATATCCAATATGGGCAGCCATCGATAGTAACATTGATCCCATACTTGCAGATCAAATATCCGGTGAGCCGGCTGCAGGAACCGATCCTGAGGCACTGAGGAAGCTGTCGCGAATAGCTGCGGATTTATGGTGTTTCTCGAGGGCGTGGATCCAGTACCACTACCATGTGCTCCCTTATTACCCACCGCCAGAGATCTACGATGAGCTGCAGCCGCTGCCTGGGCGCCAAGATCTCCTCTTTGGCGCTGGAACAGCGGGTTGCTAAAGAACATTTTGTCTTTGTCCGAGAATTGCTCACCCCAATCCCAAACGGGACGTAGAACGAGCTGCGAATCTCGCACCGCCTTCAAACGTTGCGCCTGCGTGTCAAACTGGAAGGTATCGAAAATGGGCATGAAGCACGAGTCCCACAGTGTGGTTAGGTACGTCTGTGTAAACTCAAACTCGTCGGTGAACTGCTGCTGTAGCTGCCACACACAGTCCAGGAAGAGCAGGAACACTGGGCTCTGTTCGCTTTCCAGCATCTCGGCATTGCCGCCGGCAGGCTGGGAGGGATAAACATGACCCAAACGTCGCTGGAACGGATGCTCCAAGGCCACCCACTCCTTTTGCACTAACGACTGGAAGCCATCGGTAGTACGGAAGTGTGGATCAAGCAGAAGTTGCGCCAGACTGCTAATCACACAGCACAAATCACGGCCATTCGATTCCTGAAGGACACAGGTCACACCGCTGCGAAGGGTAGCAGCCGCTTCACTAGCATAGCGTAGGCACAACGATACGTAGAACAACCAATTGGTCTTTTCGAGTAATCCCAGGTACTTGTCATCCTGCAGCATAAACTTCTCAGGCGTTTCCGGCGTGCATAGGCGTCTTAGTTTCTGGTAGGCCCGTAACACATCTTGAATACTCGGCAAGCGATCCGTCAGTTGGAGCAGCTTAAGCTGTCGCCCACCATCACACTTGCGCACCAACTCCAGCATAACATTCTCCGACTTTGTATCCTGCTGTGCAGCCGGTTGCAGTTCAGCTAATCTCACCAGGGCAGCACTATTACCATAACTATACACCCAGAAGGCAGCTCGTGAATCGCAAAAGGCGCGCGACAAGTCCAAGAATCGATCCACGCTGCAGCTCTTCGGTATGACGAAGTGCGGCGGCACAGTGTACTTGCCCGCTTGGAGGGGATTCTGCAGCAACTGGACACTTGCACTGCTCACCACCTGCCACTCGGTGGCGCCGCAACGTATCAGTTCCCTGGCCCAATCGTTCTTTGACGCATACATACTAGTTCCGGAGGCACCCAAAGTGGAATAGTACGGCTCCCTGTGAGCATAGGCGAAGCTCAGATCATGACGCATGGGATAGGCAAAACGGACCAATGCCGAGGCAATCAGCTTACCCTGATCACTGGCTCCGAACATCTTCGAATCCTGTTGCTGGAAGGCGAATTTTAACAATCGAAAGTTCTTGCAAACAATATGCAATGCGGCTATTCTTCCACTGATGTTCTGCTGCTTGAAGGGCTCCAGCTTCTTGCGCCGACTAATGCCATGATTGGCCATGCCACGCGCCGCCTGCAGCGCACTGGCCGCCCGGCCCAGCTCCGCAATGGTATAAATATGATCGATGTTGTTTAGGGTGATCTCGTTGCGGCCCACATAGGCGTTCTCCTGGTAGAGATCGACCAGTGGAGCAGCAACAGCATTGGCAGGATTACGCTTGGCGTGCAGCGGTACAAACGCCAGTTTGAAATTGGTGACACTTAGTAGGCCAAATGTGGCCTCCTTGTGCGAATTGCCATCTGCCGGATTGGATGAAACAGAGGAGCCACTCCCATTGTTATCCATCGGATCGATAGGGGAGTACATGTAGGCCGGTGCCGAGGCAACAATTTGCTCGCCCTGCAGCAGTCGCGGTTTAGCCATATGGACGTCCCTCAAATCGCTGGGCAGGCACCATTCATTCGTATCCGCTGTAGCGCGCAAATCTCCGGGAAGCGGTGCCACATAGCTGGTGAAGGTGTTGCGTTTGTGATGGTCAGCATTTCCGGCGGATCCCGCTCCTCCTAATCCACCGCCTCCGCCCGTGGCCATTATTTTGAGGTCCACCACCGAGCAGAGTGTAACCCGCCTCGTGACCGCTGCTGTACGTCGATGGAATATTCAATTATTCGCTACTTCCTGTCTGGGCGCTAGCTATACCGTTATATGCTGCTATATGTGCGTGTCTGTCTGTCCAAACAAAAACGCACACAAACCAAACACATAAAGAATAAAGAATATAAAATAAAGTGGAAATTAATATAACAAAAAAGGGGGGAAAGTAGAGTGTTTGCAGTGTTAACCAGCGAATAAGAATTATGGGAAAACAAAATTAGAATTATCGTTTTGTGGTGATAAGTTTATCAGTGGAACTTACCGTTCGGATTACTACCTGTGTGTGCGTGTGTGTATGAGCGATCGCCGTTGCTCTTGTTTTTGTTGTTATTTTGGATTTCTGTTGCTCGGTTGATCCTTGATTTTGAGGTCATCCGCTGGTGTCATCCAACATCTGCACCATCTGGCATCTGCTCTGCACACACGCACCGACCGTTGCAATGTGCATTTATTTATTTATTTTTATTTGTTCACTGGTCGCCACAACTCATACGACACACTAACACGCACGCACACACACACACGCACGCATGACACTCAGTGCAACTGAGCAGTGTGGCCAACTGGGGCCGTTCACAGTATTTTGTAATGTGAACCTTTCTGTGGTTATTTTTTTTTTAGTATTAATAGATTAGTTAATATATAAAATATATTTAAATATTTGTTATGTTTATTTGGAACTGTTTATTTTAAACTGAAACCATTAACTATCCTAGTTTTTCCTCTTCGTTTTTATGTATTTTAAATGTAAACACTTGTCTAATAGAAATCTATGGGCTTCGGAACCTAGTTAGATTTGTTTATTGCTTCCTAAACAATTATCTTGTATATTCTGTTCGGAAGTCTAAATAAGTAAACGAATTTTTATATTTGTATTTAAAAATCAAAATTGCAGCCGCACTACTTCAATTATTTACGCAGACTCCCATCTCTAACGTTATCGATAAGGCGACACCCATGTGGCTAGTCCATCTCCAAACCACGTCTCCGTAAATAACAGAGTTTTATTGCAAATTGGCAGTTCCATTCCACCTACGCGCCGCATCGTCCCTCGGAATTTCTATCGATCCGATCTACATCAATTCGGATCGCAGTGCTTAATTCCTATTTGAGTGTTGTATGAATTGGTGGCGACACAGCGGACAGTTGCTCAAACGGTTTCAATTCCAAATCCGGACGAAACGCCGGAGCCCCATTAATCAATTAGCCGGCGAACGGACAATCGCACACTGTTTCTCGTGGAAAATGACGGATCAGGTCAAGTATTTGGATACGCCGGACAAGTCCGAGACAGACAAGAAGCTGTACAAGTGAGTGTCATGTTATTTTGACCCAAATAAACCGGATTTAATTGATGGTTTTTTATTTTTCTTTCTAGGACGCTGCTTTTGGGTAATGGCTTGCATGCCCTCCTCGTCTCCGATCCCACTCCAATACCAGTAGATGGGTACGAGTCCTCATCAGAGAAGTCATCGAGCAGTGGTTCCGAGACCACAAGCAGCGATACCAGCTCCTCAGATGGTTGCGGCAGTAGTGAATCGGAATGTGAGGAGGGCGATGAAAAGCTAGCCGCTTGCGCCTTGATGATCGACTACGGATCTTTTGCTGAGCCCTCAAAGTACCAAGGATTGGCGCATTTTCTTGAGCACATGATATTCATGGGCTCTGAGAAATACCCAACGGAGAATATTTTTGATGCGCACATTAAGAAATGCGGTGGCTTTAGCAATGCCAACACAGATTGCGAGGAGACGCTGTTTTATTTCGAGGTTGCTGAGAAGCATTTGGATTCCAGCTTGGACTATTTTACGGCGCTGATGAAGGCTCCGCTGATGATGCAGGAGGCCATGCAGCGCGAACGCATGGCCGTCGATTCGGAATTCCAACAGATTTTGCAAGACGACGAGTCGAGGCGGGATCAGCTGCTTGCTAGCTTGGCCACTAAAGGTTTCCCCCACGGCACCTTTGCCTGGGGCAATATGAAATCCCTAAAAGATAACGTGGACGATGCGGAGCTGCATAAGGTTCTGCACGAGATACGAAAGGAACACTATGGCGCCAATCGTATGTACGTTTGTCTGCAGGCTCGTTTGCCCATGGATGAGCTGGAATCATTGGTGGTGCGTCATTTTTCGGAAATTCCCCACAATGATGTAAAGGCTCCCGATTTGTGCAAGTTCAATTATAGGAATGCCTTTAAGCCTGAATTCCATGAGCAGGTCTTCTTCGTAAAGCCTGTAGAGAACGAGTGTAAGCTGGAACTAACTTGGGTGCTACCTAATGTGCGTCAATATTACCGCAGTAAGCCCGATCAATTTCTATCATATCTGCTGGGCTACGAAGGGCGTGGCAGCTTATGTGCCTACTTGAGACGCCGCTTGTGGGCTCTGCATCTAATTGCCGGCATCGAAGAGAACGGTTTCGACATGAACTCTATTTATTCTCTGTTCAACGTATGCATTTATCTCACGGATGAGGGTTTCAAAAATCTGGACGAAGTGCTGGCCGCCACCTTTGCCTACGTTAAGCTCTTCTGCAACTGTGGATCCATGAAGGAAGTTTACGAGGAGCAACAGCGTATCGAAGAAACAGGATTCCGGTTCCAAGCTCAGCGACCTGCCTTCGATAATGTCCAGGAACTAGTCTTGAACTCAAAGCATTTCCCACCCAAGGATATTCTTACAGGCAAGGAGCTCTACTACGAATACAATGAAGAGCATCTCAATGATCTAATTAGCCACCTTAACGAGCCAAAGTTCAACCTGATGGTAACCTCGCGAAACAAGTACGAGGGCGTTTCCGCCTACGATCAGACCGAAGAGTGGTTTGGCACCGAGTATGCCACCATCCCGATGCCTGAAAAGTGGCGCAAGCTTTGGGACGAATCGAAGTCCCTACCAGAATTGTTCTTGCCCGAGCCAAATAAATTTGTGACTGATGACTTCACATTGTTGTGGCACTCGATTGGAAAGCCTGAACTACCCGCTGCCCCGAAGAAGCTTCTTAAGACGGACACTTGCGAGTTGTGGTTCCGCCAGGATGATAAGTTTGAGTTACCCGAAGCCCATATGTCTATATACTTTATTTCGCCGCTTCAGCGACAAAGTGCCAAGAAGTGAGTATATTTAAAGATGCGGGTATATTCGATTTTGTTGATTTGTTTTTTCCATTCAGTGATGCCATGTGCGCACTTTACGAGGAACTAGTAAAGTTCCATGTGTGCGAGGAACTTTATCCAGCCATTAGTGCTGGTCTTTCTTACACACTCAACACCGTCGAAAAGGGTTTGCTCCTCAAAGTGAGCGGCTATAATGAGAAACTTCATCTTATCGTTGAAGCCATTGCCGAGGGAATGCTCCATGTGGCAGACACACTCGACGAAAAGATGCTGGCTGCCTTCCGGAAAAATCAACGTAAGAACTTGTTCAACGCGTTGATCAAACCAAGGACACTCAACAGGTAAGGCATCGCGGAATTGTTTACTGACAACTACTAGTCAACGACTATATTCTTATGTATCTTACTCACTCTTTTTCAGGGACATTCGTTTGTGTGTGCTAGAGCAAATCCGTTGGCTTATGATCGACAAGTACAAGTGCCTCAACGATATTAGCTTGGAGGATCTTCGCGAGTTTGCTCGCCAGTTTCCGAAGGAATTGTACATCCAGTCTCTTATTCAAGGCAACTATACCGAGGAGTCTGCTCACAATGTACTGAATTCGGTGCTGAGTCGCCTCAATTGCCAGGCTATCAAAGAACAGCGTTATGTAGAGGATAGAACTATTCAATTGCCATTGGGAACCAATGTGATTCGTTGCCATGCTCTCAACGAGCAGGATACCAATACGGTGATCACAAACTTCTATCAAATCGGGCCCAATACACTTCGTGTGGAGAGCATTCTTGATCTGTTGATGATGTTTGTGGACGAACCTTTGTTTGATCAACTGAGAACCAAGGAGCAGCTTGGCTACCATGTGGGTGCCACCGTACGAGTTAACTACGGAATTGCTGGTTATTCGATTATGGTCAATTCGCAAGAGACAAAAGCTTCGGCACACTATGTTGAGGGCCGCATCGAGGCGTTCCGTGTCCAAATGCTGCAAATTCTACGCAATCTTGAACGGGATGAGTACGAGCACACCCGTGACTCGTTGATTAAGCTAAAGTTGGTGGCAGATATTTCACTGAGCTCAGAAATGGATCGCAATTGGGACGAGATAATTAACGAGGATTATCTATTCGATCGCCGACGTCGTCAAATTGAAATTTTACGCACGCTTGAGAAATCAGAGATCATTGATTTCCTTTTGGACATTGATACCAATAACATGAGGAAGCTTTCCGTACAGGTGATTGGACATCGTCGACCTGATATGCCAGAGCCTGTGCATGGAACGTACATCAATTGCTCTGACTTGAAGAAAGGTGAAGATGCTAACGAAGATGACGAAGACGAGACTGAAACTGAAAAGAGTACATCCGATGATGAAGAAGAGGACGATGAGGATTTGTTTGCGGCTCTGGAAAACAAGCTAAATGTTGTCTTTTTACCCCAAATGGACCAACAAAATACCATAAAGGATATTAATGAGTTTAAAAAGAGTCTGGTAGTTTATCCCAAGCGGAAAGACCAAACGGAGGCGGAGGAGGACTTGTCACGCGCTGCACGCATCGAGGATGCTTTGGGAAAGGCGTGAGATTGTCAAGCATGAAACCACCCACCAGCTATCTCTCATATACCTCCCATTACACACTTTGTTTAATTAGCCAAAGGTAGAAGATTAATTTCACAGAATGCAAGCTCTTTTTACACACCAACCAACCTGACCAAGTCAGCAATTTGCTCTCATGTTGTAAGGACGCGCCTCCGTTAATACGAGTATAATAATTTTTACACACAAAATACAGCAGTGCTAATGACAAATGCATTTTGGAGTTCTCCAAACACCATAGATATTCGATTGCACAGTCTTCGTACTGATTTAATACATAAATAAAAATCAAAATTCAAAGTAAATCAAGTTTGTATCTCTTTCAAAATCCCCCCAAACTTTCATACGGATTAAGTAAGTTTCGATGGAATTTGCCAGTATGGGGATTCTCCTCTCTCACTTCGTATCTTTCGTTTTATTTATATGTACAATAAACAATGCGTTTTGTATATAAACACTAAAGTTACATATAAAGAATGTTTATCGTTAGTTAACTTGTCTTGTGCCCAATTGTTATACAAGTGTAACACTCCTCCTCTGATTGCACAAATAAGGATTAAAGCCGATATGAGGTCAGGGTTAGGTCAAGTTGTTCGATTTTCGTCTTTTGGATTTCATTTATTTTACCTTCGTGTATGTGGTTAAATGATAATGCGTATTAACAATAAGTAACAATAGTTCAATGATGGTTGATGTCTTGTTTTTTGTCTTCTCTGTTCTTCTGCGATTTCTTTGCCTTTGTTCAGTTGAACTTAATAATAATGTACATAACTTACGATCATAACAAAAAAAAAAAAAGTTTTGTATACAATAATAATAATAATAATTATAATAGGCATTGTAAATCGGACAAAAAAGTAAGAAAACTTTTGTATAAAACAAAAAACTCTCAGAAATGCTAAAAGTTTCTTATAAAAAAAGGGAAAATAAGAAATACATAGAAAAAAGGGGACGGTGTGCGGGTCTTGGTAATAGAAAAGCGGCGATAGAATCCTTACGATCCTTAGTATCAGTAGCGGCTTTACTTTATCATGGACTTATCCTTTGGATCTACTATCAAGTTTGTTACTCTCATTATAAGAATAGTTAAATAAGGTGCTATTGTCGACTTAAAAAAGACACCTCAGCAGTTCAGAAAGTATACTTAAAATATAAATTAAATATTTTGTGTTTTTAAGCTATGTATATATACATACTGAGAGTACTTTCCTAAAACCAATCCTTATTTATCTTTTGCTTAATGTGAGACATACAAAATCATATTAGACTGCGAATAGCACAAGAATAGCCCTGGGAACCTACTGCTTATTCTTTATCAAAAAAAAATCAATCTGCCAAAATAGATATATGTACATAGGTTTTATAATTCGCTCTCTTACTAAATCAATTTAAAGACCGCTTAAAAATTTCACTGAAAATTTGTCGTTTTATCTTCTTTTTGAGGTCATCGGTTGGATTGTTGGTGCTTGCTTGATAGTTGCCATCGTTGAGCTTTCACAGCTTCTGCAGTTCGGTGCTGTCATTGGCATGGTAGCGACTCCTCACGATTTTGGTGCGGCCATCGTACTGCTCCTCGGGATCCAGCAGACCCTCCTCGTGTTTGGCATCTGGCGAAGTAACGCCCCCATTTCCGTGCATGAAAATGCGTGAAATGAGTGAATTGGTCGATCGCTTGAAGGCCATTCTGCCCTTTTCGGGCATATCGTCAAGACCACGATGGAGGGATAGTTTGTCTAGTTCATATTCCGAACCACCTGCTCGTTCCGCCGCTAGTTGCGCCTCGTACTCCGCCGTTCGCAGCGTCTTTTCCGTAGGCTTGCGGTACATCTTGAGCAGAAGGGAAGAGCACACCACGCTCACTGAACTGGCTGCCATGGCCACAGATGCCATCCATGGCAATAACGTAAATCCGTAGGGTGCAAACAAACCACTGGCCAGCGGAATGCCCAAAAGATTGTACATGCTAGCAAAGAAGAAGTTGTAGCGAATGCGACGCACTGTGCAGCGGGACAAATCCAGGCAGGCCACTACGTCCAGGAGATCGTTGCGCATCAGCACTATATCCGAAGCCTCGGCGGCCACATCAGTGCCCGCTGCAATCGTAATGCCTACATCTGCCTGCGCCAGCGCCGGACTATCGTTGACTCCATCGCCTACCATGGCCACGCGGATGCCGTTGGCCTGTATCCGCTGGATCTTCGCCACTTTGTGTGAGGGCAAAACCTCGGCGTACACTGTACGAATGCCAACCTAAAGTAAGCATAGAAAATAAATTAGTTTCAGAATATTATATTAGACTTCAGGACACTCACCTCTCGGGCTATACTGGCAGCAGTGTTCTTGTTATCTCCCGTCAGCAGCACCACATCGATACCCATCCGTTTTAGTGTATAGACGGCGAGATGAGCCTCCGGCTTGACCATATCGGACACAGCAAACATGCAAATCAGCTGGCCGTTGAGGGCGCACAGCACTGCGGTGTGTCCCTTTCGTTCCTCGTGCGTCATACAATCGCTAATCTCCAGCGGCACTTCGATGGCATTGCGCTGCATCCATTCACGATTGCCGATTAGCACCAGAATCTCTGGGCCATCGATGATCTTCTGATCCAAGGGTAGCTGCTCTTCCTGCTCCGGGACCAAATCGGATAGCAACTGCTGATTGTTTAGTTCCATTGACTTGCGTATACTGCGCTGTGGCAGCAAGTGTTCGATAGTGGCTCCTTTGTCCACCGATACAGTTCCCTGAGGATGATTGCGATGCAAATTCTCATAGTTGATTATCCTTTCCGCGTTGCAGGCCTGTCGTAGGGTTTGTTCATAATTGGATACGGTGACACGTATTCCACATCCAGGCACAGCTTGGAAGTGACTGCTCTTGCCAAAGCTGCCGCCCTGAGGAGTGGCGCCCACGTTTAGCATGTCCTTGGCGAAGTGAACGATGGCGGAGGCGATCGGATGCTCACTGTTTTGCTCGGCGGCACCCACTATCGTCAGAGCTCTAGCCAGGCTGCAGACTTGAGCTGTGACGAAGAGGGTAACCTTGCTGGTCATTGGAGTGCCATGTGTTATGGTTCCGGTCTTGTCAAAGACCACAGTCTTTACCTGGAATCGTAAAGGGAAGTTTATAAGTAAAGTTAGGATTAAACATGAAAAATATAAAACTAACCTTATGAGCATTTTCCAGGGCGGTGGCACCTTTCACCAGCACACCATTGATAGCACCCGTTCCAGTGGCTACCATCACGGCGGTGGGTGTGGCCAAGCCCAGGGCACATGGGCAAGCAATAGCCAGTACACTTAGAGCGCACTTAAAGGCATAACTAACGATGATCGTATTCTGATCCATGTGCATCTTATGCTCCATGGCCACGGGCACCAGATTGGGATTCGAGAAACCAATGATGATCCAAGCAATCAGCGTTATACTCGATACCACAACAACGAAGGGTACAAAGTACCCAGCAATACGATCGGCCAGCTGCTGAATAGGTGCCTTACTGGTCTGGGCCTCCTCTACTAATCGCACGATCTGTGCGAGCGTCGTATTCTCACCCGTGTGTGTAGCCTCCACTAGTAGAACTCCATTCTGGTTAATGGAACCACCGATGACAACGGATCCCTTGCGTTTAGCTACCGGCATTGATTCTCCAGTTATCAGCGATTCATCACAACTGGAGTGACCGTATAGAACTTTGCCATCTACAGGAACTTTGGCTCCTGGTATCACCTTTAGGATATCACCACGCTGTACATAATCCACGGATATCACCTTCTCGCTGATGATATCGAAGTCCGGCGAGATCTCCACCAACAGAGCATCGGCGGCCTTTAGGGATAGTAACTTAGACAACGCCTCAGAGGTTTTGCCCTTGGCTATGTGCTCCAGCCAGCGACCTAGCGAAATGAAGATCAGCAGCATTGGCGGCGTATCGAAGAAGGTCAATGGCGAACTGTTCTGCTCCAGTAATACGGCTGCAATGACCACAGCTACGGAGTACACATACGAAATGGTCGTAACCATCGAGATCAGTACATCCATGTTGGTGGTGCCGTGTTTTATCGCTCGATAGGATTGCACATAGAAATGGAAGCCACCAAAAAATTGTACGGGTGTGGAGAGCAGGAACATCACCAGATTCTCCATAGACAGACCTGGCACGAGACAGCACATATTCGCATGTCCTTTGTCACTCATTTCCAGCATGAAATAGATCATGGCCACCATGCAGGGTCCACCGAAGATCAGTGAGACCAAAAAGGCATTTCGCCACTTTCGGATCTCCTCCTTGTGCTCCAGATAGTTGTGGGCCATCTTATCCCGGCCGGTCATCAGCTTGGCCTCGAATCCCAGCCCCTCGATCGCCTCGCAGATGCTCCGGGGACCCGTGTCCTCTGTGATATACCGGAATTTTCCTGTAAAATTAATGTTAGAGATGTTTAAGTAATTCGAATGTTAACAGAAAATGTTGAATTTTAAAGCAAATTAACGAAAAGTTAAGTTAACAGTCAAATTTCCCTATTAACGGCTATGTTCGTTAATTCCAGGTTAACCGAAATTTTGTGACCTCGGAAAAACTTATAATTCCCAACAGCTTATGGCAGAAATGTTGTGACTAGGACGCTGTTGGCCGGTGAAAATTAGTCAAGTCATCTTTGTGTGTGTGTGTGTGTGTTCTAGTACAGTGCTTTCAAGTGTCTCTGAGTGGTCCGGTGGTACCACCTATTATATTGGTGGTGCCTGGACATGGCCTCCATGGAGGATGCAGTGCATCATGCGTCCATGTGTTGGACTTTCGATGACGTGTGATGCTGGATATAGATGACGATGCCTTCTATATCATCGATGGACTTCAGCAAGTCGGAAATCAAGGTAAGTGGCAAACTTTTTTTATTTTTACTGCATAAGCCGAGGGTTATATTTGGCCCATGATCCCCAGAATTTTCAACGGCTTGCATGCCGCCAATGCAATAAGGATCTATAAAGAATAAGTTAAGTTAAGCTTGACCGGCTGGCATCAATGCCAGATCCAATCCATCAACCTTGGAGATCAGGTACTGCTTTGCTTTGGTTTCGCTGGATTATGGAGTGCTGCCACTTCGGACTTATGGAGGAGCATCCAAACGGAGACACTGGCAGGCATTGATCACTCCCAGCTCCAGTCCATCAGCAATAGAGACCAGATACTACTCTGCTTTGGTTTTCTTGGACTTATGGATGCATGGAGATACTTGCTTACTAGGCTAAAATCTGTCTACTTTGCATTTCAGCGCTGGAATCTTCATCGGACTTATGGAGAAGCACCCACATGGAGATACTGCCCAGCTGTGATCACGCCCAGTCCCAGTCCATCAGCAATAGAGACCTGGAGCTCCTCCTCGGCTTTTGTTTTTCTCGTTTATGGACTGCTGTCACTTTGGACTCATGGAGGAGCAACCACATGGGGATACTGACAGGCTAGTGACCACAACTCAGTCCTAGTTCATCAGACCTAGAAACCAGGTGCTGCTCTGCTTTTGTTTTCTTCTTTCTGTGGACTAAGGGACACTGGGAGATACTTCGCTTACTAGGCATAAATCTGTTTACTCCGCATTTCAGCGCTGGAATCTGGAAACTTCATCGGACTTTTGTGAAGTAGCTTTGTTTTTTTTTTGGCCATTCATTGCCCCTTATCAAGCCAAGTTAGCTTACATTGGTTTACTTAAAAACCGGACTTGTTCTATGTGTAACGATTACAAAACCAGTCATAAAAAATAGAGAAAGCTGCTTGCAAATAGTAGTCAGGTAAATATGCACAGAGGATTTTGACTACAGTGGCAGTCATTGAAATTGCTTAAAGTGAATTGCTATAAAAAATCGAACAGTTCAAGGTTATCTATAATAACGATTATGTAATCACGTCTTAATATCAAGAAATTGAAGTCTTTTGTCCCTAAATATATGTTTAATTTTTAAAAAAATTTTGTAAATTAAGATTTTTAAAGCTTTTCTTCCAATTCCGTAAAGTATTTTAAATAAAATTTCTATAAATTTACTGAAAATCATGTTCTGAAACTTAAAAAACAAGGAAGGCATTCATTTATTAATTTATTCACCAAGTGATTCCCATTTATGTATGTAAGTAAGTACGTGTACTTGTATCTGAATGCCATATCAATTTCATCACAGTTTCTAGAGCTTGCTATCATTTTTATGGCCCCTCCTTCCTGTGTTTTCCCCAAGACTCTAGCAAAAACTGCATACGAGAAAGGTAAAGATATATAGTGAGGAGGTAATCTTTTGAGGTTGCCTTTTGGCCAACCATCAAATGAAGTTGTTTGTATTTGTTAACGACTGGAAAATAATGCCGGTTCTGGTATTGAAATTAAAGCAGACAACCGGTTAGATGGCGACAGATTCGAGTAGGATTGCTAAATCGATTTGCCATGGCTAATAGTTTTAAGCAAAGTAAACTACAAGTTTTTCATTTTCCCTACGCTTACCATTCTTTCTAGTTAAATCCCTAAGCGGTCACGAAAGGAATCATTAGCTTATAGGGTTCATTAGCTCTTCCAAAGGTATGCCAACCATGTGGCTAAAACTATCGCTTGCAAACGTATTAAATGAAATCCGTAGGGGCTTAGAAGCTACCCGGATTCTTGACTGTTGCTGTTACTGTAGGTTCATCGCCACCATCGATAAGATAACTTTTCAACTTTCATTTCGAATGTGTGTTGTTGAGTGTAAACTGAATTCGTTCTTGATTATTAGCATGTCGCCGGTGTTACTCAACAAGCTAGAAATCTTGCCATTGTGTATGTTTCCCCCCCAAAAGAACACATTTCATTATTTGCTTTTCCTATGCGGGTGATTGGGTGGGTAACGACATTACATGTACCATTTGAGTTCATTGATAGGCGAGTAATCTTATATGTATGCATGTTCATGGCAAATCAATTAAAACTTTGAATGCATTTATCTATTAAGCCAAACAGCAAGCAGTTTGTTTGTAAAGAAAATATAGCTTTTCTAAGAAAGAGCTATAATCTCTTTAAAATTCCTATAAAATCATAAAAACAAAACCTTTTCCCTTGATTAGGAAATCTAAAATTTCTTAACAGCTGCTAAGTAATATATATATTTGCTTAGTAACCTTTAGTTAATCAGAATTTTGCAAGTCCATCAATATTAATAATGCACCATTTTCTACCTACTCATTGTGATCAACTTTAAGCGCTCCTATCAGACGTGGGAAAAATAACAAAAGAACATTTTTTGTTTTATTTAAGATCTTGTGAGCAGTAAATAGGCAAATTTACTTAACTATTATAAAAGCTGTTTGTATATTTAATAATTTATTATAGTATACCAAGTTATACTCTTATGGCACGTCTGTACTCTTTAAAGATCTTTAAAACTATTAGAAAATCTAATGCTTACCCCTAAAAAGGCCCCTTAATTCATGACAATATCCATTTCTATAGAAGAAGCTCCCTTTATTACCAGTTAGTCATAAAATATAAATAAACAAATACGATTTTCAAATGTTTTTCTCTCGTGTGAATTACTCTAATTTCCAGCTGTGTGAACCACTTAAAGTACAAAAGGAAAATTAGTTGACAAAACCACATGATATCGTATATAGAATTTGTATTTATCGTTCAATTAGCGGGCCACCCAATGGAGACCAAATGGGTCGTGTGCAAAATCGAAGAAGGATTAGATTGGCATTAGGCCTTAATTACACCTGAAAAGGTTGACAATTGACGCCTAATTATCGATGGGTATCGATCGATCTTTCAGATAGTTTTCCATTGATAAATAATGATAAAAAATGTGTGCCGTGTGTGCGTGTTGGTTTTACTATCAAAATTCTATATAGTCAACTTAAGTAACTTGAATGTTCTTTAAGGAAAACTTCTATCTTAGCTTTAAACGATATCAAATTAGTATATTAGTATAATGTTAGAAGTAATTAAATATATTTTATTTAAGTTTTATTATAGAAGAACTACAAGTTTTTCTAGGAATCTCTATTCTTTTCATTGTTATTTAACCCAAAAACCTAATGATCTTCTACAAATTTCATTCTTAATCTTTAATATATTTTCTATTTAACATATTTTCTTTTCAATTATCAAAGTTCTACTGTAGATGAACTACTATTTCTTTCTAAGTCCTCTCTATTCTATTCTATTTATTTATTTTCTGTTTGATTCGCTCCCCGTGTCCATCTTATCGCACCGCTATTCGTTGTTACAATTTTAGAACATTTTTCAATTTGAATTGAGATTGCCACTTGTTGTTTTTGTTGTTGTTGTTGTTGCTTGTTGCTGTCGTACACTTATCGCCGAACGATAAGAATTGGAAGAAAACATATGTTTTGCTCAACAGTTTACACTCCCAATTCCGACTACCGATCTGGCAAACAAACTTCAAACAAGCTAACAACAAGCCAAAGACCCAATAACTAATGACAAACTACAAAAAAGTTTAACTTAATTAATGGTAGTTAATTAAAGTTTAAGTGCTAATTGATTGATAGATAAGTAGCAGCAGGGAATTAGACTAATCCATATGGTTATAAAATTCACCTTTCAAATTAAAAAAAAAACAAACAGCTGTTTCAGTTTTTATAAATACCTTTAAGTTAACTTGAAAAAATAAGAATTTGTGACGATGGAAAATCCTATAAATATTCTATAAATAAAGTATTTATTTTTTACTTTCATTGCTTAGTAAAATCTTTAGAAATTTATAAGAAATTTAAAGACATAAAAGGAATACGAATTTGTCTTTCTTGACTGTTTCTTACGAATCTTAATTGCTAGTTTCTACCTCTGATACCTAACACTACTTTTTATCCAAAAATAACCTTTAATGCAGAGGATACTATAGATAGTCTAAATCTTATCTTACACCTAAAACTGATTGACATTCATATTAGGTTAACATTATTATTATATTACTTTTCAAACCCTGAAATAATTTTCAGTGTCATCGACTTAAAATAGTTTCATTTGCCTTTCCATTTCGAAAGCGAAAAAAGCGCAAAAGGCAAGTAGTGAATTGAAACCGAAACCAGTTTTATTGCAATCATAATTATGAAGCCTCACATTTATGCATTTTTCTTCTCTTTGTTATTGTTATTTGCTGTTGTATTTGAACATTTTAAAAATGGCGCACGTACGCAAGGTATAGTTAATCCAGGTATGCAAAGCGCTTGCCATGAATCACCCAGAATTAAAACAAAAACCGAAAATGTGATCAAACATAAGTCGAGCGAATTTTATTGCATAATCAAAAACTAAATTCAATTCAAGATTTGTGAGACAAGAGAAGAAATAAAAAGACAAGGTAAAAAAGGGGGTAAAAAATGAGCAAAACTCTAAATCAAAGTGAAGGTGAATGAAACTGGAAAGGCACAGAAAAAAATATATTTTAAGAAGGAAACAAAAAATATTTACAATTTATAGATAAGAAACCAGAAAAGCTTTATAAGGTAAAGCAAAATAGATCTCTTATAGATCAAAAATATATAATAATGAAAAATTTTAATATGTTTATCGAAATTTTAAACAAATAAAACTAAGTTTTACATAAATTATTTAAAAATGTTACTAAAAATCAAATTTATATAAAATTATCATATTTTTCCCAGTGCAGAAAGTGGAAGTGGTTTCAAATTCGTGGTCACGCATGCGGAGCAGGGAGAGCCAAAAACTGGACAACAAAAAGAGAGAGGTCTCCCTCTTTCAAGTCCAAAAACCAGAGATTAATTCCTCAGTTGCGATCGTGGGTATATATATTATTAAACAAACACAAACATATATTTCGGGGCGTATGCTTGAGCTCTTTCACTTTTTTTCTGCTTTTTTGATGGACTTTCAATTTCAAGGCTTAAATGGGAGTTTGTTAAAATCATTGGCCCGGCCTTCTCTATTGGCAATCAAAATTTGTTTGAGAGAACAAAAGAAGCCAACAATCACATCCTGTCTTTTGTTCTTTGTTCCTCCAATCGGATTTTGATTCACATTCTCTTTCTTTCAGCTAATCTTTATAAAGTACTTTCTGAGCACTCAAAAAAAATTATTAAATAATCCTAAGAATTTCTAACTAAATAACTTAAATAAAACTATATAAAAAATCAAACTTAAGTACATTTCTCTTAGCTATATTTGCATTAATGCATAAACACTTTCCTCGGACAGAAAGTCCATCTATTAAATTCCCCAACTGTTCCAGATAACTTCACTGCCCACGCACACGAACTCAGATCTAGGCACTTTAATCTAGTTGCCATTGCCATTGTTTGCTCAAAGCATAAAGCTGATATAGTCTACATATATATATATATATATATAGTTTGTAGTATATATAGAGTTCCTCGTACTATCCCCGGCCATTTTCTTATCGTTGAAACCTCCTACCCTTCCCTACCCAAAATATAAGCCCCCATAGGACATAGAGTATACTCGGAGTATATCAGTTACAATAAACATTTGCTGGGCCAGTAGTTTTTAATTGTGAACAAAACATTTCCACCGATTCGATGTTAAGAGGTTAATCAAGAACAGCTGTTGTCGCCTAGCCAAAATATCCATTAAAAAAGCAATCTTATAAATACCCTTGGTTACTAATGGACCTGATGTCCTAACTTTTAATGTCAAGATTCTATTTTATTCTTTAGAAAAACTTAAAAAAATGTTTAGATTACTAGATATCTCAAGTTCAAGGGTATACAAGATATCCAAACGAATTTTAGATCGAATTTTCAAACAGCTGTGGTAGGTGAAAATAAACGAGAGCAACAGGTGCATATCGGTTGATGGCCCTGTTTCAGGTGTTTTATTCTAAATGTTACGTAACACCCTTGTATCACCCTGTCACTTGCACTTGTGGAATTCCATTGTATGACCCCGCCCGGGATTTCTGAATAGCCGCCCGATAGTACCCATTGTTTTGGATAACAGCTGTGGGGCATTAACAAAAGATATCGGGACTATGCCAATATGTTGTTTAAATATGGTTAAATATTTTTTTTTAACAAAACCCAGGGCAATCATTAAATAATGAAAAATATTATCAACCTCGATTTAAATCAATCACAGACTCACAGGAATCGATAACTAATCGAATAAATGGCCTAAATTACGGCTTATCAAAATAAAGTACTTTAATTATAGATAACCAAATCACGACTTACCCCTTTTCGTTAGCAGTGTTACGGAGGCGGTGGTTACTCCCTTTATTTTCAACACATGACTCTCGATCTTGTTGACACAGGATGCGCATGTCATGCCCATTATCTCTAGCTCCACCTCGGCCTCGCCATTGTCCGGCTCATCGATCAGTTCCGTGGGAAATCCTAGTTCTGTGATGGACTTGGCTATATTCTCGGCCGTCACAACATTGGCATTGAACTTAACCTCAGCCTTGGCGGCCAATAGAGCTACCAGGATGCTATCCAATCCGTAGATCTTCTTGCAATGTTTCTCAATGGCAGCCACACAGCTGGCACAGGTCATTCCACGAATGTGCAGGAAGCATTTGGTCAATAGCTCTTGTTCAATGGGTATGGCCACTGCGGAACCATTTTGAGCTGGATGAGGTGGTGAAGGAGATGCTCTCTTTTTGGGTGATGAGGCGCGGGCGGGGGAGGAGTTAGGGGATTGTGTTTGGGATTCCTGCACACTAGCCTCGAAGCCCATGTCATCGATGAGTTCGGCTATCTGGGCGGGATCATACTGGGCGGGATCGTATTGGACGCGGGCATTCTTTGCCTCCAGCTGCACCTCAATAGATTGGATGCCTGGCTTGGTGCCGATATTGCCCTCGATATTGCGTACGCACGATTGGCAGGTCATGCCCACTACCCGGATGTTGGTCCAGGCGCTGGACGTGCTATTTGTTTGTTGATCTCCATCACCCGTCGCTGCCTCTGAATAGCTGCACTCGAAGCCCATGTCATCGACATCGCTTGCTATCCGGGCGGGATCCGTTTGCCGTGGATCATAATCGAAATATCCCGCCTTCTCATCAAGAATGACGCGTACGTTAAGGATTCCCGGTTTCTGGCTTATGTGCTCCTGGATATTGCGCACACACGACTGACATGTCATGCCCACAATGGGCAGGCGCACCGTGGACATTGTCGCTGCTGCTTCTCTGTCGTCACTTGGCATCCTGAATTTGCATTATTTTGATTTTGATGGGATGTAGAAGGGGGAAGCACGATATATATTTTTATATATATATGAGATACGATATGGAATAACTTTAAATTTTTGAGTTGCCCCTCGCTCTATCGCCTTCTCTGTTGCACTTGCTGGGTGTCCCGTTTCGAATTGTGTCACAAATTAAACTTTGGAGTCAGATATATCGTGTTGCAGCTGCCGACCGATTTGTTATGGCGAAATAGATGACTCCTGCTAGCGCTTATCACTCGGCAAAACTCCACACGAAACTCACAATTTTTGTGTTTTGTGTTTAATTTCCCAATTAGCAGGCAACAGCTGCTCCGCTCCCGTTTTGTTTTTCGCACGGCACGCAACTAGCGATGGCCGTCTTTCGATATGCCCTCTTTATCGGGCGGACCGATATACGGGGCTGCCCACTAGGAGTCTATATCGGTAGTTTTGGCAGGCATGCCAACTATCGATTAGAATAAACGTTTACCATAAGTATGGCGGTCGTGGATCTCAACGTGAACCGCAGCCTAGTTGTCTCCAACTTTGATGGCTACAAGCTGTCCTTCGATCCTGTGCCGGTTCTGCGGCAGGAGCTTGAGTGCGACCCTGTGCGCCAGGAGCTAGCCGCGGATGATTTCTCACTTCTACATGCACAACTGTTTGACTTACAAAATCATCTATTTGCTGATCCCTGGATGCGCCACTATAGTTACTTTTTTAATGTGCGCCACCAGCTTGTGCAGTGCAGATATGATCCACTTATTGGACATGCTGATGGTCAGCGGGTTGTTTACACGATGGATTATCGCGACCAGGGCGATGGACACAAACCTAACTTGACGGACTATAACTACACCCTTATATTCGTTTCGGAACGTTTCTGTGTGATTTGCGACGGGAGGACCTCGTATCACCTGATTGACACAGGCGATCGATCCCGATCCGGTCCACAAGAATGGCAGCGTATCACTCACACGCGGGTAAATAGTACCATTGAGTTTCACGGCTTTATACTCTACGATGCCCGGCTGGATATGGTAAAGGAATGCAAGCAAATCTCTCTGGTTGCCGGACATGTGGCACGCCGTCCTGCCGTAGGCGGGAGACAAACGCAAATTCATTTCATGGATCTAACCTTAGGTCGTTGGACCCAGTCACTGGAAAACAACGAGTGGTCCTACAGTGTTTGTCAAAGTCTGGAGACCACTGGTTCCATCTTCTACTGTGCCTTTGAGCCGCGAGCCGAGTCCCTAATTATTGCCAGCAATCGTGAGGTACAAACACGAGAGCAGCGCAAGATAACCGACGAAGCTGCAGTCCATGCTGGACCCGATGCTGCAGCGAATGCTGTATCGGAAACTTTTGCTTCCCTGCTGGAAAACGGCGGTGAAGCAAACTATACTTGGTCTCAGACGATTGAGAATGTGGTCATCACATTAGAAGTGCCACCCTTTACTCTTGAAAGCGACTTCAACGTTCGCTGTACAACTTGCACTGTGGTGGTGGAATATAAGACCCAGGTGATTTTCACCGCAAGTTTATACAGCAATCTGGACCCGGATTATCCAGAGTGGAAAATTAGGACGGATGGACTGGAAGTGGTGCTGGCTAAGAAGGAGCATGAACACTGGCCACGATTGCTTGCGGAGTTGGAAGGTGGAGTGGCGGAGCAAATAATATCCTTCGAAGGGGGGCAGATGCCAATTCCTAATCTTGCGGACCCCGTTGAGGAATGTGACATAGATAACGATGACACTAAAATGGGTGAGTTGTCAATTTTTTGTGTCCTTGCACTTTACCATTCTTTCAGCTTATTTATTATATTTCCCCGATCTCTTTTAGTGCGCTTTAATCTGCCTAGCGGTAGCATCACTCATACTATTTTCCTCAGCTCCTCGCCACTGCTGTTTACCACGACATTGCGTCCTGGATTTCCGGCAGCCTTTGCGACGCGCGAGGGTGTGGATGCCTCAATATGGTTGCAGATGTACCAACCCACTCGACCGGACGAATGGAGCGTTCGTCATGAGGGACAACTGCACGCCTTTGGCTACGTACTTGCTTCTAAGCAGCAGCGCAAGTTTACTGGCTGCTGCCCGGATTTGGACTACGTGGTCATCTGTGAGAGTTGTCGCCATGTGATAATCTATCGGCCGCATCATGATTCCGCTAGTGGTCTGCGCAAGCGCAACGGTCCACCAGTCACTCTGGGCAAACAGAGTCTCATTACCATGCCTGATCACACCGGCGAGATTCTGGGCATGACCACAGCCAATAATGTGATCACCATTCTTTCCAAGAAAGCCCTGCTACACCTGCAGGTGTAGTAGGAGTTCGATTCCCATTGGCACGCAGCACATTCGGAATTTTATTTTAGTTTTTCGTATAAAGTTGGTAAGATTAAAATATTTAATAAACTCTTTTTAAATATTTTTAACTCCATTTTATGCTTTTTAAAACTTGTTATACTGGTTTTGCACTGGCTGTTTTGAATATTTCAATAATAAGTAAATGATAAATAGTTAAATATCAAATTTTAATTTTCTAATATATTTTTTTGCCCTAGGATAACAAACAACATTCAAAGTAGGCGGTCGTCTCTCGTTCAAAATTCTATTTCGCCAAACGAACCTTTTTAACGTTACTTAGAATTGAATTTTAATAGTGATATCACATTCAGGCAAAAGCAAATTTAAAAATCAAATAAAACCAGAAGTAAGTATAGTATTAATTCATTTTGTGTTTTAAATTTTGATGGTGATTTTGCTTCAGGCAAAAGCTTATATAGGAATCGTATAAAGAAATTCGTGAATATGTCGGTGGTAGAGCTGAATGTAAACAGTACCCTGATAGACACCAATTTCGACGGCTATAAGCTCTCGTTCGAGCCGGTACCAGTGCTGCGACAGAATCTTGAGTTCAGCCCTATGCGCCAGGAGCTAATCACTGATGACTTCTCGCTTCTACATGCTCAATTGTTCGACTATCAAAACCATCTCTTTGCTGATCCTTGGTTAAGCTATGACAGCTATTTTATTGATGTGCGCCATCAACTGATCCAGTGTAAGTATAATCCATTGACTAGACTTGCCGATGGTCAGCGGGTTGTATACGCCATGAAATATGGCGACCAGGGAGATGGCGACAAAAATGACTTGATGCATTACAATTACACATTAAAATTCGTATCAGAACGCTTATGTGTGATTTGCGACGGGTTGACCTCGTATCATCTGATTGACACAGGCGATCGATCTCGATCTGGTCCGCAAGATTGGCAGCTGATCACTCGCACGCCGGTAAATAGTGCCGGTGAGTATCACGGCTACGTACTCTACGATGCCAGAATGGATTGGAAAACAGATACGGAATGCAAGCAAATATCTTTGGTTGCCGGACATGTGGCGCACCGATATGTCGTACGCAAAAGACATCAAATACAAGTCCATTTCATAGATCTCACTTTGGGTCGTTGGACCAAGACAATGGAAAGTAACGAATGGTTCTACCGTGTTTTCCAACGATTGGAGACCACTGGCTCCATTCAGTACTGTACCTTTGAACTGGGTGCCGAGTCTCTAATCGTTGCCAGCAAGCGTGAAGTACAGACACCAGAGCAAAGAAAGGCATCCGATGACGATATAGCCGAGGCTGCAGCTAATGCTTCACCAGATATTTTAGATTGCCTGCTGGAAAACGGTAGTGAAGCAAACTATACTTGGTCTCAGACTATTGAAAAAGTGTTCATCAAATTAGAACTGCCACCATATGTTCCTCAAAGCTCCTTCGAAGTACGCTGTACAACTTGCTCTGTGGTTGTGGAATATATGACCCACGTGATCTTCACCGCATGTTTATACGGCGATCTGGACCCGGATTTTCCAGAGTGGAAAATGAAGTCGAATGGCCTGGAAGTAGAACTGACCAAAGAGGAGCATGAATACTGGCCACAATTGCTTGCCGAGTTGAAAGATGGAGTGGAAGAGGAAATAAAACTCATCAAAAAGGGGGAACTGCCTTTTCCGAATCTTCTGGAACCCTCTGAGGAAGATGACATGAATTACGATGACACAAGAATGGGTGTGTAGTCAATTATTTTGTGTAGATGTACTCCATTCTTTCAGCGTATTTATTAAATTTTCCCGATCTATTTCAGTGCGCTTTAATTTTATCAGCGGCTGCATTACTCACACCATTTTCCTGGATATCTCGCCACTGCAGTTTTCCAAGACATTGCTGCCTGGATTCCCGGCAGCATTTGCGACGCGTGAGGGCGTAGATACTTCAATATGGATGCAGAATCTCCAACCAACTCCAACCAACGAATGGAGCGTTAGCCATGAGGGGCAGCTGCATGCATTTGGCATCATGTACGCTTCTAAAAACAACCGCAAGTTCGCCAGTTGCTGTCCGGATCTGGAGTATGCAGTCATCTGTGAAAGATCTCGCCATGTAACAATCTATCAGCCGCTTCACGATGCCGACAATGGTTTGCGCAATCGCGACGGTTCACCAGTCTCTAAAGGCAAACAGAGTATCGTCACCCTTCCCGCTCGCACCGGCGAGATTCTGGGCATGAACACATCTAAAAATTTAATTACAATTTTATCCAAGAACGCCCTGCTACACCTGCAGATATTTTAGGAGTTCTTTCCTATTGGCACTCAACCCTTTCGGAATAATATATTTGTTGTTTTTATGTAAATGGTTTTCGTTAAGTGGACAATTCATTTCCATTCAAGTTAAATTCCATTTCCGTTCCAGTTAAATGTTTAAAAATTCAACAATGTTTTATAAGAATTTTGGTTGAACAAATTTTTTTCATTGTTTCATAATTCCATATATGTACATACATATGTATGTAGTTAGTACCATTTAAAACAATTTGATGAATTGTTTCAAATATTTTGGTTGGCAGAAGCCATAAATAAAAAGTTTTTATTTTATGAAAAACTTGGCAACGCTGCTTTTAACTGCCAGTTGTCGATAGCTTATCATTCAAATAACGATAGTTTTCGATAATACATACGTGTAGAAACAAGTGTTGCAAAGTGGCGGTCTAAAAGAGTGTTGACACGTGTCAGAACTTTCGGCCTAATGTTGAACGATAATCATAACGCATCCCGATATTAAAAGAACAAATAACGCCGACTGAAATATCGATAGAATAAAAAACAAAAACACGTCACGTAATCCGGACGGAGGCTGGTAAGTTATTGACAGGTGGCATTGCATTTTCCGGGAATCTTGGCAGTGACCTAGCGTTTATCTATTACAGCTGGAAAATCGCAGGCGGTGAACCAGAGAGAATCGATAGAATAAGCTCCGTGAACTAGGAGCACCCAGCAATTACCAAAAAAGCAGATAAAAAACCAACAATGAACACACAAATTGTGGTATTTTTGGTGGCCCTAATGATGCATTGCATATCCGCAGTGGAATTCACCTTCGATCTGGCCGACAATGCGGAGGATTGCTTCTACGAGGAAATCAAGAAGAACTCAAGTGCCTACTTTGAGTTCCAGGTGTCGGCCGGTGGGCAATTGGATGTGGATGTCACCCTGAAGGATCCACAAGGCAAAGTCATCTACAAATTGGAGAAGGCCACCTTTGATAGCCATCAATTTGTTGCCGAGACGACAGGCGTTTATACTGCTTGCTTTGGCAATCAATTCTCGGCCTTCTCTCATAAGATCGTCTACGTGGACTTCCAAGTGGGCGAGGAACCGGCTCTACCGGGTGTGGATGAACATGCCACGGTGCTCACACAAATGGAGACATCATCTCAGGCCATTCACAAGGGTCTCAACGACATTTTGGATGCCCAAACGCATCATCGACTGAGGGAGGCGCAAGGTCGCAAACGGGCCGAGGATCTCAATCAAAGGGTTATGGTGTGGTCATCGCTGGAAACGGCCGCCGTCATCCTGATCGGTCTCGTTCAGATCATGGTGCTAAGGAATTTCTTTACGGACCGAAAGCCCAGCCAGGCGCACTATGGTCGTCTCTAGAGGATTGGGTATTGCAACGGGAGCTAGTTTTGTTCTAAGCCCTTGGATGGTAAGGGAGCGCCCCAGTCCCTCACCCTCCAAAACTATCCCTAATTAAATCCCCGAAATGTTGTCAATCTCGTCTTAGCCACAACGTATTCATTCCTCCCCTCAAGGGCGTTTCTTTTCGGGGGGAAAAAAATGGCCCCCATAAAACATGTAATATTTTTTTGTTAAGACCCCACCCGGAAAAACAGAATGTTTTTTTTTTTAAATACATGCAAAAACAACCATAACTCGATAGCTAAAGGTAAACTCTGAGTGTTTTAATATTGGTACTTGGTGTTAATAGCTTAAATTTTTTCTAGCAACAAGAAAAATTATTAATTTGTGTTATAATTTTTAGCATTTTCTTTTGTTCACAAATTATAATTTGAATTAGAAAATCTTTAGTCTTAATATTTCGCATTTCTGGTGGCGTGGCCTCATTTATAATATATATTTTTAGATATTTTCCAAATTTCAGCTGAGTCAATAGAAAAGAATTTTGACTGCGTGGGAGAGAGAATGTTATGTTAGGAGCCGTACGTTTAATTGAATGATAATTTCAACAATAATGAGCGGTAAAAGACTTAATTATACGGAAAAAGATCTTTTGATATGATTTTTCACAGAGAGAAAAGTGTAAAGTTTAGACTATGATTCAAAAAGTCCCTATGATAACTAATAGCACGTACCCATCAAAAGGGAATAAATGGTTAGCCTTATCTTTAGAATGACGGGCACTTATCAATGATTTCCATTAATCTTGTTAATAACTAACTATCTTATCAGATGGATAGTTGTTTTTTTGGGAACTTGGTCAATTATTTTCACAACTGATAAGGTATTTTTGTGCTTCTGCATTCACACTCAGATATGTATATGTATCTAAGACTTAAATGCGATTATGAAATTTTGACGGATTCGGGTTACTAAATGACAATTATGCAAACAAAATTATTGCCACTGCTAAGATTATGCCCCCCCTATTCAAATGCAATAAATCTTTTTAACTGCTTTCTGTATGGGCTGTCATCTTTTATTTGTTGATCTTCTTCATTGACTGGATTTTGGAATTTCGCAGATCTTTTGTCAATTTACGATTCGTCGCATTGCCAAATATGTACATGTGTTCAGATATAAAATACGATAAATGGTATGCAAATATCTTTGTCCGTTGTCCGTTGTCCGTATGCCAATTAATAGTATTTAAATCAGTCCAAGACAATATGCCAGTGACACATCGTTGGTAGTAGCTTTATTGTTGCCCCATTCATGACAAAAAGATGCTGAAATAAAATTAAAACAAACGACTTTGGTTAAAATTCGATTTTTATTTACTTGGAAAAAATGCTGGCAAAAAGTAAAAGAAAAAAGTTGAATTTTTTGTAAGTTAAATAAAAGTAAAATTAAAAGAAAATCGTATTGAAGTTCTCAAAAAATCTATATTTTTTTAATTTAAGTATTCTAAGCTTTTAATATATTTTAAATATTTTTAGACTTAACACTCTTTATATTCACACTTTTGGAATATTTTATGGTATTTTTCCCATCAATTTAATTACTTATCTACCTGTCTGGCCCCAAAGCTGAACTCTTTGACTTGGCAACAACAAACAGATGGCCCAAAACTTATGGCCAAAGTGAAAGGGAAGACAAAAGCTGAAGGACATGTGTAAATGAATTGTCAGCGGATCGATTGATCGATGTCAAAATGGGGTTAATCAAACGTCAACACAGTTTCCATGCTAATTATTCACATTTATAATTATAATAATAATAATAATAATGCGAGTAAGCTTGGCACGTGTGTCGGAGGTTAAATTACAGACCCAGAAGAAGATGATTCAGCCATTAGTTAGTCAGTCTAAAAATATATATTAAAATTAACCCAATTTGAGATTTTATAACATCAATTAAGGAAGATAAATTATTTAAAATATGGCTAATATTTAAATGGTTTCATAAGATGTTTATTAGCTATTATAAGAGGTTAGTTTTTATTTTTGTTTGTTTAATATTTTAGTAAATAGTTTAATGTATCTAGCAAAAGTAAGTTTTAGTAACCTTTAATGGACATTTTAATGGAAACCGCCTTATAAGTTTTTTTCTCTTTCGTTTTATTAAATTTTAAAAATTATATAAAATAATAACTAATTTTTTCCCATGCAGCCATCCCATTTGTAGGAAGGACAGCTTTTAAATAATATTGGCCAGTAGGGGTAATTAAAAAATCAAATTTCCAAATCCATTTAGTTTTGCATGGCGTGGCTCAATAATAGATAATCAATGAATCGTCACTGTTGAGGCTCCCAAAACGAAGAAAAAAAAAACAAATAAACCCAAACACGCCCCTTACTTCCTGAGGCACCACGCCTATTTCCCATCTTCAGCCCCCCCCCGTGGTAACCACTTTGAAGACGCCAACATTTTTTGGGCAAGAGGTCGCCGCTTTGGCTGCTGTAGTCTCTTCAGGTTTTATATATCAATTAGTAATCCGACGACACCGGTTCCATCCGTCAATGGGGAGATCTTTAGCCGGATGAAGCGAGGGGAGATTGTGAAGTTCTTTGACAATTAGTGATTGGAAAAGATGGAATTGTAGGTGATCTACGATTACAATAAATTATTTAAAATATTTTAAAATTGGTATAAAAAAAGTTATTTTTAAAATAATGTTTTTCAGCTGTGAAAAAAGGCTAAAACTTTTCAGCATTAAGTCTTATATATATTACAATATCTTTAAATATCTTTAATATATAAATTCCTTAAGGATCTCTATTGCATTTTCTTTTAAAAGATATCAAACTTCTTGATCTACCCACTTGGCCTACGAATTTATAAAATCGATTTGGTTTCCCTTTTCTTTTCTTTTTCATTTTTGTGGTAGTACGTTTGCTTATCTTTATCGGCTTTGCCAAATATTTCGAATGCACTGAAAGTAATTACCTATAAGTTTTGAAGATGCACTACTTAGATATTAAATATAAAAATAAAAACAAATTAAATTAAATAAAGAAATTATGTTAATCAGCATTCTTAGACATATTAAAAATACCTACTAGACTTTATTTCCCAGTGTAATTTTACACCATTGCGGCTGCAACCTGTTGCCGTATGGCATAAAATTTAATATTGATAAATATATTCCAACTATATATGCATAGCCAATAAGTATGTAAATCGACCTCCAATGGGCCACTAATGGGTGGCGATGTTTGTTAATGTGAATATATATACTATATAATATATATATTTCATTTTCACAGAGATCCCAGAAAGGTAGAGGAATAGACGGCGTATGGCGTATGAAAGAGATGGAAAGTAAGCGAGAAATTAAATAATTAACAAGCCAGGCAATATATGCATATCAAATTGTATTTTTTCTTTAGTTATGCCAACAAAACTGCAGGGGGAACTCTCATAAATAATTAATAATGTATCTACAATGCTAATTCCAAAAATGATCGGAAATTTATGGCTCACGAAAGAATTGAGGATTGGGCCTAAATAAAAAAACAAAAACAAACATTCCGACAGATGCATTTCATAACTATTCGAAACTAATTTGGTAATCATTCCTATAACGATTTGATTAATTGCAAATAATTACATGAGTTAAATACTTTATTTGATTTGGAAATTGAGGGTATAAAATATTAAAATTTTAATAGGAAATTTTATGGTTTTATAAAGGTTAAATGAAGATTTTTTAACCCCCTTAAAAGGTTAGTTATTTTTCTAAATATTTTTTAAGTTAAACTAAATTATCATTCAACCTTTTAAAATTCCATAAAATTAAGCAATCTTCCTGAAAAAACAAGCCCCATAAATACGCTCCAAAACTAGGCGTTAATCCATTGTCTTATTTAATCAGTTAATAAGTTTTTTTTTTCTCTTTCAAGCCCTCCAATAGACCTCTTTTTTGTTTGGCCAATATTTCGATTCAATTCAATTCGATTCAATTATTTGCATGTCCCGCCTTTGTTGACCATCTCGAAACGGAATTTTAGACCTGGTTGGACGCTCATTGTGTTAGCCAAGTTGTTAGCCCGTTCGTTTGTGGCTAGTTAGACAGTCGGCGGCAGTGGGCCAAATATGCATAAAACATTTAAGCCAAGATGGGTCAAGGTTTCTTGTTCATCGGCTAACTGAGAAGAGTAGGGGAAATCCCTGCGCTCCATCAAAACAAAACCAATCGCCATGGGAAAATTACACGGCTTTCTGCGGAAAACCAAATGAAAGATGTCGCTATAATGGGTTATATAACATCATCTATTATATTTTTGTTGTGATTTGTATCGAACGACTGTGAATAGAGTCATGTTTTATGTGGTTTTAATACCTGTTAGTGATAGATTAAGAGGGTATTTTGTATACGTTGAGAAGTAGGTTACTGGGGAGAAGGAAGTGTTTCCCATTAAATGAGAAGTAAATATTTCTGAGTAGGATTAGTAGCCTAATAGCCATGTCCTTCTGCCTGTCCGTGTGAAAGCTGAGTTCTCGGGAACTGCAAGAACCAGAAAGTAACTTTGTACTGGGTAACTCAAAGTTGCATCACCCGACAGAGGTTTCTCTCCTTCTTGTTTTGTGAAGTTTTTTACTTTGAGTGGTTTCTGATTTTTGATTCTTAAAAGTTTGCTGTAGTTTAAAAATATTTATCTTATTGCTATTAAAAGTTATTATAAATATTAATTAGAAAACTAAAAATAAAACACAAACTAACACCCAATTTGAAGCCATCATAAACCCCCAAATGAGATTGCACAAGAACCGGCGAAGTTTTTGGCTAACAGGTGGTATTATTTTAAGGCCCCATTCAAGGCGGAGGTGAGGCGACATGCTTATCAATGTTTAATGTTTAATTCATGGCCCAAAAAAAACAAATATACGAAAAGCCAGGCCAGCCGACACGCATTGCTAATGACAGATGTAATAATTTTGTATTTTTTTTTTTTTTGGCAATGCCAGGCAGATATTTAGCGAGCATTTTGCGAAACTCAAAGCCACCGAAAACTGAAAACTAAAAATCCGAAATGCCAATGCATATGCAAAGCTAATAACAGGAAATCCAAGCCACCCGATAACGAGCCCGGATTGCATAATCCGGACGGAGAACACAACGCATAGCCAACGGTGACTGATGCCCAATGTCCGATATGTCCAAGATATTTTTTTTTTTTGGGAGCAGGCGTATTAATTACATCCGCCCAAAGCACACGGGATCGGGAATTAGTTGGTCTACACTGGGAAATGTTTATGTCTTACTAACTTTTTTGATATTCAAGTTATTAATAGAGCAAATGGTTTGAAGAACTTAAAGTAATCGAAGTATTTCCTGTAGGTAACCCTTAAAAAGCAGATAAAACAGAGAGAAGTACCTTAAGTTTCATAGATCTAGTTTCTAGTACCGAGTACCTTTTTTTTTTAATAACCCAACAAAAACTATCTCAAGTACCACCCATATTATACCAACAAATACCATTTAGTCAAGCCCTTTCCTGTTAGCCAAATATATTTATTGGCTATTTGCTTTTTTTTCTGGGTGTAGTAGTAGTAGACCAACCGGGCGATAACTCAATAAGCGGAATCTGCATTTTCGAGCGAAATGCGAACGAACGGCCACAGCGCAACTATCCAAAAATGTTGCGCAGCATCCAACCTAGTAACTAACCCCAAAAGCTAATGAAAGGCCCCCTTCTGTCCACCTTGGAGTTTGGCGAAAGATGATCGAGGTTCGAATATCAATCGGAGCGGTGGGAAGGGAGGGGAGAGAAAATTGGAAATGAAGATGGGGATGACGATGGAGATGGAGATGTTGATGTCGATCGTTGACGATGAAGATGCGACGACTAGTTTTCGGTTGGGCCTTTGTATAAAACGCGTGGCCGGGTCAATCGGGGCATCATTGATCGGTTGGACATCGAGGGCTCAAGCACGACCACTGTGAAGATGAATGTAAGCAGTATGGCTAAGGATTACCATTAAGCCGAAGGATTATATATATATATTTATATATTTATATATCAGTGATATTATTTATTACCTATTTTTTTTTTCTGTGTGACTCAAAAATTGTTTCCGTTTCGATTCGTTTTCGGTGAAGTTCTTTGGCGCCATTATTGCGCTCGCCATTTGTGCTCTATGTGGATTAACCCAAGCGGATATATCGCTCAAGCTGCGACAGCAGCAACAGCAACAGCAACAACTGCAACAACAACAACAGCCGCTGATCACCAAGGAGCAGTACTACAAGACGGGCAATAGCTTCCAGGAGAGTAACTACGGCAACTCAGGCTATCAGATCTTTGAGGTTCATAATCATTTTGCTGGCAAAGCTGGTCCCGCCTATCTGCCACCTCAGGGTCAGAGTTCAAGTGGACATGCCCATGATGATAGCCTGGACTTGTCCTTCCTGAACTTTGCTGATGCTTCAGCTCCAGCGCCAGCTTCGGCGACTCCCGCTCCTGCTGCTGCTGCTCCCATTTCCGTGCCTTTCCCATCAAACTATCAGCATGACTTCCAGCGTAAGGCTCCGGCTGCATCTTCGTCTGTTGGTTACAGTGGCCAGGCCTATCTGCCACCCAGCGCTCCGGCACCCATTGTCCAACAGCAACAGCAAGTGGTGCAGCAGCAACAGCAGGTGATTCCTCAGCAACAGCAGGTGGTGCAGCAGCAAGTGCAACAGCAAGTGCAACAGCAAGTGGTGCAGCAGCAACAAGTGCAACAGCAATACACCCAACAGACCTACGAGGCACCCGGCTATCTGCCACCCACTACTGCCGAGGAGATTGCACCCGCAGTGTCCAATTACCAAGCACCGGATTACCTTCCACCCACGGCCACGCCCATTAGCTATCCTCAGCAACAGAAGGTTTTCCAAGGACCCACCTATCTGCCACCCCAGCAAGAGCAAGTGCAACAAGTCCAAGTGGTGCAACAGCAGCAGCAACAAGTGCAGCAAGTGCAGCAGCAAGAAGTGCAGCAAGTGCAGCAGCAACAAGTGCAGCAGCAAGAAGTGCAGCAAGTGCAGCAGCAAGAAGTGCAGCAAGTGCAGCAGCAACAAGTGCAGCAGGTTCAGGAAGTTCAGCAGCAGCAGCAACAGATTGCTGTGCAAACTCAGGGACAGGAATATCGGGCTCCTGGCTATCTGCCACCTGGCTACGACTTCGCCAATCCCGATCAGTTGCCTTTGTCACTCACTCAGAATGTTGCTAACTCGCAGAGTGTGTCTTCGGTTCAGAATGTTGCCACCACACAGAGTGTTGCTGCGGTGCAACAAGTTGCTGGCGAGTACCGTGCTCCTGGTTATCTGCCACCTGGCTACGATGAGCCACGACCACAAGCTCCAAGCCAGATCACCTACCAGCAGCAACAGCAGCAGCAACCACTGCAAGTCCAGCAGCAGCAACCACTGCAAGTCCAGCAGCAGCAACCACTGCAAGTTCAACAGCAGCAACCACTGCAAATCCAGCAGCAGCAACAGCAACAGGTGTATGTTGCACCTACCCAAGCCACTGTCAGCAATCCTGGCGCCCTTCCCGATGGCTATGACTTTGTGAAGCCTGAAAACTCCGAGGCAGCCATTGCCGAGCTGCACAGTCTTCAGACCCAAACGAAGCTGCTGAAGCAGCAGCAAGAGCAACAGTTACTGTTGCAGCAGCAGCAGCAACAACAACAGCAGCAACAACAGCAGCAACAGATCGTGGTGCAGTCTCAGTTACAGGTTGCCCAGCAACAGCAAAGCGCAGACATTGTCTATGGCCGCCCCAAGTCGCAGCAACAGCAACCATTGGCTCCTCAAAGCACACTGGCAACATCTACTGCTGGCAGCTACCAGCAACATTTCACGGCACCTGGTTACTTGCCACCAACGACCGCTGTTTCGGCTCCCGCTCCAGCTCCAGTTGCTGCCCCTGTAACCGTTTCCATTCCAGCTCCTGCTCCTTTGGCCATCCCTGCACCAGCTCCAGCTCCTGTTGCCGTTGTCCAGACAACAGCAACATCTAGCTCTTACCAGCAGCAACAGCAGCAGCAATACAGGGCTTCTGGTTATCTGCCACCAACTGTTGCAGCTCCTGCCCCCGCTCCCATTCAGATTGCTGCTCCAGCTCCAGCTCCCGTTCATGTTGCTGCTCCTGCTCCAGCTCCAGTGCGTGTTGCAGCTCCTGCTCCCGCTCCTGTCCGCGTGGCAGCTCCCGCTCCCGCTCCCGTTCGTGTGGCAGCCCCTGCACCCGCTCCTATTCATGTGCCCGGACCAGCTCCCATTGCCATTTCCCTGCCAGCTCCAGCTCCCACCCAGGGTACCCATCTTCATTCCCTGAGAAGCTACATGAACACCGTTCAGCCCTTCGCCCGCTATGCCGCTCAGCCAGTCACTGTACGCCAGCAAGTCCAGCAGCAACAGCATCATCATCACCATCATCATCATCAGGTGCAACAGCAACAGATCATCGAGGTGGCACCCATGTACCGTGAGCAATCCAAGCGTCCACGTTTCTATGCCCCAGCCTTTGTCAGCAATGCTGTGCCCCGCCAGCAACAGCCCCAGCAACACGTGCATCAGCACTACCATCACCGTGCTGTGGTCCAGAGTCAGAAATTGCAACCCATAGCTGCACCCACTCTTAACTTCAAGACACAGCAATCCCTGCAGAAGTTCATGCCCAAGGATGTTCAAGTGGCTGTGAATGTGGCAATGGCAGCCACGGCACCAATTGTGGCACCACCAGCCCTGCGCGGCAGTTCACGAGTGCGAACCGTACAGATTGTTAAGCCACATGCCACACGTACGTTTAAGGTGCTCGAGCAACTCGATCAGGCTGGCGTTAAGACCATCAAGATTCTTGGTGCCACCAATGAACAGCCCCAGGGACGTCATCAGGTGGTAAAAGTGGTTACTCAGAATGCCCACAGCGGTGCCGAGAGTCATGTGCAGACTGTTAAGATCTACGATGATGTGCAGCAGCAACAGCAGCAGCCACTGAGATTGCAGCAACAGAACAATGGCTACTTGCCACCAGCTCGTCCCAGGTCGCGTATCGTGCGTCAGGCATCGAAGCCGCTGCGTCTGTATCCCGTTGCCAGTCTCTAAGGAATGGAATGGGGTCAAGGTCAACTCCCAGCACTGATTAGTTGTTAATTTCATCATCGAGCGTCTAACTAACTATTTTTTTTTTTTGTACAAAACTCTTTTTCGCTTTTTTCTACCTCATTTTGCATGCATTTCTGTGCACTGAAAAAAAAAAACAAGCCACAAACCACAAATCCCAAATCGCATTCGAAATCAAATCATTTGCATGCAATAACAACCGATTCGAATTTCTTACCTAATAAATTTATACTTACGTAAAATATGTAAATAATTTGACTGTTTAATTTCGTTGATTAAGATTGGTGAAGAGGAAGGGGGAAGCTTGGATTGCCCAGCCAATGAAGTTGGCATGGGAATTCAGAGCGGACCTTGGTTGGCAGTTTTTTATGGGTTGTGGTCGATGTTTGCTTTTTTTTTGAATTCTTGTGAAACGGAAATGGAAAGCTATTTGTCAGAGATACCATTTTTAATAGGAGTTTAAGTGGTCTAATCTTTAAGTTTATATTTATAAATATTTTTAAACACAAAAAGAAAGATATTGCAGAACTAAGATCTTTAGCCTTGACTTTTAAATGGCCTATAATGGCTTATCTTTTTTTTTTTTTAATTTGAAAGCCATTCACTATCATCTCCCCAAGCCAAAAACCTACTAAACCTAAACAACAACCTCTTATTAACAATTTCGTAATCGTTTAATTTGATAGCTATATACAAATATTGCTCTGGGCATGATGACTTTGATCTCAAATGATGTCTCTGCTTTGGGTTTATTTATCCCAAAGGCGTGTCATTTTCGCCCATAAAACTCTCTCTCTCTATCTGAATGTGTGACCTTCGTGGGTTTTCTTTTTTTTTTGGGTTGTGTTTAATTTATTTGTTTGCTTCCGCTCTTAGTAAGCGTCAAGTTAGTGAAAGGCCAGACCGGATTTTTTGGGCCTACACAACGTTCCATTTTTTGGTTTATTTGTAAGACGTTAGATGACACTTAATCGCACCTTACTCAATAGTAAATATGTTAGGGGAAGCCTATAAACTAGCAAAATGATTGTGTGATTACTCTTTTAAAGTTATTAAGAAAACTTTTTGTTAAGATTTTCACTTTAGTGGGAATATTTTTTACCAAGATATAAAGGGTATTTCTTCTAAGCTTCTTCATGTAGGGTGGCCCACGGATGATTTGCGTTTTAAAATCGCTATAAAAATATCAATATTTCCCAATTTTCATTTCAATTTAAACACTTCGTAAACCGCAAACCTTCTACTTCGAAATGACAAAGTCAAAATTATCGACAGTTCAAAAAGCAAACGCTACATGGGCCACTCCATCAAATTTCTTACAAAAAAACAGCAAACTTTGCCTCTAAAATTTGTTAGTTACTTTAAATTTTCCCCTCTAAACTATATATATTTCCCAAGTGTATCTTTTGAATGAGTAACTTAATGCCTCCGCCTTATTGATGAATGGCCAGTGTTTGGACACCAAACGATGACATAATTCCGGAGATGAATGCATCTAAGCCCTGAGCCTAACAAAGGCGTTGAGCCACTCTAATTTTCATTGTAAAAAAGCTAAGAAAAATAGTGAATTGAAAACATGTAGGAAGAGCCCATGCAGAGGAAAGTAATGTAGGATTTTAGAAAGATTTTATCAGATTTTAATTAAATTTTTTTATTGGAAAAAACATCTACAAAAGCCAACGTCTTAAAAGTCAATCTTTTTATTGTTTAAAAACACCCAATTTTTGGTAAGAAAAATTCTTAAATAACACCTTAGATATATTAATAAATTCGAAAACTTTGTTTTTTAGACATTCCTTGGAACAAACTGCAGGAGGATTTGACCTCGTTAAAGCAGCCACAATATAGTAGCAAAAAGCAACCTGGAGAGATCTTGGACATCATCTGAGATGATGACTTTGCGAGCTCTGGAAATGGATTTTGTGCGAAAGCGAAAACGAAGGAAGTGCCAGGTGATGTAATCTTTTGGTTTACCCATAAATAAAGTTAAAATTATGCTATGGCTAAGTATATGATGATCAATCTTTACAGATTGATGAAACATGAAAAATCAGTTGATTCTGAGTTCTGCCTCCCATAACCCCCATTATATAACCCATTATAAATATTGCGAATTGAAATCAAAAACAGAACTTTCAAACAAAACCAACATATGCTAAAGATATATCACTCTATTGTCTAAAAATTTTAACAATTTCTTTAATTACGTACAGAACTTACCCTCGGATTGGTGTTTTGGCAAATAGTGCCAATTTTTTCCTTTGATAAACAAGACCGGATTCTGTGTCTAAGCGTGTTTTCTGCAAATAACCTAAGAATGAAACAAAGCCAACAAAGCTATAAATATCATAACCAGATATCATAACCAGGCATTATTTACCCTTAACAAATATGCAAAAAAAGAGACTAATATCCAGCTTGGATTCTGTGTGAATGGTTCTGCTATATAAGCCTGATCTATGCACTTACCAAAGCACAGTTCCTTCTATCACAGTCAAAAGCAAGGCACAGACAGCAAGATGAGATTCGTTTTCATATCTGCTTTGATCCTGGCTTGCCTCCTGGTGATGGCCAATAGCTCATCGAACTCCACGTCCACGTCTACAACAACGAACTCAACAAGCACAGCTACCACAACGACTACAACGGAGGCAACGACCACCACAACAACGACCACGACGGAGGCAAGCACCAGCAGTGACAAGAAAAAGAGGAGGACTCGCCATTGGAAAACCACCCACAAGAGGAAAGGCAAGAAGGACAAGAAGGACAAGAAGAAGAAGGACAAGAAGCACAAGAAGTCCAAGAGGAAGAACAAGCGTTCCCACCACAGCGGTTAAAAGTTATGATCCCGTCTATAACCCAACGATCCCACCCAAAACGATGATTATTTTCTTTCATTTAAATTTTTTTTTTACTAAATAAAGCATTTTGAAAAACAGTTTTGGAAATCTCTTTTTTGAAATCTTCTACTTCTCTTCGAAGTAGTTACAAAAGATAAAGTTAAAGAGGATTTAAAATAAAATATAAATCTTTAAGATTTTAGAGCATAAAAAGTGTGAAACACGAAGAAAGGCTGAAGAACTTCTTCAAAAACGATTTTTCGAATCATTATCATATCTTTAAAAACAGTTTAAAAAAGAAAAACTGTTTGCAAATATTTCACCAGAACGGACGGGAAAGCCCTTGTTTAGGGAAATGAAGTATAATTTTAGAAAGATTTTATCAGAAATCAATATCTTAGTAACTTAGTTTAAACCGTTTTAAAGTGTAAAAAAAACTCCAAAAGTTATTTAAGTCAATCATTTTATTCCTTAAAACACCCAATTTTTGGTTAGAAAAATTCTCAAAGAACCCCTTAGATATACTAATAAATCCAAAAACTTTTTATTCTAGACTTTTCTTGGAATAAACTGCAGCCAAATGCCGTCCCTGTGGACGCCCACAAAGATCAATGGATCGATATCGGTGCCATCTCTAGTACGTGGACTAACCACAACCTCGAAATGCTGGACAATCGCGGCCAGAGCTGCCTTCGCCATGGCCAGGCCCAAACGCATGCCCACACATTGACGTGGTCCATTGCCAAAGCCCAGAAAGACGCCTTGCTGCTTGAAGCTCTTCAAGCCGCCATCCATGAATCTTTCAGGTCGAAAAACCTCCGGTTCTGGATAATGTTCCGGATCATTTTGCAGGGCATAGATGGGTATCATGAGGTTGTCACCAGGTCGTATTTTTAACGGCTCTGAATGATGGCTACCCTGTAGCTCGTACTCCTTGGTGCAGGTCTTTGAGGCCCAGCCAGCGGCGGGATAGATGCGAAGGCTTTCTAAGGGCGGAAAATTTAGGTTTGTTAAGTTTTGATTTTCCATATATATATCTATCCTATACCATTGAAACAGGCACTCAGATAGGGCAGGTCTATTAGCACATCCAGATCGGGCAGTTCGCCGCTGGGACTGGCCTTCTGAAGTTCGTCCAACAGATGGCGCTGGCACTTAGGATTGCGACCAAGCTGGAAGGTGATATATGATAAAAATATATATATCTAACTTCCAAAATCTTTTCAAAATCCTTCTAACTCACCAGCAAAAGACAGTGGGCAACGCTATTCGAGGTGGTGTCCAGGCCATCAAACATAAAAGTCATGACATGCGAGGCCATATCCTCCTCGCTAAGATTGAGATCCCTTTGCATCTCCAACAGATGATTGATGAAATCATTACGTTCCTGATGCTTAGCACGACGCAGTTGCAGAGATTCGCTTATGAGCGAACTATAAAATTGATCATGGGATAGTGGGAATACCTTGGGACGCAGGCGGCGTGGAAGATTCGGAAATATACCACAGACGGCACCGGCAATGGCCAAGCCACGATTCTCGGCGGACATCTCTTGGTTTTGCCGGACAACTGGCAAAGGATTGTCGCTAAAAGTGCGAGCCTGAATGCCTAGAACACAATCGAACAGAGATTCACCCGTGAAACGAAGGCCAAGCTGGAAGGGATTACAGTTTTAAAAGCATCTTTGGGATACATATATAAGATTAACCCACATCAATACAATCCATTTCCTTGCCGCCTAGTGACTTTCTGGAAATAAACTCGCAGAGATCTCTACAGACACGTTGCATAATGGCATGGGTGGTCCTTATCCGTCCATTGGTCAGTAAAGTTGAGAAGACTGCCCGCTGGTGGCGCCACTCATCACCATCAAGTACAAACGGATTGAGGGATACCAAACGATCCTTGGCCAAGTCCACCATTTTCGAGACATCATTATTCTCAAAGTGGCTGAAGGCACTGACATAGATCTCGTAGACCAAACGTGGTTCCAGGATCAGCAGCTTGGGTGCACGCATCAGGAAGCAACCCACATAGCTGTGTGTACTTCGATAACGCCTGAGTATGTAATACAAAGATATAGATATAGATCAGATATAGATCTGATATAGATATATATATCCCAATACCCACATATAGATATCCCGCATATCCATGGTAAAATGCTGCCTTGGCCAAACCATATTTGGAAAAGAGCCAAAAAGTGGAAAGACCCTTGGCTCCAGGACTCCACGTCGCCGCCAGTGTCCAAAGTTGGACACCAGAAACACATAGAGCACTCCCAGCAACGTAGCAATCCCCAGTAATAGCGATCCAAACATGACGACGCTGTAAGCGAAACTGAGTAGATGAAATTGAATCGGATATGCGAATCTTTGGGGGTTGAGGATTGAGGGAGATCACCTACCCAGTGGCGTGCTTGCGTGTCTCTCGAAATGATTGGTGGGTGCCATTATCAAATTAACCAATGATCTGCTCTTATATCAGAACAACTTAGAAGATGCATTATAGAAGCAACCTTTACACTTTTATAATCTTTAAATGTTAACTAATGTTTAAATCTTAACTATATATAAAATTCCTAAGAAAAAGGTTTGTTTTTGATTGAAAAGGCAAGTAACTAAAGATTATATTTATTGTTAAAGATAAAAGTTCAAAGATCGTTATACGAAAAACCTTTATCTTAAAACTTTCCTTAATAATAACTTTCCTAACCTCTTCCCATTCATAACAAAAACTAGAATTACAAAATTAATACCCCCCCGAAGAGGTCATAGGTGAAAAGCTTGTGTATCACTTTAAACCAAAGCCCCATAGAAAGCACTGTCAACAGCCTGACAACCCTGAGCCAAAAGCAATGCCACCACCACCAGACTACAATGGGAACACTTAAATTGACAAAGTCTCGAAAGTATTTAAATATTTATTTACCCTCGGCTTGTGCTAAAGAAGAAAATTCTACATAAATATTTATAACACTTGCTATGTCATATACTTTCACTATTTCCCATTTCCCTTGTCACTTCAACTATGGCAAATACAATTAGATATGCTTATTATACTTTGTGTAAGCTTACATCTTATTAATCTAATCAATCAACTGACAAATCGAAGAAGAGCTCTATTAAGGGATTTTGTGCAGTAGTCACTGGATGCCTCTTCATCAATCATTGAAGTTTGTACAATGATTGATGATATTATGCAAACGAAATGCTCTAAAAGTAGATCACAGACAGGGAAATTGTTAGTATTATTAGTTTAAGCTGATCTTTCATGAGTTTCTGCTATCTAACCTTAGGACAACTTTCTGCCAGTGTAGTTCCAGTTCCCACTGGTTAGCGACATTGACATTGTTAGGCCAGACAAGTCTCCGGGACCAAAGCGTAACCAATGGATTTGACCTCGTTAAAGCAGCCACAATATAGTAGCAAAAACCCACCACCTGGAGAGATCTTGGACAGCATCTGAGATGATGACTTTGCGAGCTGTGGAAATGGATTTTGTGCGAAAGCGAAAACGAAGGAAGTGCCATGTGATGTAATCTTTTGGTTTATCCATAAATAAAGTTAAAATTATGCTATGGCTAAGTATATGATGATCAATCTTTACACATTGATGAAACATGAAAAATCAGTTGATTCTAAGTTCTTTGAACGCCTTTCATAACCCCTATTATATAACCCATTGTAAATATTGCCAATTTAAATCAACTACAGAACTATCAAACAGAACGAAGATATGCTGAAAATTTTAACAATTTCTTTAATTACGTACAGAACTTACCCTCGGATTGGGGTTTTGGCAAATAGTGCCAATTTTTTCCATTGGTAAACAAGTGCGGATTCGGATTCTAAGCGTGTTCTGTGCAAATAGCCTAAGAATGAAACAAAACCAACAAAGCTATAGATATCATAACTGGAGATTCGAGTACGAAACAGGCGTTATTTGCCCTGAACAAATATGCAAAAATGAAGACTAACAATTAGCTGAGATGCTGCTTGGATGGTTCTGCTATATAAGTCTGATTTTTGAAGTTACTAAAGCACAGTTTCTTCTATCACAGCCAAAAGCACAGACAGCAAGATGCGATTCGGTTGCCTATCGGCTTTGATCTTTGCCTGCCTCCTAGTGGTGGCCAATAGCGCAACAACGACCCCCCAGCGAGCTCCACACCGACTCCCACAACGACCCCCCCAGCGAGCTCCACACCGACCCCCACAGCATCCACGACTACACCTACAACGTCGGACACATCATCAAGCTCTTCGACAACGACGTCCACCGCCACCACAACGGTGGCACCAACGACAACCACCACCACTACTACAACGGAGGCAACCACCAGTGATAAGAAAGTGAGGCATACTCGCCGTTGGACAACCACCCATAAGAGGAGCGGCAAGAAGGACAAAAAGAACAAGAAGGACAAGAAAGACAAAAAGGACAAGAAGCACAAGAAGCACAAGAACTCCAAGAAGTCCAATAGGAAGCTCAAGCGTACCCGCCGCAGTGGTTAAATATTATGATCCCGTCTTTAAAACCAAATCAAACCCAACGATCCCAACCAAAACGATGATTATATCTTTTTACTAAATAAAGTAGGTTAAAAAAAAAATCATTTTTGAAGATATCTTTTTCAGATTTTTGTTTTAAAGTTAAAGAGGATTTAATATAAAATATAAATCTTTGAGGTTTTGGACCTTAACAAGTGTGAAACACAGAAGAAAGACTTAAAATCTTTTTCAAAAACGATTTTTCGAATTATTATCATATCCTTAAAAACAGTTTAAAAAAGCAAAACTATTTACAAATTTCACCAAGCTATACTGATATCAGAAAAGTGCTTAACAAATTTCCAAAAACTCTCAAAAACCCTTGAAAAAAAACACATTTTTTGGAGTTCTTTTTTTGTTTTGCTTATGCATTTATTATAATATATGGTGGGATCAATTCTAAAATCGATCTTTCAAAATGAATTCTATGACACTTTCGGTTATACAAATGAATTAAAAAAGTTGTATTTTTTTTTTGTTTAATGTTTTTAGATTTTCTTTTTTATAGTGTAATTTTCGATTAACTAAGGGGAAAGACATGCGACGACATGAAATGAACATCGGGCTAAGATGTTCACACATACATCTATTTAGATATATGTACATATATATGTATATATATATATATACTGGTATATGTAGATATAGGTTTTAAGTAAATTGTCTGCCAATTTGCATATCTATATGTTCTGTGTGTGTGTATATATGTACTATATATATATATATATATGCGAAGTCATATCCATAGACTTAGGTGGCTAAAAAGTTTTTGAAAATCGAAAGAAAAAAAAAAAACATCGAGTGAAGACGACGATAGTTTGCAAGTATAAAAAATATGTTTATGTTAGTTTTTTTTTCTCCATCTAAAAATCTTCCTTCTTCTTCTTAAACATCATCTTTTGTTATATAAAAAATCTTCAATCTTCTATATCCACAACCTCAACCTGGCCAGCAGTATGCGTGTGTGTGTATGCATGTGTGTGTATGCTTTTTGTATCTATGTTTTAATTTTCAGCGATCTCAGAATTTTTTTCTTAATTTTTTGTTTTTTTTCTTTTGTTGTTAGGTGGAAACAGGAAGCGGCAATAAGAGTACTTTCTCATTGCTAATCTGCGATTGATTTTGTAATTAATATTATAAATTTTTTCTTTCTTTCCTGGGTATGGGTATTCTCAGTATGCTCATATCTATAATATATATGTATAAATGTGTAGATCATCGTTCAACGTTTTTATAAAAAAATATATATAGGTGTGTGTGTGTGTTGGTATTTATGTTGGTTTTTTTTTGCCATGAAGTTTGAACTGTTTACTCTGTAAGACTTTCGGTATTGGGATGTCGTTAATGCACCAATGTGGGAATATATTTATACTATAAGTATATATATCTGTAAATGGATATGTTTAAAATTTTCTCTCATTTATATTTTCTTTTTTTTTGTTTTTTTTTTCTTGGGCAAAAATGTTATTATTGAGTTTTTACGTTAAAAAAAGGTTCTTGTGAGCTTTTTCTTTACTTTTTAGTTTGGAATGAATTCTCGTTTTTTTTTTAGTATTAAAAAAAAAAAAACTTTATGAATGCTGAAGGCAGAATCAAGTTAACTTTGCAGATTGTTTCTCTATTTATGTTTAGTTGGGGGGAGGGGGCTTTCTATTAATAGTGAAAATTTGAACTGGACTTCATTGGCTTACATAGAAAAACGTATATAAAACTAAATTTCTACTTAAATAAGGATTTTCTTTTTTCAAATATATATATATATATATATATATATATATATATATGGAAAATATAGCAAATTATAATTTTTGGGCTTAAGGAGCTCTTCTTTAGTCTAGGGTAAGTAGTTGCTGTTATTAAGCTATTAATATTTCATATTTTGTGGTTCATTGTGGTTGCTTTTTTATGCGCCTTTCGATCTCTAGATATATATATATATACTATATATATCTATATTTAATATTGTATTGTTTTTTTCGCCTCTCGTTCGTTCTACGCTCCTCATTTTTTGTGTTTTGTTTTTTTTTTTTTTTTGTTAAATTTTATTTTAAATATCACGGCATTCAGCTGAGGTCTGATCTGATCTATTTCTTATGCTTATATAACTTTTCACATGATTTTCTTTTCTTATTTATTGCATTGGCATTTCACATTTTAGTTTGTTTTATAGTTTTTTTTTTAGTTTTTTTTTTTAAGGAGCTTTTTCTTGTAAATCAAAAAAGAAAAAGAAAGGAGACAGATAAAAAAATGGCTATTGAAAGGCTTCCGGTTATCGACTATCTATTATCGACTATCGACTATTTTGGACTAAACAAAACAAGCAAGAAATTAAACTAAAATAGCTCGCGAGAGACACAGATACAGATACGAATACCGAGATGCAGATGCCGATGCCGTTGCCGTTGCCGTTGCCGTTGCCGATGCCAATGGAGTTGGAGTTACAGATACAGAGAATGGTTAGAGCAAGCACCAAAAGCTAAGTCTAGGGATCCTCTTCGACAGCGCCCTGACTGAAGATCTGGGCGCAGATGCGTCGCAAATGGAGCTGGCCACCACCCAATAGGCCCGCCCTCTGCATTAACTCTCACAAATTCCGACGGCCCAAATGACGATCCTCAGCCACATTCTCCTCCTGCCCATCATCATCATCGTCGTTATCCACCTCTCCTCTGTCCAGCTCTACATCCACTTCGAATCTAGAACCATGATGCCTCTGTGGCACCACCACTCCCGTATTATTTGCACTCTCGCTGAAGTGCATCAAATTGGTGTCCATCAGTCCATTGGTCAGACTGAGTGGCGGTGATGATTGTGACGGTGGTCCCTCTAGCGATAGACGACTGTTGGTGCTAATGCTGCTCATGCTTAGCTGATCATCGAACACCTCAATATTCACCACAGTCGAGAGTTCACCATGATCACCAAACGAATGACGAATTGGATAATCTCCGCCAGCTTCGTTGACTTCCAGTTTTTGACCCTTTTGGCTAAGTATCATTGGATTATTGGGATTCATAATGCCTTTGGTTGTTGGGATTATATTGTTGTTGATGTTATTGTTGTTGTTGTGGGCCAAACCATCAAGCTGATCAGTGGTGAAAAAGTTTCCTAAATAAAGGAAATGTGATTAGTTAATGAGTTTACTTAAGAAAGTTTCGTTTTTTTATAGTAAAAATATCAAATAACCTTTCAGAACTTGATATTCTCCATAAGTAATTCTGATTTTCTGATCCCTTAACCTCCCTTAAAATAACAAAAACTTCATCATAGCATTTGTTGTTTTAACTAAAATTGCATTTATTTAATCATACATCATTTAATTAAATTAAATTTTAGTGTTTAGCGATTTCCTTGCCTCCTTTTCTCATCCATTTCTCTCAAACGTAAATCATAAATACTGCGAGTTAGATATAATTTTTATACGATATACGATATATATATATACAGAAAAAAACAAACGATTTCCTCACTTCTACTACAAACTTTTAAAGAACAAAAAAAATAATAATTAAAAAAAAAACATACACAAGAGACCATTTGGTAAAAAATTTAATAAATTAACAAGAAAGAACAAAATAGAAATTAAAAAAAGAGGAGGAGAAAAATTAGATGAAAACTTGAACGAGTATGGGGGGGAGAAAACTTAACGAAAGCAAAGCCTAAAAACAAGTTCGAACAATTGTGACATTGGACAGTTAGTCAGTATTATAATCAATATATTAGTTTAGTCATTAGTCATTAGTCATTAGTTGCTTTGCAAAAGTCACACGCAGTTGGATTTCTATTTTCTGTTTCTTTACTTTTTTGGGCAGGAAAATGTTATTTCTTGGGAGAGGGGGATAATCGTTCTATGGTTTAAATTTGTATACCCAAATATATGGGGGTTTACATACATTATTTATTAACGTATTTAAATTCCAACTTTGTGTACTGCAAGCTATAGCTGCATGAGTGTGTGTGAGTGTGTGTGTAAGCTAAGGGGCAGGTTATCAATTTTACAAATTTGTATTTTCTTTTTTTTCGGGCGCCATTTATGTACAATTTTTGAGAGCATTTAATTGATACTTTGATACTTTTTGATCAGTGTGTGTGTTTTAGGCCTTTGTTGTTATATATATATATATTATATATAAGAGTGTGGTTTATATATATATATATATTATATATTATAATTTCTAGAAATGTATAGCTAACAATATAACTTTGCACTTAAAAATTGGTTAGTATTTAAATATTTTTTGTCGCTTTTCCTTAATTGTTTTTAATTATTTTTTGTCTAAACGAATAGCTACAGTCGTTTTGTTTTTGTTTTTGTTTTTCTTTAAATTATTAATATTAAAACTAACTGTTTTTTGTTTTTTTCTTTTCAATAAATCACAATTTTTTTGCAGAGTTTTGTGTTTTGTTTTGTTTTTTGCTTTTTTGTTTTTCTTTTAGTTTTTTTTGTTGTGGTTACTGAACTGATATACTTTTTTTTCCTCTTGCCCACAGCTAAAAATTAAGAATCCTAAAATCGTCTGTCGTGGTTTTTGTCCATTTTCGAATTTCCTATTTTGGAGATCTCTTGATCTCTCAGTTTGCTGCTGTTGTCCTGGTTGTGATTGACCTATTTAGCTCTGGTTCTGCCCACCGGCTGCTCATCTTCCTCCTGTTTCAAGATGTTATTAGGCTGGGTGATGGCTTGACCTGGTTCTTCAGTGGGCTCTTGATCCAATGACGCTGGCGGAGGTTGCTGCTGCTGCTGCTGCTGCTGTTGAAGCGCATGGGCAGTGGGTGCTCCATCTTGTCGATTGGCGTATAGATGCCACAGCACCACCAGGCTAAAGACGCACAGCAAACATATCGCTAATTCTTATCTCTTGCGACGTTTCGTCTTCTTCTTTGTGGCACTCGGTGGGCTGGCAACGCCCACACCCAATCCCACAGAGGTAACACCACCGGCGGCTGGTGAAGATGCTGGACTGGCGGTACTGGTGGTTAAGTTACTACCAGCACCAGCTGATCCGCCAGATGAAAGGGATTGCAAGCCAATGCCTAGACCCAGACCCGTGGGATCTGGATGAACTGTCGTCTCTACGCTGCTTTCCTCCGCTGAGGACGTGGACGAGGAGGTGGCCGCCTCGATAGCCGCTATCAGATTGATCTTATGCTCCAACTTTTTGGTCTTGAGCTTGTGCGGAACAGCATTACTTGTGCTGGTGGAGGACCCATAGACCACATTGTCATCAGATGTGGTGGCTGGTACAGGTCCTTCGCTATCCGTGGTGGTGGCATTAGTGGCAACACCACTGCTACCAAAGTGCAGCAGATCCTCGGGCAGTGATTGCTCTGGCTCTGTTTCCGGCTCCTCAACACCCTCATCATCATCGGTCTGCATTTGCCTGGCAGATGGATCCTGAGCTTCCAGCTGGGAATCGCACATGCTGATGCTAATCAAAGGACGTAGTTCCTCATCATCTGGCTCACGATCCCTTTGCTGCTGCTGCTGTTGCAGCTGAAGTTGCTTCAGTCGCTTGTGCTTCTTGCTTAGTTTTTTAACGGGTTCTTCCATGACCACAATTTCTTCGGATCCGGAAGAGTTATTCGATGTGGAGGTGGATTTTTGCAGGGCCAGTGTATCCAAAGTAATGAAGGCAGGTTCTGGTGTGGTCACTTCCTCAGGCTGGGCCTCTGGATCTGCTTCCCTCATTCGTTCCTGTTCATTTTCATAATGTAGCGAACCGCACAGTGCCAGGATCAGATTCTGTTCGGTGAAACCCCGGGGCGGTGGGGAGATCTTTCGCGGGATCGCTGCATTCTCCTGTAAAGGACTCTCGAAATTGATTAAGCTGACCGTTTCCTTCTTCGAATCCTCCTTAACCTCCAGGGGTTCCAGGGAGGGAAGAGGTGGCAAGGCTTCCAGTGGCTTTAGACCGCTCAGGAAATCCTCAAAAGTGTCCTTCACCTCTTTTGGGGGTGTGCTTAGTTCCGGCAAGAGTTTTTCATCCCGCTTCTTTTCCGGACTCATCTTGGTAGGCTTCTTGCCCAGGCTGGGGTAATCCTGAACCGCTGGCAGTTTGGTTGGAGCCTCGTCGATCACTCGCCTCCAGGGACTGGTCACGGTTACCGGAATGAGGGGTTTTTCGGCTTCAAGAGGCTTTTCCTTTTCCTTCTCCTTGACCTTCTCCTTATCCTTCTTCTCCTTGAGCTTGGCTTCTTTTTCAAGTTCTTTAAGCTGTTCCTCTTTCTCCTTCAGCTTTGCCTCTCTCTCAAGTTCTTTGAGCCTTTCAGCTTTCTCCTTCTCCTTTAGTTTTTCCTCCCTTTCTCGTTCTTTCTTTTCTTCCATTTCCTTCTTGAGCTTCTCTTCACGTTCCTTCTCCTTGAGCTTCTCTTGCCTTTCTTTTTCCTTGAGCTTTTCTTCCCTTTCTTTTTCTTTTAACTTTTCATCCCTTTCCTTTTTCTTTAGCAGCTCTTCTTCCTCCTTTTTCTTTTCCTGCCTTTCCTTTTCCTTAAGCTTTTCTTCTCGTTCCTTTTCTTTGATCTTTTCAGCTCTTTCCTTTTCCTTGATCTTTTCTTCTCGTTCCTTCTCCTTGATCTTTTCTTCCCGCTCCTTCCTGAGCTTTTCTTCCTTTTCCTTTTCCTTAAGTTTTTCTTCTCGTATCTTTTCTTCCTTTAGCTTTTCTTCCCGAAGCTTTTCTTCTTTTAGCTTCTCCTTAAGTTTTTCTTCCCTTTCCTTTTCCTTGATCTTTTCTTCCTTGAGCTTTTCTTCTCTTAGCTTTTCCTTTAATTTGTCTTCTCGCTCCTTTTCCTTGATCTTTTCTTCTCGTTCCTTCTCCTTGATCCTTTCTTCTTTTAGCTTTTCTTCTCGTTCCTTCTCCTTGATCTTCTCTTCTTTAAGCTTTTCCTCACGTTCCTTCTCCTTGATCTTCTCTTCTCTTTCCTTAAGCTTAAGCCTTTCTTCCTTTTCTTGCTCCCTTAGCTTGGCTTCCCTTTCGGCGTCCTTTAGCTTCAGCTCCTTTTCCTTGGATTTTTGTTTCTCCTTGTCGATTGTCATGGTTGCAACTGCTCCTCCGGGTTGTTGTTTCTTTTTGGCCGTTTTGGGAGGCTCTTCCTTAGGCTCCTCTTTCTCCTCATCTTCATCCTCGTCCTCCGCATCTGGCCCGCTCATCTCTACGTGCAAACTTAATCCCTGGGCACTGGCACTGCTCACCATGACGGCTGCAATGCTGCTCTTGTTAGCCAGCAAGCTATCAGCATGATCGGATTCCGGATCCGAATCGTCTTTCTGGGCTTCCTTCAGCACCACCACCTCCTCCTTCTCCTCCTCCTCTACGACGATCTTCTCCTGCTCCATGCTCTTCGGTTCTGGCTTTCTTTCGCTGATCTTCCCACTGCTAGTCTTTTGCTTGTTACTTTTACCCTTCTTTGATGATTTTGTCATAGTGGCAGAGGTGCCCTCATCCTCGGAGGTGCCACTACCACTCTTCTGGCTGGCAGTTTTAGTGTTATTGGCGTTACTACCCTTGGGCTTGTTCAGGTGCGAAAGCTCTGCAAATTTCTGCGCCTGTGCCGCATCCTCGGCAGCTGCCAAGGATCGTAGGGTTTTCTGTTGCTGCTGTTGTGCCTTGTGCGATTGCTTCTGGGACTTCTGCTTCTCCTTTTGGACGAGCACCTCGTCCACCTCCTTGGCAATCACCGGTACTATCAACTTATTGACCAGCACCACTGGCGGTTGGCAATTGGCCTGCTCCAATTCCAGTTCCGAGGCCGTCGCTTCGTCCGTCTTCTGATCCTTCTGAAGGAGCTTCTGTCTTTCAATCGGATCACTGCAAAATATGGCCACCACTGGCCGAAATAGAGCCTCATCACAATTCTCATGGATAACCGTATCCTCGGCTGCTAATTGGCCAACCACTTCATCCAGCATATCCGTTTGCAGTTCACCAGAGATCCCAGCATTCAGATCCGTGACAGTGCCCAAGGGATTGACCATTTTCTCTACACGGGAATAACTGCAGATGTTGGGTAAAACGGAGGCCAAAGCAGAAATCGAATCCATCGAATGCAAATGCGTCTCCGTCTCCGGATGTTGATGATGATGATCCTCCGTCACCTCGTCCAGGTCATTCAAACTCTCATGTTCGGCGAGGGCATCATAATAGCAGGCATTATCACAATTTGAGGATGAACTTCCGCCGCCGGCGGCCAGGAGGAGATCCGATGAGGCTGGCAAGGAAGCGTCAGCCAGAAGATGATGATCGCCACATGAAGCGGCTGCCTGATCTGCAGATGCAGCTGGAGGGCGGGTCAACACAACGTTGGGGCACGGGACACAGAACACAGAGCGGAGAAAAAGAGAAATAGAAGAAGAGAAAACAAATTATGAGAAAGGCGCATTTTGGTTCGTACAGGAAACAAAAAACAAAAAGCCAAAGGCAAATTTTAATTTCGATATTGATTCGAAGTTTTGATTTGAAAATGTTTAATTGGAAAATACATTTTAGCTTCTGCTTATTATTTTTTCTCTCTCTCTCTTTTTTTATTTTGTATTTAATATATATAATTTTCTTTTAAAAATATTTTAGCTAAGCTTGGTTTTTATTTTTTATATATAGATTGTATTGGCAGTGTATGCGTTGGAATTATTTATTTTTCGAGCAGTTGATCGATCGAAAAGGAAGCGGAAAACACTCAAAACAAAAAAGGAAAATCGAACGTAGAACAGAAAAATAGAACTTTGTAAATATATATATATATATATATATATATACATATTTGCTTTGTGCAACTCAAAAAAATGAAAAACGAAAAATTATACTTTTTGAACTGTCATTTTTTTTTGTTTTGTTTTGTATTTTTTTTTTTAGTGTGAAAACGAAAAGAATTAAAAATTAAAGTTAAGAAAATAGCGTGACATTGATTTTGGGTAAATAATAAAGAAACTGGATATTGTTTTTATCGTGAATTTTGAATTGCGTTTTCGAAATTTGTATGGCTTTGGCTTTTTATTAAGATATTCATGTAGATTAATGTGCTCTTTCCTCTCAACCGTTCTTTCTCTCTCTCTCTCTCTCTCTTTTCCTCCCCTTGCTTTCGCCCTCTGTCCATCTCACTCGCCCCCAATCACTCTACGGTTTTCTCACTCGCACGTGCAATGAAAATTTCGGTTTTTAATTTTCGTTTTTTTTTGTTTAGCAACTTTTAAACGAAGGAAACTTAAAAAAAAGTGTATAAAACGAGTCACAAGAGGCAAGGGGTAGAATTTAGGGGCACCCATTAAAATAGAGTGAAGAAGAAGATAAGCAAGCAGCGAAGCACAGAGGTGAAAAGTGCAAAAAGGCAGATGTAAAGTGCAACCATGTGGTGAAAAGATCAAGAAACAAGGTGAATATTACACAGAACGTGGTGAAGAGAGCCAAATGGGGGTGGTGAAAGGTGTAAAAGGATGTGGTGATAGAGTGGTGAGCAAGAAAAATAAAACAAAACGAATAAACAAATGTTACCAAACCTGGTAACAAAAGAGAACAAGAAAATCCAATTGTGAAGGAATATAAAAAATTCAAAAAGTGAATGGTAAGAAAGAAGTTTAAAATAAAAAGGTGAAAACTGTATAGCTTCATGGTGAGAAATTAGCATTCAAATCCAGCTGTAGTGGCAGTTTTTTCCTTTTTTGTCATTAGGGATATATCAGACGAGGTCAAAGATAGATATATTTCCAATAAAAAACCGATCAGTTTGACCAAATCCCAGGGTAGTTAAGTGCACGACAGCGGTTAAACAGCGACCAATGGGGCAAACAAGTGTTAAAAGTAGAGATGGTGTACATATTTTGGTGTTGCAGAAGAATTAATTTAGGGGGTTTGGTTGGGGTTTTTTTTTTTTGTTGAGTTTTATATAACGGGGTCTTTGCTGTGACAAAAATGATATTAGCTTAAATTTAGTTGTCATTAAAATAGAAATAGATTAATTTTAGTTAGATCTCATTTTATGGCTAGACAAAAAACACCAAAGAAAAGTTCATTGTTAATTTTGATTCGGCTAGAAAAATGAAATTCCAAAAACTGAAATTTTTTGGAAAAAAAAAAAACACCAACACACTTACACCACAAAAAAACACACGCTCACACACACGCACAGCGAAAAGAGGTAAATGTGAATGGATGAAGAATGAGGAGAAAGCTTAGTGAAATGAGAAAGTATAGATTATAAGGATCATGCAAAGGGTGAGAGGTGGGAGGGCAGGATGGCTATAACATCATCATCATCATCATATCATCATATCATCATAGTTCATCATCATTATCAACAACCAACAACCAATGCCAATTTCGTGGTGTTTCATAATCAAGATTAAAATACTGTTTTTTTTTGTTCTTTTCTTTGACCACCAAAAATATTTTGAATTAAACATTTTCATTTTGAAAGCGTTCGAAATAAAAATCATAAATATATATATATATATATATAGAGATAATTATGTGTTTCCAAAAAAACAAAAAACATAAATACAAATTTAAAAAAATCCAAAAAATGTAATAAGAAAATACACATAAAAAAGGTATAGATCGTAGACACTTAATAAACAGATTTGTGAAGACATCGAGATTCGGCTAACGATCAACGGTGATGCCTTTGATTCTAGGGCTTCACCCTCGCTTGGATGACCGCCTGTAGATCCTGTACAGAGCCAAACAAGCAAGATCATTCCCAAAAACCATTGGCTAGCTTATTCGAAGTGTCTTGCACCAACATGCAATATTTATGTGTACATCTAACCAGGACAATTATGGGTTTTACTTGCCACTTACCCGTATTCTCACGTCGAGCTGCTGCCGTTGATGGCGATTCACGCATGGCATCTGCCAAATCCTCCTTAAGGCGAGTATCACCATGTCCATAATCCGAATCCAAGTGACCATGTCGGAAGCGATCCATTAATTTCGGACTCTGCTCAATGCTGCCTTTTATGTTCATTGAAATTAAGAGTTAGATTTACAAAGTTAAAAATCGAATTCATTTGCTTACTATAAGATCCGGATTCTATGAGGACAGGTACTCCCGCACCGCTGCGTCCCGTCACTGCTGAACTACCAATGCCAGCTCCTCCCACCGAAGTGGCTGCATTCAAAGGCATATTCAGCGGACTGGAACGATCCTTGCCTCCTACTGAACCCACACCCAAATTCGCGGAAGCAGCTGTCGTCGAAGGCAACGTGGTGGTCGACGTTTTGGTAACGCCTATCTCCACCGCCTCTGCATCGACATGGTTCAGATTGGAACTAGAAAAGGGAAGTTACAGATTAGTTTTAGTCTTATATAGAAACCACTAAAATCTTTTTGCTCTATTTGTATAGATCATCCCTCACCCGCTGGGCGTATTGTAGTTCTTAAAGACAAACTGCGGCCCCATCCATAGCCGTCTATGGGGGCCTGCGTGCGTGATGATCTCCACCTGAGCCAGCCAGCTTTCGGCCCGCTCGTCCGGCTCATCGAAATGATGAGCACTGTCCAGCAGCAGGCTGGCATGGCGATCCTTGATCAGCCAATTATCCAACGTCAGCGGTGGTGCGATTTCTTGAGATCCATCCTTGCGCCGTCCCAGATTCCATTGGGCACGGGCCTCCACCTCCAGTTCGATGGGCGTGTCATCACATATCTTCTCTTTGGCAACATCTGCAAGAAGGTGAAGTGATAGCCATAAAGTCAATAATATAGAATGCTACTTAATAAGTAACTTACGTGAGGCTAGCTTCGTGTCCAGATCGTACTGGATGAGCGCCCCGTGGCCGGCCATCACGAAAAGCGAGTCCACCGCCTTGCGCTGGACGCGATGCGGCTGCTCTCGTGTCGCCATCGGCGGCTCCAGCAGCCAGGACCGCGATTTAGCGAAAATGGAACAGACACTTAGTGGTTTGCCACTGTCGTCCGACAGCGAGGATAGGCGTTGACGCTGCCTCTGGCTACTACTGCCGACACCGACGCCGACTCCATGACCGCCGGAACTCACTCCAGAGCCCATAACGCCGCCTCCACCCACTCCACTGCCCAGACCTGCCGATCCTGGCGGAGATCCTAGGGTAAAGGGCTGCCGCAGCTGAGCCAACGGCTGCACTATCGACGGTCGGGGGTATGGCGGCAACGTGGGATTGTGATACGGTTGCAGCGACTGCACGAATGTCGTGCTCTCCGAATGTGAGATCGGCGAACTGGAGCGCCCGTCAGCTCCCAGGCCAGCGCTCCTATGGAAGCGGGATAGCTTGTTAACCACATGCAGGGAGGTGTGCGTGCGAACGCCCATGGCTCCGCCGTAGGGCGTAATGGGGAAGACGTGGGTGGTGCCGCGCAACGTGGACACGGCAGCCCAGCGCGAGTCCAACGAGAAGGCAATGTGCTGCACTTTGGCGCTAGTATCGCCACGATGAAGCACGTACAGATGATGCACGGCAGCCAAGCTGGGGCCCACCGGATGTGGTTGTACTCGGAACACGTGGAAATCGTGGCCACGTCGATCGGCGGTAAGGAGCAGCATGCCAGAGCTATCGAACTCCATGGCCACCAGAGCTTCGCTGTGAGCCACAAAATGAGCCACGATTGGATCGCCACCGCCCTGTGAGCCACCCGTCGAGCTTAACGGTGTACCCGACGTAGGACTGTAATCCTTAACTGGATGCTGTAATCAAAGAGATTAAAGGTCAGTATAAAGAATTATAGAGGAATTATTTATCCACCCACCTTTACATCGATAATGGTAACCACACCCGACTGCTTGGCATCCGGACCACCGCTGGCCGAATCAAAGCTGCTGCTCTTGGAGCTCGCGCCGCTGCCTGCGGTGGTGCCGGTAAGTCCAGCGGCCACCTGTTCACCAAACTCTCGCAGTCCCTTGCCCAAAGATTTGGCAGCATTGAGCACAGTGGCCGTATAGCTGGGTACGCCCTCGCCATCGCATCCGCCGCCACTGCGCTTAGAGTGCAGCAACTTGTGCTCCGCATAAGCCAGCCAGCGTGGTCCCAACGCAATGGGATTGGGATTGATGCTGTAAGAAAAGATCACAACATGTTTAATGATCTATGATATCACTTACTAAGTACTACGAAAATAGAGGTAAGCTTTAACTAATTCTAACTCGTATCATCCCTTTTTTAACTACAACTAACCACTGCTAACTACAATGAACTAAAAAGCTACAACCAAAGTTAATCGACCATATAAAATTACCTACTGTCAAAGTGTTATAATAACTGAGTCCATTAGATTCTCATTATCATTATCTCTATAAATTTACTTAATTTGGAATAATTTGGCGAAGGCGCTAACTTATTTTTAAGCTGAATGATTGATTGACTAAATATATATACTATTTAAATTGGATAATTATTTTTTTATCAATTTATTCTAGGATTCTTTCTAACAAGATTTCCTTAAAGGATTCCTCAGTATTAACTCACCCCGGACTGGGATAGCAGGTGGTAATGGTAAGGCGGTCCTCCAGTGTCCTGGCATCGAAGACAGCGATTCGTTCGTGGAACGTGATAACCACCGCCGATCTGTTGGCCTGGATGTCCAGCACTGCGTTCTTGAACTTAATCGTTTTGACCTGGACACCCGTTTTAAGGGACATAAAGTTTACGGCACTGAATTGGGCAGCAGCCGATACTCCAATACCAACTCCACCGACTGAGCCGCCAACTGTTGTGACACCACCGCTGCCGCCACCCAAACCTAATCCCGAGCTGCCAGCTAGTATACCACTGACCGCTGCACTGCCTCCATCGACGAATGCCACCAGGGGACGTTTCTCGGCAAATGCATCGACCGGTTCATCTGCCCGGCCATTCTCGTCCAATGCGACGGCAGTTGCCGGTGTGGGCAGCACCCGGAGGGCAGTGACGACGCCGTGACGCCAGGATAGCACCTCGACAGCTTCGCCATTGGCTGGGATGGCCCACACTTGGACGCCCAGACCGTAACCGAGTATCAGGAGCAGTGGCGGTGCTGCATTCCCCTCCAGTTCCCAGTCGTCACCGAAGCGTGGATCGCTAACATCTGCACACGTTTCGAAACGAGCCCAAGTGATGGTGTCCTTGGGATCTTGAACCGGCTGGTTGGCCAGGGTCACATCGTTAATGAAACCAATGGCAGAGTCAAGGATCGAGCGATCCGACACTGTTTGCGGCGGCACAATGGCCGGCACGGCTGTGCCAGATTTGCTGCTACCAGCAGAACCGGAGCCCAAACCGGAACCAGATCCGGAGCCCGATCCAATGCCTGAACCGACCACGCCGGAGGGATGGCGGCGTGGCGAGTCCGCGGACATTTTGCGGTGGCTTCTGGGGGGGATAGCCGGTGGTGACTATTGGCCGCCGGAATCGCTCCTCTTCTAGCTGCTACCACAGCTGCCGCCAATGATACAGTGCCTCCACACTGGAGATCAGTGGGCAGCAGTCGTCTAGGGGGTGACAGATGGCTTACGGTGGCAGTGGGTGGCGGGTGGCAGTTCTCGATTGTTGCTCTCGCTGATGCTATTTCTCTATTGACGCCTTTCCTGGAGACACTGCGTCTGATCGGTTGTTTCTTTCCCCTGCTTTTTCGCGCTCTCTCACTCTTTCTCTCTCGGTTGGCTCTCTTGTCGTCAACTGCAAATAGAAAGCAAAAACAATAAATAAACAAATTGAACAATCCCACACATACATCTAACCAGCTCCCCACTCTTTTTAGGGTGAACCCAAAGACCTTTACACGAATTTGTGAAATCTGAACTGTGAACTAATAGTTTAAAGATCATATGATGATAAGCTACCCAACGTTTTGTTGGCTTTTACATGTCATTATTTTTTCTTATACGCCTTGACTCATGGCACAACAACATTTAATTAAAAACAATTACAGTTAAACAACTTAAACTTCCCCCAAAAAAAACTGGTTTCAAAAGCAATAACATGAAATGAACTTGATTTTTGATTTTAAATTAATCATACGACCTGTAGTCCAGATTTTAAAAGTTGTATTCATTTGTGAGAATATGCCAAAGTACGAAATTTGTTAATTTTTATAACAATGAAATTTATATAAAATAATATATAAAAAAACATTGCTTATGCAGTAAAATGTACTCATGACAAAAGACACACTACGTATACGTGATTTTTACACTTGCTAAGTTCTTTTGAAACTAAGGTCCACCCTAATGGGCACATTTCACAGTTTCTTTTGGTCTTTTCATTTCGTTTCATTTTCCCTTTGTCTCAATCAAAATACTTTAATCTTTGAACAGAGCCCACCCTCCAACCATTGCCACCCCCGACACTACCTCCCTCGCACGTATCCACTCTTAGCTCGCTTGTTACCAATTTATTAGCGCATTACGTGTATTTATTTTCTTCTCCGCTCTTTGTTTTCATTTTAATTTTACTTTTTCGGTTGCTTTTTGTGCCCCCCTCTACTTTTGTCAATTTCAATTCCATGGGGCGCAAATTAAGTGCAATAAAAGAACAACAAGATACGGTTACAAATTGAAAGTATAAAAAAAAAACAACGCAAAATATATTTGTTGTTTATTTTCACACCACAAACACGAAACACAAAAAAAAAAAAAAAAAAAACAAGCTTCAAACCACAACAACAAACCTCAAAGTCACGCAGAAATCATCAGGCCATTTGCTTTAGCTTTTAGCTTCTAGTTTTAGTTTTCTGTTCCTTTTCGTCTTCAATTCGCCAGCAAAACGCAATATGCAAACACAAAGAAGCTAGAAATGAGTTGTTCTTCTCTCTGCCCACCTTTTATTTGATTGGAAATAACCGTTTAAGCCAAGCCAAAGATCTCTTCTTCTCAAAAGAGAATTAAACAACCAAAAGGGGAAATGAAAATAACGCTACAACCGTCCAGTAATCTAGAATAAATTAACCCACAAATGACCCCACAAAATTTTAGTTTTATTTTTAAAATGATGGATATGCAATACTTTTTAATTTTTTGGCATTCTCTACATAGCCATTTATTATTTATTCAAACCGATCAGAGGACAGCGGGTGAACGATCCCTATCAACGATTACTCGAACACCGATTTGCTGAATATATTGCAATTGGCAAAACTTTTCCACGTGTGGTGGCAATTGATTAAATGAATATTTCGCCACATATAGATAGAAATGAGGTAATTACTAAGCTATATGTACATACATATATGCATATGCCATACCATATATTATTTCGTATTGCAATTAGCAAATGATAAGGCATGAAGTTGTGTTGTAAAGACGTAATGATACAATTAAATGCTTGTAAAAATTTCGAAATACCAGGGGAGGTATTTCAAACGCATTTCTTTGAAGCACTCGAAATTCCCAAGTGAAACTATATATTTACATATATACAAAATGAAGGTAAGGGAGTCTTATGGGGATCTTAAGGGTTAAAAACCCCCACCAATAACGGTATCCAACCAAGCTGGAAATGGGAGTGGAAGGAGTGCAGCTGCATCGCTGCATTCCTCAATTGGGTTGGCACAAGCGCAACAAAAACAAAAACAATAACTGTAATAGCAGCAACAAGCAATGTCACACACACCCAAAAGCTACATACTTGTGAGAGAAAGAGACGGTCCGTCGCCCCCTCGTTGTACCTCTCTCCCTCTTGCCCATGACGACCATAAGTAACGCATTTGTCTTTGTTTAGCAATAGGAATCCATATAGGCATTGATTCGCAAGAAGAGTGAGGGAGAAGAATAAAGACCCCTCATTGTTAATACAGTCAAAACTTGTAGCTTCATTAAATTAAGGTCATCTAGATAATTTTAAAATATTTTTATACAATATTTAACATTTATTGTTAGTAATTGCAAATTCTGAGTTTTATTTTGAAAACAATAGTAAGCATTTGTTTGCTATGTCGTATATATCAGTAAGGTTCTTCTTATAGAGGTTAAACTGTACCTGGCCTCGTATAAGCTTACACGTATCCTTGACACTCGATAAATTCCAGAGCAAGTTCAAACGGGAACGCGGTCAACGCATAAACGAATCTCAGACTCAATGCAATTTCATCGGACTAAAGAAATGCATAAAGATAGAAAAAGAGAATGCAAACGAAAAGAGAAACCCCAAAAGAGAGTGAGCATATTTCTATTTCTTTTCTTTTTTTTTTTTTTGTTGGGGTCCCATTGTTTATGCTGCCCATTGCCAAAAGCCACTTGACAAAATCCCAGCAATTCTTTTTCCTTTTCCTTTTTTTCTCTTTTCCTTTTGCGATAGGCAAAGAATATACAACAATAGCAACTTATTCGCACACAATTGCAGTTTGTGAACAGGTGTTACTATAAATACCAACACACAACGTTTAGATATTAGACATGCAATTTCATCAGTTCTAGTAATTAAAACGTGTTTTTTAGGCTGTGAGTAACAGCTATTTTAATGATACAAAAAAGTCGTTAGCACCCAATAGTATAAAAGAAAAATTAAACTTTTAGAATGTGAATTCTCTTTTTTTTTTTGTATTTTTGTTCATTTGAGGTGGTATATATGTAGCTACTTTATAACGTATCTGTGAAACACGGATTTTTTATAGCACAAGTTCATCAACCCACATACAGCTGATTATTTGCACTAGATTACGGACGAAATAATTTCTATTGAAGGAGATTAAAGAGGACAATATATACCAGTCACACACGCCCCCGTACACCTCATCAGATGATAAGGCAATCCCTCAACCTTTGGCAGTCCTTGGATGCGAACAAAGGAACCTCTTGGTCTAGAGTAGATAAAACTAACCTATAGGCCATACAAACAGTAAAACTTGTTCTTAACGAACTGCATTATTTGGTAACAAAGTTTCTAAGTAAAATTTGAACGCTCTTAAGCTTATAGAACTATAAAGTTTATTTGCCTTTCTACATTGATAAATATCCTAAAAATAAATCTTTTTATCAGTTCAGAATAATAAATATATATTAACATTCCCCTTATATGTACATATATATGTATTTCAATATCTTCAAACGGTGTAGTTTATTTGCACTGTAGTGCTGACAGAAGGAATGCAATTTTCGCTTTTTTTGATGTTTTGTTTCTTTGCTTTTGTGTTTCTGCTTATTTTCAATGACAGCCACCCACTCGACCAAACATTGGCAAATTTTTTGGCAAACATTTCTATTAGGTAAAATCCTAGATATGTGGATAAAGAGTGAAGTGCGGTAAAACCAAAGCAAGAAGAAAAAGAAAGGCAGGCGCAAACTGAGGGGAAGGGGATGGCAATTGAAAAATGTCACTTTTAATGTGCGTTTTAAATTTGTAAATGAAGCGAAAACAATTTGTGCCAACCAAATATTTTTGTTATTTTTTGATTACACGACAGCGTATTGTTGTTCTTATTGTTTGTGTTGCCTTTGAATACAGTTGGAAAACAAAGAGCCAAAAGCAGAGCAATTATCAAAATATATACAGAAGTCAAAAAGCACAAAAGAGAGAGAGAAGGAGATGGATAGAGATAGAGAGAAGGAGAAGAGAGCCGAAAACGAAAACAAAACTCTAACACACAGCCAGATGCACTTGAATGCACACACAAACGCATCTGCAGCAACTCAGCTGCAACGAAATTTTGTTGTTGTCCTCTCTCGTAGCCAAATTCTCGGTCTCTCTCTCTCTGTGCCTTGCAGCGTCGCACAGTGGAATGATAACATAACACAAATTCTGAGTTGAATTTATCCCTATTTCCATGTTAAGTAACTAAATAGAGAGTGAGATCTAACGAATTTAAACGCAACTTTTATTGGAAACTATATAAAGTCTTAAAAAATTTAAAATATAAAATTAATAAAGACTTGATTTTATATAACCTACAAGTTTCTATGTCACTTCTCACACTTCTTATCCACTGTGCCCAAATGTGTTTCACTATCAGTTCGTTTCGTTTCCACTGCTTTGTTGTTGCTCGTCTAATGCGCACATACACAAACACTTCTATATAGACGAGTGTATCTGTGTGTGATTTTTTTTCTTCATTGTTTGTGTTTTGAAATATTGTTTTTTTTCGCGTCACAGCCAAAACAAAATTTCCACTACTTTTGACATTTAAATAACAGCAAATGCTTAATGGTACAATTTCTGCTCTCTCTTTCTCTATTTACTTCTCTTCCACTTTATTTTTTGCTCTATTCTAGGCTCTTTGTTTGCACAATTTACACGTCTGTGATTTCGACAGACCAACAATAAACAAATAGTTGCATAAATAGAAGTTTGATTTTTTCTTATATGTACATACATATACACGATTTTCATCAGTTTTCGATTCTTTGCTTTACTTTTCTTTTTTTTGCGCGTCAAACAAAAACAACAACTAGATGAAGAAGAGGAAGAACTTACCACTTGCGTTGTTGTTGCTGTTCGATGGTTGAATCAGCAGCAGCTGAAACACAACAACAATGCCACTCGTTTCGCTCGTTCCACTTTTCTCACACGTTCCGCAGAGCGCGCGCAAAAACAACAACACAAACAAAAATCATATGTTTTCAGCTGCTTGCTCTCTTTCTCGGTCTCTCTCTTTCTTTCTGTAGCTTATGTTGTTGATTTCCTTTTTGGTGTGTGCTTTTCGTCTCTTGTTGTTGTTGGTTTTGTTTTTTGTTTTTTAAACTCCTCTTTATTATTATCTTCGTTTGTTGCAGGCGGCAGCAGCAGCAACAAAATTTCCAATTGCGTCTTGCTTTTTTCTCTTTCCTCTTCCGCCCCCCTGTTTTGGATGGTTTTATATGTTTCTTGTTTTTTTTAATTTGCCACGCCCTCTAACAGTTGTTGCTTAATTTTGGGCTACTGCTTATTAATTTTAGCCTTTTTCGAAACGCGCAGCAAATTCTCAACTGTGGAGCTCGAGTTTTGTTTGAAAAAACTGAACTTTTTTGTTTCTTCTTCTGCCGCTGCCGCCGTCGACGCAGAGCCCTATTGCTGGCTCACTCGCACACACACATTCACGCACACGCACCAATACAGACACAACGACTGCGCTGCGTCGTACGTTTTATTTTTTGAAATTTCTTTTTCGTCGTTTTTCGTTTATGATTTTGTTTTTGTTATTGTTACTGTTGTTTCCTACTGAAAATGTTTTTGTTGTTACTGCACAAAAAGTAACTGCGACATAAAATCTGCAAATCAAATCGTTCACCTTGTTTTTGTATTCACCCGTTAACTTATATATATATCGATTAAAAGACGATTTATGCGTCGCAACACAAAAAAAAATAAGAAAATAACCAAGAGAGACTGCTGCCAAAACGAAAAGGAAAAAAATCTAGTACTAGCTGGTCTGACTGCTAGCGAGCTTTTGCCTTTATTCGTGTAATATCTATTCGTGTAATACACTTAGTATTATTAATTGTTATTATTTTGGTTGCTGCGATGTTTCTGTCTCTGTTTTTTGTCTCTCTCTTCTGGGTGCTGAGCCAATGTGACCGTTGCAGCATTTACAAGAAATAAACAAACTTGTAGGGTGACTACGGTATATTTAAAAGTAATAGCTAGCCGTTCAACATATCTAGTTTATTTAGTGTGGCCGGAATCTCGGTACTTTGAAATAATTTTTGTAGGGACTTGCAATGTTTCATCTTATTGCCTAATTGCAGTTCCAAAATATTGAGTCACTATATTTGTTTTTTATTAATTTATAGTTTTAGAATGGGCGCTGTTTATTAAAGTCGTCTTTAATTTTCAAAGAAATTCCAAACTCAGAAATCACTCTAATCGCTATATAGAAACACCAAATTAGAACAAATAAATATAGTTGACGGAAGTTATTTCCTTTACATTTACGTTAAAATAATATGCTTATAAAAAAATGTCATCTATTTCAAACATATACTACTATATTCTGTAAGGGGAAAACTATATTATTTCAGACAATTGGATTAAGATGGTGCTGCACATAGACATATTAGTTTATGGTTAGTAAAAGGTTTATCAATGCCATCACATATAAAGTTAGATATATTAGACTTATGGTAGTATAGCATATCATACATGTACTTTTCTATTGAAATATTACAGTTGCTATCCAGGCAGAAAATGGTACTGTTTAGTATAATAAGCATGATTCAATTTCATTTTTACTTAGAATAAGTATATTGAACTTTAATACCATTTATAGGTTTCAAACATACATCATATATTACTATATTCTGTAATGAGAAAAATATTTGATTTCAGAAAATTGAATTAAGATGGTGATGCACATTAACATCTTAAACATTAAAATCTTAACATTTGAGCTTTTTTAGTATATTTTTAGTAGTTTCTTACCGGAATAGTATATTAAGTTCAACGCCATCCGGCAACACTGGCGCTGCAATAGCGGCAAAAAAAGAGAATAATTTTTTGCCATTTACGTTGGCGTAAAGTTCTGTCGCACAACAATTATAAAGCTCGGCCAGCTGGGTTGGTAAGCGTTCCGTTCGCGATCAGTAAAAATAACTACAAGGATAATATAATCCTGTCGTGCGACATATATTTTTTGCACAACAGCCACACGGCGCAGTGTGTTTTGTTGTTTTTCGAAATTCGCAAAGTGTGTGTTTATTTGCGGTTGCGCTTGTGTGTGCGTGCTAGTGTGTTGGTGTGTGTGTTAGGTTGTGTTTTGGTATCCAGAGTGAGTTCATCCAAAAACGAAAAAAAAGGAAAAAGAAAATGTTATATGTTGAGAATATTATATTTGGGTCAAATCTGTGCTTGTGTATGTGTGTTTGTGCATATAACATACTCTTTTCTTTTTCCTTAATTTCCTTTCGTTTTACTTTCGTTTTCTTTGCGCCTTGTTGTTTTTCTGCTCGGCATGTTTGTTGTTGCTGTTGCACGCGCTTCTTCTGCCGGCGCAACTAATTCGATTTATTTATAAAACGTAGATTTATACAAGTTTAAATATTTTGCTCTAAACAAATGCAAAATAAAAACATGTATGTATGTCTATGTGTTTGTGTGTGTGACCTTCGTGCAATTTTCCAATTAGAAAAACGGGAAGCGACGTTGGTAAAGGAAGCGTCCAAGAGAGCGAGGTCCTGTGATAATGCAATCGGATCGCTTGTGTGTGTGTGTGTGTGTGTTCCTGTGCGGACATTTTCCGAGCTTTAATTCAATTTTCCGAGCAACAAGCACTTACGGTTTTAAAACAATTACACACCGGGCACTTTTACAGTTTGAAAGCTTTTTAATCAGGCAATTTACCCTTTTTTCCTTTTACCATCTAATTATTGGTTATTTTTTCCATTTCTGCTATATATGCATGTTTTTCCGTTTTATTTTTGCAGCACAAGAGCGGTGGCGGCGGACAGAGAAGAAATTAGAGAAAAACAAACCAAAAGACAGGGCAAATCAGTCTAGTCAACAAAAGCAGACCAAATGAGCACGCACTTCGAGACTAACGAGCAGCACAAACTAAGCCAAAAATAAAGCTAAAGATAAAAGAGAGAAAGAAAGCATCACACATACTGTATTGCACACACATCCTATTACACTGAGCGAAACAGTTAACAAAATCGGTGGCAAGATGCGGGTGGTGGCCATGGTCAGTGGCGGCAAGGATAGCTGCTACAACATGATGCAGTGCGTTGCCGAGGGTCACGAAATCGTTGCCCTGGCTAATCTGCATCCAAAGGATAGAGGTGAGTTGATAAAAGCGAAAAATTGAATCAAAAACGTAAATAATATATGTAGGGATTGAACTCGTCCTAGCCCCTACTCCTTATATATCCTAATTTTATTTGTTCTTCCACTTAGATATAGATTTAAAAACCATATAAAGATCAAACTTTTGGATAGAATATCAGAAGCTACATCATTAGTATCCTAATCCATATCTCGAAATCATTTCTGTTTCGATCAAGTATTCTTAGATCTTGTTTTTTGCCTTTAACTATCCCATTTTTAAAGAAAAAGCTCTTTTGATGTAGGCCAAGATTCCTCTAAGCATGTATATTGATATTGATATTTGTATTATTATTTGCAAAATCATTTACCATCGATTTGCCTTTGTTTGATCTCTAGCCGCTGTCTCAAAAATTGTTACTTTCCAGACGAACTGGACAGCTTTATGTACCAGACGGTCGGCCACATGGGCATCGAGATTCTGGCCAACGCCATGGGATTGCCACTATATCGTCGCGAAACCAAGGGCAAGAGCACCCAAACGGGCAAACAGTACGTGCCCACCGATGATGACGAGGTCGAGGATCTATATAGTCTGCTGGAGACATGCAAGGTGATTGATTATTTAATGATTGGTGTTGCCCCCATGCTACTTTACCATGGTATATTCCCCCCTCAAACTCAGATTAAAGTTGCTGATAAGAAAATTGGGTTCAAATTGGCTGCAATTGCTACAGGGGATACCCAGTCTTTTTTAAGGTTTGTCTGGTTCTTAAAATAGGTTGTTATATATTGGTTTATGGTTAGTAAAAGGTTTATCAGGGTTATCACATATAAAGTTTGATATATAAGGTTTATAGTATCACCTTTTGTTGGTTTCAATAGATATATTCTAGAAAACCTTACGCTAAGTCTAAAAGGGGTGCTGTTGTTTACTTTTCTATTAACTAATGTCATTGAAATCTGTATTACATTATATAATATCATTTATCTCTGATTGGGAAAAGTTGATTAGAGCTATTACATTACTTACAGAAAACAAAGAAAGAACATTTCTTTTTATCAAATAACTTGAAGTTCTTATAAAGAACTAAAGGTTATTGTAGATCTTAAGTGAAAAAACAGAATAATAGAATTATTTTTAATTTAAAGAATATAATATAAAAAAAAATATTTTTTTTTACTCTGTAATGTGCTTGTGGGTTTATCAGATCTGCGATTTAGTTTATATATCCGCGTTTGTTGTACCGTGTCCTTGGGTCTTCCTCATTTCTCCTTCCTCATCATCAATCAAAACCAACTGCAGTCCCCTCAGATTGCAACTGCAACCACACAAACCGCTTCGTAATTGGGTGGCATTATATACACAACGACATCTCGACATGGGAAGTCGCCGGGCGGTAATCTTATCGCGATGCCCGGCCAATCGAGACGGAACTGTTGCCGTGTGCACGTGAAGCAATATAAATAAATAAATAAATAAAAAAAAACAGACATAAAAAACCAACAAAAAATGAATGAAAAAAAAAATATTGTCCTAGCCAAAACAATAACAATATGAATAAAGTCTATAAATTGTTTATTTACTTCTTAAAACTGCAAGAAAATCGATTTTTTTATGATGATTACAGTTTGGCAGGCTATTGGCATTAATAATAATAATAAAGCGTAGCTTATCAGTATGACTCAATTGCACTCAAACTGTAATTAAAATTTTTGCATTCGCTTAGCTGATATCGCGGCTTGTCTGGTTTTTTATTTTAATTTTTGTTTTTTCGTTATTACCCGTCACTCGATTATAATACAATTTAATATGCTTTTGAGCTGATAGGAAATTAATTACATTCGGAAAATCCCCTTTATAAGAACTAAAGTCTTGCTTTTTCCTGTTAGAAAACCTTAAGAAATTTATAGGAAATTGGTTATGAACTTTTGTATTTTTGAAAATATATCATATTTGATATCTTAGCTAACTAAATAATTAAATATTTTATAAATTTTTGTTTCATAATTCAACACCAAACAGCACGAACTTCAGGTAGATGCGGTGGCCGTTGGAGCCATCCTTTCGGATTACCAACGCGTACGCGTGGAGAACGTTTGCAGCCGCCTGAACCTGATATCCCTGGCCTATTTGTGGAGGAGAGATCAGACTGAATTGCTGCAGGAGATGATCGACTGCCAGGTGCATGCCATCATAATTAAGGTAACAAATGAATCAAACTTAAAGTTTTTAGACAGTTAAAGAAAAAAAAACACTTTCCATTGGCAGTATCATTATCAGTGATGGTTGAGGGTTATAAATGTTGATATAGATTGGTTTCATAATCAATTTTCATAACCTGAGTTCCCTTCAGCTGAGTTGTCGTTTGTGCTAAATTTAGATCATGTAAACAAACGCCCAAGTTGCTCAGCTGAAAATGATCTATTTCACCTGAATTCCTCTCCATTTTGTCACTTGCAACGTTTGTAAAAATACAAAATACAAACTACTATTAGTACTATTTGCTTTTCAATTTGAATCTGTATTGTATGGAAATTAACAACATAGTAAAGTTTACTATAACTACTATTCGTTGGCGAATGAAAAATGAGTTGCTTAAGTTAAACAAGAAATCATTTTATATAAAATTTTAAAAAGAAAGAAAGATCTTCTTCGAAACCATGGAAAGTGTTTTTGTTTTTAGCAATATTTTGTATATACCTTCACCCCATCCGCTTAACCGCTTTTGTGGTGCCATTTCCATCTCCTCCCCCTCCCTCATTGATAACCCGGACATACAGGTGGCTGCCCTGGGCCTCGTGCCGGATCGACACCTGGGCAAATCGCTGCGAGAGATGCAGCCGCATTTGTTGAAGATGCGCGACAAGTATGGACTGAATGTATGCGGCGAGGGTGGCGAATATGAGACATTCACCTTGGATTGCCCATTATTTCGTCAACGTATCGTTGTCGAGGACATCCAGACGATCATCAGCAGTGCAGATCCCATTTGCCCCGTTGGCTATATTAATTTCACCAAATTAACGCTGCAGCCAAAGGAGGCGGCGGGCGCGGCCAGCGGCGGCGGCAGCGGCAACGATGTGGTGGTGTTCGTGAAACGTTCGCTCGACTATATAAGCGATTTGAACGAATCAACGTACAGTGACCTCAGTGATCCCGATTTTAGTGAAACAGAATTGGAGCTGATCGAAAAGGAGACTAGACTGCGCGAATCGCTTAGCCAAAGTGAGCTGATATCGCGCAGTAACTCCTTTGGCCGCCATCTGGCCGCCACCGCCTCCTCGCCAATACCCATTGTCACGAAGAGCGCCAGCGTCGACGAGCCCACAGCGGCGGCGGCGACGATTTTAGGCGGAGGTGGAGGAGGAATTGGTCCACCACCATTCTGTTCTACCTCAGCCTGTGCGTCCATGCTGCTAACGACCACCGCCGATGGCATGAGCAGTTTGGCCAGCTCACAAAGTCAGGGCGGTGGCCATGGACTCGGGAGCAGTACGGCCGCCGTTTGCGGCTCGCTGTCGCTGGCCATCTCCTCGCTTGGGCTCAGCGCCAATACTTGCTGTCATCCTGGAGGTGGAACTGGAGGAGGTATAGGATTAGGAGGATTAGGAGGAGCACCATCGGCCGCCACACAACCGCCCAGTCCGCTGAAGTACGAGCGGGAATTCCGTCCACTGGTCAACGAGGCCAGAGCGGCCATCAATGCCAAGGGCTGGATGTGGCTGGCGGGCATACAGGGTATCCAAAGAGTCTCTATTGCATCTCTATACTATCTCTTTCAAAGGGCACGGTGGTCATTAGACGAGCTTAGAAACATAACAATTTTTGATTTTTCTTTACAATTTTCATTTTGCAACTTTATTACTTCTGAAACAAAGGTTCTAATTTCTAAAAAATCTAATAAAATATTTCCTTTAGTTTCATCTAAAATCAATAAGGATAACTTTTTCAAATGACCACCGTGTTTTCCAATTTTATTTCTTAACAAAATGATTGCTAACCCATTGCTTAATCCCTTGGCAGGCTCCGGATCGGAGGGCATTGAGCAGGGCATGGAACAGGCCCTGGACACATTACGCGATATGTGCCACGCCAAGGGCTATGATCTGCAGGATCTGTGCTATGTCACCCTCTACGTACGCTCCATTGGCGAGTATCCGGCTTTGAATCGAGTCTATCATCGCGCCTTCGACTTCCATAATCCACCAACGCGTGTATGCGTTGAGTGTCCGCTGCCTGATGGTTGCCATGTGGTGATGGAGGCCATTGCCTACCGTCAGCCAGTGGCTGGAACGATATCCAGTGCCGAGGAAAGAGATCGTGAGGGCGAGGAGACTGCGGCGGCTTTGCTTAATGGTCGCCGAAACACGATGCATGTCCAGGGCATCTCACATTGGGCGCCAGCCAACATTGGGCCATATAGCCAGTCCACCAGGGTGAGAGTTTACATATATAGAAATCATATCATTGGATACAACCGAAGATATTTATCACTGCTACATCTATCGTAAATATAATTACCGAACTAATCAATAATCCCTTGCAGATTGGCGACATTACTTACATTTCCGGCCAGATCGCACTGGTGCCCGGCAGCATGACAATCATCGAGGGCGGTATCCGACCGCAGTGCAAGCTCACGTTGCGCCACATCAGTCGCATTGCCAAGGCGATGAATGCCCATGGCCAGCTGCGTGATGTGGTCCACGGCATTTGCTTTGTTACCCATCCGGCATTCATTGCCGAGGCGCGTCGCCAGTGGGAGCGCCGCACCACCAATGCCATTATGGATTACATAGTACTGCCGGCACTGCCGCGAGAGGCACTCGTGGAGTGGCAAGTGTGGGCCCATACGCACAACGATCGTTTCGACTGTAAGTGACAGCAAAAAGTGGCAAGAAGTTTGTTATTTTTGAAATCTAATCTTCTGTTTTTTTTAGATGAGGAGACTGGCTGTTCGGTGGGTGACTTTACCATCTCGATACGTCGTCGCTGGAACTATGAGAATAACTGTGCGGCCATTGTCTGCTATGTGTCCACTGGCCTGGCCTCGTCCACCACCCAATTGACCCAGCTGAGCGATGATATATTGGGCAATCACTGTCGTCTAGCGCAATCGGTTAGTGCGGAGCATCTGGACGAGATCCTGTCGTATGTGGTAAATCGTCTCCTTAAAGACTATCCGCTGGCCAAGAAGCAGACTCAGCAGCCAGCGAATTCGGGTACACCACCTGCCACGCCGACTCAACCGGGTGGCGCTGGCGGAGATCAGCATCAGCCACTGCCGGCGATTCATTTGAAATTGTTCTATCAAGTGAATGCCGCACCGGCAACGGATCTGCTGCTTCAGGCTCTGCACGATTTCCGTCTCAAGTGCCAGGATATGGCCGCCATTGTCTATACAGTGCTGCCAGCATGCAGCTTGCACAACTTCAGTACGTTCCTGTCCATCTGCGGGGTGAGGCATGAGTAGGAGCCTTTTCTCCACGCGCAAGGAGTTGGAGGATGAGGATAAGGATATGATGATGATAAGAAGGAAAATGATGAAACAATTTGCTGCCACCGCACCAAGCAGAACACAGAATATATATATATATACAAACACCACTATATATACACATACGGATATATGTATATTGGATGGGTCTCTATTTGGTTTGACAATGAAACGCATTGGCAGAAAGTAATCTTTGGAAATATACGAGTCAGTTCGCCTCTAAAGTGTTTCCTTTAAAAGTTTCTATGTTCAGTCTTTTTGTACACTTTAAATTATAAGTTCCGAAAAAAGTTTAAGTTGTCAGAGAAAACAAACTTAAACCAACAATATTTATGAGATTTTTTTTATACTGTTCAACATTTTCCCTTAAATTATGTCACGAATTTATATGATCTTAAATCAAATCCAAGGCCAACTGCCACGTATTATCCACAGATTACTTTATTGTCGCACAATTTTTCATTTTGCAAAAACAATACAAATCGACCCTATTAAAATGTAAAATCAGCTTGCCCTCTGTTGATATTGTTAACTAGCAGACGATCCTAAGATCGGGAAGATACCGTAGAGCCTGCATGCTGCATCCATAGAATAGAACACTTCGTGTCGCAGTTTCGGACCAAAACTCTCTCACAAAAGATACAAAAAGAAAAACAAAAAAAAAAACCCACACACACACACACTCAAAATCGGATCTATGCAACTCAAGTGTTTCAGCAACTAAGCGATGGAAAAACCAAGCATACAAATTCAATTCAAAGCAACTTTATATATTATATACGATGAAAGCAAACCTTTTTTGTGCACTCTATTGCCAAAAAAAAAAAAAGAAATGAAAAGAAGCAAGCAAAAAAAAACACAAAAAATAACAAACAACTGTAACTATACTCTTATACAACTATTAACTATTAATCGTTTTTCGATGTGCTTTTCTTTACGCTCCGAATTTTTTATATACATATATTATATAAATGTACATCTCAGCGATTTTTGTTCACTTTTCAAATAGCCACAAAACAAAACTTTTGACCAAAAAAAAAAAGAGAGAGAAAAAACACACTCGGAAAAAAAAACGACAGCATTGTAAAGCAATTGGTTTTTTTTATATGTCGTTAAGCTTTAAATATCGTGGAGAGCAGATGATGTGGCCCATTCTTCGACCACGTCGCATCATTTTCATTATCAATAATCCGAATGTAGCAAATTCGCCATAAAGAACCTAGTTTTTATCATCCAATTATATTTTTTTTTATTTTTGTTTTTTGATAGATATGAAAATTACCGAATAGAGATTATTGAATGTGTTGCTTAAAGTACAACTTGTCCATAGATTTTCCTGCACAATCTGCGAAGCAAAACAAAACGATTTTGGTTTAATTCCAAAACCAAAATTTGTTCGACATAATATAATATAATTTTATAATGTAAAATACGATACGATACGATATCGATGGGGCGCTGAGCGGGGAAATGATAAAAATGATAATGAGAAAAAAAAAGATTATTACATGCTATTATGTATTGTTATGAAAATATATTGATATTGATTGAGTGTCATTACAAAAGTCGAAACAAAAACCAAAGAAACACTGGGCGTTCTTTTATTCTCGGGCGGATGCAAGCTGATAAGCCTTGCTGGTCTAAATATATGTTCATATGCTTTACTGTATCATATATACTGTGGAATCAGTCTTATCGCCAGCACTTTGATTTATTAAAAATATCATTTTAAATGAAATGCCTCCTAGAAAGTGCCAGATATACGTGGTGTTTTCTGGCAAGGCATTTATGTATCTTTTGGATTAACCCAAATTAGTCATGATTTGTGTAATATCATTAGGTAATCTCTATGATTTTTAAATGTATTTTTATATTTAAAATTAACCAATGCGCGATTTATTGGATTCAATTACTTTTTTTAGAATTCAAATTATAATGGTTAACATTATTATAACTTATTATTATGGAATGTTTTAGTAATTTATCATGTCATGATTCTGGAAAAGACTGGAGAAATCAAGGGCTTATTATACAAGAAAATATAACTTATTAATAGGAGTTTATTTTTACATTTATGTACCTATTTTTAGATTTGATCAATTTTTTTTTTGTACATATATATTTTAAATTGATCATTATTTTATATTCAGAAATATTTACTGGTTCATTAACTAAAAGTTTTATCCAAGTTTAAGAGTTAGTTCTACCCATTTCATAAGATAAATTTCTAGTTTTATACATTGGAAATTGTATCTGTAATACAAAATATTTATAACTTTTATTTTGTTGAAAAGAGATATAGGAGATAAAAAATAAGTTAACATGATAAAAGTTCAAATAAACTTATTTAATTCGGTTTACATATAGTTTTTATGAGAAATATGGTTTCTATACCCACATACTTTTATTTAAAAAAACGAAATAACGTGATCGCAGTGATATTTACATAACTTAAACAATATTTTACTCAGCTTTATATTTAATACAAAATTTATCATACATTCTTAAGATAATAAGTAAGTTCTTTGCTTTGTTTAAGTCATTACTTTGATAGCAAAATTTTAAATGTTGAAAATGTCAACATATTGTTAATAATTACGCCCCACTTAAAGAAAATAACGGTAAACCTCTAGATCCAGCTGGAAGCTTAACGGTTAACCTGGGGCAACGTACACGTCAGTACGTCAGCATGACTTACTTAAGGCAAACGCATATTTGCATCAGACAAACCAAACACCAGAAAAAATAAGGCCAAACATCTCACTCTCTCCTCTCCGAAAATGTTTGGGTAAACAAATAGTGAAAAGCTTTGAGAGAGAGTTGACCTTAGTGGGCGGTACCTTAGCGCCTGCGACACGTCAGTAATAGAGGTGGAAGAAATGTTACAAATTTATCGCCTGAAATGAAATTAAAATAAACCAGAATGTTTTTTGAATAAGAGAAAATTTTAGTTTAACTTAAAAGTGCGACATTTATATATATTTAATATTCTTTCTTTAAAAACGCAGTGTACTATAATATGTATCATAAATAACAAACTTAGTTTAAAGTTTTATATTATAACGTGATATTTGTTTGACATATTCGATTGCTGAAGACCTATCGATGTTTCGAGAAAACGAAAAGCATCGACACGTCAGTGATACGTTGGAGCAAAGAGCAATAAATAGCCGTGGAGCAGAGAGCGATAATCAGTTTCAAAACAAAAGTACAAGGAATAACAGCACAGCAAAAGAGAAACGCGATTTATTTAAATAAAAAATATATTCCAATAAGAACAACGTAACGCGCTGTGACCGCAAATATAAACAAATAACGTTACATTCCCATTAGATCAATTAAAACCAAGCCAAAAAACAACAAAGACTACACTACTGTGACAAAAAAGTGACAATTAACTAAATAAGTGAATATTTTTTTTAATAGTTTAAGTTAGCAAATGTAAGTATACAAAACAAATTTCGTCTTTGATATCTATAATAGTGTGTTGTATGTTGTTGGGATCATAAAAATTCAAAGTATCAAAGATAGTATATTTATATATAAAAAACCGACAACTGAATAAGTGAACAAGTAAATACATTTTTTTTTGTGTTTTTTTGTTTTTTTTTTTGTTGTGTTCCGCAGTTATTGAAAGTTAGTGGCCAAACACTTTATAAATATGTTAGTTTTGCCAGCTTGGATAACTGATTTAAAAGTACTAAAAGTTTTTAATTTCGTTCTAAGGGACTACAACTAATGAAAAACAGTCTATATTTTCTTTGAATGCTCTGTTGCTGATATATTTCATTCAGCTTTTAAATAAAATGCCAGTTTATTCCTCATGAATTGTGATAGAAGAACCAATAACTAAGATGACGAATATAAAGGGTTATCTAGGCAGCATTGTAACATTTGACATGTTTATCAAGCCATACATCATTTAAACAATAAAGTCCAGTTACAAGTATTTTAAATATTCCCAAAGTAAAGTATTAAGTTGGGCAAATCTTTTTTTTCAAAAGGCTGTTATTTGCTGGCCAAACGCAAGTTTTCCAACACTGAACCACCACTGACGTGTCTTTTTGGGCCCAGAGTTGCAAGCGTGTATGTGTAAGTGTGCCGCAACGTGTCACTGTGTGCGTGCGTAGAAAGCGCCGGCAAAAAAGCCAGAAAAGCAGCAGCCACATATTCTACTGCTCTGTCAGTTCCATTTGAAGCGTCGAGAAAGCACATTAAACCGAAACAAGAATTAAATTGTGAGTCGTTAAACTATAAGTGTAAGTGTTTAATAAAAAAGAAAAACACCAAGACAAAGAATAAATACAGTTTGCAAATTTGCAAACAATAACTGGAAAATGCAATTGCACTGTCAGAATATTCGTGAAGAGGAAAAAGGAGAGCGGTAGGGCCACCAACACAAATACACTGCAACTTTATAGTCGCCATGTTGGCAAAAGTAGGGCCCCAAAAAAAAAAAAGTTGCCAGCACGTGCCCAAAAATAAATAGAAACGTGCGAATTCAATTTTATTGCAGTTGCATTCAATAAAAAACCCAACCAATGACGTGGTGGCCGTGACGCGTTAAATATGTTAATTTACAAATAACAAGTTCGGTGAATGAACTTTGTCTTCTTCTTCGATTTATTAGTTTTCAATAGTTAAAGCTTAAATATATTCGTAGTCCTTTGTTTTTTTTTTTTACAGTAAATTTACAGTTTATTCCACATGAATTTTTTTAAAGAGCGAAAAGCGCCTGCGCATTTTGCTGTCTGTGTGAGGGGGTGTAGGTCTGTGCGTTTGTGTGTGCGCTCAATCCGCTTGGTACACGTCATTTATTTGGCAGATTTTTAAGCTCTACGCTTTGCTCTCTCATCGCTGGCCAAAAAGTACACGTCAGTGTGGCATAGAAACAAAAGAAATAAGTCTTAGTGGTTTAGCTATAAACAGCTGTGCAAATTCTGCTGTTTGTGTGGAAGGGGTGGGGAGACTTTCTCCAAGTGCGTGAAAGAACCAAAAGAAAATAACCAGTTTTTTTTTTTTTGCTGCTCTCTCGCCGGCAGCATTCTCTCCCTTCCTTTCTCACTCTTCTTAAGAAAGAACCAGAAAAATGTTACACGTATACAAAATTCGTTACTCTCTCAAAATATTTCTCTCTCTTGGCGACGTCGACGTCGGTCAATGTCAGCAGAACAGAGATGAGCGTAGCGCTTAGCAGTTGCCGGGCAGTTAGCCATTGGAGTAGACGTGTTCTATAACTGATCTTCACTATATAATTTATATAGTTATAAAAGGTACTGATATTGGTAGTATTGTTTTAAAAAAGAATGTGGCTGTCAAAGTGGCACAGTTAACGGTAAACCGTTGACAGTTTACAATCCGGCCGACGTCATCTGTAAAGGTTCTCTCTTTCAGAAAAGAGTGAATGTGCGTGCGTGTGTGTGTGAATGATTGTGTTGACGTGTACAATAAGCCGAGCTTGAAATATTTTTGGGCCGAAAATTAATAAAGAATTTCTTTTGTATTTGCAGTTACTCTAAAAGATCTTCAATATGAGGTTATGCATATTACTGGCTGTCGTGGCCTTCGTTGGCCTCTCGCTGGGCGAGGAGAAGAAGGAAAAGGACAAGGAGCTGGGCACAGTGATCGGCATTGATTTGGGTACCACATACTCCTGGTAAGTAGAAAATACAATAGGAATTTCAAATTCCGTAGAAAACCTTCGACCTCGAAACCTCTTTATGGCCACGTGAAGATAAAATCTACACCGATCATTAATTAGTGATTTTGCTGCCGTCATTAGCTATTTAGATCAGAGATTAATAAGCCTTTTTTATTTAAAATTGTCTAGTTTGTAATACAGATCATTAACTAAGCTGATTTTCGTTAAAACTTTAATGAAAATGTATGAATAGAACACTTTAGTTAACAAGATTTAAGGGTTTTGAATTAAAATGTCTTTAAAAATACTTGAAAATGTGTTAAATCGTATTAGTTCATAAAA